TGGGTTCCTGGGTTCCTGGGTTCCTGGGTTCCTGGGTTCCTGGGTTCCTGGGTTCATGGGTTCATGGGTTCATGGGTTCATGGGTTCATGGGTTCATGGGTTCATGGGTTCATGGGTTCATGGGTTTGGGGTTTGTTTGTTTTTGTGTCGGAGGTTTTGGGTTCGGGTGTTGGAGGCTTTGGGTTAGGGTGTTGGAGGTTGAGGTTTCGGAAGGGATGTGTTTGCAAAGTTTTATTGCTCTTAATATTGTTCCCACATATCCCCTTACTAGGGTTTGCGCTTCCTCTGCTTGTCCTCGGACCGCTTCAGGAACTGTTTCATCTCGCTGTTGGTTGAGAATGATCATCTGAGATGCACACATGACATGAAGTAGATTGTAATGAAGTGTAGTTCTTGTCTTTGTGGTAGTACGAGAACCACGCTCATCTTCAAAACCATAGGGTTTTTCACTTCTCTAATTCGCCAGTTGTACACGGACAACAGCATTTACCATACGAATGTGCCAGAGTCTAGGTTTCGCTTTCGCCGGCGGGCACTGAAGGAGGAGTGGCTGTCTTTGCACGGCGAGGAAGGCCAAGATCACAGCGACTGGGAAGATAGCTACCAGTTGCTGTTGCTTTCTCCTCAAGCTCGCAACCTCTCTGGCGAGAAGCAACGGGACGGCGGCGCGTTTTTTGGAGGCGGGAAACACGGAAATAAAAACGCCACGCCTTCCGGCCATTTGCTTAGTTCTATTGGAGGTGTGGCAGCTAAGGCCGGCGCCGGGTCAAGCGAAGCAGTAAGCACTAGCACTAGCGGTGGATTTCTGCAGGTTCCACATGTGGGCAGCCTGAATTCCGTTATGGATGCAGCAAAGCCCCATGAGAGCTCGTCTGGCAGCACCGGCGAACACAGTAGTTTCGGAGGATCGCTGGCGCACGCAGCGTCGGGTACCGCCGTCCCCGGCTCAGTGCTTTTTGCGCCTCTGCAGCCGGTGGGCGAAGAGGCTGGGGGAGACGGCAGCACGGGCGCAACCCAAGCAAACGAAAATGAGACTCCACGCGAGGTTGATGTAGAGAGCCTGCACGAGTTGGGAGAGCGAAGCAGCAGCGCGATCCACAAACACGGCAAGAGCTACAACAAGGTGTTGGAGAAAGACAAAGAACTCGCGCATCTCCAAGGCGCAGGTGGAGAGAGGGTGAAAGCAATGCTGGACGGCGACTTGTACCAGAAACTCGCGGATGGAGAGTTGTTGCAGCAGCAGTTGCCGCCCATTCCAAGCGGAGACGAGAACGAAGCTGGCAGAGAGAATAATCCGATCTCGTTGCAGCTCGCTGCGGGCCTTCGCATCATGTCGCACAGCGTCCCCTATCAGCAGCAGGGCGGCGACGGAGGCGTCTTTCCAGCGACCTCGTCGAGCGGTGGTGCGCATTCGCATGTGAACCTGCACTCCACCACGTGCTTCATTCAGCCTCTCGCGGGCGTGAACACGCTCGATCACGACAGCATAGTGCCGGAAGTGTCCTCGGCCATGCTGGCAAGCAGCAGCAGTTCGAGCTCCTCCTCCTCCGAGCCATCGGCCTTCCGCACGCACTCTCGCCAGGGCTATCCAGGAGACCGCAACCCACGAGCGGTGATATCCGGCATGCCACCCCCCGGCGACGGGGAGGACATTTACGCCTCGGACTGGGTGCAGGACGACGAGGGGGACTTCGAGCAGGCAGTGGACGCAGCCTACTTTCCGCAACCCTTGTTATGGTCGTGTTTTATAATTCGCCTCTCTCAGCATCTTGTTGATGCCTTTTTTCCCCTCTTAGTAGCTCTTCCCTTGTAAATATACAAGGTGATGGTTACTTAATAAAGGCATCAAGATGTTGGGACCCGGACCAAGATGAATTCTAGCACATGACGACTCTAATTTGGGCGGGATCGCGCACTGGGTCGGCGGCGACTGCGCATGAGATGGTTCACATGGGGGGTAGCATAGGAGGCGAAGAGGCCTTGCAGATGCTGCGCGAGGCCGAAGAGAAGGGCGAACTCGGCTTTGGGAGCGGAGTGCGCAAGATCGGAGAGGGGAGCAGTGGGCACCCGGACATCGGGTCCCCGCACCACTTGAAGCAGAGCACGCAGAAAGACGCGGAGGGGACTCCGCGAGGAGGCAATAGTTTGATTGCGCAGCGACTGGGAATCAACGTGTTTCCAAAGTACGGAATCTCCACGCAGCCGTTGGCTGGTCATCGTGCGCTCGAAGCTGGAGAAAAGACGAAAAGAGGCTACTTTCCGGTTGACGCGCTTTTGCCCGTGGTGTGGATGGTGTCCGGGGTGTGCGTCGGGTATCTGCTCTCCCGAAAAAGCCAGTAGGTGCTGGTGTTGGCGTGATATTGGGGACCACGTAGGAAGCCTCCATGTGTAGCGGATCTTCGATATGAGGCTGCAGGCAAATGATCGAAGCCCTGTTGGAGTCACCGTGTACCTCTGCTGCCACTTTGCACCCTAACTACTGTGGTGGCAGAACGCTACCTCAAGGACATTATGCGGTCAGCCATTCAGATTAAAACTCCTTGTCAGGCTTTGCAGATTGGTTGGAGCCCCTGACACGGTGGCTCATTAGCGAGCGAGGCCGCGTCGTGGCTGCACAGGAAGTGCTCAGTACGCGAAGGCAGAGTAATAATCTGTCACGCGCCTTGGAGGCACGATGTGTCGGGTTTGCGGACTCCGCTATTAATGACTTTTTCATAGAATCTTTTACACTTAAGAATAGAGAATATAACTGGTAGTTTCTTCCCCTGTATACCTAAGTATCATTGAAACACAACAGTAAGTAATGATTGCTGGACACTATCATCACAGCATGGCTAAGATATATACAACGACCCCGTCTGGTCTAACGGTATGAGAGAATTCGAATTTCGTTACCGTGAATTCGGACTCTCAGCACGCGCGGGTGAGAACGTGTTACCACAACATGTCCCCTCCTCACAAAATGTCTTGTAACGACCATTTAAAGTAGATAGTCACCGTGTGCATTCTCTTCATCGGATGGTGCATAGTTTTTTACAGCTTTGCTTCATACTGCAAACAATAGTTGTAAACGCGCTAAAGCAGAGGTACTATCTCCTGTACCACAATATGGAAAATCACACAGCATCAGCTACAGACCACAATTCCACCTATGATTACAAGAATCTGGCACCACCCGTTAAATCTAGCTGGCATTCACATCACAATCACGATGCTGTCCTCGTGAAGCATCACGATAGATGACACTCACGCTTATGATTTATTGAAAAATGTTACTCATCACTTCGAAGATAGTTCTTCGCGAATTAGTTCTATCCATTTCTCTGTTTGCTTCCCACGAATTGTCGTTCCTGTGGCGCTTAGTCGAGACGAGCAGCCGGAGGAAGACGACTTTTCGTGACAAAGACTCTGGTGCTCGTGGCGCACAGCTTGTGCTTCTCTATCAATACTGGCTGTTGACGTCCTCTGCAATTGGTGCCCAACATGCGAGAGACGCCAACGTTGATGCGGACTGGGGATGGCGGCGTTCAATTTGTCACTGACTTGGAAATATGTTGTAGTTGGTAGCATGTGTTGGCACTCCGTATCTGCATAAGCCAGAGCAAAAGGAGGAGGAAAAAAGTAGTGTGTACAATCTTTATTGACAGTCACCATGTAGACGTGGCGTAATGGAGTGATAAAAGAATCGGTACGTCACCTCAAAAAGGAAAACATGATATTGGTGGAAAAAAGTGACGTCTTTCTCAGTAACATTTGAGAAACCGCGCCACTGACAACAGTGCACTCGTTCGTATTTCCAATTTTTGACACTGACAAAAACTTAGGGCAAGAAGCGAAGGGTATCGCGTCTAGACGATTTCAATCGTCTCCTAGGTAAAAAGGTGAATGTCACCTCTTCGGTGATTTTCCCAAATTCACCAAGAATTTCCACTACATAAATCGTGATTGTCTGTACTTCTTGAAGAAATATAATTATCCACTACTACAACTTTTAAGGAACCCAAACCCTCCAGGAGAAAACCAACATGTTAAACAAATCTTTTGCCCTGCTCTTCGGGGCGGGGCTAATATGCGGTAGCATCAACTCGATAACGCTGAAGATATGCTACCAGACACAAGTCGAGGGGATGGATGGCCGTGACGAGCAATATGAGAAACCATGGTTTTTCTCTTTCGTCATGTTTCTCGCATGCCTGTGCGCGCTGCCCGTCTACTACGCTGGCAGAATGATTGACGGTATGATATTCTTGCTAATCGATAGGTGAACATGATCTCTTTGATTTGAGGATAGTTGATGGTATTGCTAAGTTGTTTCTCATAAATTGGGTGTTTACCTGATGTCTCATCTGTCAGTAAACGTAAAGACCTGTTTTGTGTCTCTACGGTCTGGTTGAAGAGAGCACGTACTGTTGGAACGTTATTCAAATTGGAGCGTGACTGTCACTGTCATTTGTCTGGATTTTTTTCAGAGATGCAGCGGCGAAAATCAGCACCAGGAGTTGCCAGCGGCATGCGTCCTGACGAGCTAAGCGTCGCGAGCGCAGATGAATCGACGTCAGATCCAGTGACGAGGGAAATTTTTTTCTATCTTTTGCTTCCGAGTATGTGCGATCTTCTAGGGACGAGCCTTCAGCAAATGGGCCTTTGCGTGACTACGGTCTCCGTTTTCCAGATGCTAAAGGGCTCGATCCTCCTTTTCAGCGCATTCTTATCTGTCTGTATGGAATGGAAAGAAATCACATCAACCATCATCTATTTTTAGTTGTATTAACTTATCAGCATGTGATGTACAAGGAATTTTATACGAATGCAGGTCTCACGAAGCTCCGGTACCAAAGTGAAGCGACTGTGTTGCGCAGTGCAGTAGTGCTAATTTTCGTTCAACTTCTAGTACACAAAGAAACAAATTCTGCATCTCGATGATATTGATAAGAAGAAGTCCTCTCTACTCTCCCCGGAATAAGTCATCTTTTCTCGGGAAGCGCCTTACGGGATACAATTGTTAAGGCCACCTCTAGAGCATCCTCAGCATTATCCTTGGGCCTTTGTCCACTCAAAAAGAGGGCCAAGGATGCACTCGGGGATGCTAACGCGGTAGCTCTAAAATTGGGTCGGCATCGGTCTATGCCTCATCGCGCTCACGATGGTTGGTATGGCCTCCGTGTGGGGTGCGGATGAGCAGGGAACAGATCCCGCAGCTTCCGATACCTCACCAGCAGCCCAACAAGCAGTTGGTATCTGTAGGGTGTATCTTCGTTTGTTGAGAAAGGAAGTAAAAGTGTTTTAGGTCCTAAGTACTACTTAGTAACCTCGACGTAAAGACTTGTTTTGTTCCCACCTAATTAGGGAAGATGGAAATGAGTGGCGGATGGAAATTCTTTTCTCAGAGCGTTTTGCCAGAGCGACTACATGTCGCTGTTGGTGTTGCGATCGCTGAAGAGCGGCACACTCGAATTTTCGTTTAAGCTTTCCTCATTAGAGAGGCAGGCACACTGGATTCGTAGAAGCTTTCCTCAGTAGAGAGGCAGAAATCACTCTGATTCGTTGCGACTCACGCCCAACATCAAAAGGTATCCTGCTGATTCTCATCGGGCAAGTGATATGCGCGGCCCAGTACGTAGTGGAGGAGTATCTACTGCGGCCGCCACTGAACGTCACGCCTATGGCCATAGTTGGCCTCGAAGGCTTCTGGGGTAGCGTGGTGATGGGATGTATCGTTTTGCCTTTGTGCGCTTTTCTGCCTGGTTCAGATCCCGGTGGTGAATATGAGTCGACGCAAGACGCGCTTTTCGTGCTGTCTTCTAATGTTACGCGGGTCTATAGACACAAGTACACGTACGACAATGGGTGATCAACTTGGATAGACATATCACAGGGGAGTTTACGTTTTGAAGCATTTGTGGGCTACAATTGCGACGTGATCATGTAGGACAATGTAGGACTATCCTGCCAGACGGCTCATTTTTACTGCGATCTTTGTTCTCTAAAACCAAAATGGACGGAAGCGGGCACTTGATACGGTTTCTGGTAGCGGTATTCTTTGTCAGTGTGTTGTTGTACAACATCATTGGCGTGACAGTGACAGCGGAGTCAAGCGCTATCCATCATACGTTTCTCGACGCCAGCCGCACGCTGCTCATCTGGCTTGTTAGCGTATTAGAATTTGGTTTGGCGTTGGTTTGATTGACAATGAATCATCGAAAACAATTTTGCGTTTGAGCAGCTTCACGTGTGAGGAACACACCAAGAAGTTCATTGTTAATGTTTTGTTTGAGCAAGGATATTGTTGGATTCAGGACAACATGGAAGGTAGAAGTCATCTTTTGCAGTGAGCTTCCATTACAACAACTCCACGAACAACCACAGATCGGCCTATTTTACTTCGTGGACCCGCAATATGGCGAAGCTATTACACCCTATTCCTGGTTGCAAGCAATAGGTTTTGCCATTCTCGTGCTCGGACAGGTGACCTACGAAGGAATTATCCGAGTGCCCGGTCTCAAATACGAACAAGAAAAAGGCAGGAGTATTATGGACGAGGATGATACTACCTATAAAGGAAGGGTGAGTTTGCTCAGGGTGCGGAATGAAAAAACAAAGGTACTTCACTTAACACTTTCCTTTTCTAAATTCGGTGCTCAGTGCAGTCCGTTGGCATCATACCCCTGCTCACCAGCAGACAGATGGGTGGCGAAGGCTTCGCCGCGTGGGGCAACAACGCCTTTCAGTTCGCCTGGCGCGTTGGCCAAGGAGAAGGGACTGAAGAATCCACTACTCGAGAAAAATGCTGTGGCAGTGTAAAAAAGGATTCACGCAGAGAAGTTCAAGCTTTTTGTAGTGCAGTGATAAAGTAGCAGAAGAAATACGTCTGTAGTTAGAATCTGCTCTGGAGTTTTTTATCTCCCCGTGTTGTAAATTAGATAGATTGATAAATGCAGCGCAACCGCGTAATTAGCACAAGATGAGAGTTCGTTGTAGCTATTCATATTTTTTTAAGCGACATCAAACATAATGAATTCAAATTCGATAATGCATTAATGCATTTTGAACATATGTCGCGGCCTGCCTAGTAGCGTATCATAAAATGTGGTTAGCGCTAGGTGTTCCTATGTTTCGTGCACAGGATTACACATGTGGGCATAGAATCTTGATCATAAAACTGTTAATGAGTAGGACTGAAAACGACAGACACTGACAGTGCTGCATTAAGAGCTGGGCACGTGCGAATACGGCTGAGAAGTTCTGACCTTTTCCCAACATGAGAGCCCGTTATAATCTGAATGATGTTGGCGGCACGCTGCAACTTCTAGCTAGGTGGTAGAAGCAGTTTCTGGGGTCGCACTGGCAAGCATTTTGTTGATGCGATAAATGTATGGCCAAGGGGCCTAGCTTGCGTGGGCCTCGAAGGGGTTATCTTTCCCACGTTTCAACTAGAACGTACTTACTACAAACATAAACGGGCGGTCGTCCCACCTCTCACAGTGTGCATTTTTGTCGGGACAACTACATGATTTGCCAGTTCGAGACAGCTAAATGTGGATTCTTGGCGATTCGAAAAATGACGAACGATAAGGTGTTAAAAAGAGCGTCACGTGGAAAGCAGAGTAAGCCGTAGTAGTTTGACTGAGCGACAAAACTACTGTGCTTACGAACGTCTGGTATGGTGTCGTCTACAGAATCCGATGAATGGCCAAAATTGGCACCAGTGACACTTACTCCGTAAAAAATAATGTCCTCCGCGTCAATGAAGAAAGATCATGTAGCCAGCGACTTGCACCCGCTCTGTGCGGGACCTAAAAGAGGCAATGCTCGCCACTTGCTAGACCTCGAACGCGCGAATGAGGAGGTCTGCCTTCACTATTACGGCAAAGGCGAAGTGTTTCATCTCGTCTTGTCCGACAGACTGCGTGCGCATTTGCAGAGCACTCTTCAAAGTGCCGAAAAACCGGCATCAGATGTGCGAGTTTATGATACAGGCGGAGACCTAGAATGTCCGAGTGCGGGTGGTTTCAACTGGCGTGCGCTTGCCAGCGGTAAGTTAGATGTGGAAACGAAGACCACGCAAGGTGAAACTGCAACTGTGGAGAATAGCAGCAGTATTGGCGCAGTATCATGGACATCGAATCGGCCAGCAGACAATTGGCAGGTTTTCTTAGGACGTGAAATCCGACAGGTTAGCACAGGAGCTGCTGGAGCGGCACAAGGTGGACACGGAAACGTCATTCAATTGGTCTACTATGTTAGGGCTAGACGATGACGGTGTGTATGTTTCATTTTTCGCTACAATTGTCGTGTCAGAAATGTTCAACCGACGTCCCTCGCATTGCGACACTCGATGTATGATAAATTCTTGTCATCTACTCTAATAACCGTCTCGCTCAGAAGATCTGTTACGTACTACATCGTCCAAAAAATAACACGTCCAGCGAAGCCCAACTACCCACTCCTGATGAATATTCGAGATGTAGATAGGGAAATCTTAGCTTGCGAGCCAGAGTCCTGGGTTGGACTTTGTTTAGCTGCTGTGATGACCCAAAACCATTTAGATAGTAGATTCTGAAGATGGTTGTCGATGGGCTTCGCTTGAATTTACTTGTACGCAGTTCTGATATGAACCAATGTTCTATTTCTGTTGATAGCCTTTGTTTCCGCTCTAAAGAAGATAGCCAAGCGCCACAAGGCGCTGACACAATTGCAGCAGGACCAGCAGGATCAACAAGTGACGTAACTGAGAACCCGGAAGATCCGGCAGGGTGGACACCTGAAGAGTTCGCAGAGAATAGGACTTTCGGATTGAAAATTGAAAATGCCGATGATGATTCGAACATCACAGTCCTGAAAGTCCTTGGCGACCGGAAGCGGGCCTGGCGCGGCGCCGGCTGGACGGGCGAAGGAGAAACGGCGTATCCGGAGTTGACGAAGGATTTCGGCGAACGAGCATACTCGAAAGCACACCGCTTTGTGTTGAAAATGTACGATATAAACAAAGATGAGAGTTGTCGAAAGTTCGAAGCGGCGTTCTTCGAGACGTTTCCGAAGCGGAAGCCACCAAGCGATAAAGTTGTCTTTCTTGAAGCGGAAGATGGGTGTAGAGGGACACCGTGTCCAGCTAAGTTACCAGGAGGAAGAGGCGATCGTAGTAGCATCTTTGGCGGAATGTTCTGAAAGTGGCAGAATTCGAGTAGAGCCTTTCGGAGGTTGTAGAGCGGCTGTCGGTATACAGGGTGCTCTACTTTTTGTCAGAGAGTTCAGCGAAAGCGGCCGACTGCGCAAGACGTTCATGTTCTGGGCGTCGACGAATTTGTCGCAAACAAATCAGCATTTTTTATACGTAACACTGTTGGAACTGTATCATCCCGCCTGTAGGCTCTGGATACTACCAGGGATGCGAATGAGTGAGTGGATGGGTAAAGTTTCAGCTTCGAGCGAGTCGACACGCCAGTCGAAACCACGGTTGTAGGAAGCGACGAAGCAAGGGGTTGTTGCATGTTTCAGATCTGCAGAACTGTCCTCGTCAACATTTGTGTGATTAAAATTTTGAATTTTCCGTGATTTCACTTGCACGGTATTTTCATGTCGATCCTGCATCTGCAGAACCTTGGATTCTTGTGGTCTGCCTCAGCACACTTTCCCTGTTTAAGGAGACGCATGCTTATTTGCGGGAGACGTGGCTGATCCGATGGCAAGAGGGACAACAGCATGCATGCTGATCGGAAGGAGATTGATTGTTCCAGCAGACGACTTTCTCGATCTTTCGACGAGACTTGGAACCAGTACGCAGTGGAGTGAAATAATAAAGGCGGATTTATTGGACCGGGGTGAATCGGTAGCGGAACCAATGAGCTTCCGCAAATTCGTAGAGCCTGATGCCGACAGCAGTAGCGAAAACCGCAGCGTCGCTCAGAAGGAGGAAGAGGAACTGGAAGAGTAGGGCACTGACATAGGTGAGGCCCATGGCGAGGGAGAAGGAGATGGTGATGCAGATGAGGACCACGCGGAACAGTAGATCGGCATAGAAGACAATGGACACTCTGGCACCGAACGGCTGCATTCTCATGTTTTGTCGTCGAGTTAGTTCCCTTCTTGTTTGATGCAGTATTTGGTAGCCGCTTTTGCAGATTAATAGTTGAGTAGACAAACAATGTGGTCACCTGACGCTGATATTCTGCACCTGACGCATGGTGACGAGACCAAGTTTCAGCTTTTAGATTTAGATTATATCGCACAGTCATGCAAGCGACTCGCAGATAAACTCCGACAGCGCTGCGCGAACGAAGCACGAAAAGAAAGGAGCATTACTGAAAGAGGTCAGGCACCACGGAGTGACAGAAATCGCGAAAGAAAATTGCAATTTGGTACTAGTCAGAAGCGTTGAAAGCTAGTCAGTGAGCACCGCAGAACAATTCTAATTTTGGGAAAAGAAGCCGACTTGTATTTACTCCTGTAGGACAACTGAGGGCCAAAAACTACTGGCTATGGCGGGTTCAACGTCATCGAGTCATGCAAACAGAAATTAGGGGAAGGCGAGTTAGTTTAAGTCCAACTGCGGACGGCGGAGACCCTCCGAATCCTAATCCTAAGTCCAAGAACATGCGCATTCCATGCAGTTTGAAGCTGTATTTCGACGGTGGCTGCGGTTCAAACAACGCTTGCGCTTCCGGCCACATCCCTGACGAGTACCCGCAGCTGCTCGCGAGTTCGGACGTAACTCACGCTGAGTTCACCACCTTCATCAACCAATGCAACGACAGGCTGCTCAAGTCTAAATGTTATAATAGCTGCGGATCGCACCTGGTGCTGGAGCTGGTCTTTTTGCTGTGGCCGACGGTGATCGGATCTTTAGCATACAGTTACTTATCGCACAGGGACAGAGTGGCATTCGGACGTTTTGTGAAGCAATTAGCTAAAGATGTCTTCCGAAATATTGAGTCTGCAGTCTTTAGCTGCGAGAAGGGGAGTTCGGCGTACATTGAGCTGACATGGGGAGTGGAGAACGCGGCGTAAAGCGAGCAGATACGGATGGTACCCCCCAAAAGGGGGGTCACAGCTTTCGCTTTGGCGGTTTGGAAAACTACCAGATGAAGATCTTGCAATGGTTGCCCACCCTGAGAAATGACGAATGGGATCGACCGCGCGGTAGAAATTTTGATGTTCTTGGAATTGTCTTCCTAGCACAGTTTTAGACGTCTCCGTCAAAGACGTGCCACGGTCTTTCGTGGTGCAGTAGAAGATCGTGTGCAAAATAAAGTTCTTTAGCTTTACCGTTGTCAGCTGCAACAGCCTCCTGGTATATGTCAGCAGAAATTTGATAACCGTGTTAGATGGCTCTCCAAATTAACATACATCTCCTCGTATCGCTAAGACACGAACAAAGAGGCAAAATATACGTTGGTGCTGTGATCCTTGAAAAGAATATATGATCCCACGATGAATCGAACACGTTCGGCTTCTTCCACTCTCGTTTTTGTTCCAAATTTTCTACAATCCATTCCAGCAGATCCTGAGATCATGTAATCGTGAAAGCGGTACGCATCGGTATTCAGAAAGATCTTTTAGATCGTGGGATCCTCTAGAATAGGAATTTTAAAGCACAGAGACGATCTTGTAGTTGCAGACCACGAACACTCGAAAGCAGTAGATCATCACGGCAGTGCCTCAGTAGAAGAGGTTCCTAAAAACTGACGATCCCGAATGATATGCGGTCGCAGTGGTGATTACCAAAAAGTTCCAAATCTTCCGAAATCTTGCTATCCTACATCTTACGTTAGATCCCTTCTTTGTCTCACGCCATTTGCATTACGCTACTCTACTTCATCGCATAACTTACCTTGCAAACTACTTTCCTTTTGAACTTCTACGAACCAGGGAAACGAGGCAAACTATTTTTTAGAATAGTTTAGTTCTGTAGCTCTCAAGAGGAACAAAATGGGTATCACCCGTGACAGCCGCCATAAGCACCGCTTGACCGGTGGTCGCGTCAATGTGCACAAGAAGAAGAGGAAGTATGAGATGGGTCGCCCGGCCGCCATGACCAAGCTCGGTCACAAGAAGGTCCGCGTCGTCCGCTGCCGTGGTATTTATAAATTTTTTGGAGTTTGACGACGTCTTCTGACTTCCTATTAGTAGGCACACTTTTCTTTAGAAATCTTGGTTCCCTTTTAGATGTAGAAAACACTTCGCTTTAAGCAGATTTTTCGACTCCCTACATGTATCCACTCCACTAGAAGCCGCCGAACTAAAGCTGTTCCTTTCCCATTCTCATTCTCCGATCCCACCACGACGACAAACATCAAAAAATTCTTCAGGTGCCAACAAGAAGTTCCGTGCCTTGCGCTTGGACACCGGAAACTACTCCTGGGGATCCGAGAACACCACTCGTAAGGTCCGTATTATGGATGTTGTTTACAACGCGGTCAGCAACGAGATGGTCCGTACCAAGACCCTGGTGAAGAACGCCATCGTCCAAGTCGATGCCATGCCCTTCAAGCAATGGTATTTTTGGATGGAATTTACTTCTAGATAGAAGTGAAATGGTGCTGTGACGTGGTAACCTGCGGCTGTCGTTATCTTTGTGATTCGCTGAAGTTTAGATTTTTGTCGGTATTGTACACGGCATGAATCAAGATTCCGTTGTACAACTAATGTAGAAAGTTTCGGAAGCCGTGTAGAAAGCTTCACAGCCTGAAAGGTTATGTCTCCCTAGAGACACGTGTAACTCTCCTCCACCACCAACCTATCATTATTTCATACAGGTACGCCAAGCACTACGGTGTCGAGCTCGGAAAGAAGAAGGGTGATGTTGCCAAGGATGAAAAGAAATCCGGCCACGTCAAGGCCAAGCACGCCGCCCGTGCCCAGACTTTGGACCAGAACATGGAAGATCAGTTCAACGGTGGTCGTTTGTTGGCCTGCGTTTCGTCTCGCCCGGGTCAGACTGGACGATGCGACGGATACATCCTCGAGGGCGATGAACTCGCCTTCTACAAGAAGAAGCTCGAGCGCAAGAAGAAGTAAACATCTTGTTTCTCGCTACATCTTCTGAGAACGACGACAACACAACAATTCTATTCTGCGCGACACTACTACTAACTGGTGGTGTGCAGGAGTAGTGAGACGTTGGTTTTGTGGGCTTGTTCGGAGTGGAGCACCTTCTTCACAGCGAGGAGCAGAGCTTTTGGGTCAGACGTTGAATCGAAGCAGGGAGCTTTGGGTCACAAAGAAGTTTCCGCCGGGGATACCGTGGCACTGCTTCTTAATGTCTGCTTGAAACACGAGCACTGTTTACATGACCTCTCTGACTTCCCAATGGAGACATGAAAGAGGATGCTTCTCCTCTACATGCCTTGTTTCAGAGAGCACAGAGGAAACAAAAAAGAAGCTGCTGCGCGTGCCTTGTGCGCTACCATTCCGGATGTATGTTCAGGATTATTCTTAGGATAGAGAGAGTGTGTGCGTGTTTGTGCGGTCACCTCAGGTCGAAAGCCGAACGATTCCGTATACGGCGTGTTATCTTCGGTAGGGAGCGAGAGAGACGCAATTGAGTGGAAATGTTGGAGAACCCATGGCTAGAACTAACGCTAGCGCGATTCTACCGGAGATACAAGCTCCTGTGAATATCCGAAGTTATGGCGAATTGTCTATACGGAGTTATTCTAATCCAACCTGTGGCACCTTTTTCGATGAAGAATATCCGTGCTTTTTTTGACTCCTCTGGAGTCAGCCACATAGCAAAAGGTCTAGTTGGATCGGGATCTCTCCTCCGCGCATTGTCTCGCGCATATCCGACGTTTAAACTGCTTACTCGTGCAGGCGTCGGCTACTTCGAGACGCACAGTAGGAAGCGGATCTCGCGGGGGGCGCTCGCCTTCCTATGGCACGTCTCTTTCAGATCACGATGACATTTCTCAAATCTACTGGAATTTTAGTTCTATTTCACGTATCGGTTCACTCTGGTGGTACGGCTTTGTGTGACTGAGAGTACGCAGAGAAGCAGAGATACTCAGTGTATGAGGCGGATCTCCCTTTCGTGGATATCGGTTGTGAGACTTACATGTAGCCTGTCGGATGTGTTGGTTCGGCCGCAAACAGCACTCATGGCGGTGAAATGTTTACGTAGAGCGAAACGCAAACTCCTTCGTCTATGTGATTGCACTAGACTAAATCCCTCAACAACTACTGATTGGTGCAATTCGAGCTACTCGCTATCCCAACATCTCTCCAGCTTTCACTATCAGCTTTTTTCTAGGGATACAACCGAACTTCGGATCTTGAAACTGATCTCGCCTAAAAGCATTGTCTCGCGCATATCCGACGTTTCAACTGCTTACTTGTGCAGGCGTTGGCTACTTCGAGACGCACAGTAAAAAACGGGTCTCGCGGGGGGCGACTGCCTTTTGTATGGCACGCCTCTTTCAGATCACGATGACACTTCAATGCTTATTCATCTATCTGGGTGTTATATAACAGCGGATTTTGAACATGAACTTCGGACGAAGACTATCTCTCCCTAACTGAAAAGTATTTTTCCGTATCTTGTAGTACTAGCACTTCTTGGATCGTGATTATTTTGAATGAATGAACCTGTGGTTAATTATTAAAGTCTAACTAGGGCCTCGCAATGAAGCAACTCTCAAATTCCAGAACGATACGTGTCTTTCAAAAAATGACACGTCTTTTGTAGCATGCATGCATGTAGACGCCAGATCGGGTCCGCCTTTCGCGATTCGAGGACTCGGAATTGCACTTGCGATGATCGCTCTAGCATTACCATTTTCGAAAATGGGCTGCGGATTCATCGCATTCCATAGACAGCGAAGAACTGAGGTCAAAATAACGAAGTTCTTCGTGCAGCACTTCGTCGTGGCGCGCGCAGACCCGGTGCACGCATGAGTCTTCGGCAGCGCAGCATACTTACGCTGAGGACGCCATATGGACGGCAGCCAACTCCTCACGTCACTCGGCCTTGGCTGGGACAGAGGAGCCTAGATACGCGAGCTTGCTGTCTCTGCGGCGGAACATCGGATAGGGGCCAGTGTTTGGAGACGAAGGTGGTGCTCGCGCGGCGAGAGGAGAGTCAGAGCGCTGGTGTTTCTGATTCGCCGCAGCCAAAGTATGGTCATGGTTTTTGTGGATCTTCGCAATGTCGACTGCTGACGAAACAGACGTGCTCGGACGCTCTGTGTTCAACACTAAGCCATCGGGCCGGACCGGCTTACGACATTTTTATTAGGAACAACGCATCGTTTGAAGAGAAGGTGCAAGGAGGTGGCGCTTCTGCCGAAGCAGGTTGGCAAAGTAGGATAGCAGAGGGTGTTTGTGGGGGAACCGTACACCGCGCAGGGAAAGTGGCGTCGAGCGGAAGAAAGAATGGGTCGTCCCTTTCCGAAATCTCGCACATCAGCGCAGTCTCATTAAGGTCCAACCGACACGTCAGCATAGTCTGATTATGAAGTGCCGGAGCACGTAGCCGCCAGATCAGTTGGGTGAGAATGGGGTTTGTCGATAGCCTGTCTACGACCACCACGCGATAGGCGCAGCGGGCGGATGATGTTGTAAAAAGCGATCGGTTGAAACGACGGCCCAAAGACTCGACACTTCGGGCGAAGCATTCCCGCAAGGATAGGTGGACTTCGGCGTGGAGGTGTGGCACGAGTAAAAAATTTGCGCTGACAAACCCACGTCGAGTCGACCATGAGAGGCGCGTCTTAGAGCTGAGGAGGACTCTTCTGTTAGCACCTCACGATGGGCGGAACGAGGATCACAGAGGACCTGTATATGCATCTCCGCTTGCAGGTCGAACAGTATCAAGAATGATTAAACTTTCTTCCACGACGAGAAAAAATGGTTGCGATGTGACAAAAAGTCAACAAAATTCTGTTGTATATAGATAACGTCATTTGTTTTCATTTTTAGTTCACATCAGCATTCGTTTTTTTTGCACACATACCTTTTCGTTTTGATGGCATTGTTGTGGACTCAATCATTGCTTTGGAAACATTGTTGTACTGGAAGGAGGCGAAATTGTTTTGTACAAAGCATATCAGCTTTTTAGCTAGTGTGTATGGAGACGGACATCGAAACTGTTGACAGAGATTCCGTGTTCACGAAAGACCTCATTGTTGGTTGGAAACTTGCAGCCGGAGAATGTTTTGTTTTGGAAGAGAGAAAAACTCAATATAGGGAACCGTCGTCACAGAATGATTGAAGACTCTGTACGATGATATTGTCAATAAGAAACTTTTTGTGGCGGAGTTTTTGTAAAACTGCTTGTCGCGAACAGAAGAGTGAAGAGCGTAAGTGTTGCAATTGACCACTAATTCTCGCTAAGTTCCAAGAAACAAACCAAAGCAGTCTAATTTGTTCTCGCGATCGTGACCCCCGAATCGATGATGATCGCCTCCAAATCTTGGGGATCGCGGTCGGAAGGAGAGTAGGGTAGAAGTTGGCGATAGTAAGAAAAGAGATAGAGACCTAAGGCAGAAAAACAGTATGATTGAATGACCGCTCATCGAATTCATTGCTTGTCATTACCGATACCGGCGACTCTGGAGGAGATTCCGAATAAATTCTAAGACTCAAATCTAGCATCGTCGCTATGCCTAGATGCGTAGTTTCGTTTCTGCGAAATGTGAAAAACAGTATCCCAGTTCTTAACTCTGATACTGCTCCTGAACATCGTGGGGACAAGAACAACAGCAGTAGCAACATATTGTATCTTTGCGACGACGACTCGTCAGATGATGGGATAGTTATTTTGTCCAAGAGGCCAGATGGTGGTTGGAGCGAAGACGTGGCAGGACAAACCTCTGAAGAGGACCGTAATAGAAAAAGACCACCTCTAGAAGAACACCAAAATAACCTAGTGGGCCAACAAGAAAATGCGAAGGCAGTGCCTACAAAGTAGCAGTAGTAGCTCATCCATGCCGACATCAGATTTTCATGCGAACGCATTCAGGGAAGTTGTTAGCGGTAGCAGCATCTCAGCTCGATCAGGCGCTTTTGAAAACGAGACCGTGTCGAATACATCTAAGCGATCAGAACTACGGATGATTGCCAGTGAAGCATCAGCATCACGTCAGATGCAAGTTTATACTCAAGCAGGGCATCACATGAGTACCAGCCAGTTGTCGCAGATGCAGCAAACTAGTCAAGCAGCATACCAGATGAACACTGGTCAATCATCACATCAGGCGCAGGCTGATATCAACCCAGCGCAGATGCACATTAGTCGAGCAGCACAGCAGATGGACATCAGTCAACCATCGCAGATGAACATCAGTCAGCCAGCGCCTCTGAGTCAGAGTGTTAGCATGGCTAGTGCCAATAGTGACGATGAAATGGTATGTGGAGACGACTTTCAGGCGAAGCGGAGACGCATCGGTACAGGCGATGAGAAGACGAGCAAAGAGTGACTTCATTAGCATGATGGTTGGTCAGGGAGGGGTCATCTGCCAACGTTGACCTTAAAAAGTTACATTCCTCAATATAATTCGCAATTCTTTAACGTGAACATTACAGTGTCTGATTATCGATCCAGGACTGAGTATTCAAGAATAAGGACTTCATAGAAGATCCAACTCCAACTTTTCATTTTGCGCAAAGAAATTTAAATTACGAGAACCATCAAAAATTCCTGACTCTGAACGATTGACGCCAAATATGCATTTTCTCTTAGAAGTTCAAGTCCTAAACCTTAAGCCCAATGGCAACTAGTGATCAGGTGTAGAACCTAATGTAGACTTGGAAGGCAGACAAGTGGCGCTTGCAGGCAGACAAGTGGCACGTGCAGGCAGACAAGTGGCGCTTGCAGGCAGACAAGTGGCGCTTGCAGGCAGACAAGTGGCGCTTGCAGGCAGACAAGTGGCGATTGCAGGCAGACAAGTGGCGATTGCAGGCAGACAAGTGGCGCTTGCAGGCAGACAAGTGGCGCTTGCAGGCAGACAAGTGACGCTTGCAGACCCTGGGGGCCAGGCTGGCTGCGTTGCCGCATGAGGACGAAGGTCAAGAGAGAGATGCGAGCCGTAGGACCACAGTACAACAATCTGCTACTCTGCATAACCAACGAAGGAATGATCACGTAGGAGGTAGGGAAAATCGGTCGCATGGAGAGATGATTTCGACAGTAGTGGAGCTTCAGGACAAACTGGACCTTGTCTAACAAGCATGTGCCTTCAATCTCAAATCGGTCTTATTAAAAGCAAGAGAAATTATGAAGACCACGATAGATGACGAGAGGATAGTTGTTGAGGCTAGATCGATGAGGGAGGAGCTGTTCCTCTCATGTCAGTGAGGGTTTCATGAATGTCGATGGAGTGTTTCAGTCTTTTTTCAGCATGAACTTGTTGGCGCATTATACTTTTGGAGGAAATAGTTGACAAGGTTTTATGGCAACATGTATTGCGTGGCGCGAACAATGAACGCACGCTGTTGGCTGTTTGACGGCATGCTAAGTACGTAAATTTCGCACTTCTGCAGTGGATTCATTCTGGGAAAATAGAATTCTCAATTGAGGTGCAGCGAGGCGCAAGATAAAGCAGTGGGACATGTGAAGTTGCGCAGGTGGAGGAAAGCTAGGCGAGTAAGGGAAAAGCCTTCTTTGTCCCCGTCGACCGGGCGAGAACGGTAGGGACCTAACTAAGGGAAAGAAGCGTAGGCAAAATACTTGGCGATCTTACCTTCAAGAGGACGGAGCCTCAAGTACGCAAAAGAGAAGATGAAGATGAACCACGCCCGTGGGGTGGTGCAGAAAGAAAGCGTTAGGCGCGAATATTTTGGAAGCAACAAACGCTTCGTCAGACATTGACATTGGTATTGCCTCTTCTAGGAGCGGCGATCAATTTGAGCTATGCATAGTAGATGAGATCTGGGTTGTCAGGAAGAAGCAACGATGGATGGCGGGAGTAAAGGGGCTCGTGGGAAGGATTCTGGCGATCTTTCAACGTGTAACAATGTGCAGTATTTTACGATCAGCAGGGCGTAAGCGTTGTAGGTTTGGATTCACGCGATCTACCAAGATGCTATTTTCAAGCTGCAATTCTTGTTGCTGGCTGACGTTTCTTTGCGCAGGACACAGAGACAAGATCTGACACTGTGAAGCTTGCTGAAAACAGGATGCTTTGGGACTATGCGAAAGCATTTGGTTTGGAGGCGCCAACGCCAGGCATACAAGCAACTAAGTCGACACTTACATTGCAATGAAGAGGTCAAAGAGAATTGGGAGGAACAGCGACGACACCCAGCTGTTTCAGTACCGAACTTGACATGATTGTATCGATTATTTCACGCATTTCTTTTGTGTCGTCTGTGGTGGTTGAGAGAATCTTGCCGAGTTGCGTCGAAAGATCCGCCGTGAAGTCTACGATTTTGGGAACAACGGCTGAAGCAGGCGCAGCATTCCCGCCACTTTCTGTCTGCGTCTTGAGCGTGCTCTTGTAAACGTGCTTTAAGCAATCCTCCCCGCAGTCAAGGGCCAAGAAGCAGAGTGCGACAAAATCGGTGCCGGAAATTTGTCCCTTCATTTCACCCTCCTTCGAAGTCGCAGCTGTCCCTGTCGTCAGTTTCGTAATATGACGTTCGCATAGATGGCGGATGTAGTCCTTGGGAATCACCTTGAGGATTTCAGAGATTTGCAGGACCTGCGCTGACTCATACAAACAGGGTAACTTTGCAAAAACTTGGTCGGGACGATCGCAAAGAGGAGCCATGATTTCGAACAAACTGCGTGCCACTGGGCATTGTCGAACTTTATGAAGCTTCGTGGTCTCGATAGCGGCACGTCGAAATTCTCGCAGGAGGACTGCTTTGGCTGGGGTTTCTTCCAACGTTTGTGGAGTTGCGATACCCAAGTCGCCGACGAACCACTCAGCGCACCTTTTAAAGGTTTTGGTGAACCCTTTGTTGTCGGGCTCGCACTCCCAGAGAAACACCGAGACCGATGTCGGCTGCAGGTAGAGGAATAGACCAGTCCCGTGATATTGCTGCGCGACAGCGGCGCCTGCATTTCCAGTAGCCTCCTCGATATCAGTCTCTCCCAAGGCTAAAAATGCGGTCTATGTGCTCGCTGGTGACATCTTCGGAGCTGAATGGCGTCCTCAATCCTGAGAGTGGCGAATCGCTGCTACGCGGAATATTAATCGAGGCGAGCATGTGCCCCCACTCGTCCACTGTGCCGTCATACTCGCCGTATCCAAAGCAGTCAGTCTTTAAGGTAACCACATCCAGCGCCACGAGGTCCGACAAATCGGCCGATTTGATCGCTGCCTCGATCACGTTGTGTACTTGCGCGTCAGCCGGTTTCAGTCCGACGTTGGTTCGACCTTGCGCGCTATATTTGTGTTCCAGCAACCAAAGGAGTTTCTAGGAACTACCAACAACTTTAGCGGGGTCTGTGCCGAGAGCCCCTTTCACCCAGCTTTTGAGGTGATTTCCCATAAGTCGCACGGGTTCTTGCGCAACCAGGGGTAGGGGCGGCGCAGGGGGCGCGGAGTCGCCGGGCGCGAGAACGATATTGTACACCAGGGTGATGCGATATCCCAAAGCGTTGCATCTTTTCGGCCAAAAGGTGCAGCGCTGCCCTCCGATAGCAAATTTCTGCATACTTCCTCTTGTATTGGAAGGCTGATGTTGCCGACCGGAGACACACAGAGACCGGGATCCGGTATTTCGACCTCCTGACCGAAGCCAAATGTCGCCACGCGAGTGGTAGCGACAACAGCATCGATCTTCTGCTTGATTGGCGTTCCGAAGTCCTTTCGTGAAGAGGTGTCTCTAGGCAACGGCTCTACGTCAGTAGCGGTGGCCATTTTATTCAGCATCTCGACCCGTCTTGCTGCAGCGGTTTGCCTCTCTTCGCTGCATCTGGGGTCGAGTTCCACATTGCTTTCTTCCGTGTTGTCACTGTTATCTGCTTCTTCGTCATCATTCTCACTGCTATTATCACTGTAGTTATCGTCGTCTTCTTTCTCCGTCGTCGCTTCTCTTGTACGAGAGCATCCATTGCTCCTGTACGTCTTGCATTAGTTCGGCGGAGTCGTTGGGGTTTCTGGCTTTTCGTGGTAGGGCTAGATATAGATGAGGAGCTCTGTGGTTCTGCAGGTATTTTGTTGGATTTTTGTCCGAATGCAAGGTTAAAATGTCTTAGGCGCTTTACTTATAACTTCCAGATGCGGGCAGAGTTGTGTAGTAGAGTGAGTCAACTTATATTATGAGATGCCACCCTGTGAATAACGGTTTAGTCGGAAATATAATTTACTTATTTCAAACTAAGCACAACGAGAAAGCCTCGTGAAGATAATCGTTGTCACCGATTTCAATTGACTTTCTCAACTAAACAGAGAGAGTGAGAATCAGTGAAAGCTGATGCTATGTTGGTCTTCTACGGCTCTGGAGAGGGGACTAACCAAGTCGATCCTTGCGCTTGCTCACGTTGCTTGGCGAAGAACACGGGCAGAGAGCTTCTCAGAAGCTCACACTGTGAATTGTCATTGACAACAAGATGTTCTGATATCGCCAAGGCATGGGATATTCAATCTACGAGTGCAAGGATAAAAAAGAATGATGAAGGTCCGTCGAAGCAAAAATAGGTTTTCAAATATTTCAGTCGTCGCACGATGGTCTCAACCTCAAATAAGAACTTGGTGGGAATCAATCTGTTGCAAATTTATGTAAAATTTATCTAGTGTGTTTCTTTGAAAATGATCCGACTGCAGGGGCGTTTGAATCGAAGCAAGTTAGTATACTGAAGCTGATGACGAGTCTAGATCAATCGATAATGTTGCGTAAAAAACGTGAAAACGTCCAGTTTCATCACCGCTTATCTACGAGATGATATGATCTCAACTTTTCCACAACCTCATTGAGGAATGCTGACTGCTTTTGCGTCGTATCCCTTTCTGCCGCTGCCAATCGGTCAGCAGCTTCCCTCTTCTTTCTCGTCTTCTGGCCCAGTCTCTCCTCATAGTCCCCGCGTTCCCGCCATCTCGCATTGTGAGCCAGAATTTCCTCGTAGGACGCAATAAGGTACTTCAGTAGCCTTTGGACTGTCGACGTCTTCTGCGGCGACTGGATGGCTTCGTAGCATTCCGTGTCAATCGCCTGATCATTTATCAATAGGAGCAGAAGCTCTCCAAGATCGTCTGTTGGTTCCTCTTGCTCGCCATGGTACCGATTCCGGTTGAGATTCTGTCTCACATCGGATCGCGTAGGTCGAGTTCGTTTTTCGCGTCTCACTTGCCCAATTTTCTCATCTACGGCGATGAGACAATTGCAAAGATTATCTTCAGTTTCCGCATCGTCGCACACCACACCAATGGCTAATTGGATAGCAGCTGCCGCATCGTTCTGCAGGAACTGACGGTATGCTTGACCTTTCTCGACAAACTCGCCCTTATCGCGACATTGTCGCATGTAGTCGCACAGGGATCCAAGGACTGCGCACGCGGAGGCCTTCGAGATCCCGTGAAGCTTCGCAAGTTGTTTCTGAATAAGAAACCGTCCTCGTGGGAAGTCAGCGAACCATGTTCCCTGAACATCATCCACAAAAAACTTTCGGATCGCAGTAGCGATGTTCTCTTGTTTGTTGTCACAAAGGCGCAAAATCTGGAGAAGTTCCGCAGCCAAATCGGAGAAGAGTTGTCCCGACGGAAGTTCATGCTTACGATATTCATAAGGAGACACTTCCTCTACTATGCGGTCGATACTTGACAGCAATCGAGTTAATGTGAGCGGGATCTGATTGTTTAAGTTTTCGACATTCATAATGTAAGTATGCGTTCTAGTCGATATCTACTTAGGAGAAAACTGGCTTGGCTAGGGCGATCCTTTATTTTGATTTTCTGCCGGCTCTTAACTCAAAGCTCGCAGAAGGTGAAGACACTATCAACATTGACAGTTTTTCGCATGATGCATAGATTGTGAAGAGGCATACTTATTACCTGCGCGAAGTCGCCTGGAGGATGGATCACCCTAAAAAGCTTCAAAAACGCAGCACATGCTTCAAGTGACAGCTTCTTCGGTTTCCCGTCATGCGATCGGGCCTCAAACAACTACAAGGCGCTGCAATTCCTTGCCAAAATCCGCAGACGATACCCCCGGCCTGTGAATTTTATATTGCAAAGAAATTGCTGAAGACACTGAAGAGAATCCGGTGTGACGGGTTGGCGCTGTGATGCAAGACCCGAAATCAAACTCTGGCAAAGACTGCTCCCTGAGTCCGAAGGTACTACGTTGCAGCGCGAAATCTTTCGCACGAAATCGGCTGGGTAAATGACGCTGTGATATATTGCGACGGCATTCAGCATGGTATGAACGGTTTCACCCATTGCCCCACCGTCTGCCGTTTTTGGAAAGATAGTTTCGCGGAGTTGCGCCGCATGTGTGGCTGCAAAAATCTAGAAGGTCGACAGTAGTTAGCGGGGCGCCGTCGTCTTTTCGTACTAACATGCTGAAAATGTGCCGTAGATAGTCTGGTCCGCAAGCGCGCGCTAAGAAGCAAAGTGCGACGAAATCGCTGCCGGAAATCTGTCCCTTCTCACCGTCTGCAGTCATCATGATCAGTTGTGCGAGGAGATGGTCGTAGAGATAGCGGATATAATCCTGGTGGATCACAGTGAGAGTTTTGCACATGCGTGGGATCTGTTTCGACTCCAGCAGACAGGGTAAGGTGTGAAACACAAAGGCAGGAAGCTCATGAAAGCGAGCAATGCCCTCAAATACGCAGCGAGCGGCTGCGCGTTTCTGTTTGTAGCGTTTGCGCTGCCGATGCTGGTCGAATCGAGAAAATCATCGTCTCTCTCATCTTCAATCGCCCTCCAAGCGTGTCCAAACTCTTTTAAGAGAGCTTCTTTGGGTAGTCCTGATAGCGCTTCCGGAGTCGCAGCATCGGAGTCGCCGAGAAACCACGCAGCGGTCCTGCGAAAGGTCCTCGCGAAGCCTTTGTCAATAGGCGAGAAATTCCCCAGAAACACCGAAACTGCTGTAGGCTTCAAATAGAGGAGAAGGCCACTGCTATTATATCGCAATGTAGCAAACGCGCCATCCCGACTATCTTCCTCGAAGTCAGGCTCGCCCGACTCCGAAATACCGTCTATGTCTTTGCTGAGCACATCTACAGACAGGAGCGGCATATTCAGGCCTGACAGGGGCGAATCGCTGCCCTGCGGAATGGTCATCGTGGCGCTCTCCCACATCCACTCATCGACGTACTGATCTTCAGGATGGCGGTAACCCTCACCATTAGCCTCCACAGCCACCACATCCAACGCTACGACGTCCGATAAATGGGCCGACTTGATGGCTGCCTCGATCACATTGCACATGCGCGCGTCACCCGGTTCCAGCCTGATGTTTCCGCAGTCCTGCGAGTTGCACTCGTGCTCAAACAAGCACACGAGCTTCGAAGAGCTACCTACGACTTGTGCCGGGTGCGACGAGCTACCCACCGCTTTTGCCGAGTTTGAGGCTAGCGCTCCTTTCACCCAGCGTGCGAGCCAGAGTCCGACGTCCCTGACACTCCCGGAGGCTTTTCATCAATCTGTTTCTCTGGGCGGAACGAGGTGACCGCCCTCTTTTTGCAGTACTATCAGCCTGTGAAGCTCCGCCCTCACGTGTTCCGAGGCGCTGACACTCAGAGCTCCCTCCAGGTCTACCATTCGGGCCGCGACGAATTTATCCCACTTTTCCCACAGGTCGAAGGATATCCTGTCGGGTTCGATGTGCACAGCGTTTCCCTCGGTGAGCAAAAGCTTAGCAGCTGCCTCGTGTATTGGGAAGCCGACAACAAGGCCGATCGGTGAAACGCGAAGTCCGGGGTTTGGTATTTTGATTTCCTGACCAAAACTAAATGTCCCTACACGGGCCTTGGCGACAGCATTTTCGATCTTGTTCCTGATCTGCTCGTTGAATGTTCTTCGATGTGATGTCTCTTCCGGCAACGGCTTGATGGCATCATCGTTCGCGATGTTGTTCAGTATCTCGACTCGTTTTCCTGCGGCAGTCATTTTATCATCACTTGAATCCTCCTCCATGATGCTTTCCTCCATCTCGTGCATCTCACTAACCTCATCTGCCTCCGCTTCATCATCGTCGTCGTCTTCTTCCTCCTCCTTCCCATCTTCTTCGCTGACATCAGCATACTGTATGTGCCCTCCTCTTGGTTCCTGTAGATTTTGTTAATCTGCTGCGCACCGCTCCACCGCGTCTCGCGTATGTTCGTCGGCGCACCGCGCGTTTTCCGTGCTACATCCTTGCTCATCCTTCTCGCCAACGGCTTCTCCACTTCTCACGTGGAATGGAACCCCGTCTGTCTTCCGCTTTTTCCTTGGAGAGCCGGAGATGGAGGAGCGCGGCGATTCTGCAGGCATTATGTCGCTGTGGCTTCCGAATCGAAGCTAAGGCTATCCATACAGGTGCTTTAGTCGCGGAATGCGGCGGGCGGACTTCTGGAGTCTTGGAACAGCATTTATGAATTTTTTTCCGATTGAAGGCACGCGAGGAAACGAATGTGTGTGGACCGATAGCCAGGGGTAAGCTTCACCGACCCAGATGAACGATTGCCAGAAGGCGTGTTGCACTGAGTAGAATTTGCCTTCGATGTGACTGCTCGTTTCCATGAACGCAGTCAGTGTGCTCAAAGCTGTGATGCTGCCCTATTTGCGGACATTGCTAGAAGAATTTTGGTCCATGTCTCGGCGGGAATAATCCCATTCTTACGAGTATTTAGCCAAGTACGTCTGGCGCGATCGCGTGAAGTAATCAAACTAAAGACTGAGAAGAATCGGAAGGAATCATTCGAAGTTACTTAACCAGAAATCGGAAGAAATTACAAAACTATCACCCACAAGTCACAACATCTAGTACAAGATTCCCGTAGTTACGTAAAACTAGACTGCGACTTTTCTGTTTAGATATCTTGCGTGATTTTCAAGAAGAATTTTTTGAGAAGCCTTGCCTAGCTAAGTAACACTTCATGCGTCACGTGTGCGCAGCCCCTGCTTCCTATCCTCATTCGCGAATGGTCATTCGCTCTCGCGACCACCGTAGAAGACGTAGAGCACCTCTTAAGAGCGTGCGAGCCTTTATTTGAAGAATTCCGTGCGAATGTGTTGCACTTCATATCTTCGATCAACATTCTTGATAGTATCTATTTAGATTTTTTAGATTTGAGAAACAAAGAAATAAGTATTGGCATGACGCACGACCATAGCAAGGAGTTGAGCGCAAGGGGAATTTGGGTGGAATCTACAAGAACGAAGAGAAACCAAAGACATTTACAGTGTGAACCGATAGACACAGACTGCTTGTGCAAAAAAACAGAGCCAGCTCCACGACTTAGGACACAGCACAGAAGGGAACGCTAAAGCAGCACCAACACAGAAAGATCCTTGCAAACGTATTTCGTATAACCACAGATACTAACTATGATACTTCACCACAGAAGTTTCGTGGACAGCACAGAACTCTGGACTTGGAGAAAGAAGCAGATCTTCTTTGCTGGAATATTAGGCACTCAGTTATGAGTGCCGATGTTCTTGTCACTTCCGAGAGCGAGAAGAAAGCGGATTCATTCATGAGTACTCCTGATGATACACGACCAGGACGCGAGTCTCCTAAGATGAACATTTAAAGAAAGTTGTCCTTTTCTTTGGCACGCCTACGAAGCTCCCAGATCTTCGACTACAACATCGCGCCAGTATTGCTCTCTAGTTGTGATCGTCTTCGACGTCCCGAAGTAAGGTACAGGTACATTATCTATGTTGGTCGATGCAGTCTACAACAACTATTATTACTGCTTCTTCTTCTCATTCCATGCGCCTGCTCCTTATAAATATATACAGTGGCAGCTGCTGTTGACCATGACGAGATATCTATACAGGCTCACTTTTGTTTATGCTATCCAGTGGACGAGCGTGAGCCGCGGCTTGTTTTGCGAAAAAAGTGTTTGCCTAGTCTTTCTGAAACTTTTACAAATCGTCTGCCCTCATCTGTTTTGCTAAAAGCGCATCTGTCGTATTGTTGTAATTCTGTTAATATGTTGGTTTGTTGTAATGAAAAATAATAGTCCTCTGATGAAAGTCTAACGGTTGTTATAATATTAAAACCGACGACACAGGCAAGACAGCACTGTAATGAAAAATAAGGAAGTTGCTTTTGATGTTTCGCACAGCCTCAGCCTGTTTCAATCTGTACAATGGTAAAAACTTGCTACAACTTCTTGGAAGATGCTGCTTCGTCAATGTGATCTCCTAACGCCTACTTGTATTCATGCCTTTTCTCCACCTCCGCGACCTCTTCGCCGATGACATGTTCCCACCTCGTATTATCCTCCTTTTTCTACCTCCTATTCTCCTTATTTCTTATCGGGTGGCTTGCATTCATCTATCAAAAATCGAAACAGCGGAGTCGTCCACGCTATCGTCTCTTGGTTCGACTGCTTGTCCGGGTGATAGCGAAGCAGTGCGTGCTTGAACAGCTTCCGTCGTTGATCCTCCCCTTCTGCTACTTAGAAAAGTTGCCTTGGCCATACTCTACATTGCGCGAAGGGATATTAGCCCAGAGGTGTAGTGAGTCTATACAAATCCTGAAGCCATTATGCTTCCATCTTCTCAGCATAATTCTGTGTCATATTTTTAGTTCTCGTTGCCTTTATCTTCATGGGAGAAGGAAAATGATACAAGTAGACTTTAGATGGCGAGGGTTGATATGAAGACAGCGAAAACGAAGATGGTAATGCTGTGACTGACAACTGCGCGAAGCTGTAGGTTCAAACCAGTACAGTTAATAAATATGTATGAATATGAAATAAATAGACTTGCACTGTCATTAATCTAAATTGAAGGAAAAGCCTTGCATAAGCCTTTCGGAGCCCTTCGAGGACAACTCCTTGAAGAATGCTTCCCCTTATTGAAAATGTTATAATAGGGGAAGGCCGTTCCCCTTTTTTGGGCTCTTCTCACTTGTCAGGTGGACCGACAGTCTTCCCCTACCCTTGTTTTCAATGAGTGGCGCCATATTTTTTGAAATTGTCGCACGCATCTTTGGGTATGCCGTCAAGCTTTATTTGCCTTTTATCCGGCGTGTTCACTGATTCTAGCTCGCACGGGGGCGGCCCAAGAGCTGAAAAAATCGCATTCAAGTAAACAAGTGGAGCACTCGAAGAACTTCTGACTTTTCTGAATCTGAGACGAATATGTTGAAGTTGAAGAGTATTTACATGACTCTCAGAATGGCCCCCAGATTGAGTGGAAGATTCCCAGTCAAGCTTTTGGGACGAAAAGCGGGCACATTCACCTCCCAAGAAGCACGGCGCGGACCCCTCTCGCACGCCTACCAACGAATCAGGCCCCAAGCAGCAATAGAACAAGGGCGGCGAAGGTGAAAAACCGCGAGAGGCTCAATGGGCAGCGCCCGACTTCTGAGGCCGAGCGACTGCTGAAAGCCCGGCGCTTTCTCAAAGGCCCGCAGCCTCTGTCGCGCCCTTCTTGATGCACCTACTAAAAAGGCGGGGCCGAAAAGCGTGCGGCTTTGGAGCCCGTCAGAAGCTTTCAGAAATCGCGCGACTCCTGGGGGATCCCCTCCCGCTGAAAGACCCGTCGTTTTTCAGCCGGCTGAATATTTTCAGAATCAGGCGATTTCTGAAAGTTCAGCGCCGTCTCAAAAACCAGGGGTTTTTCAGACCCCTCACGATTTTCAGAACTTCTCAAGATCTTAGCTGGGCCCAAAAACCACTGGTTTTTGAGACCTTTCCCCGGTCAGCCAACCGAGAAAAGGCTGAAAAACCACTGGTTTTTGAGACTGCCCGAGGCTTTCAGAAACCCCGAGGCCCCTGACGTCCGCCACGCTCCGAAGCGAGCTGGCCGCGGCTCGGGCGGGAGCGGCTTCTCTCGATGCTAAGATTTACTCACCGAGGGGAGGCTCACTAGACGCCAGCCGCCTTTGGGACTCGGCTAGGGCTTCGAACTTAGAGCTGAAAAACCAAAGAGCACCCCAAAGCCGGCTGCGTGCGAGACGTTTCCGCGTTCCGCCTGCCGGTTCGTTCAGAAAGCAGCACTGCGGAACCAGTAAACAGCACGAAAAAGGGGCGCCGCGACCAAGTTTAGCGACTGAAAAGCGGCCAAAGTTTGCCGGGTCGCGCGACTGGGGTTTTTCCGCTGAAAATGGACAAGGGGGGCCAAGAATAATGAATATTTATTGCAATGCGATTTTTTAGGTCATTTATATTTCTGCGATTAGATAGTTTCACTAGTACCTGCAGATCCATTGCCTTTCTGTTGCTCGGCTGATCCTGCACTAGACCCAGACGTTTCCGACCCCGAAGCTTTTCCTCCACGACGTTGGCCAGAAGCGTTTCCTCCACCACCACTACGTTTGTCAGAAGCGTTTCCTCCACCACCACTAGGTTGGCCAGAAGCGTTTCCTCCACCACCACTACGTTTGTCAGAAGGGTTTCCTCCACTACGTTGGCCAGAAGCGTTTCCTTCACCACCAGTACGTTGGCCAGAAGCGGTTTCTCCACCACCACTAGGTGGGCCAGTAGCGGTTCCTCCACCACCACTATGATGGCCAGAAGCGGTTCCTCCACTAGTTTGGCCAGAAGCGGCTTCTCTACTACTTCCAGGTGCGCCAGGATAGTTGTGTCTTCTTCTTCTACCAGATGGGGCCTCTGGTGTTTTGGCAGCACTGGGCCCATTGTCTGGTCCTCGAGTAGTTTGCCGCGAAGTGCTTGGCTCTCCACTTCGTTCTCCTCCACTAGCAGTAGTTGGTCGCTGCGGTCCTCCACCTGCTCCTGGATCAGCACGACCAGCAAATGATCGTCCATGATGTTCTTCTTCTTGTTGTGGCCAAGGAGGTCGCCGTGGACTAGCAGTGCCTGGTCGTACTCCGGGACCAGGTGGAGGCCCGTCACTAGAATATTTCGGAGGATCTGGTTTTGCCCATTCATTATCAGTACTTGGTCCCTGCGGTTCTCTACTAGTAGCACTACTAGAACCATCATTTTTCGCTTGCGCGATACTTCTAGCACTATCTTCCGACGAAACCGTATGAGAGAAGTGCAAAATCTGGTCGAGCGCATACCTGTGCTTGGCCGCGTCCGTGTAACGGCGATCGACTCTGTATCTCACCGCTTTCATGTGTTCAGCTGAGATGATGTAGAAGACATCCGCTTCCGAAAATTGCGCAGGTCGGTTTGGGTCGGCCCCTCGCTTCCACAGAGCCCATTCCGGTTCGAAGTCTTCACGCCTATGCGTGTCGTCTATTTGCAGTGGCGCCAGCATCATGGGGTTTTCGTCACGGGTGTCCAGCGTAAGTTCCATGTCACGAAACAAGGTGATTTTTATCGGCGGGCGTGTCCCCCTGTAGTAGCCAAACTTGCCTGGCAGTGGCTCACGTTTGCCAAGCTGACCTTAGAGCGTACTTTTATTCATCTGGAAGAGCATCTCTGACGTACTTCCCCCTTAGGAAAGCAATCAAAGACGCTTCTTAAGATGAAATACTCTAAGCCTTAACTACCATTCTGACTATAGCTACGAACCCACCTCAGTTCCTCATGCGCATACTTATTGCCTTCTAACGTTGGGGGCCTTGGCGAAATCTCCCACTTTCTCCAGAGTCCCGCCTTGCCCGGCTCCTGTTGGGGTTTTGGATCAGGTCCTTGTTGCTGCCGAGGTGATGATGATGATGATAGTGATGGCGGTGATGAAGATTGCGGGCCACTGCTTGTTCCTTGTTGTATCGCCACTTTTTTCCAGGGCTTTGTATTCCTGAGTATGCACTCTCGATGGTCCGACGAGATGATGTGGAACTCGGGCTTGTGGGCATCCCACAGAAGCCATTCATTTACTTCCTCTCCATTTCCTGCTCCTGTAGTGCAACTTTTGGCTATTTTCGCCATTCGGATTGTTGTGGCTCCCGTCATGCTCAGCGGTCGTGTGGGATCGTCAACATAGATGAAAAACTTCTTCTCCCCACGGTCATGCTCAGTACGTTGCGCAGCAGTGTAGATAGGTCCACTTCTGTCGAGGTCGGCTCGTGAAAGCAGCTGCGCATTGTGTTCTCCTCGTGTCCGTACTAGTTCTTCAACCTCTACTTCTACTCTTGGCTTTTCCATAGCGTCCCCGCCCCACGTCTTCGAGAACCCTTTCAGTGACTTGGCAGCTGCTCCTACACTGGTTCGCTCAGTTGTTCCGGCATTGGGTGCCTCAGCTGCTCCTGCACTAGGTGGCCCAGCTCTTGCTCCGCCACTAGAAGACCCGGCTGACGAAGGTGGTGACGAAGGTGGTGGCGATGATAATGATGACGATGATGATAATTGCGGTCCTTCTTTTTGCATCTCCACTTTTGTCCAGCAGTCGAGATACACTATGGTCCCATGTATCGCGTTCTTCTGTTCTGACGAGATGATGTAGAAGTCGGGCTTCTCTTGGTCCTCACCGCCTTCAGTCCACAGAAGCCATTTTTCTGCTTCGCCGACTATTTTCGCAACTGTTACAGTATTGGCTGTCGTAGTTATACCCTCGCTATTAATAGGCAACTCATTCTCACGACCAGACGACGACAATTTGCCACTGTTGGCGACGGCGCGTTGAGAAAGCAGCACTACTAGGCGGTTCTCGCGTGCATTATTGTTCCTCCTCCACTTTAGTTGTGTACCCGCTTCAACTTCTGGCCTTTTCTCAATGTGACTATCCGACCTTTGCGAGGACCCTGGTGGCGGTCCGCTAGGTGAACCACTTGCTCTGCTTCCGGACTCGGACGGATGAGTATCTCTATTTTCACTACTAGCAGACCCGGCTAGTGTAGGAGGAGAAGGTGGAGGCTGTGACGACGATGGCGATGATTGCCCACCACTTCCTGTTGCAGCTCCAGAAAATCCGGGTTCTCCTGATCCTATCTCCGTGACCGGGGACTGTGCGTCACCACTCATGGCACCGGCATGCTCAAGGACTGCGCGCATTTGTGCTGCTGAGATGATGATGCCGCTGCTACCCTCGGTTGAGAACCGCGGAGCCTCCGCGTCCACTGTAGCAGTTGTGGGAGGCGGCGTCCACACAACCCATTCCGGCTCGACAGCATCATGTTGGCCACATCCTGCGCCTGCCTTGGTCGGAGTATGCAAGTCGTCTCTTTGTATCTGCGCCATGAAAATGACGGACGACGACATTGTAGGGCACCAGGGATATTGATGTGCGCCACGCTTTTCTGCGGTGCCTTTCTCTGGCACCCAGAACGAAACAGCGCTCGCCCCGCTCTTGTCCGACTTGTTCGGTCCAGGCAGCAGCAGTGGTGCACCGCTGTGGAGATTGAGTTTGAGACTTGGCCTACCTTCATCGGGGAGCTCTGGACGCTTCGGCATTATGTCCCAAGCTCGCGAAAAACCTGGCGGCGCTCCGAGATTGTGTGACCCATCCGGTAAAAACGGCGCCACCTCCTTGATCTCGAAACGTGCATCGGAGGCGTCGGCCATCGCACAGAGCGCTCTCTGCTGTGCTGCTGAGATGACGAAGAAGCCTTCAGCCTGTGCGAACTGTGGCATCGTTTCCACAGATCTCAACCAGTCTGAATCCCACAGTACCCAGTCCGGCTCGGCAGAAGTGCCAATTGGCGCCATCAACTTGGTTTTTCCGGTGAAGGGCTCAATCACAGGATTCTGCCCATGCTTTATTGAGACGGCAACTAAGGCGCAGTCAGTAAAGGGCGATAACTATTTTGCTGGTAGGTCGGCACAACAGACTAGCCTACCAGCGGAACACTCACACGAGAAAGCCGAAAAGTGCTTCTCGAGTGTGATAGAGGCAAAGGAAAGAGTGCTCCGCTGGAGGACGAGGTGTTGCGAGACCGAAACGAGAGGGAGAGGAGGGTGGGTTTGTTTTTTCTAAAGGAGACAAGACGAAAGCGATAGCGATACAGAAAGGATAGGAGATATTCGAAAGCGCGATAGTGAAAGCGATAGCGATAGCGATAACGATATACACGTGTGGCCATCACGTGCACCGCGTGTAGGATGCGCGGCCCCCTCGATAAGAATCCGACATATGAAGTAAAACCGATGCCAGCACTTGTTATCGCCCCAATCAGTTATGACGAACACCTACAACGTCCTTGCATAACAGTGACTGAGACGACAACTAAGGCGCAGTCAGTAAAGGGCGATAACTATTTTGCTGGTAGGTCGGCACAACAGACTAGCCTACCAGCGGAACACTCACACGAGAAAGCCGAAAAGTGCTTCTCGAGTGTGATAGAGGCAAAATAAGCAACATAGATGAACGGTCAGCGACTGGCTGGAGACTGATAAAATGGGACGCGAATATTCAAAGGGCAACATTTGGAGACAAATCTGCCCAATACTTGCGCGTAGTCAACTACGCGGCCCCCGCAAAATCCTGCGCCAATGTCAAGAGGGAGTGATACTGTGGTGAGCCCAGACCGAGCGACGTGAAGTGGAAGACGGTCCATACAGGACGAAAAGTAAGATAACCGGGAAGCATGTGAATCAATGACATGAGTTTTTTCTGGGTGGGGTCGCGGTGGACCCGGAAAAAACATTGCGTAAATGTTCAAAATTTTCCCAATAGGTTCAAAGTCACCGAAAGGTTTTGCACTGGGCGGAGGCTTGTATTTCGAGGCGTAAGGGTGCGCACGGAAGACGGACGCAGCAACGCCCTTAGGCTGCACCGGAACGCAGCAGCAGATATGTATGATCGCGTCGTCTGGTGAGGATGCGACGTCGCCGATGATAACACGGTCGATGAGGTTGGAGGTGGCTTTGAGTCTGGCACTTCGTAATAGCAATTTCATCTGGGGCAGGAGGTGACTGGGAGGGCTGTAAGGCGAATTCCAAATTTGAAACGGGGCAGAGGAGTAGACGTAGTATTCCGTATCAGCAGCCAGTTCACGTTTGTCGGTACCAACTCGAAACAACTTAGTGCCCGACTTGAGTGCGTTCTGACGGAACAACTGGGAGCAAAGCGGGAGGAGTTGACCGTTCAAAAGAGGCACGAGGATGGCGAAGCGCGGTCTGCATTTTTCCGGAACGTTTGTGGCAAGCTTGTCGAGGAACTTCAACGACGCGCACACGAGGGGGACTGGCGGGAACCACCAACGCTTGCTGTGAAGCAGATGCGGCACATTCTGGAAAGGTGGATCCTGAGTTGAGAACTGGCGCTGAAGAATGGGAAAGGCGGCAGACGTGTCGGATCCCATTGCAATTGTGTTGAAACCCGGAAGCTTGAGTGAGACGCTGTTCCAAGCACGCAACGACAAGCACCTGTCTGGAAAGGAGTCGCGCATCGCGTTAACAACATCGTCAAACCTAGAAAGTGAATCTGCGATCGGGTTCGCGCTCCCAAAGATTTTAGCCGCCACTAGTTCGAGACAGTTCTCCACGACGAAAGAGCGGGTCAGATGTGACGCCCTAGACATTTCGTCAGATGAAAAAGCACCCTTGTTACAGGCCTTTTTTGCTGCTGGGTTATCTCTGTAGTGCATTATGATCTTCCCAGAGATTTGAAACCCAGCGTCTCGGTATGCAGAGAGGAGAAGCACCGGCGTGATGGCTTCCTTCGCGTTGATAGACGCAGCCGCCCACTCATCCGGAAACATGCCTTGAAAGTGATGACCTGCAACTGAACCGCCCCAGCCGGTGCCAGCCTGATGAGGTTGCAGCATCGCCATGAACGGTGACAAGGAGGCCACTGGGAACCGACCGGAGAAACTGTGCTCCGAAAGCAATGACTTCTTCACGCCACATGAAGCAACGGCTGCCGTTGTAGAAAATCGGAGCTGCCGGGTTACTGGCGAGCGTTTTTCTCCACCAACAGACTTCCTTTAAGCAGCCAAGAGACGACGAGAGCGATGGGTTGAAGTGCTTGCTATGCTGCCACTGCTTTGGAGCGCCCGTGCTCATGATGTCGTCTTGCATGCAGGTGAGGGGACCTCGGTCAACTACGAAGGTGCAGGAACCGCGCCTGCCTTTGGTCGAGGCTAAATCCTTGACTTTGCATTTGCCCGAGATTTCGTATGCGCAAAGGAAATTGCCGATAGAATCCACATAGTGATAGTCGCGACATCTAGACGGCTCGATCCGCAATTGCATGGCAGCGGTACTATCCGCCTCGAAGCCTAACCAAGGAAACACTTGCGAGGCTGGGACGCGCTTACCTTCTTTGTGGTGGAGTTTGCACCCTAAGGAAGTCATCAGAAAAAATTGCCTACGGAGGTCCAAGCCAGTTTCTTCACGTGAGAGACAGTCCTCACCTGGAAGGATAGAACGGATACCATCGACGTAATCTAACATTTGCGACTTCACACCAGCCGAATGACAAACACGAATAATTTCTTTGACATTCAGGTCGTTGTCGCCCGGCGCGGGGGCGATGCCGAAAGGCAGAAAAAGGCGCGTCGCCTTTTTGCCAATGGACGGAAGATCAAGGCCGAAAAACCGCCTGTGTTGCGGGTGAAGCAACCAGTGGGGGAAGCAATCTTTGAGGTCCAGACCGGATACAAAGCAGCGAGGCCGCATTAGGGCGAAAAGGTCCCACCATGACGCGTTGTCCACTGGGGTCGAGAAAATCGATTGATTTAGTCGGCAGGTGGGCGCGCTCCAATCACTGACCAGCCTGATCTTCTCGCCCCCCTTTTGCAGGAGCACCGACGCAGGTGCGACCATGAGGTACGCTGGGGGGAGGGTGCTACGAAATTTGAAGTCAAGGCCGTTGCTATCGTAAATGGCGACTTTCTTCATTTCAACAAGTCGCAAAACTTCGGATACAAAGACGCCTTCGTGCAAAACTGTGGAGTCGTAAGTGTCTGACTGGGAAATTGCGCAATCATCATCAATGACATCGAAACGTAGGCCACCGAGCCAGCGTTCGACGAAGAGCGGCGAAATGCCCCATCTAGTGCATTCCTCTATATTCGTCGACAGTCCATTGACTGCTTTTTGATTTATGTCCTCGCAATCTCGCCAGATGTCTCTCGGCCCATCACGAGAGTTCAGGTATGGAAGGATGCCATTGTGGGCGAGCGGAAGACCATAATCCAGGTAGCATTGCAATGAATACACCGAGCGTGGGCAAATGCCCCGACGTTTCTCGTGAGAAGAAAGAGCCTCCATATTCCTAGACCGTGCTACTCTTCATGAAGTCGTATAGTTTGCCGAAAGTCGCTCGGTCGATGCAGTCGAGGGTGATATCGGTCGACATGTTCGGCGCTGCACGCCTGACGTCCACGGCAGTAACGTGATCAAAAGACAAAGACAAAGCCCAACCTTTCATTTTGTTTTTATCAAAAACCTTGCGAGTATAGTACTTATCGAGATTTTCAAGAGCCTTCTCGGTTTTTAACGCAGCAGATGCGCGAGCAGCAACGTCGTTTACTCTGTGAGCTACATCCGTAATAGTGGGTGGGGCGTATACCTCGTCCAACATAGAGGCGCTACGCCAACCACCTTGAAAGTAGGCCAACTTACGATATGAGTCCCAATGCGTGAAAAACTGCGCTCCAGCCTTGCGGAGAGAAATGCCTCCTACTGTCCAAGGAGGTTCGTGGCTGCCTAGAGCCTCGCTTATCGCCTTGCGGATAAAATCCTTCCCCGCTGGATTTCCCCGAGAAAGGATATTGTTGATGCCGATCGGGAAGAAAACAAAAGCGGCTCGTTGGTACAAGCCCACGCGCGGTTAAGGAAATATAGGAAGAAGTTGCCTGCGAACTTGATCCAGCAGCGAAGCAGGTCATGAATGCAGAGTGTCGGCATGGCAGCCTTATGTCCTGACGCAAAGACATCGCTCTTCGCCGCTGCCACATAGATGCGCATGATGTGGTCCCCGATTGCGAAGATGTTGTTTGCTTTCAACTGACGCAACTCGTCACTCCTGCGGACGCCGAAGAAGCCGACGGCAAGAATAGCCGCTTTTTGAAGGACAATGGATGCTCTGAGAAGTTCCTTGTTGCACAACGTCATCGACGGGATGCCGGGTCCCAGTTTTTCGCTTGCCAGACTCTTTTTCACTTTCTTCCATGCGACGAGGGAGTCGAAGATGAAGCTTGCTACTTGTCGGTAGGTACGCGTGAACTTCCTGGATGTAGGGCAGTGATAGGCTTGCTTTTTGAAGCCTAACCAGTGGCGTTTCAGACGAGTGCCCTTGTCGGCAAGGGCGTAGTCAATATTTCTGGCACTGTTGAAAGCAGCGATCGCTGACGACAGACGTTGAAAGGTGTTCCACCTAATAGCGCTTATTTTAGTTCGTGCGTCATAGTGCAAGTAGTTGATGTGGCAAACGCGCGACTTGGAGAAGATGGGGAAGAAGAGGAGCGCCTCGTCGTCGTTTGTGATCGGCCAAAGGACGAACTGCAGAACAGCACAGACCACCGGCACAATGCGGCACAAAATGGACGGATAGGTTTTGGCTGAGTTAGCCGCAAGAGATGACGCCACGCCCTCGCGAGCCGCGTCAGTCAGCACTTCTCTGAGTTCGTTTCTTATCGGAAATTGTTCGAACAGTGACGCGCCACGTTTGAATATTTCAAGGTCGATGGCGGACGCATGCAGCTTGGGGCACGGTTCGTACTTCTTGCTGCCTTTGTCGTTCAGAGATGATAGGAACTTTTGGTGCGTGTCAGATAACTCCGAGACGGTATCTTTCAGCTTTTGCAATTCCAGTGCAAAGTCAGCATCGCCCAGTATTGTGGCGACATCACTAGCAGCGCCGTCCTGCGGTTCAACGACCGTCACAAAGTCAGGGGATGAAGCACCAGCTTCAGAGGGCAACAGCTCACTTCTGTCTGTGACTACCTTGGCTCCGTCTTCAAGCCCCGGGTTGGCAGGAGAGCGCGGAGCTGTGTTCGACAAAGTGCCGTAGCCACTGCTGACAAGATCGCGACTTGCGGCAGAAGTTGAAGATAATGAATTAGTGGACTCCTTTAGCACTCCAGCCGTCACGCGTTGTTGACAGGACAAGCCTGCAGGCGGGCCCAAGTTCTTTGACAATTCCTCGTCGACTGCTCTCGCGACGTCGGATGGAAAAGGATGCTCTGTGGTGGTTTTGTCGATGATGTCCTGATCTGTGTATTTCGCTTTTTCTGACCGTTGACTTTGGCGCCTCTCGGCGTCGGCAATATCACGCGCGTGCATAAAAGGGCTGTCGGAGCGAGTGACTTCGTTAACACCCGACGACTGCAACACACGTTGCAGTTTCATGAAATTCATTTTTTTAACACGCGACGCGACAATAGTAGTGATCATACTAATAGTAATTCGTTGTAGTCTGGCGATTGATTTCAGCAGCTTTTCGCGCGTTCACAGTGGCGCCACCTCATATTCTCTCACTCACTCCGCAGCGACAAATCCTAGCGGCTCGCGGTGCGCCACAATGACCAACAAAGGTTGGCCACAGTATCACTGTGAAATAAATTGAATCGATAACAATACTCGAAAAGTTTTGAGTTTAGCCAAAGGCAATTCAGCTACGGCGAATCACGTTGAATCCAGTAAATTCGCGATGCATAGGGGTTGTGCCACGTAGTATTAAGGGCGAAATTGACTGATTGTGTGAGGATTTTGGTGGGTCAACCAACTTTGTGTAAACAAGGGCCACAACGACAGCGCTTCTGCGTAAAGTGTTACACTGCATTAGAATTCACTGCTACCGATTATTTGGCTCGCTTCCTGCTTCCAGCAGTGAAGGCCTCTAGGAGGGCGTGGGTGAGCACGAGTGTCAGGATCCCTTTTTTGGATCACTGTCGCCAAAGGCAGCAGAAGCTGCTAGTTCTTTGGTGTGCAACACGCTGACGCTTCGATAGTCATTGTTCCCATCTAAGCTACCTGCCTATGGGCATGCTCACGGTGAGGCCATGGGTTAAGGTAGGAAGCAGTCACTTACTTGCGTTGCTTTTTCGTGGGTGGTTGATTATCACATGGTGGCGCTGGAAGAGGGGTAGGCTGTGTGTGCTTTCGGGTATCGGCCGGGGCCGGAGTCCATAACCTCCGGTAGCAGTGCGTTCTGGTTGAGGTTTTTAAGTACAACTGTCCAGTTTGGTTGTCGTACTTCGATGACTTCGGCCAGTAAGTGGCGGAAGGAGGCGCAATCCTCTCTCGAGAAGATGTCCGCTATGTTGAAGGGGGCGTTGGCATAGCGGTTGCGGTAGAAGGTGCGCTGTCCGGCTGAGGCGGCGCGCAAGGTGGATTTGGTGACGATGTTTAGCAGGTGCGATGATTTTGCAGCCATCTTCGCGCGCGCGTAGAGTTGAGTGACGTTGTCGAGGGAGATGCGCATGAGGTCGTTCGCGGTTGCCCAGGTGGTGAGGGCGAGGTAGGTAGCCACTGCTTCGAGGACTTCGATGCGGATAGTGTTACCGATGACGTCTTCGATGTGCCGGCGGTTGATTAATACAGTGAAGGCTTGGCGCTTTCCTTGTGCGTTAATGTGAAAGGCACCTAGGACGGGTTGCCCATCGGGTCCACCGTCGGACGATGCATCCGTGGCAAGGTAGGACTGCATAATTCGTGAGGCTGTCTTGCCGTGGATGATTCGCGGTAGGTTCGGCAAGAGGTGTTGCAGCGCCACAACGTGGATGCGGAGCATGCTGCGGCGCTTCTTGCATTTTTTGAGGGTGTGAAAGAGTGACTCGTCGAGCCATTTGTATAGCGGGCGGAGCAGCTCGGTGCCGATCTTCGATCGGGTGTGTTGCGTGCCGAAGGTCGCCAGCCCGACCAGCTTCTGTAGGTCTTTGAGGACGAGTGACTTGCTTCTGATTTGCGTGAGGGTGGTGTCGAGCGCTTTCGTGGGCTTGATGTAGTAGTTGGTCGGCAGCATAAGCGTGAGAAGGGTGGCGTCAACTGACCTAGTGTAGTGGTACATGAGGCCTAAGGCCTTCAGAGTGTCAGTTCTGGCTGAAGACTGGCCCGCCGCCGGTTTTTTGGAAAGCGGCAGGCCAAGGCATGCTGCCAGCTGGTGGATGAAAGTCTTCGCAGCAAAGATTTGCTGCGTTGTTGCGGCGAAGTAGTTCTGGTCGTCGATGTAGGCCAACATTGGGGCTTTGAAGTAGATGCAGATGGCCATTAGTAACTCCGAGAGGCGGCAAAATGCCGGGACGGAGGGTTCGGCGCCCATATTGACCGCATAGCTGACCCAGAAGCGGCATGCCCTCTGCCTTGGGTCATACCCCGTTATGGGGCAACTCTTGGGGTCGTCGATGCCAAAGAGGTAGTAGGCCTCGGATATATCATCGGAGTCCATCTCTGGCGGTGGTGTCTGCGGATGTGCGACCTCCTGGCTGAGGGAGGTGAGGGCAGCAGACAGGCGGCCCGCGAGGGCCGTGAGGGAAAGGAATCTCGTGGCTCTGGCAGGGTGGCTGTTGCCGCCGCCGTTGCCAGTTCTTTTTGCAAATGTGCATGGGTTTCTTTGCGCGTCTGGCCGAGAGGTGAGGCGATGTAAGTGTGCTCCTTTCCGGTTGGTGTCATGTCGATGCCGCTGAGATCTTGAACCTTCCGGGTGCCATGTAGTTCTAGTTTTTCTTGTGTGCGGCAGTAGTGGCGTGATTCTTGGCGCGGTTGTCGATGAGAAGCCGGATTTTGCGGCGTTCTTCAGTGGGTTCATCCTTGGGGAAAGCAGTGGCCGGTTGGCATTGGAGCACGTCGCGGGTGATTTCCTTATGCCGTCCCTTTTGAGCATCTTGTTCGATGATATCGATGAGTGCCTGGAGAAGGTCATCGTCGAACTCTGGTGGTGTGGCGCGGAGACGGATGGCCTTCTTGTAGAAGTCGGCCACTTCTGGTTCCAGGATGAACGGGGTGCGATTGGCTTTCCAGACTCCCGCGGTATCACCATTGGCGATAGCGTTAAACGCTTTGATGACTCGCGTGGTGAAGGTGGTGTCAGGGTGGTCGATTAGGGTGGCCAAGGTTTCGATGGCGTCCACATTGCGAGGTGGCTCCGAAAGGAGGAGTTCCTGCAGGTGCGCCGGGCTCTCTTTCTTGATGCGCGCCTTGCTGGTCTCCGCAGTGTCCTGCTGGAGCTCGAGGAGGTAGCGGGTGGCTTGTGCCACCGTGTTGGTCCATTCTTGTGTGTTGTTATCTCGATCACGTTTTTGGTCCAGTATAGCTTTAGCGTATTGTTGGTAGAGGCGTAGGTCGACAGGTGGTGGCCAGACCGTTTCAGTTAACTGGTCGGCCGTTTTAATCCATGCAAGTTTTAGTTTTTTCAACGTCATCTTGGGCTATCTCTTGCTTCCTGGTGTGGGTGGGTGGGTTTTTTCATTTTCGTTATCCAGAAGACTATCTGAGATCTCCGGAGCGTGAAGTTCTTATTTAGTCACCTACGATCTCCGATAGTATACACACCGACTAGAGAGAACCCGAGCAGATCAGCAGGAATTCATATTTACACTCATTTCACACTTCGCGGCCATCGGCCAGACAAGTGCTACACTGCATTAAAATTCACTGCTACCGATCATCTGGCTCGCTTCCTGCTTCCAGCAGTGAAGGCCTCTAGGAGGGCGTGGGTGAGCACGAGTGTCCGGATCCCTTTTTTGGATCACTGTCGCCAAAGGCAGCAGAAGCTGCCAGTTCTTTGGTGTGCAACACGCTGACGCTTCAATAATCACTGTTCCCATCTAAGCTACCTGCCTATGGGCATGCTCACGGTGAGACCATGGGTTAAAGAAGCAGTCACTTACTTGCCATTTGTCCAGGCGCGGCTTTCGCCAAGCGTCTTATGTCGACTTCACTTTCTTGCGAAGTGGAGCGGCCTGTGATTGTTTCCGTGCCTGGTCTTGAGTACTGGTGGAGGTGGTTTTCTTCTTGGTGACTTTTTTCATCGCCGATTTGCAGCCAGTATGTAGTTTTCGGCGTGGCCTTAATTGTGCGGACATCTTGTCCGTTCATTTGGGTAGTACCTTCCGCGAGGAGTTTGTCTCTCGACTTGAAGTAGGCGGTGGCGTCGTGCTTAGTTGACAAGAGAGACTTGATCTCGTCCAGTTCGCGGGTGCGCGTTTCATTGCGCATTGCTTCCTGGATCTCATCCTTGTCTTTAGTTGTGGCAGGTAGGGCTATGCGCTTGCTATCGTCGGCGGTGTAGTCGAGTGCCCCGGCCACGGGGAATAGGGCTGCATCCGCGTGGTCCGCGTGGTCCTTCATGTAGCATAGGACGGCCGCGAGGGTGCTCCAGCCTCTTGCCTTCATGTAGGTTTCAAATCCGAAGCGTTTGCCGGAGGCCAGCGCTTTCGCGGACATGAGGGCATTGGTTCGGCGAGGCGAGTGGAACTTTGCCCCTAGTTGTTTCATGATATCCATCGTTGATTTTTCATCTGCTGGCAGTGATGGTTGCGGTGTGGATTCGTCGCAGATGGGGCAGAGGTCCGCGCGTTGTGGTGAGGTACAGTTGCAGCGGATGGTAACCGCGCGCCCCTCCTTGTTCGCGGTCTTATCTCGAATAACTGTTACGAGGATGCGGCCGGCGTGGTAGGGGAGGTGGTGCGGGCGGAGCTCGGCAAAGCTGCTCCACCGGATGCCTAGGAGGATCCACAGGCGCACAAGTGCGCGAGCTGCGGGCTGGAGGCGTCGGCACGCATCCACGTGGATAGGTGGCGCCTTGAGGGGCGCTTGTGCCGCGCACGTCCGCCGGATGTCATCCTTGGCGATGTTGAGTGCCTTAATGGCGCAAGGGTGCGGCTGGAGCCAGTTGCGCGGTTGGTTGGTGCGTGGGTCCAGCTCTGGCATGAGGAGGCTGCGAGATACCGCGGCAAAGTAGGTGCTTGCCAGCTCGGAGTTGTCATTGGTAGCCGAGATCCAGAGGCAGAAAGTACGTAGGTGCTCGATGGAGTATGGAGGGCGGACTTGCGGGAGCTGGTTCGCCCAGTAGTCCCGGAAGACGTGAAAGCTGTGCTTGCGGTTGATGAGGGTGCCCTCGGCATGCGCTTGCAACTGCAGCGCGATGCTCTCGCTGCTGCAGTAGCGCGTGAGGGTGTGGCGGTATTCCCGTTTTGGGATAGTGGCCCTATCTAGTCTGAGTGACGGGGATGGTGTGGGTAGCGAGAGCGGTGTGGTCTCCGACGGTGGTGGTCTCCACGTCGGGTCTCCCAGTGCTGTGGGCTGCGAGGTTTGCTTTCGCAGCTGGGAGTCGGAGGCCTTGGACGAGGCCATAGCCAGCGCGAGCCAGGCGCCATGTAGCGGCGCGGAGAAACGTGATGTCATTTTATTTCTCTCTCGAATATGTCGCGCTTTTTTCCAATGTGCAAGTGCTACTTTTACTGGGTTTTGTATATTGATTTTAATGGTATTATCTAGGGTAGGCGTGCGTCGGTGCTTGTGGACTACCTCGCTTTCTCTCAACGGGTGACTTTCTCTCGTCATAATCCGTGGTATGCCGCAGCTGGTGAGCACTACAATCAGATGTGGAGATTAGGCAGCCGGGGCGAAGCATTTTTCTCAAATACTCACACTGGTGCACTTAGCCTCAAAGCTGGCCCGGAAAGTGGCCTCTCGCCTCCTCTTAATCAGGTTCACGTCTGATTATCTATGAGTCTTGTGGAAGTTGTTCCAAGGTGTAGACGCTACACAGATAGAGCGGCATTGGGTCTGTGACTAACTGGCGTTTCGTCTTAGTCACATAGAGAGCGACTCCTTCACCGATGATGTCATCTGTGTGGACCGAAATCCATACACGGTCGCCACCCTTCGATTTGGTATGATTCGGATGGTCCCCCCAATGGACGCGCTGGCGGCTCATCGGCAGCAAGTAGCCGACTCGGCCAATATTTGCCAAGGCGTCTGCGGAGGTCTGGCGCCAAGTATGCCTGTGGTTGGGTAGGGTGGTTGGCGGTGGATGGAGTTTGCTACAGCACAGGTAGTTGGGTGATGGTAAAGTAGGTAGGTCGAGACTTTGTACTCAAGGTGGGAAGATAACCATTCCGCGAATACAGCAAAGCCAGGCTGAAACGTTGGCGCCCGTGCGTGGAAGTCGGCGCATTCTTGTGCTTCGGCTTTGGTAGTGAGGCGCTTGTTTCCGGTGCAGTTGGTCACGGATTGCCCCGATGTGGCGCGGATGTAGTAAGCCGGTTCGTGGTAGGCAATTTCAAAGCGGAGTCCACCATGTCTATTGGTCTGCTCTGCAGCCGCCTGAATGTATTCGAGCGGGTACCAAACGCCACGCTTGCCATGGTAGAGGGTTTCCTGAAGGTCACCTAAGTCGATCCACTCGCGCCCCCAGCCCTCGGCCACTTGTCGACGCGCCAGTTCTGGGCTATGGCGGAGGAAGTGGGCCATCTGCTTTCCACATTTGTGGAGCAGGTCCTTGCAGAGTATAGCCGACTGGCCTGCCATGGGGTCAGTCCACCGGATTTTCTTGGTGGACTGGTTGATGGTGTAGGTCTCACGCGGCTTTTATTTGATAATGGCCGGAAGGTAATCCATGCCACCCGTGCCGTATTTTAGTTCCTGACCACTCTGCGTAGAGGCGGGTAGTTCGTCCTCAGCCGACACTTGCGTGCTCGGAGCTGCAAGGTCGTAGGCTTCATCCAGTTCATGACTCCAGGAGGAAGCTGCCGGCGTGGTGTAGTCTTCATCCTGAGAGAGTGGACGGCGGGATAAAGGCTCGCTCGTCGTTGCTGTACGGACCAGCACCAGTCGAGGTGCTGCTCGAGACAGTCTGGTTGGGGCGCGCCTTACCGTACGGCGCCATGGCGGCCGCAGGGTCCTGGGGGCCCTTTCCCGTGGAGTCTTGGGCTGGTTTCCCGCCAATGGCAATGCCCTTAGGACGGCGTTTTGCCGCGGCCACCAGTTTCCCGTGGAAGACTGATTTTTGGCCTTTACGGGTCGGCGGGATGGCCACCTTCTGACCCTTTCCGGGTGCGTTGGTGCTCACTTCGAATGTGAGTATTTGTCTTTAACACGTATGCGCGGACACGTTAGTGCTGTTTCCCTGGAGGTGGTTTGGTTGGTAAAGGTAGTGAGTGGCGTTATGGGATCGCTTTACCCAAGGGCTTAGTTAAAGTTGGTAGTGGTTTTGTATGGTTTGGTAGTTAACATAGATAGTCAGTCAGTAGCTAGCAATTTCGTTGCCTGCGACAAGGCAAGGCGTGCCCCTATTAGGGGGGGGGCACTTCGAGATCGGCCCCATTCATCCCAACATAATAGCTGTTTCATTGTTTTGCATTGGTGATTGGTGCCGAGAGTCGCAGATTTAGGCGCATAGGTGATGAGTGGTCGACTTGTTTCCACTAGGTACATTTGACCACCCACATGCTGGCGCTGCGCAAGTTTTTGAGTGCAGGCATGAGTCTGGGTTTTCCGGTAGAGAGAACACAGCCTGATGGCAGTAGTTCTAGCTGAGGTTGGTTTTTTCTTACTTCATCTCAACTACAAAGTGGTGAGGTTCATGACGTCATAGCGGTTTCATCGAGTTCATCTGAGAAATGTTGTCTCAGCGCCCTGCTTCATGGTCGAGAGTCTCGGTTGCGGACTCTCGGGATCCACGCCTCTTCTTTCTTATTTAGACTGGGCCACAACCGCCTCACTCCACTTGCGTTTAACAATCATACTTGCGTCCTCTGTTGGCCACTGGTGGATCAAAGGGCAGGCAAGATTATTCTCATCGAAAGCGCATTTGTGGAAGATGTGGTAGCAAGCACAGGCGTCCTTAGCCAACTGGCATTTGTCGTGTTTGGACGCGGATTGAACCACTGGGGGCTCAGGGATCCCGTCTCTAGACACCGGCAGCCCACAAGGAGTAGTACTAGTTGTTTTTGCACGCGCGACCTGTTTTCGGATCAGGCTTGTTCGTCGTGGCCACCGAGGTCCATCCGTCCGCCACCAGCTCCGTCCAGGAGCGCCACACCGGTACAGTGCCACGGTGGATTAGCTCAGCACTCAGCTGTTTACACTTTGCAGCCGTAGGCTGACCCGATGGGTTGGCCGGTGCGTCAGTGTCTGAGGGAGGAGCTGGCGGCTGATCTTGGTGAGGTGTTTCAGTGGTCTTGCGGCCGCGCGGTAAGTCGACGGCCCATTCGGTGATTAGAGGCGACAGAGGTATGTGACAGATGGATGGTTCAACAGAGGTTACAAAAATAAATAGTTATGGGGAGTGAGTAGTTTTCGCCGTAGCTTGGAGTTCTTGAGTGCGGCCGTCTGTTTCCAGTTGGTGTCATGCCACCAGACATTGTTCTTGGAATCCCAGGACTTGTAGCACTGTTTCTCCGGTGCCAACACCCAATGGCAGGTATCGGCCTGGCTGGGAGCAGCAGATGGTGCCGCAGCTGCAGGAGGTTGGCCTTTTTTGCCTGTACCCTTAGCCGGCGGCGCCTGCCAGTTCCACCAGGGTTGGCATTCTCCGGCGTTGGTCTCGCCCTTCTTGGGAGTGGTAGAGGAGGCGATCGCGTGGCCCTTCCTCATATTCTTCTTGCGGCGCTTAGTTCCGGGAGCATGTGGTGGACCTTGGTCTTCATCCTCTTCATTAGCTCGCTTTTCAGCAGCAGCGGGAGAGGGAGACGCTGTGGCGTTGTTTTGTTTGTCTTTCCCCCACTGCGCAGAGCGAACTTGAGAAGATTGCTGTAGTTCTTGTTGATGTCGTGTTAGGAACTGCATGGCGGACATGTTGTTTTTGCGAAGTTCGTCATGCACGTGCGCACACAGCGTCATGGGTATGAAGTGCAACACGAGCGCGCTCCTCGCCACTCCGGACAATGAAAAACGAAAAGGGGAGACCAATTTAGTGCTTTCGTCAATGTTAGGGGCCTCCCCTATATACAGTGCAAATTTTTGCGCCATGCTCATCGTCGTCCACATGGCAAATTCCGCATCTGTAGTCAATTTTTCATTCTCTCCCCACGTTGCTGTTGCTCCCAGCAAGGCACCTCGCAAGTCCTCTTGACTCCGGCGTTCGAGGGCGTGCGAGTAGCTGAGGTTCCATCCATTCCAGAAAACACGAGGAATAGTTGGGCGGACTTTAGCCGAACCAAGCGACAGCAGGCGTCGCGCAGTGGACACGAGGTCTTGGCACGACGGTCCTCCAATATTCTTAAACAGAATAAAGGTTTTGGGCGAGGTCTCAAATTCCTTTGTGGTGAGGAATTTTGTGAGAAACGACCGCTCAGAACCAATACCCTGCAAGATTAACCAGGCCGCCAGCGCTTTGGCGCTGGCCTTCTGCGTGGGTGTATGTGTCGCAACCCAGTGCAAAAGCGTGGTCGGCGCGAGGTGGACGGTCGGGACGAGGCGGGGGTAAGCCTGCAAGTTAGCTTGGCAGTTCGGGTAGACCACGGCCGAAAGCAATCCGCCTAGGCTCTGGGTGTCGAGGACGGTTCCCTTGTAAGAGGCGACATTTCCTGGCGTGGCCATCCAGGTGAAGGTGAGTTGGTTGCTGAGGTCGAGGCCTGTGAGGTGGAGGATAGCGTCATCCTTTCCGTCCCATGTGATCGGGAAAGAGATGCCCTGATCTTGTTCATCACCATGCGGGAGGCGAAGAGGCCGGAGCGTATTGACCGCGATGGGGCCCGGCTCGTCAGGGTCTTCGAAGCCCGGAGCGTCCGAGGCTTCTTTCTTGGTACGGTAGCCAGTTGCCGCCGCATCTGGGTAGATGCCGCGTTCGTCTGGTTTAGCGACGTTACAGTTCGGGGTGGTCTGCTCCTCTTCTTTGAACTTGGCGACGACCTCCTTGGGTTTCTCCTCGTACTCCTGGTCGAGTTTCTCCTTCATGGTCGCCAGAGCTGCGGTGACCTGAGCCGCCACCATAGCAGCCACGTCAGCCGGCGGTTGGGCAGGTGGTTGAAGTTGAGCAGGTGGCACTGGTAGGCCTTGAGGTTGGCCGAAGCCGTCCGGTAGTTCCAGGCTGTTGTCGGCGAAGTGTCCGCGAAGAAAGGTGTAGCCACTGTGGATTCCTGCACCCTGTAAACAGGCTGGGATATCCACATCACAGTGTTCACGGACTGCCTCAATGCCGCGTCTTCCTCCTGATGCTTTTGTGAGTTCCATGTAGTTTGGATGCAACACAATTTGCGGTAACGCGTTGAAGCAATCAGAGATCCGCTGTCTGGTAAAAGAGGCCGCGCCAAAAGTATTCTCCTTGTGATATTTTTCCACGATCGAAACATAGGCCAAATAAGCCTTGATCCAATTTTGGCCTGCTTCGGCCGGCAGCGGAACGCCATTTAGACCAACCCGCATGGTAGTGAGGGCGGCCATGACTCCATCCAAGTCCTCCTTCAATTGCGGGAAGGAGGGTCCAGGATGAGCGTCATGCTCTTGTTGAGGACATAGACCGCAGCCAATTCTGGCTCAGTCAAGTCCCGCACCAACGTGGCCTGGTTTCGTTTTGCCCGAAGGCAATGGTAGGGCGTTGCTGTGCCTCCATTTTGTAGCTTTGGCACTTGAGAGCGAAGTAGATTTTTTAAGAGTTTCCTCTTGTGTTTTCCCTGGGTTTAGGTGAACGTAAGCGCTGTCGTGGTTTCAAGTGGTGGAGTGGTAGCTGACGTATGTTTTGTTGGCTTAGTCAGTTATTCGTAAAATGCCACTTGTAGCCGTCAGTATTCAGGCTTTCTTCAAGTTTCGGCGCGCCATACGGTGGGCCTAAGTGGCGTAATTTTGTCTACTTTAGATCGCATTAAGTTCAGATCGCTGAACGAGAAAAAACAGAGCACGGGATCCGCAAGTTTTGAGGTCGTCGGTCTCTTTCATTCCTGAAACGGTGATTAGGATGCGTCGGTCAGTAAAAGGGTTTCACGGTCCACCCCTGTCGTGGTTCTCTCTCCCCGTTAGGGTTTGAGAGTAGGCCATAGTATGTTTGCGGAGTAGAGCGAGGGCGGGCCTTTTCGCCCCTAATTCACTTCTCGGCAGGTTTTTGGATCTCGTACATCTGACCTCTCGTGTGCAAGAGACAGAACTTTGCTTCATGTGAGCCGTCAGTGGGAACAAAAAACTTCCCCCCCCGCACACGGGTTGGTCGGTGGTTCGCTCGTTCTCTCGTGGAGATCGGAGCCCTTAAGTCGGTTAAAAAACAGGGGATATACTGAACAAGGACCCACTTCATTATTTCGGCCCTGTTGCGGGTGTAAGGTTGGCTTCAGGTATCAGCCCCTTAGGAAGGGTAGCCGCTCCCCGCAGGGGGATGGTATTACCGCAGGACATGTTCCTTGGATCTTCTTTTAGCGCTTGGCTGTACGTAGTTAGTTGTGTGCTTTCGTCGGCTGTGCATGTTATTGCCGCGGGTCCATAAGGGGACAAGCGGCGTTTTAACGTGCTTCAGCAGTAGAAGCCTGCTCCAGCGAGCAGCCTATACGAGGCTGTAGCCGGGGGAAGGCCGCTATTGGTAGTGGTGGTGGTGGTGGTGGGCGTGATTTGGTGATCGCACGGCGCTTGGTGGCACCGTTGGCATTGGTAGGCGTGATTTGGTATCACGCCGCGCATGGTGGCACCGTTGGTATTCATAGCCGTGATTTGGTAATCACGCGGCGCATGGTGACGCCGTTGGTTTGGTTGAGGTGAGAGAGTGGACTCGCGGGGAGTTCCCCAGCCCTCTCCGAAGACCATCCAGAAGACTATCTGAGATCTCCGGAGCGTGAAGTTCTTATTTAGTCGCCTATGATCTCCGATAGTATACGCACCGACTAGAGAGAACCCGAGCAGATCAGCAGGAGTCCGCATTTGCATTCATTTCACATCTCGCGGCCTCCGGCCACGGCGATGACTGATGCAGGGACCTCGAAACTCATGCAGTAGTTTGGTTTCCGCAACGATACAACTGTGAGGATGGTAGGCGCAAAGTATCTTCGAGATGAAATGCTAGTAGCTCCATCATTTGTATGGGCCTCTGTTCTTGTTCTTTCCACCTTTTCCACCTTTGCTACCTTTCCCCTTTTTGTTTGCATGTTCTTCGACTACACGCAGACCATCCTTGTGCGGACACTGCGACTGCCAATGGTAAGCGACGGTCTTGCTGAAGTGGTTGTAGCAGATTTTGCACTCAACGGCGCAGGCATTACCAGCATCCTCGCAGTAGTTGAAGCCAAGTGAATGAGTGACATTGGTTCCCTTGCCCAGGTTGAAGCAGTTGCGGCACAGCATGTTGTTGGTGAAAAAGTTGTAGGGTTCTTTCCGATCGATGGTAAGACAGGCCTGGAAAGCCGCAGCTGCGGCTTCAGCGTTGTGCGCTGCCCCGTGGAGGATACTGGCGATACGATCAGAGTTAGACTGGATGCCATAGTTCTGCCCCTTGTTGCTTGGAGTGCTGGAGTTAGCGTTGCCTCCACCCCCAGCCACGGACGGGCGACCAAACTTGTTCGGGGTTGTGCGATGATATGACGACTGACCTCCCGAAACAGAATAAAGGTCAGCAGGTGCGCTTGTGCGTTTGGAGGCGGCCACGCGAGCTTCGTCCAATTCATGCGCGGAGACTTCACCCATAAGGGCCTGCGAGTAGATTATAGCTTGACAAACCCAAGACTGGGCTGCGATAAGACTTGTAGGATGAAAACACGTTGAGATAGGTAATATTATTCGAGGAACTTGAGTTGGAATAATTTTGATAACGACAGAGAGGAGAGAAGTACCTTCATGAGTCCCTTGCTTTGCGTGTTACGTGTACAGGCGGTAGTCACTTGAGGCAGGTGCGCCATGTTGTAGAAACCTTGACGAGTTTCATCGATGCGGCTCCTCAATTTGATGCCCTTACCCCAATTGCGCGAGGTGAAGTAGATGAGGTAGCACAGGTTCGAAAGCGTCTGCTCAAGGTGATGCTTGTTGTTCTTCGCTTTCTTGGAGGACGAAAGCAGGTTGGTCATATCGAGACGATACTGCACAAGGAACAATGCATAGTTTGCCAGGATACTGACTGGCTCACCTGAGAGCATGGAGATGAGTCTGGTCAAGTGGTTGCTACACACTAGGAAGCTGCCGCCTTGACTAGTCAGGAGGAGTTTGCTCCACTTCATATGTTCGCGGCCTTTAGTTTGCAACTGCTTCACTGCTTTCTGGATTGACTGGCCACCCGTAGAGCTGTGGCTGGCGTTTAGCATCAGGATTTCGCTGGGCGACAAGGTCGAGACTTTGTTCTGATCCTGCATGGGGGGGCGCTTCAGGATGGCGCATGCGTCGGCTTTTTCTTGGCCTTTCATTGCTGAGTACTCGGCGAACCATGGATATTCTGAGACGATGGTCGGGCCTAAGGAAACATCTCCGCGCGCGGCCTGAAGTTGGTGATTCGTCGAAACTGAAGACAGCCGAGGAAGCTTATGAAAGATGAAGCTATACTTTCAAGTTTCAAAGATAAGGTTGGAAAACAAATACCGAAAAAACACGCTCGACATCTTTCATGCGTTCCGCTTGTTTGACGTTGTTGCACATGGGACAGATCGTTCTGGAGGGTGTGTCGAGTGCAACGACGTGAAGCATGTTGATTGTGAAGGATTGCGCCAGAACTTTTCTTGCAGTCGTTGCATAAGCCATTCTTGCATCTGGAGCCGTCAGCTTTCACTGCATTGCAGATGATGTACTTTGCGGCAGTGTCTTGCTCGGTGTCACACGCAATGCACTTGAAGTGCGTGACAGGCGGTGGCGGCAGGACAGCGGGCTCGTCCGGCATTTTGAATTCTCTGAATTTGAAAGCTTCTTTTGTGATAGATTTCAACTTCTGACGCCAATTTTCTTTATCGCCATCAAAAACATTCGTGGAAGACTGTGCGTTAGTAGTGGTTGTGTTAGTTGTGCCCTTGCTGGAATGCCAGCCAGCCCACCAAGCATCCCATTCTTCTTCGCTAAAGCCTCCGAGCAGGTCGTTAGTGTTGTCGGTGGTGGATGGGCTACCATCCTCCAGTCGGCTGTTAACTTGTTGAAGTGTAAATGACATCTCGCAATGATTCGAAGTATGTTAGTATTTTGTTACTCTATATGAGTTAGTAAAAAAGACAATCTCTATCCTGTGGCGTTTTTGGATGTGATGTGGTTCCGTGAAGGTAGTGCTGCCATATTGTTGAGGTATGTCATCGTTATTACTGTTCCGGAGCATGATGCGAGGCGTCCTTTATGGTGATGCATGCCGAGAGTTTGGGTTTAGGTAAATCGATGAGGGTGGCAATTCCTTTGCTCGTGAAATTCATGCCAAAGTTGCTGCGGGCTGACATGCAAGATGTTACAAATTAACAATTTGACTGTAGTGGCCTATGCTCCAGTGCTCCCGTTATTGGAGTCTTGATTTTACTCTTCAGAATTCGATGGAGACCGTACTGGGTCAGTGGAGATGCTCTGACTCACGCCACAAGACAAAGCTTTTTACTTCCTGCAACAGCTCGAGCTGGAGCTGTGATCATCGATGATGGGCGTGCTATCCTGGTTGATGCGCTGTGACGATGGTAGGTCGTTGACTTGTTCAGTCATGGTGGAAAGGTTCGCCCCTAGAGATCGAAGGTCACCCAAGAATCCATGGATTACAAGGCTGGGCTCCCTCGCTCTCCGGTTCACGGGAGGAAGGGAACTTGCAGTCGGCGTTTCGAATTGACGCACGGACAGCTTCGACGCCGGCTTTCGACCACGTTTCCCCTGCGAAAATGATATCGGCAAGATATTTGTTGCGGATGTTCCACTGTCTGAGCTGGGTGTTTTGTTTCGCCCCTTTGGGGATGGTGTACGCGAGACCGATGATAACCTGCGATATGTTGGTTTGGGAGTGAGAGGAGGAATGTGAGGTCGATATAACTGAGTCTCGTGTGATGTGTGGTTATTGACGATTGGACCTGGAAGCTGTAGTATACCTTTTGCGGTGTGAGTGACGGCATGTCCCCATAAACGTGCGCCAGTATCGAGATGAGACGGCAGACAGCCGAGATGTCTTCCCACGCGGTGAAGGTAAGGACTGCTGCGATTGCTCCGCCGTAGTGCGGAAAGATGGCCGCGAAAATCAAAACCGAATGGAAGGTTGAGCAGTTGATCGCTTTCGAGTAGTGCGGGTTGATGGAGAACTGATCCAAGCAATTCGACAACTGTCCGAACGCTTTGACTTTCGCGGCGGTGAGCTCGCCAGTCACTGACACCTCCCAACAGTTCTTCTGTGCCTCGGCCATATCCGTGACGGCCTGTTGTGAGAGATGGAAGCGAGACGCTTTACTGGTTTTCAACTATTGGGTTCGATAGGTGTTCGAGATGTAGCATAGATTTCACTAATGGAGTTTGCTTTTGCGGGAGCTTCTATACAATACCTTCGTTTCACTTTCGGAGAGCCTCGCCATTGTAACTTTGTTGCGGGCTGTCTCTGCGCGGCAGATACGTGCACAAGAGTTACTGTTACAGTCGACGTTTACTACGCAGTTAGGACACAGACGCTTGAGCTCAACGGCTTCTTTGTCGGCAAGAGCTGGGATTTCCTGCTGCGAACGGAGACGCGTTGTGACAGATCTCGCTAATCTTGCTCATGAAGATGTTATTGGAGTGCGGCTCTGTTTCCAAGAACCAGTTGTCGAGGAGATCCTTTACTGGCTTATCTTGGAACTCCTGAGAGAGGACCGCCGTATGCCATTCCTTTTTACTGCGGATCTGGTCTGGCAAGATGTTGGCGATGTCATTCGTACAGTTGAAGCCTTCCGGGCGCGCGATGTGGAAGTAGTAGGAGCTTGCTGCCTTGGAAGGCGGGTGGACGCGTCCATGGCAGGAAAACTCAGCACCATCTCCCTTCACCGCAACGATTTCATCAACACAAGAAATAGTGCTCGACATGTTTGACGTCGTTTGATGTTTGGTTAGCGATTGAAGGAGATCACGAAGTTGGATGTGATTTTTGAAGCAGATGCTGTAGCTCTCGTTGTTCAAGTCTAAGTGCGTTACTTGGGTTTTGTGTGATAAGTAGAGGCTTTGCTTTTTGTTCAGGTCTCTAAGTAGCCACAAGTCAAATGCGTCCCTGGAGATGCTTTTGTGGTTGTGGAAAGTAATGGCGCCTGAAAAGATCTTTGATGTCGAGCTATCGAAAGGCTCGCACTGGACTGAGTACACCAGAAGCCACGGAGAAAGCTCCAAGCTGTATAAGGCGACTACTGTGATGATTGGTAAGAGTCCACTACTGTTGGAATCGAGACTGTTTTGTGATGACTTGCTGCGTTTCTTCGATGGGGGTTCGTCGAAATCGAGATCGAGAGGGAATTTGTTATATGTCCCGTCAGAGCGGACTCTGGTGAGGAACTGAGAGTCGATATTTGCGCCGATGCCTTCAACGTCGAAAGTAGTGTCAGGCCCGAGAGCTATGCTGTTGCGTTTGTGATGGTGAGCTAGTTGGAGACTGATGTCGCAAAAGATTTCAGCAAGGATTTCGTCGACTGAGTGGTTGCGTAGCTGCAGGCTACCTGATGCAACACCTGGATAATAGCGCCACTCCACACAGTTGATTTTCACATCTGCACGGTAACGGACGAAATCATCCTTGTGGCATGTTAATTTAAGGACAGATGCGTGGCCTTCACGCACCTCAACCTCTTCGGGCTCGTGCTGCATCTTTAATGATTTACTTGAGTTGCGAAACCTACTGAGTAGAAGTTCCAATCGGTGTCCAAGGTATGAGTTGGAGGCGAGCGCAAGGCTGTGATTGTTTGATTTTTATGTAGGCTTTCTCTGCTTCTGATTTTATGCTCTTTTTTTTTTTTTTTTTTAAATTTTATGGCACTTTCGTACTGTTTTGGAGTTCGCGACGTGACAGTCTAAAGGAGACAAGATGAAAGCGATGCCGATACAGAAAGGATAGGAGATGTTCGAAAGTGCGATAGTGAAAGCGATAGCGATAGCGATAACGATATACACGTGTGGCCATCACGTGCACCGCGTGTAGGATGCGCGGCCCCCTCGATAAGAATCCGACATATGAAGTAAAACCGATGCCAGCACTTGTTATCGCCCCAATCAGTTATGACGAACACCTACGATGTCCTTGCATAACAGTGATTTCCCGACTCACCACAAGGGTACCCCATTTCGGTAGCTCGAACCAAACAGCACCTTCCTCGGTCCCGTCACTCACCAGCAAAGTCACGACGAACTTGACATGCGGGAGGAGATTGAGTTGTAGACTTGGCTTAGTATCGCCGCCGACTTGTTCACGCGCCCCACGTTCAGTCAATCCAGCCCAAGAGTTCGAGAACCCTTTGGGTGCCTCGGCTGCTTGTCGTCCACCACTTTTACTAGAAGGTGCAGTGCTTTGCTCAGCTTGTCCTTTAGGAGATGAGCCGCTATGACCACCACCACCACTAGAAGGTGTATGTTCATTCGCCCCGGCTGGTATCTCGTCCGTGGCAACGTCCTCAACCTCATACAGTGTGCTGCTGCCGGCATTGTCATAGATTGCTTGCTTCTGTGCTGCTGAGATGATGGCGAAGGTGGTAGCGTCGCTGAACCGGTACTCCGCGTCCTTCTTCTCCGGGTCATTTTTTGTATCCCACAGTACCCATTCTTCTTTGTCGACTCCGCTGATTGGCGACAGAAACGTGGGTCCGCCGATTGCAGAAATTGTAGGATACCCGAATGTTTGCGCTTCTCTTCGGTCCATAGTATGCGTTCTGGAAGTAAGATCTAGTGCCTCGAACCAAACAATCGGCGTCGGCAAGTGCACTCCCTTTGCGTGATTCGTGCGGAAATTGAGTTCCACTTCCACTTGCGGACTTGGCCCTATTACCTGTACGTGTAGACTTGGCTTAGTTTCGGGGCCGACGTCTTTTCGCGCATCAGCTTCAGTCACCGTATCCCAATGTTTGGAGAAGCCTTCTGGAAGTGGCTTAGATGTTGTTAGCGTTTCCAAGAAGCTGGAGTCAAAGGCCGTGGAGGTGCTGCTGTGTCCTTGTCCTCCACTAGTGTTCGGTACAACTGTGGCGCGGCTCTTGACCGTGGCTGTGGTGTTAGAGCTGAAGCAGAGGTGGACCCTCAAAACAGCATTCACCGCTAGGCTGGCTATGACAGCGCCCTCACTTTCTTTCTCTCATGTTTAAATCAGGAGAGACGAAAACCTCAGCTAGTACGACATTTTAGATGGACCAGGACGATGCATGCTGATTAATAAATAATTCTTTTTCTTAGATGAATACTAATACTTAGACGACCATAATTCGGCTGCTGTAGTCTTGCTCTGGATCCCCGACTGCAAGCGAGGACCTTCGCGTACGGTAGCGCTTTCTGCTCCAAGCACTGCCAAGTAAAAACAAAAAGACCCACGCATTGGGAGCCCAAAGGAAGGCAGTGAGAGGACCACGACAAGCAAACATCTTCGCACAATGAGTTCTCTGCTGCAATTCCCATCTGCAGAATTGTTCTTGTGCTCCTCATAATAGTTGTCCCTAGGGGTATCTATCTCCCGATGTTGCTATTCATTGCTTCCTTGGAGTATTCATCTCCCGATGTCGCTGCTCATTTCCTTGGGGTATTTATCTTCTATTGTTGGTCATTTCCTTGGGGTACTCAGCTTCTGTTGTTGGTCATTTCCTTGGGATATTTATCTTCTGATGTTGCTGCTGTTGTTCATCTCGTGCATTCATTCATGCACAGTCAGCGCCTCGGTTCGTCAAGACCGGCGACATTAATTCCTACGATGGCGCGCGTGTCCTCGCTAGTAACGCCTACGAAGGGCCTTCGAAGTGAGAACGATGCCCGGCGTGCTATACATCTCGTTATGTGTAGTTGTTGTTCATTTTCTCGAAAAGAAAATGCAAACCATAAATGATCTCTGGCATTCTTCATCATTTTTGCGGTACCCCCTTCCTATAATTTGGATGAGAGTGACAGTGATCCTTTAGACTGATGTCGTGGAAAAGAAGGCTATGATTGAGATAATGAGATGGACCAGGGAAAGGGAGGCTTACAACAGGGAAAGGATGGAGACGAACTCAAAGACGGAAGGACACAGGATGATGGTGGTTTCTTCCCTTTTTCTCGGCTCTAGTGTCCCTCTCCCTCGAGCTTCTCTTAACCAGCAGTAGTACCTCCACTCTGTTACATGATCCTTTCCAAAAATCAAAAAAGCAAAACAAATGTGACTGAAAGTCTAAGGAGTCTAAAAAAACACTATCACTTAAATAAAGACCATCTTCCAGAAAGCCTGTACTTAAGCGACAACCTACACCTAGATTATTATTATTATTATCGCGCGCGCGACCTAGAATGTGAAAGAATGAATGATGACCCTAAAGAAACGACAACCTCGAATGTGAAACGACAACCTACAAATGTGAGACGAGAACCTACAACAAATGTGAGACAACAACCTGTAGTCGTAAACTGTCCTAAAAAAATCTAAGAAGAAATAGCCTAACAAGACTTCCAAGGAAACCATAGAACAACTACTCTGTGAAAGACTTCTAAAAGACCTAAATTTGAGATTTCTCAAAGAAGATACAAGAATCAAAAAGAAGAAGATCGATCCGGATACTGGTTTTAAAAAACCTGAAGCTAAAAAGGGACAACCACTCTGTTGAAACTAAAAAAGTGTGGTCACTGATCCACTCATGATTACCCCTTTCGTCCTTTTTGATTCAGCAAAAAACTCGCTTCCTCGTTTTCTCGAGAGTGCCAGTTTGAAGTAGAAGTACACCTCCTGAGTACCCAAAGGTGAACTCTATCATTGAAAACAAAAACATGAGCAGGAGGAGGCGTCCCGGGTATTACTGCGGTGTATGTCACTATAATTAGCTTCTTGCACAGGATAACGTCTCGTCAAGCCTCACCTCGTTATCAACATAGTACTAGTGGAGAGGAACGCGTAGGTGTGATAGGTATGAAATCAATCTCCCTTGTCTGCAACCTTGTCAAAAAAAGAGCGATCGTGCATCAACATCATGGCATCTACTAGTGGTCTACAACTAGCTGCCGAGAATTAAAAATACAAGAATCAATGGACTAGACGGCGTTGCTCTAACAAGGAGACCAGCATACTGAGAATGAAGATCATGATGAATACGACATTTTCATTGGATAAAATCGGTGTACCTGCAACATAGCCCTAGTAGCCATAGGAGAATCCTCGAGTGATGAAGATGGTGAGTCTGTGTGTAGGTGAAGCGTATTAAGCGAAGAGTAGACCTATAAAAAACAGCGTCATGTCATGTCATGTGCCCTCTTAAGCTACGTGGTCAAAAAGCTTCGAGGTAATTCAGCCTAATTGTACCTTCGAAAAAGAAGAGCAATTGGACCGAGTGATAGACTATCAAGTATATCCAAAAGTAGCCACGGATCATGTCCGCTGCCACGGCGCTACTTGGCAATTCAAAGCTCCAATCGCTAATCGCCCTTCACGCACAATTAGGAGTGGTTCTTGTTCACCACCACAGACAATCACGAGTGCGAGTACTTAGAGCGGTAATCGTGACATGCTTCAGCTAACATCCACATGACCTTGCTAGCCCAACCATGGTCCTGATGGACTTCATCTCTTGCGCCACACCTTTTTGAGACTCCTGCATCATGCGCAGCAGCCCCTGAGACTGTGCTTTTCATTCTATGATTCTAGAGAATGCGGACTAATCGACTACACCCACCTAGTAACCTCCAGAAGGAGGCCTAGATAGGCGCATTTTGTCGAGGACCCAACTCTGTGTTGTCTTAGAACGGGGTCCGAATCTCTCACTTTTGTGTTTCGACGTGTGCGGTGTCTCTTTTAAGGCGGCTTGTATTGTCGCTTTCCTTCATCGTCGTCAAATTGTCATGGAATGAGCAAGAGACTCGATAGGGAGCTATCTTCGATCCCAGGAGGTATTTTCGTGATTATTCCTGCGTTTACTCTTCCCCTAGGTTTTATTCCCAGTGAAGACTTGCCATCTTCTGTAGTACCAAAACTTTTGTAGCCCATCTTTTGTAGCCCATAACGAAGTCAGTGGACCATAGTAGACAATTTAATCAGTAACCAGCGTAGTAGGATAAGACAGTGCACCACAGCCTATAGGATAAGACAATTTGATAATCATTCTTGACCAGCATAGTCATAGGATACGATAACATCTTGGATCATAGTCATTTATCTTGTTCTTGCATCAACATTGTGCCACCTTCAATCATAGTCATAGTCTTCATTCGTCCCTACTAAAGTCAATCACCTACATCAGCCAATCACTCACGTTATTAACCACCAATACTGTTCGTTTTCATCCCTACTTCGAGAAACCAGTAATTTGTCTGATTTTCGACTATTCTTAATCCATTGGTTCTTCTGCTATTGTCAATTCACTTGTTCTCTAGAAGGCACCTGGACTGCGACTGTTAATCCAGACCTACTAGCTACTCACTGTTCTTGATATCGATCATACGTTAATCCTTGTCCTCGGTGCTTACAGGAGGTATAATAATCAGGTAGACCTTTGACAGAAAAGAGGTTATTTGCAGGTACTTATAAACATGATGCTTTGATAAATCTATTCGGCAACGTGCGTGGAATGTGTATTCCCCTTGAAATCAAAGTTATACTACCTTCAAGTAGATGCCTTACTACAGGTGAAGTACCGCGTTCCTCTAATTTCAAGCCCCCCTCCCCCTGTTATCAACCGATTCCTTCCACGCGTTGCCCTATTGACCAACACTAACAAGAGGAGACCACTTCCTCCTCAACCGGAAACCACCATGATCTCTTTTTAGTCTATTCTATTCGTCAACAAGAAACCACCTTATTTCCCTCTACTACTTCAACCAGAGACCACCACCTCGTTTTTTATGCGTCTTCATCTTTCTTCTTCTTCGGCATGGAGCACTTCAACTCCTGCGATAACTTGGCAACTGTTAGAGAATGTAAAGTGCCTTATAACTTAGTTAGCTCAGCTGTTTGCTTTCTTCAGTTAGCTGAGTATAACCGATCCTTTTTTAATCATCAGACATGTTTTTAAGGTTGTTTCAAGGGATAAGCCCCCTAAGATTAGACAATTCACTGCGGCTCATTGGGCAAAAGTATGAGTGGGCAAAAGTACCAGGACAACATAAGATGAGCATTTCGGACTCGACTGCGGCATCCGGCAACTCTGTTGACATGCAACAGCCCGCACGCTTCCCGCTTTTTTCCCACTTCGCGCAAGGACAAGAAAGAGCAGGAGGTTGTGCGAAATAATGGGAAATATGGTTATATCTTTGGAGGTTGTGCGATGTGGGAAAAAGCACACACTAGTATCAATGCAAGCAGTAGTGTATTTCGTGAGGTATAGAAGACTTTAATTAGCAGGAAAATCCCACTTTTCACTAAATCAATAATCATGAATGATACTCAAGAGAAGATTGTGCTAGAAGGTTCTACTACTTAAATACTCAATATGATGACTCACTAACGGAAAGAACAATATTAAGTATAAGTAAGTAGATGCTCTTGTTCATAACTCACCCCAAGGATGGATGATCTTTCTGCCATCTGGTAGCTCTGAAACCTCGTCCTCCGCTTTCAACTTAGAGCAATTAGAAGGATATATTTAGTCTAAGTAAGTACATAAGAAGCAGCAGATAATGGGCGACTGAGAGGGAATTAAGCTCCCGAGAGAGTTCAACTATGGCTTAAGCTCGTTGTACAAGCATGAGGTAATCTTCATTATATCTAACTTTCTTACGTAGAAGAATCCAATTCTCTCAAGCCTTAGTATCGTCATCCTCTTTTCCCTCTTCGGCGTCGCGGACATTAGAAGTGTGTACTAGTAAGGTTGTAGTCACTTCTCTACAAGTTGATGTATACATCAAGGTGCTGGCCACTAGAAGTGTCACATTCACAACAGTGGCACATTCACAAGTGTTGTGCGTGAAGGGAAAGACCTCAAGTATAAAAAGAGGAAAACCCAGCCAGCTGTTTTACGTAGCGCTATAGCATTTATGAAAAGATAAAGACGGAAGTACTGTTAATATTATCATCTGATCAGCATGTATTTATCAACATGTATGAAAAGAAGGAAGTGCTGTAGTTAAAATTCTCTTACTCTTCTGTTCGTCGACCATAACTTTATCTGCTTTATTCCCCTTTTCATCGATCTCGTCCCCATCGCATAGCCCTGAACAAGAGGACCCCTTCTCTTCATTTTTTGGAGGCTTTTTCTTGTCATCCTTCTTCTCGTCCTTCCTATCGTCATCGCGCTTTCGATGCATCTGCAGATTACAGTTTATCATGGAGCTTATAAGCAAGTAGACCTTAGATTATTAGAAAAGCAATCTCCACCATGGAGCTTATAATGTGTTCTGCAGATTACAATTCGTTCAAAAACTAATAATTTCAAAGAGAGCAGACTCTCGAGTTCACAATATGATCTCTTTGTCTTTACTTCACAATCTTCCTCAAACACGTACCTGTAGCAATGCCCCTGCTTTTCCAAAGTCTTCATCTGTAGCCTCTTCTGCAGAGGAAGTGCCATCTGGGAAGAATGCCACGCTACGCTTTGAAGAAAATGAGAGCCTATGAACTTTGGTACAGTGAGATCAGAAATAAGAACAAGAAAAACGAAAAGATGGGATGTCATGTGTGCGCCTCTGTTATGATCCTTCTTGATCATCACCGTAGAGATAAGGGGGTAGGAATTACAATTACGGCTGTTGTGGCCTTAAGTAAAACGATTTGGCGCTGAAGGCGACACCAGAATCTGTGCCTCCACATGGCTCGCGATCGCAAGAAAAGACGAAGCACTTGGCTATGGTTCATCAGCCGTATCTGGGAAGGTACTATATCCCTGCCTTTCTGCTGCTACTTCGTGGATAAATGAATGTGTGATCAATCAAGACTAGTACTTGTACTATAGGAATCATATTTATTAATTTATCATCACCCTAGTTAGGAAAGGGTAGGCATATGGTGCCGTTGTTGAATCTTAAGCTTAACGCAAGGTGTCGAGTTCTATATCACCATGATGTTCCAGTTGTTTATTACTCTATGAACCAATGACAGATTTGCGTGTGTCCTCGTTGAACAAGGTGGCAACAGCCTTGTCGATAAAGCCGTAGAACTTGAAATGGCTTTCGAATAAGAACATCTTAGAACACTAACACAGGAGTTGAAGGAAATCAAAATCTATGAAACATTAATATTTCCTTTTGCCATTGCCATACCACTGTTGGCTTCTCACGCACCAATTCGGCACGTAATCTAACACCTCCGTCTTGAGAAAACCAGAACGACAGAAGACATCGCTGTTCTGGTACCCAGACATATGGTTCCCTTGCAACCCCTTGTTCCTCGCCGTCGCGGTCGCCTTCCTTTTTATCCGAGTTCATCGATCTGTCCCTCTAGAAACGAGCCTTCCTCTCTTCCTTCCTCCCTTCAAATAGAGGAGAAGGACACTGCTATTATATCGCAATGTAGCAAACGCGCCATCCCGACTATCTTCCTCGAAGTCAGGCTTGCCCAACTCCCAAATGCCGTCTATGTCTTTGCTGAGCACATCTGCAGGCATGAGCGGCATACTCAGGCCTGACATGGGCGAATCGCTGCCCTGCGGAATGGTCAGCGTGGCACTCTCCCACATCCACTCATCGACGTACTGATCTTCAGGATGGCGGTAACCCTCACCATTAGCCTCCACAGCCACCACATCCAACGCTACGACGTCCGATAAATGGGCCGACTTGATAGCTGCCTCGATCACATTGCACATGCGCGCGTCACCCGGTTCCAGCCTGATGTTTCCGCAGTCCTGCGAGTTGCACTCGTGTTCAAACAAGCACACGAGCTTCGAAGAGCTACCTAAGACTTGTGCCAGGTGCGACGAGCTACCCACCGCTTTTGCCGAGTTTGGGGCTAGCGCTCCTTTCACCCAGCGTGCGAGCCAGAGTCCGACGTCCCTGACACGTATTTGCGCAATGAGGCGCCCCCAAAAGCGTGGACTCACCGGCGAGACAGAGATTGTAGACCAGTGTGAGCTGATGCCCGCTGGTGACTGGCTTTACGCAGTGTCGACAATTCGCGTAAAAAGCTAGAATGTTACCGTGCAGGCATGAAGAGCGAGTGGCCGGCTGATGTGCATGCGTAGTCTTTTCGTGCTCCACTTCAAGCTGACCTTCTGTGAATTCCGAGGGAAGAACAACGAACATGGTGGCAAACACTCCCGGAGGCTTTTCATGAATCTGTTTCTCTGGGCGGAACGAGGTGACCGCCCTCTTTTTGCAGTACTATCAGCCTGTGAAGCTCCGCCCTCACGTGTTCCGAGGCGCTGACACCCAGAGCTTCCTCCAGGTCTACCATTCGGGCCGCGACGAATCTATCCCACTTTTCCGACAGGTCGAAGGATATCCTGTCGGGTTCGATGTGCACAGCGTTTCCCTCGGTGAGCAAAAGCTTAGCAACTGCCTCGTGTATTGGAAAGCCGACAAGGCCGATCGGTGAAACGCGAACTCCGGGGTTTGTTATTTTGATTTCCTAACCAAAACTAAATGTCCCTACGCGGGCCTTGGCGACAGCATTTTCGATCTTGTTCCTCATCTGCTCGTTGAATGTTCTTCGATGTGATGTCTCTTCCGGCAACGGCTTGGCGGCATCATCGCTAGCGATCTTGTTCAGCATCTCGACTCGTTTTCCTGCGGCAGTCATTTTATCTTCACTTGAATCCTCCTCCATGATGCTTTCCTCCATCTCGTGCATCTCACTACCCTCATCTGCCTCCGCTTCATCATCATCGTCGTCGCCTTCTTCTTCTTCCTCCTCCTTCCCATCTTCTTCGCTGACATCAGCATACTCTATGTGCCCTCCTCTTGGTTCCTGTAGATTTTGTTGACCTGTTGCGCACCGCTCCACCGCTTCTCGCGTATGGTCGTCGGCGCGCCGCGCGTTTTCCGTGCTACGTCCTTGCTCATCCTTCTGGCCAACGGCTTCTCCACTTCTCACGCGGGATGGGCCCCCGTCTGTCTTCCGCTTTTTCGTTGGAGAGCCAGAGATGGAGGAGCGCGGCGATTCTGCAGGCATTATGTCGCTGTGCGTGGCTTCCGAATCGAAGCTAAGGCTATCCATACAGGTGCTTTAGTCGCAGAATGCGGAGGGCGGACATCTGTAGTCTTCAAACAGCATTTATGAAATTTTTTCCGAAATAGAGTAGAGAGCCACAACATACAAGATGGCCTGATGATATCGTTACAACTAATTGAACGACTTCCGCGGGCAAATAAAGGGAGCGACATTCAGTGACGTAACGATTAGGGGCGGGCTCGCTTTCTTACCGATTGAAGGCACGCGAGGAAACGAATATGTGTGGACCGATAGCCAGGGGTAAGCTTCACCGACCCAGACGAACGATTGCCGGAAGACGTGTTGCGCTGAGTAGAAGTAACCCGCGATGTGATTGCTCGCTTCCGCGAACACAGTCAGTGTGCCCAAAGCTGTGACGCTGCCCTATTTCCGGACATTGCTAGAAGGATTTTGGTCCCTGTCTTGGCGGGAGTAGTCCCATTCTTACGAGTATTTATAACCAAGTACGTCTGGCGCGATCGCGTGAAGTAATCAAACTAAAGATTGAGAAGAATCGGAAGGAATCAATTGAAGTTACTTAACCAGAAACCGGAAGAAATTACAAAACTATCACCCACAAGTCACAACATCTAGTACAGCATACTCGTGGTGACGTAAAACTAGGCGACTTTTCTGTTTAGTTATCTTGCGTGATTTTCAAGAAGAATTTTTTGAGAAGCCTTGCCTCGCGACCCACCGTTTTGGTGCTGTCATCCTGGTCTAGGTGATTGAGACTGGCCTGAATGTTCTTCCCGACAAGCGAGGCCTGGTCGAAAAACGTCAAGATATCGTCAAACGCCTCGTCCTTCAGCAAGATCATATTCTTGCCGAGTGTCTCACCCAGCGCCAAGAAACACCTCTTCGCGTAGTACCTATAGAGAAAGATCATGAATGATGTTACTTACGTTGTAGCACCTCCTGTGTGTGTGTGTGTGGTGCCGGAAGAGGGAACAGTAGTTTATATGCGTACAGAATGATGATCAATGGCTGCAGAAAAGGCAAAAACAGACCGAAGCACAATACCAAGTGTCGACGCCCAGCTTTCGCTCGTGCGGTTCCAGGGATTTGATTATCCGAGAAATTCCGAACTCGAAATTGCCCTTGGCGCAGTAAAGCGTTCCAATGACCAAGTTGATGATGCACAGGTGGTACACCGGCTTGGATGCGTCTTGTTTTGAAAGTGGGAAAGGCATGAGGTGTCAGCATTTTTAAGTTAATTCTGGTAGGTAACGAGGACTATGGATTGCTGAAGTTTATCATCTAGTACTCGGCGGGGCACTCAAGGAAAATGCAAAAGGCTAAGCTCTGATCATAACTTGAGCTCCTCCTCCTTTTCCACGAGACGCATGAGCTCCTCGGCTTCCTCGTTTGCGCTAGTCATCACGTAGGCGACGCACAAGTTCGCCAGAATGATTGCAGTCACAGAAAGCAGATTGTCCTGGTGCTTTCGTAGGGATTAGATGGTGAAGGCTGGCGAAGTACTATTTGTGGAAAAGTGTGGGTGCAGCATCGAACTCTAGAGGTGACCCTGATGAATTTACTACTATGGGAAGCTTCAAAGAACAATACACTTTTCATTGCCATAAACGAATGGTTCGTAGTAGCGGATGCTATCCTTGAACTTTTCCTGCATGAAAAAGACGTGTGCAACGTTAAGTTTCCAAGACTCGTCGTCAGAGCAGTACTCCGCACTTTGCCTAAAAAGCTTCTCGACATCGCCGTATCGCTCCATGTCCCAGTATATCTTCGCTTGGCCCATAAGTACAGGGATGTACTTGCCTGGAAATAATAGGTATGGGGAAAATCGATTTCAATTTTTGTTTGAATGATGCGTACCAGTGTACCCATGATGCTGTGGCTCTAGATGAAGGTCAACGGACGCGGACTTCGATATCTAGCCAAAAATCGAAACGTACCAAGAGCCTCATCGAACTCTGCTAGATGCTTTTTGACAAGCGGCTGATCCCTCTGCCTCCTTGCGTCCTGGATGTTTTTAGTCCCTCGCCTCAAAGCATCTACGTGTTTGGCCGCAAGTTCATCGAATCTCTTGAAAGCGTCTTCTGGTGCGGACTGGGCCAGTATTAACGCATCTAGGAACTCATACTCACCTGGCTGCAAATATTTGTACGTTAAGTCGCTGTTTTCCGCTAATATGTCGGCAGCGAGGTCGTAGTAGTTGTACTCGAAGATGAAAGAGGACGAGGGTGGGAGGGCGAAAGCAGAGGGGGATGACATTTTGCATGAGGAGACACTACGTATGATTACTCGAAACCGCATCTGCTTTTGAACAACTCCACATGAAAAAGCGCGTGCAGATGGAAGTAAACTCCCAACTACGAATGTTCTCGTCCATAATGCAATAAAGGAGCAGAAGGTTGACGAAAGTTTCAGGAGGACTGGGTCTCTGCTGGAGCAAAAAGTTGAGTTTTCGGAAGCCCTCGCTAGGTTTCTCTTCCATGTCTCGCATTAGGGCCAGATTATGCAGCGTTACCTGGTCGAGTTCGCTCTCGTCTCGTGGAGGCATATCTTGCAGCGCGTCTCTTGCGGCTTCCTTGTTCTCCGGTAGTTAGAGGCAGGTATTGGTTGATGGCAAGCTCTCTCTTGCGTTGGGAGGTTGCAAATTATATCTTTCGTGTCCGTCAAGCACACAACATTACTGTTTGTGTTGGTGACCTTGATAACTAAGACTAAACTCACCTAATTCACCTAGTGAAGTTCATCCTCTGAAGTAAGTATGCCTTACATTTGATACTCGATAGCCGCCTTGAGATTGAACGCCTCCACAAGCGCAGACTCCCTCAAAACCGAGCTATTCCCGACACTCCGCGTTTGCGCGTCACTGCCTACGGAAAGCTCAGGATGATCCCTCACTGCCTTTTCGATTATCTCTGCTAGCTGTTTAAGCGCTGGCCCGTATTGTTTCATAGCGTAGAAGCACAACGCGATGTGCGGATTAGAGGTATAACACTAGGGGTGGGATTCACTTTCACACTGACCGTGATAATAGATACTAAATGGGGAGAAGCACGCCGAGTACGCTGAAGCCATACTGTAGGCGAGGCAGGCAACGAAGCCGAGAGTTCCCTGCGCTTCTTGATAGGCCTTGAGTGCTTCCGCAAACCGGTTTTCTTTCCACAACAAAGACGCTTCGAATATCTGGAAAAAGAAGTGCGTAGGTATATACAAAAGAGAGGTGAAGCAACAGAGACAGCATCCATCTTGTGAAAACACTACAAAGATCTTTGGGCAAACATCTTTCTCTTTTGGATAGGTACATTACAAGATACGTCCCCGACAAGAAATAATTGTAGCACCGCCTTCTGCTCCGGATCTGTGTCTGCGGTTGGCTGCGCCAGGGTGTTTTTTGCTAATTGGAGCTCCTCCTTCTCGTAGTGGATCGCTGCCTGAAGATGCTGCAAGTGTGTGTGCAACTCAGGGTCATCGCTGTCTCCGCGATGTAGCAGCTGAGTGCCAGCCTCTTCATACATCCCAGCTTTTACCAATGACTGAATCCAGTAGACTCGGTACTCTTCTACCCCAGGACACATGCCCGCTAGCTGCTGATAATACCCGGCTGCAGTCGCAAAGTCCTGATGCGCAGTAAATGAGTCGGGCCTTCAAGATTAGTAGCACGGTGTAGGCCTCATCAAGAAAACAAGAATGAAAAGTGATATCACTTAGTAAATGTCAATCAATATCGTCCACAAGAAGGACTTGTAAGAAGGTGCAAAAATACCTGAATATGATAGTAGCAGTATGCGAGCAAGCTCGCTGCTGCTCGTGACTTGGTAGCATTCTGTTCGTTCAGCACTCGTATTGCGTCCTCATATTGCTGCTCGTGTATGTGAGTGTAGACGGTTTTCGTCAACTCTCCCTCACGCACCGGCCTCATTGTCTCGCAGATTGGAGGAATCAACTTTTGCGAGGAATCGGTGTTCGAGACGCTTGGGCTCTAGTGTGAATTACCGAGCTCCCTTCCCCCTGCTCACGCCTTCGTTGAGTGTTCTTGCAGTCTTTGACCGAATTCGGTATGCGTACTGCGCTTCGCTTGTGGTGTGCACGTTGCGCTCGTGTCAATCACATTTTATTCATTAAACACAGTGTAGTGCGCTGGAGCGACTGTGTGCCGTCTTAAATAGACAAAAGACAAGCCATTTTTTGAGCGTACAAATGCAGGAGCTTTTCAGTTTTTTCTCAATCGTTTGATGGCAAACTTTCTTCCTCAGTCACCTTTTTCGCTCTGGGTCCACTCACTCTTTTCTAACTGCAATCCCGCTGCACTCAGCCATGTGAGCACGCCACCATGCTTGTCCGCGTACTGGTTTGCTTTCACAATTGTGACAAGTAGAAGTACTTCGTAGGACGAAGGAACTCGTGTAGTTGGTCCATCTAGTGCTATACTGTCAAATCTCAACATACAGTCAAAGCGCTACTGCAATCGCAGTATTTATACGCAGCCTCTATTTGTGAAACTGCAATGATACTAGAAGAAAAGGAATTCCAGTTCCTGTTTCTATTCGATCGGAAGTCCCTTCAGTGCCTGAATTGCTCGTTCTTCAACTCTTCAAGCACCCACAACAAAGTCCTGAAGATCTTTTCTCACCCACTCGCTTCCTCTTGTCACGTCCAGACCCTTCAGGCGAAAAGGATGTCGTTGTCGCGAGCTCCACAGCGCTATTTTGTTTACTAGTTGCTCCAATCCCGTGTGTAGGCACAAGCACAAGCTTTGTTTTGGTAAGAAGTTACTACGCGCTCTACTTTTCCTGCTCCGCGTTTCTCCAGTAAATACGTCTGCTCTTCGCTCAGACAAGAGGCCCACGCAGCTGCGCATTGGGCTTCGAAACCTGGATAGCGACTGTCCTCATCAGTTTCAGTCGCACCTGTAGTACAAGGGTTCAACAAGTCCTGTATGAGAACCAACTGTCTGTTTCATGCACTTCTAATACGACCATGAAGTTACATCCTGCATAGTCGTGTCCTTGAAAAGCAGTCAGTCCAAATTGAAAATACTTAGATACTCTCGGCTCATGAAGATACCCATAGCTTTACCTTTAGTGAACTCAGCCAATATACGTTACCGATGTACCTATGAAAGGCCTTACCTTCCTTGAACTATGTATTTAGGTAAGCACCTAACGTCACCACATCTGGAGGCGCGTCAGAGAATGCTCGAAGATCTTCTCTGACTCGTTTGTGCAATTCCATGATGAGTGAGCCTTCGACGTAAAGTTTCATCAAGTGCCGATTCGCCACTTCTCCGCCGTCCCCATCCCCTGTTTCGGCCTCGTCAGGTTCTTCACTGTAGGTGATAGTCACCCAAAGCCAGTCGTCGAAGATGTATTTCTTTATTAGATAAGACAGAGTCATAGATCAATCGTCAAAGAAGAAACCAATTCGCCTTTGTGCCATTTTTCGCTTCATAAAAACACTATAATTATGCTACAACCTATGTTGCGTGTGTGATTTAGCAGACAAGACATATTTTCACTTCCCATAACAGAACGGCCAGTCCTCCTCCATCTGCACTACTTCCACCGCGCCGCTCTCACCTGTCGATGAAAGCTCCATTTCTACAAACGCATTTCCGTCTTTATCCGTTTTCGCTACGAGCGTGACCTCCCGCGCAGGCACACACGGCCCTTGGTAACCTGATCCGCGGATGTGAAACGCGTTTTTACTTGGTTCGAAGAGTTTATCCGTGAATGGGAATCTCCCATAAATTGCTAGTGTAAAGCCGCTTCGTCCTTCTGGGTGGTCTTCGTTCTCCCATTTTCCTTCGTCATCGTTGAGAAAGGCTGTTGCGCTTCCTACAACATCTGCTGCACCATCTTTGAGACTCAACGCTCTAGGGGCCACGAAGGTAGTTGCAGCGGGCGGGGTTTTTCTTTTTTTCTTGGGCGAAACAGTCGCTAATAGCTCAACGCCAGGTAACTCTGGGTAGGCAAAGTCACCTTGACCGAGAACGCCTTCACTGGCTTCGTCATTTTTATTAGAGTTGGGTCATCTAGAAGAAACTCTTGAAAAACACTTAAAATAATGATAACCTCAAATTATCTCTAGTCACCTTGATGCGCCATACCATTTTCTCCATCGTCTTGCTCTCCATCTAGCTCATCCTCATCCTCGTCAACATCATCCTCGAAATCGGAGAAATCAAAGTTTTCATCTCCATCCCAATCAAACTCATCATCATCCGAAAAACCAGAATCGTCTTCCTCTGAGTCCCCTGCCGCAGAGGATTCCACATCTGTTGGCTGCTCTGTCGTCTCGTCTTTTGCTTTTCTCTTGCTTGTTTTCGTAACCGCTGGACTGGCTACGATCACTCCTCCGTCTCCTGCTACATCTTGGCGTGCCATCATCCGGACTCCGGAACCGAAAGCATGCAGCCATAGTTTAGAATAAGTACTGCACACTCTGGTAGCTGGTATTCTGATCCCAGTAGTTGTGTACTGTTGTTGTGCTGGGAATCAACACGGCCCAGCATCTTCTTCCCGTATAAGGGTAATCCCCATGCCCAATATTTCTTACCAGGTATGAGGGTAATCCCCATTTCATACCAGGTATTCTAATAAATGTAAGACGTTGGTTTCAAGTCGTACCACGACACAACAGACAGCAGCAGAGCGTAGAACGCAATTTGACCTAAGCTTGAAATCATAACCTATTCGAGGATCATGACGCAGGCATCGTTGAATCCACTGTGGGAATCTACCGGTTACAGCGGCAATGCTTCCGAAGAGCCAACAGTCCCCCAGCTGTCCTTGCCGTATGTCGCCCGCACCGACTCCGCCGGCGCTATCCTTGAGAGCCAGGAACAAGGGCCCTAATCAACAGGCGGTAACGACAGTTGCTGGTGGAAAATTCTGCCACGAGAGACGCCCGCGCATGTTGCCGACCTCGTGGCTGAGACGGTCGAACTTTTCCCGAGTGAAAAACCCCATAGCCGGGAAGAGTAGTACAACCTGTACTGGTGGAGAGGTACCGACACTATGTATTGTACCTGTAAGATGTAGATCCACAAGAAAAAGACCTGGAGGCGATGCCTTCCGTAGAACAGAGACTCTTTCGTCTGGCAGAGGCCGTCGCCAATGATATGTTCCTGCCAAATTCATTTCGATTTTCGGCGATGGCTTGCATGAATTGCCGAAGTCAGCATCGTGTGCGCTGAGCAGGCTGAAAGTCGGATCTCGAATTTTCCCGCTTTAGTTAGCACAATACAACGAGCACAACTTCTTGGTACAGCATATTCGCATACAGATGAAATCTAGTATTGTTCCGCTCTAAAGTAGCTTAGTGCTATAGCTTTGCATGGCTGCTACATAGCTCAGAGCATTTTTTTCTGCTTGACAAGTGTCCGGAATGTGTTAGAAGTTTCACAATTGCTTTTAAAGGAACTGTTTCTGTTCCACGAAATCATCATGTTCATGACAACACATTGCCACTATAATTTCAACACCGCAACATAATGTCAGCTGTCAAGTGAGCCAACACTCCATCTCGAAACGCGGTTTGAAATGCTTCCCAGGGATCTTGTTTGTAGAAAATCGGCCCACTCGCGCGTAAATTCTTGTCGTGATTGCACTTCTTATCCCCGATAGGCGCGTCCACGTGCAGACCAAGGCCTAGCGGGCAAGGACGGCTCATCTCCACGCTTGCCATTTTGACACGAACGCGGTATAGATGGGTAGAAGGGACTTTAAAATTTTGAGCACGTCTACGACAACTACTACCACATGCCAATCTTTTTCATTATGTCGATTCAGCACTCGTTATCAGAGCGTTGTTCTTGGATGCTCAAAAAAACGAGTCTACACATCATCGATACTAGACTACTAAATTTATGGAAAGAGCGCATGTCGTGATCTTTTTCGGGGTTGGTGGGTTTTTTGGCTTCGGCAATAGATACACGACTTGTGTCACGTCTCTGTGGGGGTTTCCACGCTCTCGTCCGATTCATTCATCATCACGGCCAACGTGGGTGCACCTCTTTTTGATTTTAGAACAGAAGAAGTCCTAGACGGAGTTAAGCATTGACCACTCTCTACTCTATTTGTAGTGCAGGACAGAGCTTGAACTGAGAGAAACGAGACATTCAGATGATTACTTAGAGGACACCCACGTTCCACGTTGCTACGAAAGGGCGTCGAGCGCTGAGTATCGTAAGAAACCAGACTGACAGTCAAGAAGAGGTTGCCCCCGCCGCATCAGGGGGGTCAGAGTCATCTTCAGGTTCCATCGTAGAGAGTTTTCTTTGAAGCAAGGAAGTCTTCGAAAAAAGCACACGACACGAATCTTCTGTACAGCACATCAATTATGTTGCTATGGTGGAAAAATAGATGGTAGTCATCGGATATATTCATCGTGTTGCTGTTGTAGACTTCACTCCATTTCCATTTGACCAAGCATTATATTGGCATCGCCGGAAGACTCAACGACTCGCGTATGCAGCGCCAGCAATAAAACTGCGTGGCCGAGCAGAAGATATGATGGCGGGAATCTATTCGGCAATCTGGCTAAGATTTCCCTGACGGGCAGAAGATATAACCTCAGAAGTTAGATTTCATCATGATCATCATGATTCTTCCTTCCACGCGCACGAGTGGAATCTCCCGCACTTCGTGTTCGTTCCTTGCGATGCGATAAGGGAACAGGAGCGAACTTCATTTACCTTTAGACGTTGACGACGTAGGCAACATTACTTATCATGATATTTCCATATGGCCGCGTGTACCAGGTACTTCGGAGGTTTGATGCAGTGCGCAGAAGAGAGTAAAATCCATATCTTCAATGTTCTCCCCCGGTTAAAGGGTGCGCTTCTCACGTGAAAACCCCGAGTTTTTCTGTGTTGGGGACCCTCGCTTATCCCGAGTGGTCAACTTGGGGACTCCCACATTTCATCCATTTCCTTGTGCTCCACCCAGGCCAACTTTAAGCCTTTGGGCAATAATAATTGACGTGCACCAGCAGTCTAGTAGAGCTAGAAGAAGTGCGTCACTTGAAATTATCAAGAGATAACAACTACCACGGAGAACAGCGTGAACATGTAGGGCGGTCCCAAGAAACTCAGATCGGCTTTATGTTGTCATTTGAATGCCCCTGATATGGCCGCTCGTGACCACCGTCGAGACAAAATCGCAGCCGACTGCAAGGTCGACTCCCACAACAACTGCCCAGCCAGGCAAATGGCAATCCCTTCCAACTACCTCAGCAACTCAGAAGAGAAGAGAGGGGCAGAGGGTGTTCGCCTAACCAAGAAGGTGGCGAGCCATTTCGTGGAACCCCAGAACGCCTTACCACCACAACAACTGCCCAGCCAGGCAAAATGCAATCCCTTCCAACTACCTCAGCAACTCAGAAGAGAAGAGAGGGGCAGAGGGTGTTCGCCTAACCAAGAAGGTGGCGAGCCATTTCGTGGAACCCCAGAACGCCTTACCACCACAGAGGTGTGAGCCTCAGGTAACCTCCAAAAATCCCCAAATTCATCCGCAACCGCGAGGCATAATTTCATCTCTTGAATGCCACCCAATCTCTCGAATACTACTCTTGACTGAATGTCCGTCAATAGCATGACAGACCACCATCTTAAGGACCAAATGAGCACAACTATTAACGTGAAAACCATTCACGACCTCAAATTCCACATACAAGCCAAAGGTGCATGTAATACAACCATACATTTTCCTTAAAACAGCTATCCACTTCGTGCATTCGGCCTTACTGCACCCCGTTGAACATCATAATAGAAGTAGTGTACCCAATCATGGGGTATAGAACCGCCATCCTCACTTGCACGCATACTTCTTGTACCGTGTTGTTTATACCAACCTAGCTGACGAGATTCAAGTTCAACAAACTCAACATCATGAAGTAGAATCTGAAGAAGTAGAGTCATGTGCTATCATGAAAATATTTTGCCCGCGATATGTATTCATTAAGTATCTCGGCATTTCAATAGCGACTTGATCTCCGTATTTGACAACTCCTTATTTGTTGTCACACCTCCTCCTTTATTTTGTATCCCGCATCTGTTACCGCTTTAATTATCGTCTTTAGCAGAAACCCTGTTACAATGAAAAGGGCATCGGAGTATTCGAAGTGAAGCCAAGAGATTTGTTTTGTTCAAGGACGCGACATCTTTTTTTACAGCTACCACTTGAAATTTCAACTTCAATGTCTTTGGGAAAATGACCAAGTAGGCACCAGCTTGCATTCAGTTTTACACGATTTATTTTTAGCGCGAGCACTCAGTTCTGGTCTGATTTTCAACCTCCTTGATGTTGAAGTGGGTTGTACCTTCATCGTGTGCCTTTTCGGAAAGCGACTTCAACGATGTTACGTGATCAAAAAACCACACTTAGCAGACGGGTTTACACACCCACTTCAACTATATATCGAGTATATATTAGCGCTTGTTAGACTGGCTTTTCTATAAGGAGGACCATGCGCTGTCAGGCGTGTCCCGTGAATATATGCAAGTACTTATAGGAAGACAATAATCAAACAATAACAAGGAAAGACGAAGTATATAAATATAAATATGCAGGAAGGCAGCAATGGGATTCACGGTCGATGATGCGCTCGGTAGAACATTTAGAGTCATTTGAATTTGAGTCTTTAACAACGTTTGTTCACACAAGATCAGCATGCGCATGCTCAACGCGAAAACTATGCTACGATATTCTCAAAAAATACGCGACAGCAAGGTGCATCATTAACATTTTTTGCGTTCTTGCCACTAGCGCTTACGAATGCGAGAGTATCAACAATATTAATGCGATAGACAACCAGTAATAGATGTAGATTTACTATGTATTCAGTAGGCCATAGAGCAGGAACGTCGAGGTTTAGAGAATATTTAATCGTCCTTTGGAGTTGAGCTTTTAGTTTTGCATGACAATACTTACGAAGCCCCGCTTAGGTCGCAATGTTTTGCTCTTGCCGGTGTCTTTGTATTTGCAATAACATCAACGCTGTTATGATCATTGTTATATAAAATGTGCTCTTGTATAGAGTTCATCACGTTTCATCCTTGGCAGACATATATCATCAAAATCAATGTGCTTGTGTGTTGTAGTACGATATTAAAACATCACTTATAAAAAGAAGATTAACATTAAGTTTAAGATCTAAAAACTACAATATCACTTACATTTTGAACATTAAGATCAAGATCTGTAATTAAATTTCAGAAAGAGATACTTTTTACACTTGTCTCAGGATGGGTGGCCCGGATGCAGTCCTGAGCCTCCATCTTATGAAGAGGCCAATGTCGTCCTCATTCCACAGCTCAATGTCTAGAGCCCAAAGCGCCGTCTCCTGCGCCATGCGCCAAATCTCAATTCGTGCCACCATCCTTTGGATCGGCGCGGCGCACGCAGCGGGTGCGGACGAAGACCTTTCTTGGCTCAAGTTTGAGGTCTGTGTGGCCTGTTGATTATTAGTAGTGTCCGTCTCTCTCAGCTGCATCGGAGGCGTTGCACAAGTGGCGGGAGGAGCAATCGTGTGCCCCGTTGTCAGCCGGAGCTGGAATTCGTCGAATCGTGACTCCGATTTCAGGTCCACCGTCTCTTGACCGTAACTATACCTGGAAGCATCGCTGAACCAGGCCTCTCGTTAGAAGTAGAAGATTCTTCTAAATCTACAAGAACAGTAGTATGTTGATGCATCTGCTGTTGTAAAGCGGAAGTATCTGGTACTCTAGGGCAGAGTCTAATGACACGCAGAAAACGATGATACAGACACCAAGATATTAGAGTGCTAGTTCTACTTCTACTGCCTTAGCCTTTACACAGTCTAACTATAATAAGATATTTCATTGATATCAATGGTGAAAATGACAATAGTATCGAGTGGTCTACTCTGGTGCAGTTCGTCGTAACATGAAGGCGCTTCCACCAGCATCCCACTGCGTCCAAATGATGGAGTTTCCACCATGGTGCCGCCAACTGTGGTGGGGATCGCAGTCTTCTCCCTCTGTTGTCGGCAAGGTTCACGTCGAGTGCCCGTGGCGTGTAGTTGCTGCGATGCGATGGCTATCCGTGATTTGCTCTCGTCGTGGAGATGTAGTTGCTTGCTATCTTTATGTGCTAGACAAGAAGATGTTGAAGATGCTCTTCCACCAAGATCTTCCACCTTGTCGAGGACGTCCTTCCTGTTGTTGTTATACTCGTGTTCAATGTGCGGTGTAAGGGGCAGTTGTTGGGAATGGATTTCCTTTTCATCTGACTCGAAGGCAAAGTCTTCGTCACAAGGGGCATAGGGAGGAATCAGGAGTTTTTTAGGCATCGGGACATCGTTGTCAAGTGGCCGCGGCTGTTCCAGGCCCAGAGATGAATCAAGTTGACGCTGTTGTTGTTTCATCAAAGCGTAGTGTTCTTGGATCAAGGCTGTTCGTTCCGCAAGCGTTCTCTCCCATGCCTCACCTTGAAAGGAGGCACACTCGCTTAGAGTGACACGCACAGGCGATCCCGGTCTTCTACTAGCAGAGGCAGCGATGGGTAATGTCAACGAAGATGAAGATGTTTTCTGGAGGCCGCCAGGTTGCGGAGGCAATGCGCCACTGCTCATCAGCCCAAGAGCCGCAGGCAGCAACGAAGAGACCTCTCCCGAAGGAGCTTCAGCGCCCAATGGCGGCTCAGCGCCCATTTCCCGCTCTTGATGGACCGCCCGCTTGGACCCTGTTGCAGGGTTCCTAGTGGGTTCGTCCCGCCGTCCGGGAGTGGTTTTCGAGCAGGAGAACTCGAGGACATTACCTTTAGCTCTACCCAGCAACGAAAGAGTAGATTGAGATTCTCTTTGTGTCGTGTCCAGTATCAGCTGTCCTGGTTCCTCGGCAGTATTCATTGCAGTTGCAACTTCTACGTGTTGCCCTTCGAGAACCATTGTTGGAGGTGAAACAGGAGCAGCACTCGCTTTACTTGGACTGGTAGCCGGGGTACTTGTAAAGTCACTCGCGAGGCCCTCGACCACGAAAGATCGACCTTGCTGCGATTGCTCCTGTCCTGTCCGGCTGCGGACGTCGGCACTGCTGTAATTTGACAGCACAGGGGAGAAGGTAAAACTTCTTCGGAGCGCTAAGTTCATTTCTTGACCCGATTGCAGATGAACTGAGGGACTCCGGCTTCCCTCCGTTCTCTCGTCTAAGGAATCCTGAGAAGCTGCCATTTCTCCTGAAACGCGGCTTCGAGGACTGAAGGAGCGGTCCACGGGAAAGCTGTCTCTAACAAGCAGCGTCTCTTCGAGGAGAGGTGTTCGGTCTATTCGGACAGGCGCGATGCCCTCCATTGGCTCTGACGGTGACGTTTCGACTGACGACGGTTCCAATGCAGCTGCGGCCGCGTAGGTTAGGACAGGCGCTATGGAGGACTGCAGAAGTTGCATCGACGGCTCGACGGGCGTCGGCATAAAGGCATAGTGGTCTCCCGTCGGCTCCGGATCTCTGGAAGAACCAGCTTTACGAGCGAGGAACTTGTTAGCTGAAGTTAGTCTGCTAGCGCTCGACGCGGCCGCTCCTGGTATGGCGCCAGAGCCAAAGTCCCAGAGCGGCGTGAACGTACGCTGCGATGCACACGTGAGGTTTGTAGTGGCTGCAAGATGCAAGGACTGCCCTCTTGTCAAGTCTGCCGTACCCGGCACCGTGCTGGGAGACGCTGCCACTTGATTGGAGGCGCTTGAGCCTGCCTCCGAACCAGTACCGCTTAGCTGCCTCGTGGTGTACCTGGAGCCAAAGTCCCAGAGCGGCGTGAACGTACGCTGCGATGCACACGTGAGGTTTGTAGTGGCTGCAAGATGCAACGACTGCCCTCTTGTCAAGTCTGCCGTACCCGGCACCGTGCTGGGAGACGCTGCCACTTGATTGGAGGCGCTTGAGCCTGCCTCCGAACCAGTACCGCTCAGCTGCCTCCAATATCCTGCCAGCACGTCGTCATCCGCACGTCGCTGGTTGTCTCTGCCCTTTGCAAGTCCATGAGCGGGCCCAGCCGATCCATTGTGCGACTCCTCCACTTGATTCCCGGCACTATCAAAGATTCCCGCCGCAGTGCCAGCAGATGACGCGCCGTCTCTAGGACTAGGTCTTTTGATTGACCATGCCACAGCACGATGAGGTGCCAGATATGAGGCTAGTAGTGAGTTTGGTTGTTGTAAGCCCGCGAAACTAGCTGTTGCCTCTACTTGTTGGTGGACCTCCTGATGTTCCATTTTATAAGGTCGCGCAAACCGGGTCGTTGAAGATGCAGCGGTCATCTGTTCGGCACCGCGTGCTGCAGGGGGAGAAAACTCAGCGCGCTCCACCTTGTCATCGAGGGTGAATCCTACTAAATCTTCGACGCTGTCCGAAGAACCCTGACTGCCAGGAACTGTCTGATAGATGGAGCGAAACTGTTGCCCATTAACTGGGACGAAAGCGCGAGCTGTTGGCAGCAGCTTTGGTGTGAGCTCGGGGTCACCAGGTGAGAGCGGTGATGGCACTCTTCCAAGATCTTCATCTTCTTCCACTTTTTGCAACTTCATCATACCCTCGTCAAAATCCGCGGAGAACTCTCTGGCTCGCTGCGCTCGCAAAAAATCCGACATACTGAGGTCACTCTCTGAGAGGTGTTGACCCCCCGCAGGTTGTGTGGGCATGAGGCACGGAGGTGTCGTCAGCGACTCATAATGGGGTGCCCGCCCTTCGGCATTGGGTATTCTTTGCCCCGCGGATGAAGTCGTGTCGACGCACCGGGATGGTGTTGCCCCACTGCGCGAGCCGTTCGTTGACGAGTTCGCGGGAGATTCGATATGAGAGACCGACGAAGACTCGCCTGTTGCGCTGTTCCCTTTTTCAGCAGGTGGAGCTCCTCCTTGAAGATGTTGCTTCTCGTGCATTGGAGTCATGGTTGTAGCAGTCTCTACTTGACTTTCTCTATGCTTCATATCTTGGAGGCGAGAAGAGGATGTGCTGGCCGCATCATTTCTTGTAGTACTTGATGTAGCAGTTCGTTTCCCAGCTCGCGGAAAATCCTTCTCCGTTTCTGCCTCGCCGTCAGCGTCGTGCGTGTCATCAAAAAAGGCTGCCGGTCCTCCTACCGAAAGATCGAAATTGACAAGGAAGTTTCGGTGTTCCTCCTGTAGTTCGGCACTCAACGCTGCGGGATCAACCTCCACTCCCTGCTCTCGTCTCTGCTGTGCAATTTCCCGCAAAAGACATCTGAAATGCAGGTCCTTCGCCTCATCGTCATCCTCATCTCCTTCTTCTTCATCCTCAGCTTCTCGATCTCCTCTTTCGATCCTCGGTTGCAGCTCCTGCTCGTCGTCCGGGTAGACGCTGTGTGTCGCGATTTGGCTGTCACCTCCCAGCACCGCAGGTGGAGGAGCACGAGCATACAACTGCACAAGTGTTTGCAGTCCATCCGCAGCTTCATACTCGTCCTCTCCTCGCGGCAGCACTTGTACGCCGGCAAAAGCGTCATCTTGAAGATGTACTTCCGCCGGTAAGCGAATATGGCCAACTTCTGGTTCCGGGAAGTCTTGTGTGTCTAGAAGACCGCGAGGTTGACGAGGTGTCGGCAAATCCTCAACCTCTGCGGTTGATGCCACTGTACGCGTGTCGTTGCTGGAGAGACAGTCAAAGCCGTAGTCAGGTAGGTCCCATATGTCCTCTAAATTTTTGGTCGGTTCTGGTTTCGCGGCAAGCGCCTGCCGCCAAGCGCGAATCATTCGGTGTGACTTTCCATTCTCGCACTGCACCTATTTAGGGTTTTCCTACATCTTTAGAATCCTGAATGCTGAATCGAAACTCTTTGTACGGAAGAAAAATGCTTACAGTAGACGTAGAGGATACGATTATAACAAAGAAGACAAATACTACTACGTGATGCTATCAAGCTGGCTCTTCATTAAGGGATGTGCGTGACTCACAACAGAGTTCTTGGCAGAAGCACGCTGCGCACTTTTTGCTATTCGGGTAGAAGAGTGGCTGTATAAAAATAATACCCGATCTTTCTTTGACTCCGCGGCGACCAAGATTCGATCCAAGACGTCGAGAGTGGCCGTACCAGAACTATGCCCACCTGTCTCCGCGTCTCTTTAGATGTTGACGATGACTTCTTTCCGAAGCCTTTCATGGTTGGTACTCCAGGGTGGCTTGTATTTCGTTCACCTATACTTTTTCCTGATCTCAATCTATCTGGAGAAGCCAAAAACAATGGATCTGAGTCCTATCTTCTCTCGTCAGCATGACTGTGAGAGTGGAATAGTTATGGTTAAAATATAAGAGATCTCGTACTAGGTGTCTAGTACAAATCTGCATTACAAGAACTTCTTGCACACTTATAAATAATCAACAGTGTTGATTCACCCAACTATCACTATGGCTATATTCTTGCTTAACTCTTTGTGACGGTTTGCTCCAGCGCTTGCAGAGCTTCGAATCCACTACGAAAGCCATCGGGAGCGGCGTCTAGACGGTAGGACCCTTCCACGGCATACCTAGGCTGAGCTCCACTACTCCACATGAAACCGCGGACTCGTGCCGTCTCAGGGTAGTCGCTCACATTTGGATCGTTATCTGGTGGATATTGATTTCTTGGAGGAGATCGATTTCCACTTTGATTAGAGGACAGGAAATTTTCAATATGTTGTATGTGTCGACTAGCAAATCATCTGGAAATTCTTGGAGTGAAGATGGAGACAGAAGTCAGATTGTAGACCGTATGGCACTGACTTCGAGTTCCGTCAATTCGATGGTAGAGAATGGAAAGAGAGTCTCTGAAGGCCACTCTCTACCATCGGCGAGACGATACTGTTTCCAGGGTGTGGCTGCGATACATTGATCGATTGATTGATTGATTGATTGATTGTTGTGCCTATTCGTGAGGTAAAGGGGCTACCTAAGTGCATGAGGGGGAGGGGACTGTTCTTAGTTTTTTTTAGTTCGGGCGGAGTGACTACTTACACGCCTCAGGTTTTCATTGACAGTAGACCACTCGTCGTCAAGTGAAAAATCGTTTTCAATTTTAGTCTTGGAGTCGGTGCATAATGTGACGCTGTTGCAGGCCTTCCTCGTCGGTACTATGCACTGGTAGATATCTAGGAAAGTCTACACTTGCTGCACCCGATCCGCGAATCAGGTGGCCGGCCCAAAGAAAAATCGAATGCGAGAACATGGCGTTTCAGGAAGGTGGGCAGCCAACTAAGAAGAAGACAGAGACGAAGCAATGTTTGGACTCCTTGCTGCGTATCTGATAATCTGTGTACTGGACTTGTTTTAGCTGTTTTTTACTCCTTGCTGTGATGAGTTGCAGCGCGTGCCCCACCTTCTCCAAAGTGAAGAGAGGGAGCAGACTTCGTTCTGGTGCACTGCTGTTGGAAGCACTAGCGAAAGAGTTTGTACTGGTGCCGCTAGTGAAGACTAGTACGGTTTGTTCTGTACCGGTAGCACCCTGTCTTTCGTTGGTTGTCGCGAAAGTGACGTAGCTGGACGTTTCTGTACTAGTGGCACGTCTCGGAGAAATAATAATGCGATGATAGTTCTAGCACCAATTGGATGTAAAAAAGCTATTGTATTTCCACACCGAATAATGACGAAAGGACTAGACGGCGATTAGTTAGGAACTAGTCTACCCCTGCATATTGAATTACTAATCTAGACGAAAGAACTGATTAGAAACGTCTAGTGCACAGCTCGGTGTATATGTAGCAACAGGACTTATGTTCTGAATGAACGAGCCACCGTACTGCACAGGTGTCAAATCCTCAAATGTATCGATTACGGGTCTTCTTCTTGTTTGAATTTTCAAAGAATGCGACAAGGACTTGTATAACTAAGTAGTACTTCTATTAAATAATGAGTGGTCAAAGCAGAATTACGTGTATTGTGATCAGCCGAATCGTGTATGTACCCGATCAGTAGACCCACGATGTCTCGTCCACTAAAGGCAGAAAGTCGCTGGTAACTTCTCGCTAGTAGGACAAGTTTTGAGATTAGAAGATAAATCTATTATATGCATCAAAAGTACCATGTAGACCAGTAACAGGCACTGATATCTATTTCGTTAAACGTATGTAGTAACAATTGACTAGTACTAGTATTTTTAGAGACAGCATACGGCTTGGGACGGTAAGTAATCTTGCTCTAGCTGAGATTGATTTAGATTTCACTCGAGAGAGGTCTCGCTGTCTGAAAAAATGCGGTTCGTAATTCATTAACTCACTTCACGAAAGGGACCTGTGGAAAACCGTTCCCGCTCTTGTCTTTCACGCTGTCACGTCCCTGCTGTGAGAATGTTTCATTGGAGGTTTTATTGTAGCAAACGTTAAGCAAATGGTCGTGCTAGACCTTATCACAGACAAACAAGAGTGCTGTCACACTAAGAAACGATTTCCAGGCAAGAATCTGTAGTACACACAGATGAACTTCCGCACAATTGATTCGCAAACTTTTGATGGACGTGTTGAAGAAACAAACTCTCCTAACTAGCTCGAACGTCTTACACCTACTATGGCATCACGGAAAATTGTAATATTTGCGATCCTTTTTTACACAGGAGGAGTCCTAAATCGCACATACACGACTACCTTTGAGAAACGGCCGCAAGAAGTACTACTATATTGAATGATTGTAGTATAATCTATTCGGTTGCAACAACATAGAATTGGAAAGCTCACAACCGAATTGCTTGATTGATTGATGTGCCTGGGAAGAGGTTGATCTAATTGAGAGGATGGGAAAAGGGAAAGATAATTTCCGTCCGTGTCTTTGTCAGTGGAAAATTTACTTCTGACCCTAGATTTAATTCGGACACAGTCCACAACACGTCAATTACTTTCTTTGTGACGCCGTAACTTCTCTAACCTGCGGATCCTCAAGATCTGCAGCCGAGATTGGGGGATAATTCAGTCATTGCGACAGCAAGCTTCTTGAAGAACGAGGGGAATTTTTTGCATACACTGCTGTTGTTGACTATGTACTATTGCTTTTCCGCAGAAATAAAAAGGAGGTCAATGTTTTCGAGCCACAGACACGAAAACTAACGTCACAGGAAACACAAGTTTGTCTCTGTCATGTACTTGTACTAAATTTCTTTTCATGAGGATCTACTTGGGCAAAAATTCTACAGGGAAAATTCTTCTTGAGATCTTCAGGTTGGATTTCATGACTTAGAGAAGATGATCACCAGCGACTGACGATGACACAAGAGCAGATGGATAAAAATGCAAGTAGTTGTGTCTCAGATGAAGGTTTATCTTTCCGTACTCCTAGAAGAACACTCTGTCATGTTCTGGGTTTGCTACATCAATTTTAGACCCAGCACCGGACGCCTGCACATGCAAGGAGCGACCTAATTGTGGATGTTGCGAACTAGTTTTCTTTGTCGTTTTCACCCTGAATATAATACTCAGGGAGCGAATAGGAGAACGATCGCCAACTGCCGTCAGTGACCAATGTGAAACTACCCTGAAGTGGACTCATTCATAAATCGCCCTCGTCGGTGAAATACATCCATGTGCATAGCAGATATTTGATACTTACATTCATAGAGGTCTTGAATGCAAATTGGATATTGATATGGTGTCTGTGTCCTTCTTGCACTACAAAAAAAAAAGTAAAATAAAGAACTGAATTGAACAAGATAAGCGGGAATCGATGAGAAGCCACGGCAAACGTAAACGCCCGTTCGTGGCTACGTTCGCCTGTAGACTCTGCGCATCTCTGCTTAGGCGTTTCAAAAAGTTTAGATTAATTTTTTTTTAGGATGAAAATCATCCGAATATTGATTAGGTTGTTCGACGGTGGGTCAGCTCCTGAAACAACCTCCGAGTTGGCCTTGTTCATACTACGCAATCTCTGCACACTTGTAGAAACTGCAATTATCTCATGTCCTTCAACAGAAGCACAGACAATTAAACTATATTAGCCCTAAAGTTATGCTTGCTGGAGCACAATCATCTTGGGCAACGCCTTGCGCAAATTATAGTGGTTCTTGTAAAAAAGAACGCCGCCCAAATCATTCTCACATCGTCGTCCGCACCTAATAGCGGTATTCCTCCGGCTTGTATGGTCCGTCCTGTGGGACGTTGATGTACTCAGCCTGCTCCGCAGTCAGTTTTGTCAACTTAGCGCCCAGGGCCGGGAGATGGAGGCGGGCAACCTTTTCATCCAACTCCTTCGGGAGACGGTACACCTGGACACGGGAGATGATTTAGAACATCTTCCGTAGCTGATTCTCTATAAAGCATTCTTCTGTCCTCGGTAAAGATCATAACACGACTATAATTAGAACAAAGTACAACAACATTATGGGCGTTTTCCTCTCACGACAAGCGAATACTTCGTATCTGAACATCAAGTGGTATCTATGCCTGGTCCACGCCGTAGGGTTTGCGGTTCTGGCGCTTCAGCACGTTGCTGCCCTTCCAGTTATCGAGGAGATCTAATTGGGCAATGGTTTGGTTCGTGAAGGAGCAGGACATCACGAAAGATGGGTGTCCAGTAGCACAGCCCAAGTTCAACAATCGACCGCTGGCCAGCACGATCACTCCATGCCCATCCGGGAAGACGAATCTATAGATATTGAGAGGATCAGTTGAAATCAAGAAAAAGTGACTCCTGCGTGGTGGGATCTCATATCTTTAAAATATTTTAGTATCGAATGCGAATAAAATTACTGTTGTGGTGTGCATCTGATGCTCTTGTTGAATAGTTCAAGTTCATGATATTTTTCAAATCAGATGAGAGTAGGTGTCTACCGGTCGACTTGCGGCTTGATGTTTTCCATCTTGATGCCGGGGAAGGACTCGAGGCCGGCCATGTCGATTTCATTGTCGAAGTGTCCGATGTTTCCGACAATAGCGTTGTTCTTCATTTTGGCCATGTGTTCTTTGGTGATGATGTTGAAGTTGCCAGTGGTGGTGATAAATATGTCGACTTCGTTGATGACGTCCTCAATGGTTGTCACCTCGTAGCCCTCCATGCAGGCCTGCAAAGCGCAAATCGGATCACACTCCGCGATCATCACGCGGGCTCCTGCGCCCTTCATGGCCATGGCGGAACCCTTTCCGACATCACCATAGCCGCAAACCAGAACGCGCTTGCCGCCGATCATTACATCAGTGGCGCGCATCAGTCCGTCCGGGAGAGAGTGGCGGCACCCATACACGTTGTCGAACTTCGACTTAGTCACGCAATCGTTCACGTTTATTGCCGGGAACAGCAGCTCGCCCTTGGTGGCCATCTCCTTCAATCGGTGAACACCCGTCGTGGTCTCCTCGGAAACACCTGACCATTCAGAAATTTCGAAAAGAAGGAGTTGGAGTTCAAGAAAGATTTACTAAATAGTCGCACAAACAAGTGAAAAATTTTCTGGGGCTACAAAGAAATGCGATTTATTGGTTGTAGCTCTTGAAAACCTCTGCCGTACCTATATTTCATTATTTTTATACAAAAAGTGTAAGCAACGTTTGAAATTTTTTTACCTTTCACAGCAGCGGCGATTCGAGTCCACTTTTTGGGGTCTGCTTGAATCGACTTGCGCAGAACACTCAAAACGCACTTAAACTCCGGATTGCTCGAGGAATTCGGGTCCGGTAAAGAACCGTCAGCAGCAAACTTCTCCTCCCATTCCTTTCCTGCGTTTTGGAAGAGTGGAAAGAGTGGGTTTTGACAGAGTAGAAAGGGTGGGCTTTGAGAGAGTGGAGGGAGTAGAGAGGGCGGGTTGGCTTTGAGAAAGTGTACGGGGGAGTGCGTTTTGAGAGAGTGAAAAGGGTGGCTTTTCAGAGAGTGGATAGGGTGGGTTTTGAGACAGAAATAAAGAGAGAGAGAAGATTGGGGAATCTGATTCGTATAATTGTATCATGTACAACATTCATATCGATGAAATAAAAAGAGATTTACATTTCCTCGATGACCTATTTGAATTTTATCAAGTTTTCTACCCTTGTGAATGAGCATCGTCGCGTCACCTCCATCGTCGACAATCAAGTCCGGTCCGGAGCCGTCCGGCCATACCAGAGTTTTTTCAGTACAGTCCCAGTATTCCTCGAGCGTCTCACCCTTCCAGGCGAAGACGACCGAGGTGCCAGCCTTCGCGACTGCGGCAGCTGCATGGTCCTGGGTCGAGAAGATGTTACAACTGCACCAGCGCACGTCGGCGCCCATCTCTGCCAAGGTTTCAATCAAAACTGCGGTCTGAATGGTCATATGCAGAGAACCAGCAATCTTCACACCCGCGAACGGTTTCTGGGCTCCGTACTCTTTGCGGCAGTTAATCAGACCAGGCATCTCATGCTCCGCCAAGTTCAGCTCCTTGCGGCCGAAATCGGCCAAGTTGATATCTGCGATTTTGCTCTCCATCTTGATTTCCTTGAAAAAACAAATTGAAATTTGTTTTCTTCAAATAGAAATGAAAAGTTAACCAGAACTAGATGTTGTTAGAGAAATGCCTAGTAAAATATAGGTACAAGTATTCATAAATACAATTATCACCGTTGACAGACTGTAACAATTGTAGGGAATAGCTGATTTGAAGAGTACGTCGGATTAGAATCTGATCAAAAAACTGCATACGCCTGCAAAATAAGTAGCCATAGCTAAATCATCGGCGTCTCATCAACTCGTCTTTCACAACACTCCGACAGGGCGATTGTACTCACCACACTTGAACACACACCGATCTAATAATCGGAGATGATCAACTCCCTTGCAACGTTGAAAACTGGAACTCTGATGTTGATAAGTTTGTAGACCATAGAACAACATAGGAATCTTGTTGTTTTGCCTCGTCTACTAGCGTACTTCGAAGAACTTCTGACTATCTTATCGAAACACTCGTAAATTCTGTTTGATAAATCTGCATGATCGCGCTTCAAAACGAAAAGAAACCTTGTTTGTCTTTCTTCAGTCGGAACGATATAATTGTACAATATATTCATACATAGTAGAAGATGGAAGATTAAATAAAATATATATATATATAAGAAGCGTTACATCTTTTATGGATTCCTAGTACAATTAGAAAAATTAAACTAGAATTATACGACGAAAAATCTCGAATAACAATCCTACGTTACGATCTGGATCCTCAGGCAAGGACGTCCGAGTCTCGCGATGACGTGCTGGCGGAGGAATTTCGCCACGATCCATCGGAGCTGCTTTCATCTTCCGAACTATCTTCGTCGAGAGATTAGAAATAGAAATGACTCAATCTTTATGAAGAAATACACAGAAAATCTTAAGTACTAGACGCATTATAGGCTAGCATCGCATTAGGATAAGATACAGAATAGGATGCTCCAGCTACTTCTCGGCAACAGACGCAGAGGCAAAGATCTCCTTCAGAGAAAGTAAGAACAGAAAGCTACCATATAATGAACGATGTAGTTGATCTCTATCTCATGTTATTTTCAGATAAGTATCTTGTTGCATATGCACCGCCTAATAGTAGCTCCCTGAGCGGTCCGGCGCGTCGTTTTCTTGACCGTATATCGCAACAGTGTAGTTGGGCCCACATTCTACGTATTGCGTGAACCGAGGTAAGAGATGGTAGCAGAGACGCGGCCGGTTCATAGCGGATTTGATCAAGGACTCCACTTCTGCCTCCGCATCTTCTACTTTTTTCTCCAACGGGTCTGGTTGGAAGGGTGTGTAACGCAGTACTCCCCAGGCGTAAACGTTGCCCTTCTCAGTTGCGACGCAGCTGTGATAACGCCCAGCACTTACGCGAAAACACTCGTCCGCTTGCTCTATTCGTGCATTAGAATATATTATCAGACGAGACCCACCTCATTATAGCATATATACTAGGAAGGAGGAAGAAACAGACTTCAGCAAGACATGATTTCAATGCTAGTGATGGAGCCAGCGTAACTAGACGAAACAAAAGGAGGAGCCTAACTACAAAAATGAGAATCCAATATGTTTTTTACACGACTGCTACAAGTAAACGTTGTTGTAACAACGGGGGCATTACTTTCCGTTTTCAACCAAGCATAACCTCGCCTTGGTCCAAGGACGCCGAGCGTCGCTCTGGATTACCCGTCGCTTTTTTGGCCATCAGCAAGCCATCCTGGTGAAAGGTGCCCGGTTGTAGTACAGGACGCGGCAAGAGGACACGCTCGCCCAGCAGACCATTCCGGGAACGCGATTGCAACCCGCAGCCGCACTGGCCATAGGTATCATCACCGAAAGCCCAAACAGTCCCACTTATTCCGAGAGGCGTTAGAAGCTTTCTACCCCTTCTGAGTCGAGTCGTAGGATGATCAGACTCAACAGAACCATAAAAATCCTAGTACTTAGTTATGTACACTAAAAGAACGACGTGGCAATGTTTACAATTCTAGCGAAAGTCTAAGGAAGTTGCAATTTGCTAACCATGATGTCGTGATATGCATAGAGCTGATGCGCTCTAAGAAAGCAAGCTTAAACAGAGTGTGTGCCTTTCCCCGCCGCTGATTTCTACAATGGGTTCGCCGACCTGTAGCGGCTCACCGAAGCACAAACTTGACGTGCCGCCAGCGACCGCACCAGAAGCATTTTCCCCGTACGAACCATCGCCGAAGGCATACACAAAGCCATTCTCATCGAGCACCAGGGTCGCGCACGCTGTGCAAGCGATTGAGGAGACACGCGCATTCCCTGGTAGTGAGCTGGAGGACGCGGAACTGCGAAAAAACCCGGCGGCCTGGAAGGCTGTCTTAGAACTGGTCGCATTGAAAGAAACTAGTATGTATTACTCTAGTATCCCAGTGGTGTCAATGAAGTCTATCGATCCTCATCTTCAAACTTGTGAAGCATAAAAAGAACGCACTTTCTTCCCCTTGATGGCGATGATGCGTTTCCTCTTCTTGTGATGAATGCAATACAATACAATAAAACCCAACTAATCTCGCACAAAGTTCAGTGCAGACTGCCTTAAGGGCGTCATAGATGGTCTACAGGATAAATCTCACGCAAAGAATGGAATAGCGAAGCGGTGCGGTTACGTTTGTTTTGGAAAGTAACAACTTAACAGGAATCAGCACTGAAAGAGAGACTTAGACACCCCTAACATCCTTCGTGAAAAGCAAAAGAATTGATTCCTATTCCTAAGAGAGATGCGCTATAGACAAGCAGGTGGAAATCAGCTCAAAAAAGAGTCATAAGTGTGGGCACTTCGAACGCTTTGCAGAGAAACGGCACAATACCCCAGTGGTATAGACGGCCCTCGGCTGTCGCGCAAACGGAGTATTGGTTGCGCACCTGCACAGAACTAATGTACGGGTGGTAGTACAGACTGTCACGTTCTAGCCCAGGAAGAACCAGACCACCAGTACGGTTTCTGGTGCTCAGGCCGACCGCCGGCGACCGATCCGTCGTTATTAGACAAAATTAGTCAGATTAATTAAATAGGTTATTAACTATATATTCTGTAAGAAGTTGTTTGAAGGGAAGATAAGCCTAGGGATAGGGGTGAAAACTGGCCGGTTGCTTTACTTTAGTGCTTTAAGCGTCGCTGGACCTCTTAAGCCCCTTCCTTATAAAAAGGAAGAAGCCAATCAAGAATCAATCTTCATATTCTGTAGTAAGAAGATAGAGACACACATAGTTCATGCCATCTTTTTTAGCATGCGTCTCGATCTCGTTTCCAGTTGATTAACACAAGTCAGTTGAAAGTCAATGCTCGTCTTCAGGGATTATACGACGAGAGGTGAATCAAATCTCTAGCTGCAGAGGTGCAGAGGACCCTTAAATTACTATCACCGCCAACAGGGGAAGGATTGTCTTCTGATGTGGAGGAGCCGTGCTGACGATTCGGATGGCCATCGGTTTCGAGTAATTTACGCTTTCCACGATAAGAACGCGGCCCACAACGGAATACAGTCGATGGGTCGTCAGCCAAGGCAGCATCGAAAAGCATCAGCTCCTGTGCGCCAGGTTCGCTTTCCCAAGACAGGGTCGAAGTGGTGGCCATTCTCCCTCCTTCGCTTCGGGATCTTAAGTTCTTAGAGCTGCTAAAAATTCGTATCTATAGATACCTCTAAGATTGACTCCTGCTGAGAGCACATGATATTCGAAATTCGTACACATTATTATAACATTCTTCATCTCAGCTGCATCTGCGACTTCATATAAGTCTTATAGTACTTGTAACGGACAGAAGAACCCGATAAGACGACTGTGCGCCGGCCATATTCATAAGTAAGTAGTAGTAGACACGAAGTAACATGTATAAGGGTGAAGGTGAGTGAGCCTTAATTGTGGGCGCACGGGCTGGCACGTCGTCTGCGAGCGGGTTTTGACGTCCTAGTCCGCAGAGGACAGGATCCCCATGACCGTAAAGGAATCCGTCTTGACACAGAACCAAAGTATGGTCGCTTCCGCAAGCAAGGTAAAGCGCCGCATTAGGCAGTTTCAGGTGGAGGAACTCAGCTACGTGTCCAACCACAAAGGACTGACACCAGCCGTATAGCCCGACCGCGCCGCCGAGACGAAATGAACTAGACTAGTCTTCTAAGGACGAGCAGCGTCGTTCGGTGTTCCTATTCATACTAGTAATCGATTTTTTCATCTTGTGGGGGAAGAGGGTAAGGAGCTACGTTATAATATAAACATTGTTGAAAAGAAAAATGAGGGTGCTTGAATTCGAAATTGAATAGGAATGTAATGATATCCCATCTACAAGTAGGAATAAGTCAACGCGATGAAGATAGCAGAAGTTTTATGAAAACCAAAGCATACAGTGAGGATTCCGAAAAACTGTGGTCCACAAGAAACCTGCTTGACGCCCTGCCTCTGCAAGAGTGTGAAGAATGGTAGAGGGCGTGGTTTTTTCGGCGCGCTGCGTTCATTTTTCGACGGTTTTTTGGGTGCTGGAGTAGGTTGCAAGAGCTGCGTGGTCGCTCCCCTCGCCATTTGCCCCGAAGGTTTCACTTGTGCGTCCATTTCGCTGATGTTTGCACTCGCTTCTCCTTCCCCCGCTGATGCAGCAGACGTTGGTTGGGAATCTGTAGTAAGATGCTTAAGCACCCTGTCTTGCAAAACCTCGCTTTTAGCAGTGGCATCGCGCTGTGCCTCTTCGGCGACGGCCGCGGCGATCTCCTCACGGTCCGGCAAAGGAAAAAGACCCTCCTCATTGGGTGTTCCATGCGGCGTAACCATGTTCTGCCCAAGGACATCCTCCCTTTCCTTTTCGCTGTCGCTCACCGTTTCATAGTAGGTGCTAGAAGACGACACGCGGGTGTTCGGATCCCCGACCGAACCGCCTGTTCTGCCACTTCCTGCGGCTGCATCAGACGCACGCGACGAGGCCGCAGATTTCTCTGGCGCCAGCTCATCCGGTGTTACGGGTTTTGGTGTACCGGTGCCCTCGGTGGGACTAGTTTTAGGAGGTGCCTGTTGTGATGCAGAACTCGCTCTGAAAACAAGGGAGTTTCCTGAGGCATGCGCACCATTATCTGCTATTTTTTCATCAGCAGTTGCGCCTTCCTTTGCGGACTGCGTTTGGCCAATAGCTAAGCCCGATTCTACATCAACAATTTTTTCGGTACTAGAAATTCCTGTTTTGGTCGCGCTTGTCGAGGAGCGCGCGTTCTCTTCATGATCAGGAACTCCTCCGTTTTTATTACCCACTGCCGCGACTGCGGCTTCCTCCACGCCATCGTCAGGCGGCATAGTGATTTGGACGTGGTCACAGTCCACTCCCGGAGCTGCATTATCGTCCGAAGCTGGTGCAGAGGACCGAGTTGTGGTGCGCGCCTGGGTCATCCGATGGATATCTCCTCCGGGCTTCGCCACACGCGCTACTAGCGAGCGGAAGCGTCTTAATCCCTGGCCGACCCGGCTTGTGCTGTTACTGGCAAAGACAGCGTCTTCGCCTTGTGATGCGGAGCCATCTGCGCCTGCTCCTGCATCATCAGCGTTTAGGCTTGTCCTTGTGCCGGAACTTTGGAAAGGACGTGAATTAGCGCAGGTACTTGGTTCTCCATATAATACGAACAACGAACTCAGTTGAGAAGTCTCTGTCCACATGTGGTCCTTTTCTGAATCGTCCCATGAAAGTTTCCCAGGACGAAAAACCAGAAGTACTTACATCGACCTCGACGGTAAAAAAAAAAGGTGCTAGATACTCAGAAAATCTCAAGAATCATGCCACTGATACTGAAGGACCACTCCTACGCATCTTCTTAAGTAGAGGCGCAGCAAAAGCGAGCGGGGTGACTGCGCTTACAACGGTGTCCGCCACATTCGTCGCAGTGTCGATAACGAGAGTGTGTGCCCGTCGAGGAAAGGCAGGTGAGCTTGTTCTCTTTCGATACTCTGAGGAAACCCTTCCCGTTGATTGCGCTAGAATCTGCGCCCTTTCTCGGTCTGCTATTAGAACAGTAAAAATATCTAAGAGAACAAGACTAGCTCCCTATATCGGACCCCATATGTGCAACCCACATGGACCTCATATAGAATGGGGCTAGACTCCCATATATCCGAGAACAAAAGTAGTAGCTCCCACATGTTCTCCTGACTGTTCTCTGGTGATACATACATGAGAGAACAACTGCTAACACTATAGTTCTGTGGTGAATAACATGCCGCACAAGGAAAATGGATCCTCTCGCGAACAATCAATAGTAGATCTCTTACTGAGTCCGTTTCCGTAATGCTGAGCCAGAATCTGGGTCTGTGTCACGCCGTAGCCCCCGCAAACTCGGTGACCGTTCGCTTTCGCCAGACCGCCCGTCCGTGTCGGAATCTATGGATTAGACCTTGAGGGCTTTAATGACTCGTCTCGTAGATCATGTAGTCTAGCATGCGTAAAAATATCCGAATGTTCGTATTAGCAGGGTACAAACTAGGAGACGCAAATGTAGTTCATCAAAGCCTTAATCAGAGCTCGACTCTTCGTCCTCTTCTTCCCAACGCAAAAAGTCGTCCTCATCGCCTCCGAATAAGGGGTTTCGCCGTTTCAAGGTAAATTTATCCAAATTTTTGAAAACACCATACACCACCACCTCAATTTGCTCGCGCTGCTTGCTCCAGGTCCCTGGTTCAGAAGACACCAAAGGCCTGTCTGTTGTTCTCGATGAGCGCACCACACGTGGCGAACTCAAGCCTGGCGGCAGAGACTGAACGCTTGCACCATTTGTAGGACGCATTTTGTTTACAGAAAGTGTTCAACCAGCTGTAAAAATGATTTCATCGATGTCCATAATTGGTTTAGAGAGAACTCGGGTTGCAAGCCTGATCTGTCATGTTCTAAGCCTAACCTCTCAGTTTCATAATCACGCCACAGGAGTCAGTCTTCTACAAGCGCCAGTAAAATTCCTTCATGATCATCATCAATCTAGTACTTCTAGCTTCTCTCGAGACACGGATGCCAGCCACTCGGTTTCTTTCGACTGCGAGAATCTCGCATTCCGCGAACGTTGACAAATCACGGAGCAACGCATGATGATCCCTCAAACTGACTTACGTACCTCTCGAGTACTTCACGCGCTCTCTTGCCGTGCGGCCATGTCTCTCTCTTGGAGGTGCGCTTGCTTCGTTTTTCCAACATCCGCCAGCTCCCTGACTAAAGTAAGGCAAGCCTCGACTTTCCACGTGGCACCATAATCTGCGGTCCTTTTGCTCTAAAGCAAGACTGCCTGCGTCGACCTATTCGATGTGGTTCCCTTGCCATGGGCATGTTACGTGAACACAAAGCCTGCGACTGAGAACAACAAGAACAAACCAAATAAAGTCTGCGCGAGTGTCGCATGTGTCGCATTCGGCTCCGTTACCTCCTGTCGTCTGTGCTAGCTATGCTATTTTCACTGCAAGCTATAACACAAATCAACATTTTTGAGTCGGCCTCTTCAAGTTTCAGTCCTGCGCAAATTTCAAGCAGTGAGCAATGCCTTCATGAGTGGCTCTACCTGTTTTCTTGACTTTTCCGTCCGCTGCTGTCGGTACACGGCAAACAGTCGTGACGCAGGCTCTCCTGGGGTTATCGCGATCTCCTCCAATCCCATCTCTGTCATAAATTAGAGCATCACTGGTCAGGACCCATTTGCGGACCGATGGTTTCTTTGTTGTTTACTGTATGCGAATAGAGTTGCAATGCCACTGATTCTAAGAAAGATCATCCTTCATCTAGTCTCTCGCAAAACAAGTAGTCCGAAGTTAGAACGCAATCGATGTTTTTGTTGTTGTTGTTGTTGTTGTTGTTCTTGTTGTTTCAATACACCAGAAGCCATAATTAAGACCCGTCGCAAGCATTGCGATGTCTACCACAGCTCCCTTGGCTTCGTCTTGTCCCTCAGTCGATGCTGCTGTACTATACAACCCACAGTGCTTGACCATATCTTTATCGGAACTGAGGATGACCAGAGCGTGAGTGCTCCGCGATGCACAGAAAGCCTTCATGTCGTCACACAATAGCCCGACTGCCCATTTATCGAGCACAGCTGGCAGCTGGATCGGCAGCGTTGCGAATCCAATCTTCACTGTTGTTTGTGTCGCAGTTTTTTCTTAGATGGAGCTGACATATTTCTATCTGACAGTTTTACATGAAAGAAATTTAAGCTGCTTCGACGTCTTTCCCCGTAGAGAAAGCCAGGCACTACAACCACTAGACATCTTCATTACTCAGGCACTTCTGTGAGTCTGTTGTAACAGTAAGCTTTCATTCAATCATTGCGGCCATAAGAGCAGTACTGGAACTGTTTGTAGTCGCCCGCGAGAAGAGCGGGGAACCCGAGAGCGAGGTTGCGTTCCAAATCGAACTTTATTTCGAAGAGGTCTTGGCAAATGCCTGACCTGTCAAGATTTTTCGCCTGTGACGCGTAGCGCTCCAACGCCTGATCAAATACCTCCTGATCACCGATCACTGACCATTTGCTTCCCTTCGTCGCATCCGCGAAATTTCTTGTGTCGCAGAGGATAGCACCTGCGAGCAAACGGAAAACTTCACCTTCGTCCTCTAGTGCTTGTGCTCCATTTTCAGCTGTCGGCGTGAAGCCTTTCTTTGCGGAAGCAGATGCTGTTCGTGTCAAAAGACGGCTAAGAACCAAGCTAGCACAGCTGCCAACGATCTTTTCTGGGCCGCAGAGCGATGGCGCATGAATCTCCACGTCGGAGTTTGTTCCATCTGGTCGTGCTAGCAATTCGCGAAACGACGCGCCAGCGTCCTCGTGGTGGTCAAGGCAGCCCACGATGCGACCGCGCAGAAAGGCACGCTGACCAGGATCCACTTCGTTGTGGTCTACAAGGTGGAAAACAGTACTGTTTGTAGAAGGACTCACACTTTCGCTGCCACAACAGACCGTCGTTGTTTCGTGCTCAGATGAAACTGAAAGGATATCTTGAACATCTTCGGGAAAAAACGATAAGTCGTGTAGGCTCAGGCCGAAATACTTTTCTAGCCAATACGCTTGCTGCAGTAGCTGCGGGAAAGCGCGTCGCTGGTAGTTCAATAGCGGAATAACATGCGTAGTCGTATCCTCCTGTGATCCTAAACCACCCTCCCCACTTCGTTTCTGCTGCTCGCTCTGCAGATGATACGCGAAACCGATAGCGGAACACACACTGTCCAGATCGCAGGAGGTATTACCGACCACGAACAGAAGTCTGCTTTTCGGTCCACTTGCAGCATTCGCGTGGCTAAGGAGGCGCTGTCTTGCGCTTCGACAAAATAGCTTGATCGCCGTCCCTTTTCCGCTAGCGTCTACTATTGTGGAAGGTGCTGCCATCTTCGTAATGCTGACGAGACTTCAATGATGATTCGTAAACGAGTAAGCCGAAAATGAACAATGAATCATAGACCTCTCCTTAGCAACATTTCGAACTACTCCTATCCATTTTTTTACGAAACAAACAATTGCGAAATGAAAAGTTTTGCTAACTTTGAAGCAAAGCCGCAGTTCTCGCTTCAGCGAGTTGAATATTGGCATCCCGAGTCGGAACTCAAAGAAGAACGGCATAGAGCTACTGAAGAGCTCAGTTGAAAAGTCAATGGATCCACAGGTACAACGAACAGGGTCTTCGGCGTAAAAATCACTGTTCTTTCAAGTTACTTACGCGGAACAAGAAGACTTCTTGTTCCGCGTAAGTAAGTGGTTTCTTTCTTCAAAATCAACAAGACATGATCAAGAACAAGATTTGTAAACCCCAATCTTCACTAATAAGTTCATCAGGTTCGGGCGAAGCCGTCGATGAGTTTGTAAGATAGAAAGTCATTCCATATACGAAACCCGCCTCTAAACATCCAGAGACAGGCCAGCTGGATAGGCAGGATGATGTATAACCAGACGAAAAGGTACCACCAGAAGTGCAAGCATGGCGCCTGACCGTAGGCACGGTCCTCGTAGAAGTCTAATATGTTGTAAGCCGTACTGACAGAATCGATTTTCTCTAGATGCTCGATTACCAAAGGCTGAAACATTTCCTCCACTGTGAAGACGACGTGGTGCGCCGCATTGCTCTTTATCTTAGCATTTGCGAGCGTTGTTGTAGACAGAGTCTTTGTATTCGCTTCCTCTGTCGTAGCCGCAGCTTCATCACTCGCACAACTCTCGGTTTCTCGACTCGCACTGCACGTCGTGTCGACCGGCTCTCGCGCTGTGTCGCCAGTCTGGCAGCTCGCTGTCTTGTCTGCTCGATCAAGGTCTCTTGTGTCCCCCGAAATGGACGACGAGGTGCTTCTATGTGCAGAGGTGCTATCTGCAACATCATCCGTGTACCGATTTTGGCCCCCAGCACTGCTGCTGCAAGTCGTTGATGCGGTGACGTCTTGTCTTTGCAATACTCCTGTTGTTGAAACACTTGTTTGATGTTCCCTTTCTCCTGGTGCCACTTCAGCTGCTGCGTCCCTTTCTGTTGCCATTCTTTTTGCGCGTGCTGCCGCTTCTTTCCTTTTTCGCGCTCTCTTGGCTCCCGCAATTCCCCCTCGCGCGTCCCAATAGAGCCAGTCTGGTGGATCCTCCTCTTTCCGCAAGACGCAAGTGACGTCCTCAGGGACGCCGATTACTGCTCCATCCGTGCTGTGAACATCCACCCACTGTCGAATGCGTTCCGGAGAAGTGAGCATGGCGTCTGTGTCTTCTTTAGAGCTCACCCGAATCCACATTGAGATTCATTTCGAGGCTGCTGTCCCCTTGGATATCGGAGGGCTTCAACATAATGCTTCAGAAGATGAATTAGCGTGAGCCTTAATTCTTGCCGATACGCGCAAAAGCCTGTATCCAAAATACGGGTCCTTCCGCATGAAAAACGACCCATCAATCCACAGAAACGTCTCATTGAAATGCGAAGCCCCACCGGCGAGCTCATAAGCAACAGTGCCATCTGAGTGGAGACAGATGAAATGATGAACATCGATATTTTATAGATCCGCTATAATTCTTTCGAGTTTTAGTTACATTTACTCTACTTACGCGAGAGAGACTACTTCTGTTAGTACTTGTTGAATCTAGAAGATCTGTAAGTAACCAAGTGCTAAAAAAATAAAGTGTTAAATGAAATACCGTTTGCTTCCTCACAGGCGTAGAGGTATAGTCTTGCAGCCATGTAGTGCGCTCTTTCCTCGAAATAGACCGTCGCGAGCCCTGGAACTCTCCGCTTCATCAACGCTCGATAGTCGTCGTTTTTGCGAAAGAAGTTTGTGCTCCACGACAATGAAAAACACGTTGGATATTAAATAATCTCATGTTGTAAAAAGCAAGCGTGAAAAAAGTGCAATACCATCAGGTTGGAGACTGGGGAGGTCCGTTCCACCTTCAAGTGTCATTTAGTCCATAACGCTAGTCTACCTACTGCGTTAATACAAATACGCCGTAGATCCTAAAAATATGTACCCTCTCCCTGGAGGTCTCCGACCAAAGAAGTGCTGTGCTGTCAGCGTGTTCTACTTCTAACTATGTATCTCCGAAAAACATAATCCAAGTAACCTTCCACGATTAGAAATTCATTTCGTCTCTTTGCGCATACAATTAGTCTTTCATAAAAGAACCAGTAGAGCGCTTCGATTGGGTACTGAAAACTTGCGCGTGACATTGAGTCGTAAAACATGCTCTCCTCGAAGTCAATAGGGGAGCACGGATACTTCTCCAGCAGAGCGACCTGGTACAGGGGTATGAACTCCGGCTTCTGACTATGAAAGAAGAGGGTTGTAGTTGTACAAATACAAATAATAGGTCTTCGTAGTTTGGATTATAATTTGTCAAGAAAAGTATGGGTTTGGAACTGATTACTCTACTAACAGCCAATCATAAGGAACAAAGTTGCACAATTTTTACTAGCTTTTAGTGTTGTTGTTGTAGATTTCTCTCTTTTTAGTCATCCATCTTTCACGAAGCAGACTTTTTGTATTCGACTTGCAGAAGAGAATGTAGACTTCTTCGTAACTGTGGCCCCCATTTGCGAATTCGCGCAAATGTTGCACTGTCCGACGATGTCGTATTTCCCCGTTCTTGCTTTCGTGAAAGTTAGAGCGCTAAAAACAACGTGATATAAGGAGTTTAGTCAAAAAATCTTCTTGACAAGAGTGCTTGCCAGTCGTGGCTCATATGGGGACTTCGGAGGACAAGTACAACTACAGAGAAGTTATAAAGACTCGCAAATTTTTGATGGGCATCGAGTCAAGATGAAGAGGAGATTTTTGTCGGGATCACGACCATTCGATATATCGACATCGACAAATCCTCCTATTGGCCGCAACATTCATTTTCTGGACTTCCCATTTTTCCAGTCCGAAAAGGGCATGAGGCTTTTTCCCCCTTTCTCTTAGCTGCTCAAATAAGCGTAGACCCTCCTCTGTGCCATCACGTCCGAAAAACTTGCGACTCCGCACACCCAAAACTGAGATGGAAATTCCCAACCCTTTCGGCAAGGAAACCAGTGCGGCGCTGAAATGGCGGTTCTGCTGAAAAAAGGCTCCTTTGGCTCTCTTCATCATGGCGTGGTCGTCGTTGGTCAAAGAAGAAAATCAAGTTTTTACTTTTCTTGATTGCGCCTGCAGCTTTTTCTGCACAGTGAACCTCGAGCTAAAATCCTTATCACGCCCGTTCCCGGTGTGTTTTGAGCACGTAAAGACGAAGTGACTCGGTGAATATGAACCCTGGCCCTCAGGCAAAGATGCTGCATTAGACGGCACCTCTCTCAGACGAAGAGGATCTAAGAGATCCCACCGAGACTGTGGTTCTCAGCAGGAAAGTCTTCAGCATAAGAGGGTCCTCAGGAAGCCGTCAAAAAACGCCTTTACAAAAGCCTCATTTTCTGAGCTACGCAATAAAAACCTACTACTAGGTAGTACTTAGCTGTTTGATTCAAACCGAATGAAACAACAAGGAACAGAATATTATTCTATGAAGCTTGTAACAATCTGAAACACATTTTTTTCTCAAGGCGCGCGCTTCTTTCCCTCTCCAGCTGCTCTCCTTCCTTAGATCTCTCTTACCAACTCAGTTACTCCAACGTCTCTGCACGAAATGCACCTGAGAAAGAGAAACTGGCCATTTCGCTGAAGCCTAGCAAAATACAACTTTCGCTGGTTGTATCATGCTCCTGAGGGCAAGTCCAAAAGGCTGTACTAGAACACTGTCTATTGTGCTGAGGTGACCTGAACAGCCTACACGGCGTACCTACGTAACCAATGCATGTATATGCTAAGATTACGCGTCGTTTTTTTTCTCTGCTTGGAACAGAAGACTGGGAAATTCATCATTATTTTCTGTTTTCAATATTCTTTCTGAATCTTTATTGCCAGGGGAGGCTTATTTTCTTTCATTGTTTCTTTTTTTAATATGCAGTATCTTTTGAGGTGGTAAATCTCTCTCCTTAATTCTTCAACAAATAACAACAACCTGTTTCGTACATCATAATTTTTTAATCTCTTAGCCTGATCGACTTTCTTGTCAGGTTTATCTTCATTTTTGATCATTTCATTATTTGTGACACTGTTTGATTCTTTATCTCATGCCGCGCTTATATGGCGGTCTTTCTTACTTTTGTTTTCTTTGCATTTTTATGGGGCATTCATTTCATACTTCTTCGAAGATGGACCTACTAGATTCTATCATTTTTGATCTGCTGACTTCATCTACTCATAATGCTTATAACTTACAATCTCAAATACAGACTTCATCATACACATTAATAATTTTCTCATGATCATGTTGTGGGGAATCAAAATATTACGAACATACGAACGTGCTATCTTCATCTACTACGAACATAATATCTTCATCTATCTTGCACCTATGCACTCGGAATCGAGGGTGTCGATAATTTATGAGCAAGGGGGAGAGGGATATGAGGGATATGGAAAAAGGGATCGGGCTTGTGATAGGGAGGGAATATATAAATATAACCTTGCAATCAATCTTCGTTCTAGGGAAAGGGAATGATTGATCGAAGATCGAAGGAAGATTGTAGTTGTTTTTTATTCATTTGTATTTCCATCAAAAATTCTGTCAGTCACAAGTTCTGCACAGTTATTAGCTTTGAATTTTTGTTAGAAAGAGACTCTTGTCTGAAACCACTCACCAATTTTACACGCAGTCCTGGTTTCTTCAACATAGATCTGCCACGAGGATCACAATTAGAAACAAGCTATCCGTTCTGAAAATTTTAGTTCACTAGATGTTTCCGACTCAGTTATTCTAATTAGTAAATGATTCTGATAAGGACCCTCAACTAATTTCAATGACTCACACAGAAACCCTGTCTATTGTGATTTGCAAAGACTATCTTTCTAAGTTACATCACGACTTGACAAAGACTATCACCGCGCGCGCGGGCTCTGGCTCACACAGGCAAAGCATGCGGCGTGGGCGTGGGTGCCTGTCGATGTAAGACGTCGAGGCTGCAACCTTATATATAAGGACAGTTAAGTACACACTCTCATAGCTGCTAACAGCTAAAATTATATTATTAGGAAAAATACTGCATGCGCTCTTGATGAAAAACCAGCCTAATCTTGTGAATCAGCGATGTTCTCTAGTACTCCCCGATGAGTGTTGTCTCCGCATGGAAGGCGGGACCTTCTGTATTTTTGATTACTTAATTTGGAAACGAGGTGTTAATCTCAACGCTTTCTTTGAATTTGATGTTCTTTAGACAAGTCCACTATATCTCGGATATTAGCACTCAATAACTGTGCTGCTAAATTCAAAAAGTCTCGACATCGAATTCTAATCGTTCATCTACTTGAAAAAGTATCTTCATCCCTTATCACTTCCGCTTAGACGTCTCTTCATCTCTCATCACATTGCCAGTCTAGTGCATTCTGCAAAAATCAAAAAGTCTCGACATTCATCATGAGTCATTCAGTTTCAGCACTTTGTTTCTTGTCGTCTACTAGGTCTAGGACGTGACCAACATACTAAGTAAAATTCAATTTCATCAATTTCTCTTAGAAAACTACAATTTCCTGACGGTTCCCCCTGGGCTTCTGGTGAAGCCAAGTTGCTTGGAGCCTCTTGATTCGCGACCTGCTCGACTTCGTGATTGTCCAGAAGTGCTGTCATCACTATCTGAATCCGAGCTGGAAGATGAACCCTCGTAGAAGTTATCACCATCCTCGGCTTCTTCACTATCCGATGAGGACGATGAGCCAGAGTTATCATCTTCGAAGAATCCGCCAATGAGCTCTTCTTCCCTACCCGCGTCTTCGTATGAGCGAAGACCACTGCGATTGCGACTGGATGCGTGACTGCCTGCGGAACCTCTAGAACCTCTAGTGCCCAGACTGGATTGCTCCGCGGCGTTGTGATCGCCGTCTTCTAGTGCCAATGGGGGCTCATCTTCCATCATGGCGATTTCCTCTTCGTCTTCCTCCTCTTCGTCTCCACCCTCGACTGACTTGAAGGAGAGCCTGGCACTGGCCCTGAGCTTTTTTCTCTCCTGGGCGACGATCTTGTCATGCTTGTCTAGCTCGCGGATCTCGGCGAGTCGGGTTTCGATCTCATTGATTCGCCTGGTCTTCCTCTCCTCGGGAGTGAGCTCGTCCACATCAACAACATCTTCCTCACCCGCATTTTCGGCCGTGTTCTTCAAAGCCCCTAAGGCGCCGTCCCTGTACAAGTTCAAGTAGTTTTCGAATTGAAAGTTTCGAAAATGGAAGATGATGCAGTCTAAATTCAATGAAAATCATCTACCTCGGTTAGAGTTGAATTTCACGAAGACGACATAAGAAGATTCAATTTACAGAAGCAGAAGAAGGTGCAAAATGAAAATTGAAATTCTTGTTTCTGAAGACATTGATTGGTATGTAAGTACCTAAGCTCTTTCTTGAGTCGCTTCTTTTCTTTTCTACGCGCTTCGCGTTGAGCTGCGCGATCCTCCCTGAGACGCTTTCGCTCTTCCGCATCCAACTCGCGTTCTGCTTCGGCGTGTTGAATGTGCGCCAGCTGCCGCTGCTGGTCCTCCGTAGGTACTATGGCCAGATTTTCGGCGGTCTGAAAGCGCTCTAGGGTGAGCCCGCCAGCTGCCGCCACCGAGTGCGACGTGGAGTAGCGAAGCAGGCCCTTCGGAGCCGCCGGCCCCTCGTCCTGCAGTTCTAACGCTAGCGTTTTTAGTGTGTCCGGCGACCGCGTTTTCTGGCGCGCTTCGTCGTCCATCACCGTCTTCTTTCCTTTCGACACGCGAATGTCCTGCTTGGCTTGCGCGGCCTGGGCCCGGAACAGAGCGACGCCCTGCAAATTTCGGGTGTCCATCGGCTCGTCCACGTGCTCGATATCGTACTCGTCAATGTCGATGTCCGTCTCGTCGTGCACCATGTGCACTCCAGAGGAGCCCTCCGACACGCCGTCTTCGAGCTGCCTCTGCACCTCCGAGTCCGCAGACTTCTGGTGGTGGTGCTTATGGTGGTGATGGTGGTGATGCGGGTGCGGGGGATGAGAATGATGAACGTGGTCGTGGTTCGTGTGAATGCGCTCGCCGATGGCCATGCGAATGTGCACTTCCAGCTCCTCTGTCATGGTCTCTTGGTTAATCTGCAGCTGCGGCCATGGTTGACCGAATGTCACCTGGTAGAGGTGGTTGTAGAAAAAATCAATTTACTTCAGCAACACTTTTTCGTGTTAATCCCTTTTCGAAGATCATGAAGATGTTTATCCTCCTGTTCCCCTTTTTCATGTTATTCCAGATTGGGTTTGGGAGTTGTTACCTGATATCTACATCAGAAAGTTCGAAATCAAAAACTTTTAATTCTTATAAAAGTACCTGTTGCATCTGCATGTGCTGTTTGTGCATCATTTCTGCGATGTGGTGATCCAAAAGATGGATATACCGATGAATCAACTCATGCAGCATGTGATTTGGCTGGCACCCACGCAGATTCACCATCACTTTGTATTTGAAGACCTGAGAAAGAAGGTATCAAAAGAAAGTTCAGGGGGGAGACTTGTCTACGAAACTTACTAGATTTGATGTCCAACAGAAAAATATCAAGGTCAATCAAAGTCTTTTTTCTGAATCTGTCTTGATCAAGATCAGGCAGAACAAGGTCTACGTAGTTTTTATGACCAAACCAAGCCAGCCATACATAAAGCATCCTATTGGAATATACAACAGCACCTGCCAATCTAAAAATGCCTGAGCATTTATTAATCTAACCACCACACGACCCCAAAGTGAATTAAAGTAGACTCCAGTATTAGGGAGCCTACAACAACTATCGTTCCTTAGACTCTTTACTAAACTGTTGACTGAACCAATAGTACACCGATGAAGGTCTGAATATGCTGAATAGTACTTGTGATGGCGGTTTGTGCTTTGGCGCTTCCGCGATACCCGCTTTTTCCCTTTCTGTTTTGTGGTGGAAAGGGTCAGGCAGTGCGGTTCGGTGTGAGCCTTCCACCTGCTCTCCGTCTTCGTTGTACATAGTGAAGCCTGAGCGTGTGCGGATGTCGTCGTCCGACGTGCCGCTCGTTTGCCTCGAGGAAGGAGGCTCCGCGTGGTTGCCTTCGGTCGGCAGGACTGAGGCCACGTTCTCTGTCAAATCCTGCTGCGTGTCCGGGACTGGAGGTACATTCTCCATGCCCTCTGCTGCAGCTGGATCCTGCGGCGCCGTTTGGCCGGTAGCTACTTCCTCAGTACTCATCAGTGGGTCTTGTAACGTTGGCGGAACCGGAGCCCTCACCACACTCTCTCCTGTCACCGCTGGCGCAGGGTCCTGAATGACGGGAGTGACATCCTCGATCGCCAGAGGAGGGTCGTCCTCCTGTGCCTGTCTCTTGGAAACCCGCCGTCTCTCCTTCTTCATCTTCTTTTTGGCTTTCTTGCTCAGCGGCGGCCATGGTTCACCGTTCTCAAGCGCTTCGTCGCGGGCGGCCTTTTTCTTGGCACGCTTTTCTTTCCGGCGGGCCTCCCGCTCCGCTTCCTCCTGCTCTTCGCGGATGCGGTCGTCGTGCGCATCTTGGGCTGCCTTGGTCGCCTCCGCGGTGTGCTCGCAGTCCTGGTGTAAGCCGTGCAGGGCGTCCAGCTCCCACGGCGGCGGCAAGTCCTCCGCCGGGTCGTGGGGATTCAGGTTCAGCAGGCGCTCGTACAGCCACCGCTCGGTGCCGTCAGTGTAGCTCTCGAGCTTGAAGTCTTCTGGAGAGAAGAAGTGCTGAGGGCAGTGGTGGAGGAACACTTGCAAGAAGCTCTCCACGATGGCGGTCTGCCGAGCTTTCTCCTCTTGGATCAGCACGTAGTGTCGGTACGTCGTTAGGCCACCGGACACCGCAATCGCGATGATGATGATCAAAAGCGTGGCGCTGGCCGCATCAGTGGCCTGCACCTCCTCCGCCGCTGCGGCATCGTCGTCGTCGTCGTCAACGCTCGCTGTGCCATTCGTTATGTTCACGAACTGCAGCAGTGTCGTGGTGGTGGTCGTGGTCGAGGTGATAGTGGTGGTCGCCGTGGTTGTGGTGGTGGTGGTGGTGGTGGTCGTGATGATCCCCATAAGCACCTCCTGCACAAACGACACCGTCGCGTCCTCCAGCTGGGCGACGTCTGCCACAGTCAGATTGTTTTGCGCGGCCACGCCAGCCATGGTAGTGGCTAACGTGGTGCCAAACGCGGTGTTGCTACTCTTCATCACGTTGCTCACAGCACCAGCCTGCGCCGCTGCCGCGCCCTGGTTACCAGCGTCACTCTTTGACACGGCAATAGACACAGCCACATTCTGCTGAGCCATGCCGTTGGCGAGTGTAGTCGAGCCTGTGATCGTCACGGTAATCATGTCTGGTGTCACCACCGTGCCCGTCGCTGCACTCACTGCGAGCGCCATCGATGCTTGAATCATCGCGACCACAGCCTGCATTAGTTTATTTGATGAAGAAAATAACTAAGTACTCAAAAAAAAGTTACAGTACTACAACGAATGAACAGCAGATGTAGAAGATCATGTTGTGCAGACACTGAAAACCCAGCAGCAGTGTCTGTACCAAAAATTTTCAACCAAAATAAAATGTAGTAGAACGAGGGTAATAAACAAGATACCGCATTGGCGTCTCCGGTCGAGTACAAGGCGAGGATCGCACGCATTGAGTTGACAGCACGAATTCGAGCTTGGCCAAAGAGTTCGGCTTTGATGATTCGCACTCCAAGGGACTTGGCCATGCCGGTCAAGACCGTCTGGAAAGCGTCGATAAAGACCGTGTTGCCTTGTGACAGAATTGTCTGGGCAGTTGGACTTTGGGTTGCCAAATCCAGTGTCATGTTGCGAACGGTAAGACCGCCACCGCTAGTTTGCAGGCGTCGCAGTGTCGCTTCGTCTGCATCCTGCAGCTGCTCCTCCGCGTCTTCTTGCAAAAATCGCAAGTACTGCTTCTCGGCCGCGCGCGTGACTGCGCGGAACGAAGGGAGCGCAACTAGCGACTTTCCTCCCCGTCCGCTAGTGGCTGGGACGGAGGCTTGACCCTGCTTCCTGCTGACACGGTCAAACTTCTGTATAGCAGCGCTCGCGTAGCCGAAGTTACTCTGTCGGAAAGACGCCAGCATGCGTCGTTGCCGCAGTGCCCGTTTGCTCGGAGATGAACGACGAATATTCGCTAATGTTGGATCTTCAAAGCCCGACTCCTTGTCGTGCTGTGCCGAGGCGGCGTCCGTGTGCCAGGATCTTCCGTAGATGCTAGGATCCATGTATCCAGCGGAAGGCCACCACCACATGGACTCCGCGGAGGTCGTCGTGGTCGCAAGACCGCGGCTGTACATCGCGTAGTCCTTGGCAGAAGTGAATCCGTTCGAAGCACCGAAGAACGTTCCCTCCTCGTCGACTGAGGACGAGAGGAGGCGGTCGTCTGCCGCTTTCGTTTCCGACTGAGTGGTCAACACGACATCTTGTGGGGTCAAGCTGGTGCCCGCGTTGTCGTTCACGGCGTTCGCTGTGGCAGCCATCATCATGTAGTTCAAATCCTGCACGGACACGGCAAAAGCGGTCTCCACGACGTAAGTTTCCTCTGCCGTATCGCCTGCGCGCGTGGTTGCCTGCATTGCCGTTGCCACTTTGCCGATAGTGAAGGATTCGTCGTCCTCGATAGCCACTGCTTGCATGCGCATGCGCGTCAGCAGAGGGGTGGTGAAGGAATCGTGGTTCTCGCTCTTGCCAAGGGAAGCGGCAATGTTCTGAAGCCGCTCCTTGAAGCTGGTCGAATACACCACAAGAATCTGACTCTTGGCGCCGTTCGAGACTGCAAGCACCAGCTGCTTGAAGGAGACGAGACCCTCATTAATGTTCTCGGTGAAGATCGACAGACTCAGGCCAGTGCTTCGCGCGTAGACATCCAGGGTGGTGGCATCCAGCTGCATCGACATGGGCACGGTTCCCTGGATCTTCAGGTAGTACCGAGAATAGCCAGGTTCTGGGAGCGCAATTGAGGTCAATCCCGAACTGGGATACTTGGCCGTCAGGAGCGTCGTGAAGTTAGTTCGGACATTCTGGATCCAAGCTTCGCCGTGCCTGTGGCTCGCGTCGAGCAGATCCTTGGAAAGCTGTCCCGTCAGCGGAATCGTGAAGATAGCCTCCACGGTGCTGCCTGTGACTACAGGCGCGTCCACGTAGGAGTGTTCCGGTTTCAAAGTGTAATTTCCTATGCGGTTGAAGTTTTCCACTGTCACCTGGCGCACAAACGAACGGATGTCCGCTGAGCTCGGCACGGAGCCGGTGAACTCCATGCGCATTTTCCCGCTCACCTCACTCGGCAGTCGCGCGAACCCGATCAAGCGCGCAGATGTTGCTAAAGCCCCCACAAAGTCGGCGCTCGCGGCCACGAGCGCGTCCGAAATGCTGTTTTCCATGGTCAGGTCGGTGCTGCCCTCGGAATAGGACACCACCGCGGCCTGAGCACCTGAAGCCGTCGTTTCTCCTGGCAGAGCGAACGCGAAAGTTACGCGGACTTCGTCCATGGGTGAGGTGTCGTTCTCGTACCGTGGGAAGACCACAATGGCCACTTCGTCCGCGGTGAAGAGCCCGCGACTCGTTTCTCCCAAGGCGCGACGCAAAGCCAAATCCAGCTTTGTGATATTGTAGGCGTCCGGACGTGGCTCCGACAGCGTCACGCGGAGGTCCGCCTCGAGCCAGGTCGCCTGGCCGGCCCACATCGACTCGCCGGTCGCTGTCAACTGTGGGTCCTCCGGTGGCAGTTGCGGAAGCAAAGTGCCACTGTTCTCCACGGTTCCGGCAGTGCCTGCTGTGACCCCTTCGAACCCGAGATCCGTCAGTGCCGTGTTCAAGTTGCCAAGGAATTGGGTTCGGGCCGCTGGGACAGGCTCGCCTTCCGCGGGTACCGATAAAATCCTGGACACTTCAAGCGACTTTGCCTCTGTTCCGTCCGTAGCATCCTCTGGTACTTGTACGATCACCATGTAGCCGCGTGTATTGCCTTCCGAATACGTGCTACTTTGCGCGATCGTGATGTCGGCTGCGTGCAGCTCCGGCAAAACCGGAGACAAAGCTTGTTGCACACTGGTCTGTGCGCCTAACGTCATGACCTCCGCGTTCTCGCTTTCGGCATCTACAGTTAGGAATTGACTTCCGTCTGCATACGTCGATGTGACTGTGCCCTTCACGTAGTTTAGACGCTCGGCCAAATCAGTAATCACTTGAAAGCCCGCGCACGTGTAGTGTCCCATGTCCCGCAGGAAGTTTCTGATAATTGGTGTTCGAACAAAAAGTAACAAGCGATTTTCTTTTTGTATCTTCATGGCTAAGCTAGATGTAATTGCAATATCAGCATCCTCTCAGAATCACTTCTCGAAAAAATTTCACAAGAAACTCATTCTGCCCAGCAAGTAGAACATCAATGAACAATTTGAGTTTTCTTGTCAGATAAGCTATAGCTTCTAATACCTCAAAGCCTTGGCAAAGGTCGCACTGGTCTCTGCCTGCGAAGCTGAGAACGCATCCCGGACCACCTCTCCCGCTACTGGCATTGCCAATCGCATTCGATAATGATCCTTTTCGCGTGTTGGGAACACAGACACGACAGCAACCTGTGAATAGGATTAGTGCAGAATGCACAAACGACATTGAAACAAGTCCAAGTTAGTGTGAGATAAAAGAGTAAGTGTAAGACCCATGTTGAGAGACTCATTGGAGAAATAGAAAATGGACAATTTCAATTTGTGTGAAGAAAGTATGAATTACCTCCTCGCGGATGATCTCAATGCCCGTGACCTCCTCGAGGGCGTTGCGTGCGGCTAACTGCAAATCAACGACGTCAGGGCCCTCCACGCCACCATCGACGCGGAACAAGATGTCACCCTGTGTCGACGTCTTCAGTCTCGCTTCATCGCGCAACGCGACTGGGGGCGCGAATGACAGTTCGCCTGTGGTCGGATCGGTCTCTGGAACCCCGGTCAATGTAGCCATCTCCTTCGCCATGCTGGTGAAGACGCGCTGGGAACGCGCCTTTGCGGCCGAGTTCTTTGACACCAAGCCAACGAGTTGACCTAGGAGCGTCTTGTCCTTCTGGGTCTTGCGTCCCTGGATCAAGATGTGCATGCGTCGACCGCGTTGCGTCTTCGTCGTGCCGGACACAGCGTCTGTAACGTCCCGCGTGAAGGACTGGAAGTCCGTGATGGAGATCTCGTGTTCCGTTGGGACTATGCTTGCGCGTTCCGGGTACTCGAGTTTCAACGCCGTAGACAAAGCCTGTCGGCAGTAGCGTGCGAAGAGAACGTCATTGGCATTCAGCGCGCTCGAAAGCACCGAAGCTGGTAGGTTGGGCAGCTCGATCTCGCTCTCCACGTAAGCCAAATCCACATCCGGGAAGCTCTCGGCGCCTGAGTCTGCTGGTACGGTTACGTCCGCAGCAGCCTTCGGAATCTCCGGAGGCTCCCTTGGCTCTGGAATAGTGGTGTTGGCTTGGAAGTTGACACCCAATGCGTCCAGTCCCTCCAGCAGCGGAGTCAAGAACGAAGCGCTGTTGCTGCCAAGCACTTGCAGCACCGCCTCGCGCGTGCGCGCGGCCTGCGACTGCGGCATGCTCTCGATAGCAAGCACGGAAATGGTGAAGTTCGAAGTGTCTTCGGGATCCGGGAAGACTACTGAGATCTGGTCGCGTGTGACGACCTGTGGCGCCAAAGCCTCAGTGAGAGACTTGGCCGCCGCCTCCTGGAGCACGAAGTTCATCGTCTGCGCGTCCGGCAGCTCCCTCTTTCGTTCCACCGGCAACTCGATGGGCATCATCACGGTCTCGGAGATCAACGGGTCGCTGGTACTCGTGAAACTCTTGGGTGCCAAGCTCACGCCCGTCTCCGGCAACACCTCCTCCATCACGTTCTGCACGGTCGCCTTGAACAAGTTGTGCGCAAGCTCGGAGCCGCTCAGCAACGTCGTCACTGTCGGTGTGCTGCTCGGAATCACAATCTCGATATTTAATTCCGTGCCCGCTGGGATCTCCTCTAGCGCACTCGGCAACACCTTCGCGCCTGTCACTGGATCGACGATTAGGATCGTCACGTGGTCCGCCTCGAATTCCGTACCCGCCAAGTCGTTCAAGGATTGCCGCACCGCTCTGGCGATCGCAGCTGTCACCTCCTCCTGCGTCTTGTTGCCACTCGCCAAGGTGAACTTCGCTGGCACTTGCGTTACCGGTTTCTGCTCTGGTTCGCCCACAAAGTCCATGGAGCCCAAGACCTGTGGGTTCGTTGGGTGCTCCAACGCACGACGGGCTAGCATTTTCGTCAGCTCTTCCTGGAACCGCTTCTGCGTCTCCGCCACCGGGTCGTCCGCCTGCAGCAGCGAAACTTCTGACTCCTCTGCCGTGTCCAAGTTTGCGATCTTCTGCGGCTTTGAGATCATGGCCAGCGCTTCGGCTACCTCCGCACCGGTCAAACCCGCGCCCTTGAGCGTGACCAAGAATGTCTTGCGTTCTGGCTCGGCAAGGCTGCCGTCCAGCAAACTGATACCAACCGAGTCGCTGCTGATAACCGCGCCCGAAGAGAGTTCGAACATGGCAGTCGTATTCGCTTTGGTCGCTGGGTTGTATGTCTTGAGTGCGAGAGTTTCTTGTAGCGCCTTCAGCGTTATATTTGTGACCTCAGCGTCGGTCAACAGCGAGCCCGTCTGGGCATTCTGCGGGCGCACCACGATCTCCAAAACACCCTCCGAAATCGACAAGTCGTACTTCTTCGGTTGTTCCGTCTCTACGGGCGGCGCTGCCGCCGGCTTTTTGGTTTCCTTCGGTGTTGCGTCCAGCGTGAACATGGCGTCGATGTCCACCTCGAAGCGGGTGGCAAACGGCGCCATGAATTTCTCTTCGTCCAGCTCCTGCACCACCTTATCCGCACTCATCGAATATTCAGCATCCACATCGGTGCTCTGTAGCGCGCTCAGATCCAGTTGGCCTCCAAATTCGTCGATCGGGAACGTCGAGATGACTGGGAACTGCATCACCACTTCGCGGAAGTCGCCAATGTGCTTGATCACAACGATGAAGATGTCCGCTGGGGTCACCTCCTGCTGCAGATCGGGCACCAACAGCTTGATCGTCTTCGTGGAAGATTCGCGGAGTGTAGACAGCAGTTGCATGTCCGACACAGGTGTCTCGAGTTTCAAGAACGCGGTCGCGAACATCAGCCGCTTCGGGACGGCCGAGGCCGGCACGACCAGCGGGGTCTCCAGCGCGAGCCGCTCTGCAAAGCTTGTGTCGTTGTAAAAGTCGGTAATGGCCTTCACAAGCACCTCTTGCGAACGGCTCTGCACCTGGCTCTTTACAGCCTTCAGCAACATGTTGTTTCCCGTGGTATTCTTCGACATGGCAAACATGTTACCCCGGTCGCCGGAAATTGGGACAGTGATTGTCATATTCAGCATACTTGTGTAAGTGATCGGTTCCTGCAGCGTATCGTTCCACCCCGAAAAGATCAAACGGCCTTCGTCGTCGACTTGAGAGGTCAAGTTGTCCAAGCAAGTCACCGCGACTTGAGACTTCTGCAGAGAAGTTCCGCGTGTGCCGTTCATGGCAAAGGCAACTGATTCTCGAACCACGTCCAAAATTTGCGCCAGCGCGACCTTGCCGTTGCCGGCAAGCGCTTCCGTTTTGTTCAGCGGAAATGGCAACCCGGTCGCTGGGTTAATAGCCGCCTGCATGACCAGATCGAACGCCAAGTTGGAGCTCACCTGTTCTGGTTGGGTCGCGGCCGGGTCAGCCTGGGAATCTAGCGTCACTGCCTCGCCCTTGGAACTGGCGCCGGAGAAGCCATCGAGCTGCGATCCAAGCGTGTTCTGGAAGGTGGTGGCGCGTCCACTAGCTGCATCCTTGGACAAGGCTTCAAGCATGGCCGTCACGGTCTCCAGTGATCGTCCACCGTCCGTTCCAGTCGTGGCTATCACAATTGACATCTGCCGATTCACTCCACCCGCAGCCGGCGTCGAGCTGATGGTCGACAGTTGTCGCCGACGCAGTCCGCTGCCTGGCGCAATTCTTCCCTCTCTGCAAAGCTGCGAGTCGTCCGCAGAACACAACATCGATTCGTACGCCGATTCGGCATCCACACCACTGGCAGATACGCCTTGCAGGCGTCTTCGCAGTGCGGCGTCTTCTTCGCGGTCGCGAAGGCGACGCTGCAACAACGGCTCATCGACGAAGTCCCACTCGACATGCTGGTCGTCCACGTAGCACCTCTCCTGCTCGGGTAGGTGGTCACTCGAGTAGATCTTTCTGCCTAGTGGCCCACGCGTGCGTCGGTGACCAGGCAAGTTCTCGCAGTCGTCGGAGCCCAAGTCGAACCCTGTGCTCGCAAAGCTTCCCGAATCCAAGCGCCTGACACGACGTCGCTGCGTTTTGCCATCTTTATCGTCGTTGAAGAAGAGACTTGTGCGCTCCTTCTGGAGTTGCAGTGCGATTTCGCGCTTGCGAGCATCTGTCATGTTTCCCACCGCAGCAACCGAGTATTTTGCTTCAAAGAGCAACTCCTCGATCAGCTCCGGCACAGAATTCAGGATACTCTCTGCTGCGGCGTGACGCACCCACTCGTGGATCTGCTCCATCGCCGTTTGGTTGGTGCTCTTGCCCAAATCCATGTAGTACTTGGTTTCCGCCAGCGGAATCGACTTGATCGGGTTGTCTAGGTCGCCAAAGTTCACCTCTTTCTTCTTCGGCGGCTCTAGGAAGCTGTCCTTGGTTTGTGGCGGAGCGGACTCGGCTGCCGCCCCGTTGGCCTTCGGTGGCGCGGGCGAGACGAGGCCGAAGTCCTCTAGCTCCGTCTTCATCATCATCAGCAGAGCCGGTGACGGTACTGATTCTAGCAGACCCGTCTCTGGGTTGGTCTGTTTTGTGGTCAGCACGTTCATCAAGTTCTTCATCAGATCCCCCGCCGACGCAACAATCTTCGTAGCGGGATCAGGCACGTTGTCTTCCGAGAAGGCCATCACGACCTTCGTGTTGAGCACGCTACTCGCCTCCTTGCCAGACGCGACGTCGTCCAGCGCCTTCTGGGGGTCTCCCGAGAAGAGGATGCTCACGTCCTTGCCTGGCACAAGCTCGTAGTTGGAGCGCGTTTTGGTCGCCTTGATCACAGCAGACATGATGAGCGACTTGATCAGATCCAGCGTTTTCGGAAGCTTGCCTGCGAACAGCGTTGTGAGAACCAGCTGGAGGTCGGTTTCGAGGTAGGTCTTCTGTTTCGCGCTGCCCTTGACTGCAGGCGGCGCATCGATTAGCTCCTCCGGTGATTTGTCCTCCAGCATCGCTGCAGGAACCTTCGGAAGTCCCTGCGCGCCCGCGGTCGAGGTTGCGTTCGTACTGGCAGCGTAGTATTCGCGCGACAAGTACTTCTGCAGCAGCTTCTGGAAGTCTTCGGTTTTCGTCGTGTCCTCGGAGAACATCGCATTTGGCACATTGCCCTGTGACGGAATGCCAAACGAGAACGTTGGCTCCCCAACTTCTGCACTGTTCGGGTCCAGCTTGACCGTGATCTGCTCGATCTCCAAGTCAATCCCACCCAGCTCCGCTAGTGCGGCTTGCAAGGCGCGCTGGATCGCCTTCACCGTGGCCACCTTCGCGGCCGTCGTGTTGGCTTTCACCTCGCCCGGCGTGATGAAGCTTGCTTTGCCGCCCACCTGCGACACGGTGCCTGCCCGTTCTGACTCGACATCGCACGTAGTCTTGCCGAATTTGTCCGGGTTCTCGCGGATCGTCTTTTGGGCCTCCTTTACTTTTGCCCTCGTTTCCTCCTTCTTCTCCTCCATCTTCTCGGCAATCTGCTCATCAGTCAGCACTTGCGGAGGATCGAGCGCCGCTGCGGCCTCCACGATTTCCCTGCGCACCGCCTCCTTCACAGACGCCTCGACGGCCTTTTCCCCGATAGCCACGCCCAAATTTTCCTGGAAGCGCTGCGCGTCGGAGCTGCCCTTCGACAACAAGGCCACGATTTGCTCGGTGGCCTCGCTGGTGTCCGGCGTCTCGCGCACCTGCACTGTGATGACAATTTCGCGAGCGGTGATAGTCACCGTCTGCACGGTTCCGTTCACGATCTTGGTTGCATTCACCAGAACGGTCGTGTTGCGGATGAGCACAGAAACGTCCTTTTCCGTCAGACTGAAGTCGCCCATATCCGTGATCAGCAGTTTGGTCGTGTTGCTGTCGAGGGCATCCATCTCTGCGCGGTTCTCGGAGAGTATCACCGCGACCGCCTGGCTGACGATGGCCGCCAGCTTGTCCTTATCCTGCAACTCGTTCTTCACAGAGCTCGCGAGTTTCGTCACGTTCTTCTCCAAGACTTCTGACGAGGCTGTAGTACCATCGTCCACAACAGCGGTGTCCGCGGGGTCCTCCTCGGCCTCCAGGAAGTCGCTAATCGTGATCTGGGTCTCGACATAGTTGACACTCGTCTTCTCCTCCGTCACGGTCTTCGCGCTGGCACTCTGTGTCGGCTCTTCCGCGGCAGGCGCCTTGCCCTGCGTGTCCTGCTGTACGTCCTCCTGCAAATTCACGCCGTAGCCGCTCTCAAGCACATTTGCCACGGAGTCTGAGAACTGGTTGCTCGCAGTTGACATGGAATCCTTGATGGTACCAATCGTGGCCTGCGCCTCTTCCTTCTTCTGCTGGGCAATCTTCTCGCCGCTTGCCGCCTTCTGCGCTTCCTTGGCTGCCTCGCCCAACGTTGGATCTAACGGCGAGTCGCTCTTCACGACAACCGTCTCAATTGGCACTGTAACTGTTGCTTGGAAGTTGTCCGCCGCAGTGTCTTCTGCCTTTTGCGGTGTGTTCGAATAAGTGACAACAACGGCGCCACGCGATACTGTCGCGGCAGGTGCGGCCTTCTGCGTCGCCTTCTTCGCTGAGTTACGCAGAGCGTCCGCGAGTGTCGTGTCGCGGTCCTTCTCGGTCGCCCCAGCAGTCGGGGGCAAATCCAGCTTCAAACTGACGTAGAGCTTCAGCTGAATCGGCGCCGAAACGCCCTTGCCCGCATCTGCCTTGACGAGGTTGGTGCCGCTCGACGGAATGCCTGCCGCCGTCGTGTCGAGTTCACCCGCGTCGACAGCTTTCTTCGTTTCGGTTGCAATCGCGGTCTCCAATTTGTCGGAGAAGATCTGGTTGCCGTCACCCTCCGTAAGCGCACCCAAAATCGGTCCGTTTCCGGCGGCCACCGCGAATTTCACGTCCACGAAGCCGTTCTCGTCCGTTGCGTCAGTCATCCCAAGAATCGCCACCTGCTCTGGGAGCACGGTTTTGCCGCTTGTCTCCGACAGGGCCTTAGCAATCGCCTCTTGGAGCGGGAGAAACGAAACTTGTCCGGCGTCCAAAGCCTGATTCGTGGCACCGTTCTTCATCTGCACGCGAACCGTAGTTTGCGCTGTGGAAACCAAATCAGCGTTCTGGTCACCCTCGTTGGTTCGCATCTTGCCACCCGTGATCTCTGAAGCCACGTCAACGCCAGCAGCTTGCAGTTCGCTGTCCTTGCTCGCGAGCTCCACCACTTTTTCTGTTAGCGCAGCCGCGAACTCGTCGGCCTTCGAGGCTGGGGCGCTCACGTCCGAGTCGTCGGTGAGAATCTTCAGCAAGCGATCCACAGCGGAAGTGCGAACGCCCTGCAGCTGCAGGGTGAGCATGTAGTTGCGATCCAGTGTGCTGTTGCCTGCTGCCACTGGCGAAGCCGACTGCATCACCACCGCAAAGATCTTCTTCACGTCCAGGACCTTCTCGCCGGTGGCTGGGTCAATCTTCATGGGACCCGTGATCTGCTGTGTAATGTTCGCCTTATCAAACAGTTCTCTGACTAGCTTCTCCCCTACCGCAGACTTCAGGAGCTCGACCAACTTGCTGTCCGAGATCTTCCCACTGCCGGAAGTGGTTCGGATCGCACCAGGCACCTTTACGAAAACGACGCTTTGGGCCGCATCGATGGCGCTCATGTCCGTGTCCGCTGGCTTGACGCCCGCCAACTTTCCACTGTTCGGATCGTCTGGGATCTCAGTCTTCGCACCGGCGACCGCGAACTCCTCCAGCGTGCTTGTCACCGACTGCTGGACGCTCGCTCCGCCGGCGGCTGACAGCACCGTGAGCACTTGACCAACCAGCGACGATTCCATCCTAGAGATATCGGGTAAAGCCACACTCATGAAGGCCGAAATCGTGTCCGACGCGATGCCAAGGGCCACCTCGGTGGCGTTTTGCGCTGCAAATCGCACCGTCACCATCTCGGGTTCGATGTTCAGCGACGGGAACTCCCTGTTCATCGCTTCGGCTGCGGCGATCTGGATCATGGACCGGATCGTGTTCCTGTTCGGTCGCGCTTCACCCGGGGGACCGACATTGAGCGCCATCTTGGTGTCCGCGAAGGCCGAAACCGAGGGCTTCGCTTTTTCGAGCGTCAAAGACGAACCGGCTACCTGTGCCGCGTCGCCAGTCTCTGCGGCTGGTGCGGCGGCTAGGTCCAGCGAGCTCGAGGCTAACTCGCGTTCTATAGGATCTGCTGAGTTCGGATCCAGCGATTCCTTGTACTTTGTCATCTCCATCTTCAACGACGCGGTCAGCGCCGTGAGGAAAGCATCGCGCTTGAAAGAAGGGTCTGAAGACAGGTAGCTCGAGATCGCCGGATTCGAGAACGGAATGGCGAAGTCGATTACCGGAGACAGTGAGAAGTCCGTTTGCAGGGACACTGCGACATGCGCTGGGTCGACGTCGAGACCTGTCAGTTCGCTCAGTGCGGCTGCAATGGCCTTCTTCACAATATCCGTCACCGCCTCGTTGGGTGGAGGCCGCTGCACGCCAGCAAAGGAGAACTGCACTTGGGAATCCGTCTTCGTGACCGCCTTGGGAGGCTTCTCCGCTGATTTCACCGACTGGATCTTCGCGCTTGCGGTTGCGTTGTAGGGCGAGTTGTCGATCAACTTGTTCATTTCCGCAAGCACCATGTTTCTGATCAGCTGCGCGGGGTTCTGCTTCAGCGTATTCTTGTCTTCGGTTACGCTTTCGCGACCCGCCACTGCGGTCACAGTGGAATCTTTGGGCTCCATCGCGAAGCTACTCTGCGCCTCGGTGAAGAGACCCTCTTCAATTGTGTCGAGAGCGTCGAGAATCTGCGACAGCGCGGTTGCGGACAACATGCCTTGCACAACCACCGCAACTTCGCGCATCTCGGTCAGTTCGCCGAACGAAAGCGGCTGCGAAGGCGGCTCAATCGTGCATGCGATCTCGACGTCCAGGTCCATGGTTGCTGGCGCCGCAAATGGCAGAGCTGCAATCACACTCTGTCGGGCGAACTTTTTCAGCGTCGCGTCAGAAATTACGTTCGAGACCTCTAGTACCAAAGTGCCCTGCACGAACGTCGCAGAGCCTTTGAGCACACTGGGTTCTGCTTCGGTGATCGCCTCGTCGGACGTGGTGAAGGGATCTACTTGCACGGTCGATGCGGCCCTTTCCTGGGCCGTCGCCGTCTCTCCGGAAGCCGAGCGTTGCTCAATGGCGGACTGCTGCGCAGCGGTCGCGCTCGATACGCTAGCCGGGGCACTAGCAGCCTTCGGCTGCACCACCTTCAGCGACTCCGAAAAGCCCAGTCCAAAGGTGCGCAACTTATCCTCTGTCTTCTGCAGGAATGCTTGAGCCTGGTTTGCGCCCAGCAACTTGAGCGTTTCGCCGATGCTCTTTGTCCCAGCGCCGAAGTTCGTTTCATCGAGCGGTAAAGCAACCGCCACTCTGGCAGTCGCGTTTAGACCTGTGAGAGGCAGCGCTTCCGCCAGCAAGACAGCAATGCTATCCGCGTCAACATTGGTGAGGTTCGCAGTCAGTGTCGCAGCATCGCGTACACTCGACTTCAGCCAGAGAGCCAGCATCGTCTCCGATCGCGGCAGCCACGTGGTGTTGGTGTCCACCAGCTCCATCTCGAGGTTGAAGCTCACGTAGGCACGCGACTTTGTCACGCCAGCAGCTGCGCCGGGAGAGCTTGCATCGATCGATACCTTGTCGGCGCTCTTGATCATGCTCTCCCAAACAGCGGGCGTGCCCGTGGTTGTAGTCTGCGCCGCGAGCCGCTCCATCGCCTTCCTCAGGATGGGCGTGAAACCCTTACTGGGATCCCCGTTATTGGCGTCCGACAGGAACCACGCGATTTGCGACTTCGAGAGCGGAACACCGAACGAGAAGGTCGGAAGCTTGAGCAGCGCAGAGCGCGGGTCCAGCACGATCGAGACCTGCTCGGGTGCGAGACCAGTGCCCGTCGCAGCCTTGATCGCAGCCGCGAAAGCATGTTGGATCAGCGTCACCACAATCTTCTCCTCGGCCTCCTCGGTGCGACCTGTAGGCGCATTTGCCTCGCGCACATATTCGAAGCTTGCGCGGCCCTGCGTCATCGAACTCGGCTTCGAGAACATTGGCAAAACCAGCAAATCCTCCAGGATGGCTTCCCTGTAGGTTGCCAGGTTCTTCGTTGGATCTGCCAGACCGCCGTCCTGCTTAATGATCTTGTTCAGGTTCGCGAACACGGAATCCACGAACTCGAAGCTGCGTCCGCTCATCCGTGACATCAGAGCCTGCACTTGCGCCGCGAGCTTCGTGGACGTTGCCTTCTCGCGCGCAGCCACCGTGACAAAGATCTCCTTCGTCTGCTTCAGAGCGGTGCGCTCCGCAATGGTCACGGCCACGTCGTTCGGCGTCACACTGCCGCTCGCACCGCCAACCGCATCGACGACCGCCTTGTTGTTGGAGATAGCGTCTGCGACCGCCACGCGGAGGATGTGCACGAGTTCTGTGCGCGGAAGACTAACATTGGCCACACGCAACGACAAGGTGCTCTGGACAAAGGTGATCTTGGTGCGGAGGTTCACCTCGGTCGAAGCCACTTCGGAACGCTCTGCCGATTCCGTGGTCACGGCAAAGGCGTCGGTGGGCACAAATGCGTCCGCCTTCTGCGCTTGTGGTTGCGCGGCGGACTGCACCTGCGAGTCGGTCAACGCGGGGCTGCCACCCGAGCCTCTTGCCGGCGGCGGCGCGGCCTCGTAAAACTCGACGCCACGCACGCTGAGCCGCGCCGCAAGCTTGTTCAGGAAGGTGATAGAGTCTGCGTTCGCGTTGCTCATGAAGCGCTGTAAGGCCTCCTCGGCTGCCTGCACCCCGCCGGCCGCCGACAGTGGAATCGAGAAGACTACCTGGGTCACTTGCTGCTGCCGCTTGGTTCCGTCCGTGCGCGTCACTTCCTCCGTATCCTTGCGGAAAACGGCGACCGCAACGTCTCCTTGCTGTAGCGAAAGCACTGGCTGTCCAAAGGCATCCTTGATCTCACTCATGGCGTTCGCGAGCGCACTGGCCACGGCCTTCTGGACAACAGGAATCAAATCCTTCTCGGCCGTCAGACCACCACCGATCGACAGGCCGTCTGCACCAATGGCTTCCGCCGTCACGTCCTGCGCCAGATTCAACTCAGACTGCAAGTACTGCCGCTCCACAGACTCAAGTGGCACCTTGATGAGTGGCTCGTCTCCTGTTGCGGCTAGCACGTTGTTGCCAGAGTTTGAATCGGAGAGCTGCATTTTGTTCGACAAAATCGTGATAAAGATCTCAGCGTCGCCGTTAGGGAACGCAGAAGTTGCGTTCTTGCCAGCATCATCGGTGAATACCGCTACCATGTTGGAAAGCGTCTCGGATGCGGTGGGTAATGCAACGAAGAATGTCCACTTGCTGCTTGTCGCATTGACGTCGGCGGCCCTCGCGGCGTCATCCAAGAAGGTGGATTCGCGCTCGAGTCGAACGACAATGTGCTCGTTTGCGAGACGTGCAACGCCGACTTCTCCCAGCGTTTCGCGCAGTGAGTTCTGTAGTCGCTTTTCCACGCCCAAAGCGACCACTTCTGCGGCCGAGTACTCCTGCTTCAGTGACACCTCGAGCCGCACGTGCGTCTGCGAGGCTTGTGCTGCTTCTGCCTGCAGCGTTGGATTCGAAACTTCGCTCAGTCGCGTGTCGTCGCTGATCGCCAATCGGCCCAGCTCCTCAAGCATCGTGGTTCCGAAGTCCGCGTTGGAACGTGACACCGACTTCATCACCTGACCCGCTTCACTTGGCGATAGGCCCTGTGTCTGCAGGACCACACGGTAAATTCGCGCTCTCTTGTCGCTTCCTACTTCCACAGGAGCCATGTACTGGTAGGTCACGGCCACCTCCTTTGAAGTGATGAGCGTCGCTGGCGTTGCGCGCGGCTTTCCGGTCACTGAGGTCAAACCAGGCAACACGGTGTTGCTCATCACGTTAGCAAAGGCTTTTTGCAAGAGTTCTCCAAGCTCGTCCGCACCACTCTTGTCGCTGTTGAACGGACTGCTTCCGCTAGGCGTTTCCACGCTGATCTCGGTTTCGACGAAGATCAGTCCACCCGGCGTTTCCTGGTCCAGTGGCGCCAAATCTGTCGAGGCCTGTGCTGGCGATGCCTCCGCAGTGTCCTGCGTGACCGCTGGCGGGGCCGCAAAGCTCGATACGCCGAGTGATTGCAACTGCTCCGTGAATTTCGAGGCGAGCGTCTGCGCTTCGGCCGATGCAGTCGTGCTAACCGCGCCCGTGCTGCTGTCTACAGTTTTCACAACCTTCGAGAACGATTTCTGGATCTTGGAGCGCGTCACCGCATCAAAGGTGTCGGTGTCCAGCGCCACGCCGATTTCCAGACCAAAGTGTGTGGCGTTGCTTCCAGCAGTGTAGCGCACGAAGATCTTGCTTCCCGGTACGTCTACACCAGCGGCAGCCTTCAGCGCGGTGCTGGCTGCCGTTTGTGCTAACGCAAACAGGGCGTCCTGGTTCAGCATATCACTCCCACTCGGCAGCTGGAACTGCATCACGGTTTGCACGAAGCTTGCGGCAGACGCCTCTGCAGACTTCACAGAGGCCATGTTCAGCGCAATGCTGCGCGTCACGTTCTTCGCCACGTTGCGAGCCTCGATCTTGGCAGCGACCGCTTGCGCCAGTGCGAGTCGGAACTTCTCGTTGCGGCCCGTGCGGTCGTTACCGTCCACGAAGCTGCGCAAGATCTCGTCGCCACTCGGAACTGAGAACGAAGCATCGACGTCGCTGCTGCCGCTGCTCTGCATGTCCACAAAGATGTGACTCTCGGTCAAGTCGATACCAGTGAGGTCAGCGAGCACTTCCGCAACTGCTTCGGCGATTATAGCCTGCATCTCATCGCTAGGCGGCACCGCGCTGCGGTCAGCCTCCTCACCCGTCGCCTTGTCGCCTAGCACGAACTTGATGCCCGACTTCGCCTGCGAAACCTGCTTTGGTGCGGCCTCCTTCCGGATGATGGAGTTTCGCGCACTGCCATCCGCATTGGTGGTGTTCTGCAAGGTAATGTTGTAATTTTGCGTCGCCTTTTCCGACAACAAAGAAGCGAACTTCGCGCCGAAGCCGCGAGCCTTCTCAAGGGCGGGAGACGCTGCCTCGCGCGCGTCCTCGGCAGCATCTGCGCCTGCGCCAGGAGCCGCTGCGTCAGTCGGCTTCTCGTCGATCGACGTTAAGGCCTCCAGTGCTTCTGCAACTGCCTCTGCCGAAAGCTCACCAGACAAAACAATACTGATTTGTCGATCCTGAGCTTGCTGCGTCTTGCGCTTGGCGAGTGGATCCCCGCTCTTAAGGTTTGCTGGCGGGGAAACGCTCACGCCGACGTTGAAGTATTCATCGGCAAGAGAGTCGGAACTACTCTTCATCGCTTCCTCAACGGCCTCCTGGATGGCTTTTGCTAGTGCATCACCGCTCACGGCGACCGGCACCTTGATGGCAAACTGCGTCTCGACGAAGGTTGCGCCAGTTGTTACTGGTGCCGGCTCGTCGACCGAAGCGTCCTTGGAAGCCGCCGGAGCACCCGTCACCGTCGGCGCTGCGGAGAACTCGAGGTTGTAGGTGCTTTCCAGCACCTGCTGGACGCGCGAAACGAGGGTCGAAGCAGAGTTTTCGGCAAGAATTGCTGTCACTTCATCAAACTTCTTTCGTGTTTCTGCAGCGTTTAGCTTCTCGACTGTGCCGTCGGCCTTCTTCACACCCGGCAGCTGGTCTTCGCTGATAGGCACACTGACCGAGATAGGCACGGTCGCGTTGCCAGCAGTCAGACTGGCCCCGAGCACTACCGCGATCTGTGCTGCCTTGATGCTCGTGATGTTCGTAAGCTCGCTTACCGCTGATTGAGTGCTGCCCTGCACCCACATTGCTAACATGGATTCTGAGGACGGGAGCCAGGAACTGGCGCCATCAATCAGCGGAAGTTCTAGCCGGAAGTTGACCAACGCTTTCTGCGCAGTGCTACCGCTTGGCTGCACCGCGTCGGCAAGGCCGTTGATGCTGCGCTGCACGCCACCGGGAGCGCCGTCCTTGCTGGATGGCGTCATCTCGGATAGCACGTTGCCCAAGCTGGTCTCGAGGAAGGAGTCAAAGCTCTCTGGCGAGTCGCGCAGGAACCAGCGCAGCTTGGAGTCGCCTGAAGGCACAGAGTACGTTGCGCTGGGCGCGCCGATTTCCGCGGAACCTGGGTTCACGGTCACCGCAACCTGACCCGGTTGCAGTGGTTCGCCAGTTGCGTCCAAGATCGCCTTGGATACGACGTTCTGAACGATACGCGTCACCTCTTCGTCCGTTAGCGCCGGAGTAGCAGGCTCCACCCCGAAAGTGAAGGCCGCCGTCAACACGGTTGATGGTTCGGCCAGTCCGCCACCGGACCCAAGTTTGTTGACCCCGAAGTCCACAACATCTTCCCTATTTCCTCCCGCAGCCACGACTTTGTCTTCGAAAGCCTTCTGGGCCTTGGTCTCCAGTCGCGGCAGCACGCGGTCGTTCAAGAAGCCGCTGTTCTTCGCATTTCCGTCAGAGAGAACCGCAATGATCTGCGTACTCACGCCAATGTCGGACTCCCGCTCGCGCACGGAGATAGTAAGATCGCACTTCTTCAGTGTTGCGCCAGCGGAATCCGCGGAAAAGATCACAGCGACGTCCCGGTCGGCTTCAACGATGTTCGTCTGGCCGTGACCGGCATCCAGGACGTCAGGATCATTGGACAACCCTTCCGCGACTGCAGCGCGAATCACGGCCTTCAGCTCGTCGTCTGAGAGCGACAAGCCAGCCTTGCGGCTGCCACCCGATGCGGTCGTGAACTTCTGACTCGCGTCGATTTCGAACTCGAGCTTCGCTTTCACGAACGTGGTGCGCGACTTGACCGTGCTCTCTGTGGCAGCAGGCTCGGACGCCTCTGGCTCTTGTGCAATCGCCAGTGGGCTAGGTTCGTTTGCCGCCGGAATGGTGATGTCGACGCCCTGCGCACCCAGTCGCAGTGGCAATATCGACGAGAATGCCTCGGAAGCCGGGTCAAGAACCGACAGCATAGCGTCCTTGGCCTTCTGCACATTTGTTGCGACGAAGCTCGGGCCTGAAACGAGCGGCACCTGGAGCAGCACAGTACCGGTGCCCTTGGCGGCCGGATCAGCAACTGGGTCGATCGGGAAGATAGCCGTGATGTTGCTACGCGAGAAGAACTTGTTCGGTTCGCGCGTCGCCGGTGCCGCGTCTTCACCAGCCGAATTCGCAGCAGCTGTACTCGGATCCACCGCAAGCGTCAAAGCCGAAGACACCACCTTCTGCAGGATCTTCCGAAGAGCCGACTGCTGCAGGAATCCGCGAGCTGCCGGCGCAACGTTCTGCTTCAGGTCGAGCTTTGTCTCGAGATAGCTGCGCTCCACCGGCTTTGTCGGTGTCGCCAGGTTTGCCTCTGCAATCGACGCAACGCCCGTCACCGATGCTGTCGTCAACGCGGCATTCAGCTTACGCCGGAACAGCGTGAGGAAGATCTCATTATCGGACTCCGCTCCCGTGCTCTTCGGCGCGGGGCTAAGGACAGTTGAAGCGGAGGCTGAAACACTCGGGAACGCAACATTCAGCGTTACTGCGCCAGTGCCCGTGCTGTCGTGGCTATGCACACTGGTGAAGATCATTTCCTTCACGAGGGTTGGGCCACCGCTGTCCCGCAGTGCCGCCGCAAAGGAGCTGTCAAACGTCGCTTCGAAGCCGCTGCTGAGGATTGCACTGAGGTCGGAGGCTGCGCCGCCCGCGGTCTGCTCCGCCTTCAGTGTAAGCCGCGCTTGCGTCTGCGATGACTGCTTCGCGTCCTCGATGAAAGACGGCGCTGTGACGTCGCTCGGCAGCGCGGTGGCGTGGTCCGTCAGCTCCTGCCACAATTCCCGACGCCCAGTGCAGAAGGTGCTGACAATCTCGCCTACCGTGTCAGGCCGCAAGTCGAGCAGCTGCACTGTGATCCGGAAGTTGCGGTTTACGTTAGCGGAGCCGAGGGCCACCGGTGTGTCGTACAAGTACACTAATCCAACGCTAGAAGCCTCGACGGCCGGCAAGTCGTTGCGACCAGTCACGGTTTTCACCAACTCCGTCAGCGCAGTGGCCATGCGCGGCCGCAGCAGCGTCTCTAGCTGGTCCACCGAGTACGGGTTTGCATTCGTAGTTTGGACCTTGAATGTCGACTCCACGAACATCACGCGTCCCGGAACAATCTCGATAGGCGTCAGATCGGTCTCGGCTGTGGCCGGACTCTCTGCCGCCGCTCCAGACACCGCCGGAGGCTGCGTGAATTTGCCAACACCTAGAATTTGCAATTGAACCGCAAGGGCCGTTGTCAATATCGCACTGGACGCAGTTCCCTCCGACAATGCACCCTCCACAGATTCCATTTGAGCCGGCGTGAACTCGGTGCCATTCAGAGTCGTGGAAATCAGGAAGTCGTAGACAACGGTGCCGTTGCTGGCGCCGCTGCCAGGGGCAAAGCGGATGCTGATTTGCGAAGGTGGAATTCCAACGCCACTCGCAGCCTTGATGGCCTCACTTGCCGCACGCTGTGCCAACGCAAACAGTGCGGTCTGATCCGGAACCGTCTCCGACGCGTCCAAAGCAAGCTTCGCACTTCCCTGTAGGTACTGCGTTGATTCTCCGGAGCCACTCACAGTCGGCGTGCTGCTGGTGTAGTTGCCGCGGCGCTTCGCAATCTGCTGAAAAGCATCGCTGAAGGCCCTCATGAACGCATCCTGCGCTGCTGAAGCGTCTTTGCTCAGCATGGACGAGATGGCGTTCGACACACCCGGAATCGCGACTCTCACGACTGGGTTCACTGCTGTATCAGTTGTCGCTGTGGCGGATACATGACCTGCCGTGAGCTCCAGACCCGCAACGTCGTTGAGTGCGATTGCCAGCGCTTCCTTCACCCAGGTCTCCACCAGGTCGTTTGGTGCGGCCTGACCGAGACCGCTCAGCAGTTGCGGAATCGAGATTTCGGATCCCGTTTGCGAGACGTGGCTTGCGTCGCCCTCGGAGTCCACCGTGCCCGAAAGCGTGTAGTTCTTGCCTTGAACCTGTGCAATGCGAGCCGACTCTTGTCGCAGTGTTGCTTTGAACCGGTCCGACAAGGACGTCTGGCGTCGACGCAACACGTCGGGATCCGCACTTACGCTCGCCGCCTCAGTTGGATCCTCGGTTGCTGCTGCAGCGGCAGACTCACTGCTCAATGCGTCCAGCAGTTCCGCCACCGTGTCCGGCGCGAAGCTGCCGTGGACGACAATCGAGATTGTGCGTGTCTCGTTCTTTGCGCCGGTGGCCGGCGAAACGGACGCGCCCACCTGTTTGCGCTCAAGTGTTTCGCCACTGTCGGGATCCAGGAAGGCGTCGACCTCTGCTAAAAGCGCCTTGTAAGCCGCCTCCGCAAAGACTTCGACCACATCCGACACTGGGTCCACCGCATTCTTGTCGACTACAGGTTGGCCATCTGCGTTGGTCGATACCACATCGTCGTCTAGCACAATGACGATCGAGAATTTTCCCTCGATGAAGCTCGGGGCGTCCGACCCCGCGCTGGGCGCCATTGCCGAGTCTTTGGACTCCACAGGCGCTTTTTGCACCGTTGGCGCGGAAGAGAACTCCAACTTGAACTCGGTCTCCAAGTACTGCTTCACCTCGGCGACAAGCGCGGCGCTTCCGCCGTGTTTGAGCCTCTTCACCACCTCTGTGAAGGTTCCGTTGAACGAACCCATCTGTCCCTCAACTAGAGGAATCGACGGCTGCACACTGAGAGTCGCAGCGGTCTGTCCGTCCTTTAGCACCGTGTCTCCAAGGAAGGCGATCACAACCTGCGTGGGCTCTAATGAAGTGACGCCCGTAATCTTTGCCACCGCGGCGTTTGTGGCCGTCTGCAGCCAGATCGTGAGCATCTCTTCGCTAGCCGGCAACCACGAGTTCGTGCCATCGGTCAACGGCAACTCCAGCACAAACGAGACCAAAACCTTCTCTGGTCCAGCCTTGGTCTCCATGCCGCTCGCAGACCGCCCGGGCAGAGTCTTGCTGACCTCTGCTGCGACAGCCTTGTCGAGGTAGTGCTTGAAGGATGCGGGTGAATCTTGCACGAACCACTTGATGCGGGAATCCGTCACGGGAACGGCGTAGCTGATTTCTGGCGCGTTCAGCTCCGCAGAGCCGGGTGCTACCGTCACAAAGACCTGCGAAGGCTTCACGGTAATGCCCGTGGCTTCCGTCAGCGCTGCGGCAATAGCCTTGCGCATGATTTCGATCACCTCGTTGTCCGTTGGCTGCGCGCCATCGTTAAGCGCAAAGCTGGCTGCACCAGCGACTTGCGACGCTGGTGTCGGATCGCGCTCGGCGTCTCCTTTTGGGCTCAAGTCGATCGTTGGCGTCGTGAAGGTCGGGTTGCCGCTTTCGTCGAGCACGGCGTTTCCGTTCGCGTCGACGATCGGCTCCTTCGCTGCCTCCGCCAACTTAGCTTCCAGCGAGTTCTCGAAGAGCGGCATGAACACGGCGCTTGCAGTAGAGTTGTGCGCCAGCATGGCGACAATTCTGCTAGTGATGCCGCTTCCAGTCGCGGTTTCCGGAACCTGCACCGTGACCGAAACAGTTTTTTCGAGCTTGCCGAAACTGGCAGAGGAGACTATGGCAGAAACTTGTTCCTTCGTGATCGGGTTAGGCTTGCCCATGTTGGCCTCCACAAGCTTCTCGTCGGCGCTTGCGATTTCCGCTATGGCCACTTCCACCGCAGACTCAATCTGTGCCAGTGTCACATCGCTCGCGCCCTGCGAGAAGGCAAGTGTGACGTCCGCCTTCACGAAAGTGGCACTTGTGCGGTCGGTGTTGCGCGGCACTGAAGGTGCAGACGGCGCTGCCTCTTCGGTAATGGCAAGTGCCGCCGCTGGGTCGTCCTCTTGCCCGGCGGGTGGCGCCTCCAAGGTCACGCCCATGGCTTGCAAGCGCAAGGGCAGCTTGCTCTTGAACTCGACCGATTGAGGGTTCAGCACATCCGCGATGCGCTTCTTCGCTAGTGCCACAAGTGTGCGATTGAACGCGCGACCCGAGACCAGAGGCACCGACATGATCACCTCGCTGGTACCGGCGTCCGCACCAACTGGGGGCTTCGGGAAGCTCACTGTGATGTTGCTGCGCGTGAAGAACTTATTCGGTTCATCGGCGCTGGCCACCGTGGAGACCGAAGCCGCGTCAGCCGGGTCACCCACGGCCAAAGACAAGGCGTTCGAGACGACTTGCTGGAAGACGCGCACGAGGTCGCTCTTCTGCAAGAAGCCTTCTTCGCCAGCTGCCACGCCCTGCTTCACCGACAATTTGGACTCCAGGAACGTGCGCTCCACTGTGCGCACTGGTGAGGCCAGTCCCGCAGATGCAATCGAGGCGACGCCCGCGATCATGCGTTTCGTCAGTTCGTCGTTGATCGCGTCCAGGAACAACGTGCGGAAGATCTCGTTGTTGCCGCTGCCGTCCCTTGACACAACCTCCGAAGTCATCGCCGTCACTGACGGCAACGCCACGTTCACGGTGTAAACTCCAGACGCGCTCAACTTGTGAATGGTCATGAACACTTGCTCGGCTACCAAATTGGCGCCGCCACTCTCGTGCAGCGCGCTCACAAACGCGGAAGCAAAGGCAGCATTGAACGGTGCGCCGGCAATCACATCTTTTGCGGCCGCGTTGCTCGAACTGTCCTTTGGAGCAAAGGCGAGCTTGGTCTGTGTCTGCGAGGCCTGGACGGCGTCTTTGACGAATTTCGCGTTCACGACGTCGCTTGGGAGAGCCGAGCTCGTGGCTGCCAAGCGATCCACAATCAGGTCCGCGCGGTTCTTCGAAGCCGCGCCCATGAAGTCGCCGACGATACTATTTTGCACTTCGCGCAACTGGAAGGTCACACGGAAGTGGCGTCCGCGCGCCGGGGAACCGAGGGCCACTGGAGTGTCGTACAGGTAGAAGAGACCTATCGTCGACTCTGCCACTACCAAGTCGCTCTTTCCAGTGAGCTCACGCAAGATGCTCTCGGTGGCATTGCGGATGCGTGGTCGCAGCAGCGCCTCCAAAGCGGTGGCGGTGTGGGCTGCCACCGTCGGAGTCTCCACGGACAACTGCGTCTCCACGAAGGCAACACCACCAGGCACGACCTCGAACGGAGTAAGATCCGTCTTCGCGCGGGGCTTCGACTCTTGCGCGTTGCCCTCTTGCTTCGGGGATGAGACAAACTCGCCCACTCCGTTGGCCTGCAACTTTGCAGCGAAGTTTGTCGCGAAGATCGTCGCTTCGGCGCTTCCCTCCGTGAATGCGCTCGAGACGGCAGTCTGCGTGCTCTTGGAGTACTTGTCCCCTGGCAATGCCACTGTGATCCGGAACTCGTACTCCTTTTCACCGGTTTGCTGAGTCGCGTTGGCCCCAGTCTCCTTCTGCACGAAGCGTACAGAAAACTGCGAAGCATCTATGGTCACACCTACCTCTTTGAAGGCCTCTGCGGCCGCGCGCTGCGCCAAGTTAAAGAGTGCTTCTTGATCAGGCATCACCTGCGCGCCATCGTCCTTGAGCACTAGCTTAAGTTTGCCTTCCACGTACTTTGTGGCGACGGAACCACCTGTGGTTGCAGCGGCGCTGAAGGTGTAGTTCTGCGGCTGCGCAGCCAACACCGCCTTCAACGTGCTGTCGAACAACTTGTTGAAAATCTTCTTGCTGGGCGCCGCCTGGTCGTTGCCGAACATTTTGCTAACCGCCTCGCTTGCCGACGGCACCGAGATCTCCACCACAGGGTCTTTGTTCCCATCCGTGATCACGGTCACAGACACGTGACTGGGCGACAACTCCAAGCCAGCGGCCTCGTTGAGAACGCGCGCAATGGTCTGTCGGATCCAGGTCGCCAAGTCTTCGTTCGGCACTGCGCTTCCGGTAGCGACATCGACCAGATCGGAGAACGTCATGCGTGTGCGTGTCTGCGACACCTGCTCTGAATCCTCCGCAGGGACGACCGTGGTCGCGAACGTAAAGTTACGTCCGGTAGAAACGGCGATGTCGCGAGAGGTGCTCGCGAAGGTCTCGCGGAACCGCTCGTTCACTGCAAAAGCAGCCGTGCGCTGCTCCGCCGCCGTGCGACCAGTGCCATCAATGGAGGCGACGCCAGTCGCGTCAGCCTCCTTCTCATCCGCAGTGGCAACATCCCGGCTCGAAAGTGCATCCTGAATCTCGCTTGCGGTTTCTGCGTCGAACTTTCCGTGCACAACTATCGTCACGACCCGCGTCTCGTTCTTGGCTCCTGTCGCTGGGGAAATCGACACCGCCACGTTTGATTCGTCAAACTCGACCGAACTGAGGTCAGACCCGAGCGTTCCAACTTCGGCCTTCAACGCCGCAAAGGCGGCCTTGCGGAGCACGGCTTCGGCGTCATCATTCGGGTCGACCGAGTCCTTGTCAAAGACAAGGTCGCCGTCACTGGTCTGACTCACAACTGCATCGGCCAGTTCCATGTTCACTTCGAACGTGCCCTGCAAGTAGGTTGTTCCCTCGACCGCCGCAGGCGGCGCAGTGGCAGAGTCCTCAGATTCCTCAGGAATGTCCGTCAATTCCACAGGTGCTGAGAATTCCAGGTCAAACTCGGTTTCCAAGTATTGCTTCACCGAAGAGATGAGTGCAGAACTGCCTCCCGCACGCAACTTCGCTACTACGTCGCGGAAGTTAGCTGCTGCAGCCGCACTGCTTTCCTCCAGCGGAATGGAAATCTGCACCGAAAGCAAAGCGGACGTCGCACCAGCTTCCAGCTGCGACTGGCCTGTGAAGGAGACGACGAGCTGTCGTGCGTCGAGACTCGTGATATTCGCTATTTGCGCGACTGCGGCTCTCGTACTCGACTGCAGCCAGATCGTGAGCATTTCCTCACTAGTCGGCAGCACAGAGCTTGCACCGTCTACCAGCGGCAACTGCAGACCAAATGTGATCAGTGTGCGTTCCGGACCCTTCTCGGTCTTGCTGTCGGTGGCGGTACGGCCTGGATGAGCCGCAGCCAGCTGGGTGTCGAGTTCCGTCTTCATATACGGCGTGAACGAGTCCGGTGAGTCTTGCAGGAACCACTTGACGCGACTGCTGGTGACAGGCACTTCGAATTCCACAGTCGGCAAGTTCAAATCTCCGCTGCCCGGCGCAACAGAAATGAACACTTGCGATTCCTTCACTGGGACGCCCGTGGCCTCGGTGAGGGCTGCCGCGATCGATTTTCGCATCAGCGACTCAATCTCCTCGTCGGTCAGAGCACTGCCGGCGGAAAGAGTGAAGCTGAACTTTGCTCGCAGCTGCGAGGCTGGCGAGCTGTCGCCCACCGACTCCGGCTCCAAATCGATTGTTGGTCGCTCCATTACCTGGTTTCCATTGGAATCCACCACGGCATTTCCGTTAGCGTCCACCTTCGGCTTAGCATTCGCGACCTCTAAGGCCGTCTTCAGCTTCTGCTTCAGTTCTGGCCCAAACGCGAGATTCTGGGTGCTGTTGAAGCTGAGGATTTCCACGATCTGCGCACTTACGGCGGAACCGGTGGTGGTCTCCGGCACCTGGATGGTGACCTGCACCTCCTTAGTGCTCTTTCCAAAGGAGCCCGTCGAGACCACCGCCGCAACTTGAGCGACCTTGATGACGCCCTCTTCGCCAAGGTTAGCCTCCACCACTTCTGGGTGCTTGCCGAGGATGTCCGCGACCACCTGCTGCACGGCCGTCTCTAGCTGCGCGTGCGTGAACTCGTTCGCACCACTTGCTACGGCAATGCTCAGTTTCGCCTTCACGAAGGTCGACTTCGTCTTCTCCGTGCTGCCTGGCACAGACGGAACACTCGGTGCGGGCTCCTCGGTGATGTCCAGCGCCGACGAAAAGTCGGTTGAGCCTGCCGGCGGCGGCGTCAGTGTGACGCCCAGCGCCTGCAGCCGCAGTGGCAGCTTGGACGCAAAAGTGGCACTAGTCGGGTCCAACACGCTTAGAATCGAATCCTTTGCGGTCTTCACCGCTGCACGGTCGAAGCTACGGCCCGAAACCAGCGGCACAGATACGATAATGTCCTTAGTCCCGCCGTCTGTTGGAGACTGCGTGGCTGACTTCGGGAATGCGACAGTGATGTTAGACCGAGAGAAGAAGCGGTTGGTCTCTTTGTTCTTGGCCGCATCGCTGTCCCCTGTGCCTGCCACAGTGAGTGTCAGTGCAGAGCTTACCGCCTGCTGGAAAATCGAGACGAGCTGCTCCTTCGTTGTGAAGCCAGCCCGTCCCGCGGCTGCACCCTGCGACACGGTAAGCTGGGTCTCCAAATAAGTGCGCTCGGTCGCCATAGTCGGCACTGCCAGGCCCGTCGCGGAGATCGAAGCAACACCCGCGATTACGCGAGCTGCCAGCCGTGCGTTGATCTTCTTGCGGAAGATGCTCTTGAAGACGTCGCCATTGGTGCTGCCGTCACGCGAAAGTACTTGGCTCGTCATCGCGCTCACGCTTGGAACCGCGATGTTGAGCGTGTACACCGTTCCGTCGAAGCTGTGCAGCGAGATGTACACCTGCTCGGCCGATATCGACGCACCACCAGACTCAAACAGCGCCGTTGCGAACGCCGCAGAGAAGGCAGCCTCGAAATCGCTTGAGGAGACCACCGTTGGTGCAGCCACGTTTCCGCTGCCATCCTGCGGAGCGAAGCTCAGCTTCGCTTGCGTTTGCGAAGCCTGCTTCGCGTCGACCGTGACGCGCGGCGCCGTAACTCCTGCGGGCAGCGCTGCGGCTGCGGTTGTCATCTTAGTCCAAAGATCGTTGCGATCCGTAGACAAGATGCCCATTACTTTACCAGCAGCGCCCGCCTGCACGTCACGCAGCTGCAGCGTCAAACGGAATGTGCGCGCGCGCGCGTCACTACTCGCGGTCACCGGAGCGTTATAGAGGAAGAACAAGCCCACTGTTGCATCTGCAACAAAAGAAACTTCACCGTCCGTCAACTCCGCCAAGATCGCGCCTGTTGCATTCGCGATGCGCGGTCGCAGCAGAGTCTCTAGCTCGTCCACGGTAGGAGCGTCGCCAGTCGCCGTCTGCACAGAGAACTGAGTCTCCACAAAGGTCACGCCACCTGGCACTACCTCGAAGGGAGTCAAGTCCGTTGTTGCAGTGGGCGGTGACTTCGCTGCCGGACCTTCCACGCCCGGGCTTTCCGTGAAGTCCGCCACGCCGTTGGAGCTCAGCGACGTGGTGAAGTCTGTGATGAACTTTGAACTCTCGGAGGAGCCCTCAGAGAACGCTGCCGCTACCTTGATGCGCACCGTTGCTTCGAACTCGCTCTCGGGCAACCCAATAGTAACCGAGAATTCGTACGCAATTGCGCCGGTGCGGCTTCCAGTGGGCGCGAAGCGCACGCTAAATTGAGTGGAGTCCACGTTGATGCCGGCTGCCGCCAGCGCGGCTGCAGCAGCTTCCTGCCCGAGTCCGTACAGAACGTCGTCGTTCGGAAGCGGCTTGCTCAGATCTGTCGTGTCTAGCGCAAGCTTTATGCTGACCGAGAAGTACTTGGTAGCATCGGAGTTTCCGAAGTTCGCGCCACCCACATCGAAGTTGTTGCGTGCCTTCGCAATCTTCTTCACCTCAGGCAGGAAGACGTCCATGAAGGCCTTGCTACTTGCCGTTGCGTCGTCGTCAAGCATCGCTGAGATAGCTTCAGATACTGACGGAACCGAGATTTCGGCCCGTGCATCCACTGCGCGATCTGTCAGCATGCGCACCGAGACGTGGTTTGGCGTCAATTCGAGACCTGCAGCCTGATTGATAGCCTTGGCCACGGCTTCGCGCACCCAAGCTTTTACATCGTCGTTGGCCGCTGCCTTGTCTGTTGACCCGACCTCTTTCACACCCGAGAGCAACACGACACTCTTCGTCTGCGACACTTGCTTCGAGGCGCCCAAAGCAATTACTGGCCCTGACCCGAAGGTGAAGTTCTTACCACTTGCGGCGGCTATTGCGCGTGCCTCGGCGCCGAAGGTCGCCTGCAGACGCGTGTTCATCGGAATGAATTTTCGCCGCTGCTCGTCCGTTTGTTCGGCCGGCGGCGGCGTCGTGGCGAGTGTCTCTGCTGTCGCGTCCGTGTTGATCTGTCCCTGCGTGAGCGCATCTTGAATTTGGCTCACAGTCTCCGCATCAAAATTGCCATGGACCAGGATCGTCACAACGCGTGTCTCATTCGCGACGCCAGTGCTCGGCGAGACCGAGACGGCGACGTTCTCACTTTCGAACTGCGTGTAAGAGTTGACGTCCGCTAACGCGTCTACCTCCTTCGACACAGCGCGGAAACCAGCCTCCTGAAGAATCGCAGCAACTTCACGATCCGCATCTACCGAAGCGCGGTCGTAGGTCTGTACGCCGTCCGCGGTAGTCTGCACGACGCTGCTGTCTAGCGCCACCGACAGACGGAACTTACCCTCGATGTAGCTGCTTCCAGCCACCGCTTGCGTCGGTTTCTGCGGGGAATCCTGCGACTCCGCTGGCATGCTTGTCACAGCCGGCGAAGAGCTGAACTCCAAGCTGAACTCTGACTCGAGGTAGCTCTTGATATTCGAGATCAATGCAGCCGAGTTAGCTTCGCGGAGCTTTCCGCCCAAAGCCGTAATTGGCAAAGCGCTTGGGCCCATCTCGCCTTCTACCAGGGGCACAGCGAGCTGCACTGGAACCGTCACGCTAGTGAGACCGGCTGTGCCCAGCAGGTCTTCGCCCAAGAATGTGACCAAGATCTGCGTGGGCTCGAGTCCCGCCGTGACATTGCCGAGTTGCTGCACTGCATTCTTCGTAGAGGTCTGCAACCAAATAGCCAACATCTCTTCCGAACTGGGCAGCCACGAGTTTGTGCCGTCCACTAAGGGTAAATCCAACTTGAACGTGATCAGCACGCGCTCCTTCGCTGCGCCGATCACCTTCGCGTCCGACAAAGTGCGACCACTGAACGCAGCGTTCTTCGCGACAAACGCCGCCACCTCCTTTTCACTCGCAGTATCAAGATACGGCTTGAAGCTCTGCACGGAGTCTTTTAGGAACCATTTCACGCGGCTGTTCGTCGCCGGAACCTCGAAGGAGAACTGCGGAATGTTAAGTGCAGCACTACCCGGGTCAACAGTGATAAAGATCTGACTGGCTTCGACTGGCTTGCCGGTGGCGTCAGTAAGCGCCGCTGCCACCGCCTTTGCAGCGATTTCCTGGACCTGAGCGTCGGTGAGTTTCGGGTCACCGGCACTGATCGTAAACTGCGCCGAACCTCGCATTTGCGACGCGGGCGCAGCCTGCTCTCCGCTGACCACTGCTCCGATAGTGAGATCGGGATTGCCGACCGCCTGCGCTTCGAGCGCCGATTCCAACTTGCTGTCCAGCTTGCCGACGAATCGCGCGTTTTTGGTTGTGTTGTGGCTCAGGAGCGACACAATCGTGTTGGTCACCGCGGAGCCGGTGTCCGTTTCCGGCACCTGAACCGTGATCCCGATCTCCTTTTGTTCGCGTCCGAAGCTTGCCGCGGTGATCACGGCTGTCACCTGTTCGCGACTCACTGCATCTAGCTGACCCACATTCGCGTCCACCACGTCCATATCCCGCGTTAGAGCGTCCGCGACAACCTTCTCGACCGCCTCTTCGATCTCCGCGTGGGTGATCTGGTTGTGGCCTTGCGCTATGGTCACGAACAGCTTGGCGCCGACAAAGGTCGCTGCCGTGCGTTCCGTCGAACCCGGAATGGCCGGCGCGGATGTCACCGGCTCTTTCGTGATAGACAGCGCGTCGGGCTGCCCTGCTGCGGGCGGCTTCAGGCCAACACCCAAAACCTCCAGTCGCAGTGGCAGCTTCTCCGCGAACACCGCTGAAGAGGGATCCAGCACAGACAAGATTTTGTCCCGCGCTGCAGCGACCTTGCTTCGGTCGAAGCTCGGCCCGGCAACTAGCGGCACGGAGACGATCACCTCACTTGTGCCGCCGGCGGTTCCACTCGACGCCTTCGGGAAGGCCACGGTGATATTGCTACGCGTGAAGAACTCATTGGGCTGCGCGTCAGAGACGGACTTCTCCAGTTTCTTCGCTTGCGGGTCTACCGCGAGGGTGAGTGCATCCGACACGGATTGCTGGATCACGGGGACCAAGTCGCCCTTGGCCAGGAAGCCTTCCTCGCCAGCGTGCTTGCCCTGCGCCATTCCCAATTTGCTTTCCAGAAAGGTGCGCTCCAACGATACCGTCGGTGAGAGGAGAGGCGAATCCGCCAAACCGGCGACACCGGTACCTGCGTTCTCTGCTTTGCCTAGCTGCTCTAAGAAATTCCGCTTGAAGAACTGCAAGAAGATAGTGTTATCCTCACCGCCTGACTTCGAAAGCAAGTTGCTCACTACCTTGCTCGTGGTCGGCAGCGCAACATTGAAAGTGACCGCACCCTTGAAGGTCGTGGCGGTCGTGGAGGAGCCGCCGCCTCCCGGTGCTGCACCCGCGGCATAGATGTGAAAGCCTGCGTAGTTATGATGTTTTGCCTCATGGGCGCTTCCGCCGTTGATCGGAAGGCCGTCAACCGTCGTCCCAGGATGTGGAAACCCGGTAGCATATACTGTACTTGCACTTCTCACAGAGGATCTTACAATGGCGTCGGTATCCCCTCCAGTTGGGTCTTTGTAGAGCACGTGGGCAATTTGCTTATTATCGCACGGCGCCGTGCACTCCACAGCAGTCGCCCAATAAAATTTCATTGGTGTGCTAGCATAGTCTTTCTCAGCCTCGATGAGGTCGGTCGGAACCGGCCGACGCCTATCCCAGTTCCACTTCGGAGGCCGAAAATATGCTCTGCTTCCGTATTTGGACATTCAGTTTAGAAAACGCAATGAGCAAAATGATGCAGAACTATTCTAATAGTGACTCTGAACGTGGGTTTCCTCAACATCCTGGACCGCTCTGCGCCAATTTTCGATTGAAAAGTAAGTAACAAAGAAACTGACTGTTTGAAGATTTCCACGCATCACTTAAACCTAAAGGAGCAAGGTAACGCGAGACCGTGAGTGTTTCCGATTAGTAATTATCCCTTGAGTTGCAAATGAGTACTAACACAACATAAGTAGTAGTCCGGAAATCCGTCATCTGGGTAGCTTGCACCCCTTGGGCAAGCGAACCCCTGGCCAACCATGCTCGCGTCATCAGGATTCGTATAGCTTTTCCATGTGAACTTCGTGGCACTAGATATCGGGGTGCCAGAAACACATTGTAAGGTCATGCCTTTCCCTTCGCTGTGGCAACAATTGTCGCCCATTTCCTGACAGGTGCACCAGCAGTCGTCGCAAGGATTTTGGCCATCCCCGTTCATTTGTTTTATCACGTACTGGGTTCCATCAGATAAGTCGGATCGGCTCGATATTGCAGTCGAAGGATCACCCAAGGGCCCAGCAGGCGCCGCCGCCGCGGCTCCCTTGCTGCCGCCAATCGTAGGGTCGAATTCGTGAACACGTACGTAGATCATCTCCTTCTTGAGCTGTGGACCACCCGATTCTAAAATGGCAGTCGCAATGCTCTGCGTCAGCGCGGACTCGAAGGCAGCGCTGCGCAGCTGCGTCGCATTCGCGGATGTGGAGCCATCCACCTGAAGCGCAGCGAAAGTGATCTGCGCTTGCGTTTGACTTGACTGCTTCCCGTTCTCGGTGATGGTCGGGTTCGACATCTTCGCTGGGAACGCAGGTGTCACGCGCGTCCACAGCTCTGGTCGTCCCTTAGAAAGAACGCCCATCATGTCGCCGACTACTCCAGCCTCGACATCGCGCAGCTGCACTGTCACGCGGAAGTTGCGGGCCTGCGCATCGGAGCCCACGGCCACCGGGGTGTTGTACAGGAAGAACACGCCCACCATAGCCTCCGAGATGGACGAAGCAGGGACTTTTCCGCCCGTCAAGTCGCTCACAACAGCTCCCATGGCCGCTGCCAGGCGCGGACGCAAGATTGCGGCCACTTCTTCAGTCGTGAAGTCCTCGATCGTCGTTGTTTCCACGCTCACTTGCGTCTCCACGAATGTGACACCGCCGGGAACAATCTCAAACGGCGTCAGATCCGTGGTTGCGCTTGCCGTCGAGGCGGCCGCCTTGCCCTTTACCGCGGGTGGCTCCTTGTACTCGCCCAGTCCCAACTGCGTCAGCTCGGTGGCAAAACCAGACGAGAAAGCGCTGGCCTCCGCGGTTCCCTCCGAGAAGAGCTTTTCCACCTTCTCGGACTCTGCGGCACTAAATTTGCTTTCGTCCACACCAAGGGTGACTTCAAACTCGTACACGATGGTTTCGTTATTACTTCCCGCGGTGGGCTTGAAGCGCACAGCGAACTGAGATGCCTGTGCACTCAACCCCGCTGAGGCAAAGGCTTTGCTGGCGGCAGTTTGCGCCATATTGGCCAGAGCATCCTCGTCCGGCACGCCGTCTTGGGACGCCGCCGTCGCGTTTGCGGCCGCCGCAGGTCGCTTCACGGCCAGCTTCATGCTCGATCGCAAGTACTGGGTCGCAGTCGATCGGGCCATGGCGACGGTTCCAACTTGGTAGTTGTTGCGAGCGGCCGCCACTGCGGCCAGCTCGCGGTTGAATACAGTCATGAACGCCGCGTGCTGGCGCTGCGTTGCGACAGAGCCATCCAGCATGGCAGACACCGTTTCCGAAGCAAACGGAACGCTGATATCCAATTCAACGTTCTTTGCCGTGTCCGTCTTCACCAAGACTGAGATGTGGTTGGGCGTTACGTCCAAGCCTGCAACTTCAGCCAGTGCGCGGCTCACTGCCTCCTGAATCCACGCTGCCACGTCGTCGTTCTTCGCATTCTCCGTGACCCCAGCTTGTGTGCTGACCACGTTGGACAGTGTCATCCGGGTACGCGTTTGCGAAATCTGTTGGCTACCCGTGCCGGAGCTCATGACAGAAGATCCGAAAGTGAAGTTTCGGCCTTGCGCCACCGCTACGGAGACGGATTCTGCGGCAAAGTCTTCGCGGAACTTCTCGGCAATGGACTTCTTCGCTGCCGCCTTGCCTCCTGCCTGGTCTGCGCGTTGTTCCCCCGACGAGCTGGTGGCGCTCATGGCGTCCATCAACTCGCTGGTCACCGCTGCCGGGAACTCACCGTGCACAATGAACGTGCAACTTCGCGTCTCGTTCTTCACGCCGGTCGCGGGCGACAGCGCCACTGCCACTTGGTTCTGCTCGAAGCGGATGACGCTATCAGGATCTGCGAATGCCGGAATCGCGCTCTGCAGGGCTTGGAAGCCTGCCATCTGCAGCACCGCTTCTACGTCTTTTTGCGGGTCCACGCCCTGCGCATCGTAGGTCTGTACACCGAAGTCAGTGTCGGTCTTCACCACGTTGTCCGCCAAAACTACATCAACATCGAAGGTACCCTGCACAAAGGTCGTGCCGTCCACCTTAGGCGGGCTGGGCGCAGCCGAGTCACGGGATTGCGCCACCGGATTTGTGACTGCAGGAGCGGCCGAGAATTCGAGGTTGTAGGTGGTTTCCAGAGTGGACTTCACTGCCGCAGTCAGATCCGCTGCACCATTGGCAGCTAATTTCGTCGCGACCTCCTCGAAGTCGGTCGCAGCGCCCATATTGCCCTCAACTAGCGGCACGGAGATTTGTACTGGCAATGTCGCAGCAGTCGCGCCATCCTGCAACGAACTACGACCTACGAACGCCACAGCAACTTGCGATGCCTTGAGACCACCAGTCACGCTCGCAACTGACGCAACTGCGGTTTGCGTTGCGCCTTGAATCCAGGTGACCAGCATGCCCTCAGAAGACGGCAGCCAGCTGCTGGCGCCGTCAACTAACGGCAGCTCCAAGGAGAACGTGACCATTGCTTTCTTCACGGCCGGCGACACCCTCACGTTGGACGCCATTCGAGACGGTGTCGGCACCGAAGCCGTGAATTCCTTGATCGTCTTCTCGAGGTACGGCTGGAACGTGTCTGCCTTGTCCTGCAGGAACCACTTCGTGCGGCTGTCGGTGAGAGGAACGTCGAACGCGAACGACGGGCTGTCCAGCTCGGCAGAGCCAGGTGTGACCATCACGCTCACCTGGGACGCCTTCACCGGTTGCGTCGTCGCGTCCTGGATAGCGGCCGCCACAGACTTCGCTGCGATTTCACGGATTTCATCCTCCTTCAAAAATACGGCGGATCCATCAGCGCCGGTGACAGCGGCTACCTGGAAGCTCGCCGAGCCTCGGAGTTGTGACGCTGGTCCCGCGTTTCCGTTGGAAGTGACACCTGACACTGTAAACTCGGAAGCAGCGACGGCTGTGCCCGAGCTTGCAGAAGCGGCGGCTGCGAATTCCTTTTCGAGTTCTGGCGCCAGCTTCGACACAATCGCGTCATTCTTTGTGTTGTTGTTGGTCAACAACGAAATCAGCTGCGTGCTCACACGTGCTGAGGACTCGGTCTCGGGAACCTGAATCGTCACGTCTACCGATTTCTTCGTGCGCCCGAAGCTGCTCTCGGACGTGATCGCCGCCACCTGCGAGGCCGCCACAGCGTTCTGCTTGCCAAACGCAGCGTCTAGTACATTTGCGTCCTCGGACAAAGTTTTCGACAGCGCCTTCTCGAAGCTGCTGTCGACCTCCTTTTGCGTCAGCCGCGATGCGCCCTTCGCTATTTCCACGTCTAGCTTGGCCTTCACGAACGTCGTCTTGCTCTGCAAGGTGGACTCCGTGCTCGCGGGCTCCGAAACCTCCGCTTTCTTTGGCGGAGGCACCGGATTGTCCGCAATTGCTGCTGGGAAGGTCACGCCCAGAGCCTGCAGCCGCATGGGTAGCTTGCTCGGGAAGATGTCGGAAGAGGGATCGAGGATGGTTTGCACCAATTTCTTGGCCGCGTTCACCTTGGCAAGAGTGAAGGCAGGACCGGACACGAACGGAACCGAGAAGCCGACCTTCTTCGTGCCAAAGTTGTTCGCGGCAGTCGGCGTTTCCGGAAAGATCACCGTGATGTTGCTGCGCGTGAAGGGTACGAAGTCCGTCACGGTCGCCGACAGGGCGTTAGCCGTCGTGCGTTGTAAGATTTCCGCAAACTCCGACTGCCCCAAGAGGCCCTTGGCGCTGCTTGGATCTTGGGACAACTCGAGCTCCGAGGTGAGGTAGGTGCGCTCTTCGGCCAGGCCGAAGGCCACCGAGCTGCTGGCGGTAAAACTGAGTCCCGCGTTGCTCAACTCGGTGTTAAGCTTACCGCGGAAGATCGAGTTGAAGATGGCGCTGTTTTCGCCGCCCGACGTGGATAAGAACGCAGTGCCCTCGGCACTCACCGTGGGAACTGCGACATTGAACACAAATTCGTTGGTGCTCGTCTCGGCACTGTGCTGCGACAGGAAGACGTGCTCACGCTTCACGGCCGAACCTCCGCTCTCAGTGAACGCAGCCGCAAAGGCGTATCGCATGCCCTGCTGAAAGCCCGACGAAGCGATGTTCGCGTCGCTGGGCGTAGCAGAGAAGGTGACTTTCACTCGCGCTTGCGTCTGCGAGCTCTGCTGCGCGTTCATTGTGAACGCCGGGGCCGTCACGTCGCTCGGGATGCTGCCGACTTCGTAAAGCTTACCCCACAGCTCTTCACGGCCGGTGCTCAGATACTGGAGCATGCGCCCCACAACACCGTTTGGTAGGTTCAACAGCTGCACTGACAGACGGAAGTTCCTAGCGCGCACCGGGCTGCCGGTCGCCACCGGCGAGTCGTACAGGAACACAAACGCAACTTGCTCAGGCAACACCGCTACGTTTGCAGCAGCGCCGTCCTCCGCGACGATCTGAGAACTCTCGTACTTGAGAATACTGGTAAGAGCCGTCGCGAGGTTGCTGCGCAGTCGAGCGATCAGTTGGTCGGGTGTGTACGCCTCTGCCGTGGGAGTGCGCACAGAAAAGGTGGACTCGAGGAACGTGACGCCACCTGGCACAACCTCGAAGGGCGTCAGATCGGTCGTCGCCGCGTCCGCGCTAGGCTTCGCAGCACCAGCGGACTTTGGCTTGAACTCGTCCACAAATTCGGCTACGCCCAGGCTCGTCAACTTTGTGGCGAAAGTGTCCATGAAGGCAGCGTTGGTGCTACCAGTTTCGGACAAGGCATCTTCTATCTTAGCAATCGGAGTGTCAGAATAGGCGGCCGAATCGACCGCGATGGACAGGAAGTAGTTGAACTGCCGCAAGCCGATCGTGCTCACTACTGGCCCCGAAGGTGCAGTTGGTGCCGCCGTCGCGTTGGTACCCGGAACAACAGGCGCGCTTGGGTCTGTGGTCGTAGTTGTTGTGGTGGTGCTCGTAGTGGTCACGCGCTTTCCGGCTTCGGTCGAGAAGCGTACAGAAATCTGCTCTGCAGCTACGGCGACGCCCTGTTCGGTGAGAGTCTTTGCTGCGGCCTCTGCCAAGAGCGCTTTCATAGCGTCTTCGCTCGGCATCGGCTGCGTTGCGTTCGCGCTGATTGCTAACGAACCAAAAGACTCAATCATTCGCGTAACCTTGGCCGCAACCGTGCTTGTCACGGCAGGGCTCTGCTGCAATGCGATGCCCGTCGTAATGTTCAGTTCCTTGGCCGTCTTCGTAGTGCCTGCGACCTTGTAGTTGCCGGTGCGGCTCGCAGTCGCCACCAAGTCGTCCAACTCGTCGGTCATCGAAGCTAGGAGCGACGTTTTTGCAGTCGAAGTTCCAACGCCCGAGAACATATCAGACGTCGGCTTGGACACGAATGGCACTGAAATCTTGACCTTCGGTTTGGCCACGGTGTCCGTCACCACAGTGACGGCGACGTGCGTCGGCGACAAATCGAGACCAGTGAGATCGTTGAGCGCTTCGCTGACAGCCTGCTGGACCCATTCCACCACTTGGTCGTTGGACACAGCACTGGACAACCCAAACTCCATTTCAGTCTGCGTCTGAGAAACCTGCTTGGGTGCTCGCGTGGTCTTCTCGAACCCTACCGCGCTAAAGCTTGCCACCGCACTCTCGGTAGCGTGTGGCGCGACAGAAGTCGCGTTGCTGCCACTGGCAGCCGCTGCTGCTGCAGAAGCCGCGGCAGCCGCGCGTTGCGCCTCTACAGTCACAGCCTTCTTCAACTCTGTGACGAAGTTCTCGCGGAAGGCATCACCCTCGCTGGCAGTTGAAGAGCCAGCGGTTGCGAAAGCATCTTCAATTTGCGCAACGACGTCACTATTGAATTCACCGTGAACAACAACGGTCGCAACTCGCGTTTCGTTAGCGACGCCCGTACCTGGCGATACCCCCACTGCCACCTGCTTGTCGGTGTATCGGACATTGGCCAACTCTGAACAGGAGGCCTTCAGTGCTTCGAAGGCCGCCTTTTGCACAACACGCGCGACCGCTTTGTCGTGCGTACGCACCGCAGCTGCACGGTCCAAAGGCGTCGCCGTTCTTGCCGAAACATTTGCGGTACGATTGTAGTAGTCCTCGAGGAAGGTGTCCACGTCATAGGTGACGAAGAACTCGAATTCGCCTTCGATGAAGACGGACGCGTCACCGGCAACCGCCTCCTTAGGTTCGGTCTTGCCGTCTTTGCTCGGCGCCGGCTTCTTGGTCGTCGGCAGGCCCGCAGCAGTCTCGCCGGCATCAAAGCCCACGTTGAACAAGGTTTCCAGCGTAGACTTGATCTCAGACAACAAGCTCGCGGCATCGTTAGCTGCCAGCGCGTTGAAGACCGTCTCGAAACTCGGAGCCTCGGTGCCGTCAGCTCGCACCGCAACGGTACGGACCTTCCTTTGGATGGGGATGGACACCAGCAACGGAATCTTCACAAAAGTCTTGTTAGCCGCTTGCAGCAGCGCGATTCCTGCCGCGTCAGGCAGCGAGCGGAACTGCGAAACACCAATGTCCGACTTGGCGAGCAGGTCATCCGTTACGTTGGTGGCAACCGCCTTCACTGCACGGTGCACCGAAGTCTGCACCCACGACTGCAGCTGCGCGTCCGAGGTCGGAACCCAGGCGCCGCCGCTGCCGTCCACCACGATCGGCAGTTCCATGCCAAGCGAGAGCACTTTCTTGCCCATCTTGTTTTCTCCAAGAACGTCGTCAGCGTCGCTTGCTGGGCCGCTGAAGATCCCCGCGGCTCCCGGTACGGTCGCCGGGTCCTCGCGATCCTCGGATACCACATCCGACGCTGCCGCGATGCCATTGAACTTCGCTGAATCGCCAGAAAGCACAGCGTTTACGGCAGTTTCCATATACGGTTGGAAGCTGATAGCCGACTCCTGCACGAACCACTCGATGCGTCCATTGGTGACCGGAACATCGTAGCTGAAGCGCGGCTGCCGTACCGCGGCCGAACCAGGTGCAACATTCACCGCAACTTGGCTCGCCTTTACCACCGCACCTGTCGCGTCCTTCAGCGCCGCAGACACCGATCGCCGGGCGATCTCCTCCACCTGCACGTCGGATAGCACGTTCTTGTCCTGCGGCGTCGCGAAGCTCGCGAAACCACGTGATTGTGAGACGGTCTCTGCGAAGCCCAACGACTTGCTGCCGCTCACTGAGAGCTTGGCACGCGCGGTTGCGGAAAGGTCCGTGTCGCTGCGCAGCTCTGCTTGCAGGATCTTCTCGAACTCTGTTGCGAATACAGCGTAGTGCGGCTCCGCGTTCTCGCTCAACACTGACTGCAGTAGCGAGCCTGCGGCAGTCGATCCGGCTTTCTCGCGGATTTGGAAGGTGACTGCTACCTTTTTCGTCGCAAGGCCAAAGGATTGCTTAGAAATCACCGCCGCAACAGCGGCTTCCAGAACCTCCTTGGAGCCGTCGACAGTGACCTCAGCACCGCTGCCGCCACCGATTGATCTAGCTGGCTTGGAAGCGCGCTCCGCAGCAGTGGCGTCGTCGACCACCTTTTTCACCGCAGACTTCACCGCAGTCACGATCATTTGCTCGAGCTTCGTGGTGCTGCTGGCTACCCCTCCACCTATGGTGAATTGGAGGTCAACTTGCACAAATACAGTGTCGGAGGCGACCGTTGTTTGACTCACCGCTGTTTCAGAGACCACAGCTGACGCTGCGACTCCGAGTGCAGCAGACGGGTCGTCCGCAGTGGTTGCTGGGAGCTCGACGCCAAGAATTTCTAGACGCGTAGGCAATTTCTTCGAGAAGTCCTTCGAGGACGTGTTGAGCACCGACATCATCGACTCTCGCAGCGCGGAGGTGAGATCCGCAGAGAAATCGGGACCAGAGACAAGTGGCACGCCGAGGCGTACATTGTCCGTCTTTCCAGCCTCCGAGTACGACACTGTTACGTTACTTTTTGTCACGCTGGCTGCCTTAGTGCGGTGCTCCTTCTCACTTGCAGTCGGCGTCTCGCCTGCTGTCGGCGCAAGCTCTTGTACGACTCGAGCGTTGCTCGAAATCGACTGTGACAAAGCGCTCGCTGCCGCCACTCTCAGCATATCCGCAAGAGCCTCTTGCGATTTCACCGGCTTTGTGGCGTCGCCCTCCACTTGCTGCAAAGAAAGTGTCGTCCCCAGGTAGGTCCGCTCCGCCGCATTGCCTTCGGGACTCGAACGCGTCACCACAAATTCCTGCGCAGTGGATATTCCACTGTCCGCGGCAGCGCGTTCCTTGAGCACTGCGTTCAAGTTGTCTCTCAGTACCTTAGCGAAGATCTGACTGTCCAGCGAGCGGTCCGCGTTGGAAACTACACCGACGCCGTTTAGACGCGAGTCCTTCGCGTCAACGGCCTGAGCCTTCGACACCGAAAGCAGCCGCGTGACCTCGGCTGACAGCGTGGGGATCGCTACGTCGAGCAAGTACGAAGATTGCGAGCTTGTTTCGGAGATCTTGGTCTTGATAGACACAAACACTTGCTCCTTCGAGATGACGATGTCGTTCTGTGCTAGTGCACGCACAACCGCGTCTGCTACTGGAACCTTCTTGTTGTCCACCACATCAGCCTCTGACGGCAGCGACACAGTGCCGCTCGCCGTGTCGAACACCAACTTGAGCACGGCCTGCGTTTGCGAAGCTTGCGTGCTCTCCTCGGTGATGACACCCGTTTTCGCCAAGTTCTCGGCAATAGCGGCACTGGCGCCACTACTTTCGCGCGCCACCTTCTCCACTTCCGTGAACAGCTCGGCACGATTTTGGTTCATAATGTCCATCGCAGCGCCCACGTCTTCTGTTGTGGACTTGCGGACTTGTGCGGTCAGCTGGAAGTGTCGGTCCACCTCGGACGCACCTTTCACCACCGGCGTGTTAAATAGGAAGGTTAGCGCAGTGTCACTTTCTCGAACGAACTCAACAGGCGCATCCGGCGCTACTGGCGGTGCCGCGGGAGCTGCAGCTGGCGCGCCTCCGGTGCCTGCCGTTAATGCTGCCTTAGCATCTGCTGCGGCCTGCTTGCGAGCGGTCGCCGCCTTGTTCAGCAAACTGTTGGTTGCGTTCACGAGGAAGGGCAGGAGGTGCGCGACTAATTGCGCGTTTGTAAAGACCGTGGAATTCACGGTGCGAACCTTGAACGCCGTCTCCACGTAGGCGACGCCGCCAGGCACGACCTCGCGGACCTCGTCCTCCACCTCGAGTTCGGGCTCGCGTGGCGAGAACGCCGGAGAGGCCTGTGCAACCGAGGAGCCGAATCCGCTGGCCTGCGCTGCTGCAGCGGCACCTCCGGCCGCTGCCTCAGCAGCCTCCACCACATCCGGGTCTTCGCCGGTCACCAGAGGTCGCAACTCGCTGGAGAATGCGGCGCTGAACGCGGAGCCTGTTGCCGAGCTGAACGCTGCCAGGAGCGCACTGCGAAGCGTGTCAGTAAGCGACGCAGCGGTCAACGGCATTGTGATGAAAAAGTCGACGGGGCTGGTGAAGTTGAGCACGTTTGGTCCCGGATCGGCTTCGGGATCGAGCGCCGTCCTCGGAATCAAGTCGTCTGGTGTCACACCGAGTTCGATACGGATCTCCGATGGCACGATGCCCGTCAGCTGGCCAGTCGCCGAGGATAGACCACGCATATTTGCTGCAGCTGCTGCAGACGAAAGGGTCAGCGGCACAGAAGGCGAAGACATTGCTCTGCCACCACCCAGGGCAAGCAAGGACTTGCTCACGCCAGGCTTCGTCGCGGTAACGCCGGCAATCGTCAGCTTCTCCAATCCTGCCACTTTCGACACCAGCTCGCGCCGCGAGGCTGCGGAGGTCGCATTGGTGACGACTTCCGTCAAAGCGTTAGCCAACGCCGATCGCGCTAGAGACTTCACTGCATCAGGAGTCAAAATGAGGGCGCGAGCCTTTCCTGTCGACTGATCATTCACGCGCGCTGGCAGTTGCAGGCGCAGTTTAGTTTCGGCAAATTCGACCGCTTCCGCTTTCGTCTTAACCTCCATGACGCTCGCGCCCGCCTTGGGTACGGCCACGCCACCCGTCTTCTCGTCAATCTCATTCTTCAGATTCTCTTCCATCGCTTCCGCGAAGAGATCTCTCACCACACTCGGCTCCTTCGAGAACATCTTCTCGATGTCCTCGCCCGTGAACGGGACAGTGACCTTGGCCGTGACGTTCCCTCCCGCAAGCGGATCGCTCTGCAGCACGACCTGTACGTGTTCATTCGCCACGTCGAGGCCTGCAGCGTCGTTCATTGATTCCGCAACCGCTGCCTGGATGGCCGCGATCAGCTCCGCCTCAGTGTAGGTTCCGCCTGGCTGTTTCTGTGCAGCAGCACTAGTTGCGCGCGCGACCGGTGCGAACTCGATGACCGTGGACACCTGCGACGTCTGCACCGCAGGTTGCGCCGGATCGAACGCGGCATCGGAGAAGGTAAAGTTCCTGGGATGGTCTGCGAAATATCGCAGCGCAAATTGCTGCGCAACGTCCTTGGTGGTTCCGGATGTGATCCGGTTTCCGTCCACGTCAACTTCTACTGCGGCTGTAGTCGTGCTCGTGGAGGTAGTCGGTGCACCTGTTGGCGCTGCGGTCGTACTCGCGACTGTCACATTAGTGCCATTCACTTCGACCGTGATGTTTCTCGGGCCATCCACAGTCACAGCCGGCAGCGTCGGTTCCGGTTCTGGCAGTGCCGAAACCTGCTCGGCGATCGACTTGAGCTCTGCCAGCAGAGAACCGGTGAAGTCGGCGTTTGCAGTGCCGCCACCGGCTCCGCTGCTCATCGTCTCGAGAATGGCTTCCACCGTGTCCGCGTCGAAGCCGCCACTGACCGTAACCTTTACCACTCGCTCTTCATTGTCACCGCCGCGGCTTGCGGAAATGACAATGGCAATTTGCGATTCGCCGATCGTGATCGTTTCCGCATATGCGGCAGCATCTTGGCCACCAGCAAAGTTGCGGATCAGAGCCTTCTTCAAGGACAGAGCCACTGCTTTCTGGAGCAGCAAGGCTGCTTCGTCGTCTGTGAGCATTGCCGAGTTCGACAAGAATTCCTTGCCGTCGACGCCAACTGCGACACTGCCCTCTGCGACCTCGCCTGTGGTCTTGTTCAGCCGTGGCTGCTGAGACAGACGAATCTTGAATCCGCCCTCCAAGAAGACTGCGTCCGCGCCAGCCACGGTGTCGCTGCGAGGCGTGCTCGCATCCTTGGCGGCGCGTGGGCCGGTCTTCAACACCTTCTGGCCCTGTGAATTGACCACAGAAAGTTCGTCCTGTGCCGCCGGGTCGTCTGTTTGCGGCTCCGAAGAGCGCAGCAGCGGTCCCTTGCTCTGCGACTGCCCGTCGGCCTGGAAGAATTCGAGGTTGTAAGTCGTTTCCATGGTACTCTGCACCTTGGAAAGCAGTGCCTGTCCATCGTTGGCTCCAAGCGCCTCCGCCACTTGGTCGAAGCCCTCGGTGCCCAGCTGCGATTCTGCCAGAGGAACGGTGATCACCACCTGCAACGTGGCGTTCGCGATGGGCGAGCCATCCGCGTTTTGTACGCCCGACAAGCCCTTACCGAGATATGCCACCCCGATTGAGGTGCTCTTGATTTCCTCGACTCCACCGGAACCGGCCTCCAAGCCTGCGACCTGGTCCATTGCGGTCTTGGCGGAAGCCTGGATCCAAAGCGTGAGCATCGACTCCGAACTTGGCAACCAGCTGCTGGCGCCGTCCTTCAACGAGATTTCCAAGCTGAACGTAATGCCCGTGCGGCGCTCGCCCGCAGTGAGCGTGACGCCGTCGGACACTGCAGCGCCAGCAGTCGCGTTGCTGCCGGCCTTGGTTGTTGTGGTCGAGGTCGTCGTGGGAGTAGCGTACCGAGAAAGCTTGTGAGCGACAACGATTGGGTTCGTCAGGTTCGCATTGAGCGTGTCGTCGAGCACTTGCTGCATATGCTTTTCCACGTACGGCGCGAAACTGCCGACACTGTCGCGCAAGAACCACGCGGCACGGTCGCTGCTCGTCGGCATATCGAACTGGACAGTGGGGTTGCCGAGGGCAATGCTACCCGGCGAGAAGACCACCGCCACTTGCGACGGTTCCATCTTGCGACCAACGGCATCGGTCAGACCCGCAGCGAGACCTCGCTGCACGATTTGCGCCAGCTGCTTCTCGCCCTCCGGTGTGGGTTCGTTTGTCTTCAGATCCAGGAAGCGTTCCTGCCACGAAGTCGCTTTGGCGTCGGTGACCGCGCCCGTGCTGTCCAGGCCAGGCGTCACTGGATCGGTCGGCAGAAAGAAGGCTACCTTGCCTCGGATCGTGCTCGCCGGCTGCGCGTTTCCGAGGGAAGCGGCAGCGTCAACCGAAACTGGAATGTCTTCCTGAACCACAGTGCCGTCTGCCTGCACGCTCGCAGTCTGCTGGCGCGCGAGCGCGCCGGACGTGACCGCTGCCTGCATGCCCGAAAGCAGTTCCGTCTTGAACTCCTCCACAAACCCGATGTTCACGTCTCCGCCCGTGCTGGACAGGATCTGCGAAACTGTGCTGGAAACTATGGTCTGGCTCTCGCGTTCAGGTACGCGTACGGTGATCTGCACCTCCTTCTTTCCCTGTCCGCGGCTGCTCTGCGAGAACACAACGGCAATGTCGCTCGCCGGAATCGCATCTACAGGCTTCTGCATTGCATCTTGGATAGCTGGCTGCGCTGAGAGACCCTTGGCCACCGCTTTCTGCACGATCTGCTTAAGCTCCAGCTCGGCTGCCGACTCTTCGTTCGCCGACGGGCCGCGAGGCACGCTGGCTCCGCGAATGGAAAACTTGAGTGTGGCTTTTACGAACTGCGGCTTGGATTGCAGCGGCGACTCGGTCACCACCGTTTCCGAGGGCTCTGCGTCCTCCACCACTGGAATCTGCGGTCCGGCCGGATCGTCGGCGCCCTCCAACGCGATTCCCAGCGCCTCAAGACGCAGCGGCATCAGCTTAGCAAAGGTGTCGGTCTTCGTGTCCAGCACGTTCATCGTCGCCGACACTTGGGCATCCACCAGCGTCTGGTTGAAGTCGGGTCCCCCCACGATCGGCACCACAATGAACGCCTCGGTCGTGTCGCTGCCGTTCTTTGGGAACGAGACCGTGACGTTGGACTTTGTAACAAACTTCCGCGGCAACACGGAAGAGCCCGCAAGCTCTATGTCGTCGCTCGCGGAAGAAGTACCAAGCGCCGTCAGTGCCTCGTTGAGGCCGCTGGACACGGCTTTCTGGAGAACCGGCACAACGGCTGTCTGGTTCAGTCGGGTCTTGCTTGCATCTTGGTGCATGGTGAGCGCGGATGAGAGGTACGTTCGCTCCTCTGCGTTCTTCGGTGAAGACAGCGCGGAAATATAACCCGTACCACCGCCGTCGGCCTGCACCTTGGCGTTCAGCTTGGTCATCAAGATCGTGGTGAAGATCTCGTTAGAGCTCGAGCCCGATGCCGACACGAGCGGAGTGAGACCGCCACGGCTCGTACCAGCTACGGCGATGAGCACAGTGTGCTCCGTCCCTGCCGCGTTGTAATCAAGTAACCGAAAGGCGACGTGCTCCTTCTGCAAGGCAGGGCCACCTGTGTCCGCCAAGGCTTCCCGGATCGCCGCGTTAAGGTTGTCCTTCGCTGCCTGCGACAGCGCACCAGAAACGCTTGTCGTGATCTTCAACAAAGACTGCGTTTGACTCGACGGCTTCGCGCGCGCCATGAAGCGCAGCAAGGGGACGCCCGCGAGCTTTCCCTGCGGGGTACCAGCAGCGCCACCTTTGTTCTGGTAGGCAAACCAGTCAGTCGGCAGCATACTCGAATTGTATACCTTGCGGAAGAACTCGTCGCGACCGACGGACAGTTTTCCGAGAATCTTTCCGACGCCTTCGGCCCGAATTGAGCGCATCTGCAACGTCACACGGAACGTGCGCGCAACCGCGGTGCTGCCGGCGACCACTGGCGAGTCGTAGAGGAAGGACAGGGCTACGCGGCTTTCCGGTACTGAGCGGTGGGTCGCCTCCGGGCATGCGGAAAAGTCGTGCTTCGTCTTTTCCGGCGGGTTCGCTGGATCTCCGGTTCCCGGCACCAAGGTGACACACGGGTGATCCGTTGTCACCTCTGTGCCGTCACTGAGATCGTCAAACAATAAGTCCGAAGCGTTGGCAAACGCGGGACGTATGCTGTCCATCATTTGCGTTGGCGTGTAGGCCTTCGCGTCTTCCATCGTGACAGTGAAGGTGGACTCCAGGAAGATGACCTCACCCGGCACCATCTCGCTGGTGGTCAAGTCCGTCTCCGGTTTCGCGACTGACAACTCGGCCTCCTTCTGGGTGACTTCCGGCGCTGCCGAAAACTCGCCAACACCGAAACTCTGCAGATCGAACGCGAATTCGGTCGCAAATTGAACAGCCTTCGAACCCGCAGTGGTGTCGTTCGCGTCGCCCTTCGAGAAGAGCTGCAACACCTCCGCCTGCTGTTCTGGCGTGAACTTCGAGGCCTTCAACACGGCAGTGAGCTGAAACGCGTACGTTCGTAGCCTGCCCCCAACATCGCTCGCTGCCGAAGCAGACCGATCGGCCTCGGGGAAACGGGCTTCCACCTGCGACGGGGGCACAACGAGACCGTCCTTTGTTGATCGCCGAATTGCCTCGCTCGCAGCTGCCTGCGCCAGGGAAGCCATTGCTACCTCGCCCGGCTGCGTTGCGTTGGCCGCAACAGTAAGAGCGAGTTTGACCTTCGTAGTTGCGTACACGGTCGCCTTCGCAGTTTGGGTCAGCGCTGTCGCACTGGTCTCGGCAAACTCGAAGGTGACATTGCGGTTATTCACGATTTGGCGCCCATCGCGCAGAGCGTAGCGTGACTGCGTGGTGGTGTCGAGGGCGAGTGCGTCTGCAACAGTGAGCGGCACAGGTGTAGTGCTCGTCGTCGTAGTCGGCTCGACGTAGCCTTCTTCGCCAGGAAGCTTCGGGACGAAGCCAGCCATCCCGACAAACGGATTCTCATCCTCCGCCAAGTCGCTGAGGTACTTCGTCTGCACATCGCGAGAGAAGGCTTCTACCTCCGTCTTCACAGTCTTGCGGAAAGCGGCCATGAAGGTGTCAAAGTATCGCCCACCCGTAGCAGAAAGCATGTTGCGCACAGTCGGCGTGCTGAACGGGACCAGAACCGCCACTTCAAGGTCAGCGGTCGGATCCAGTGGCAATTTCAGCGAGGCCGCGACATGCGACGGGGTCACGTCGAGGCCAGCAATTTCGTTGAGTGCTCGTGCAACTGCAGTTTGCACCCAAGTCTCAACCGCCAGTTTGCCGTCGCGGTACGCCTCCAACAACAGCTTCTGCGCCGCCTTCTTCTGCGGTTGCGTTCCTGCCGTCGTGTTCACGCTGAATTTGAGCGTAGTGCGCGTCGTACTCACTGCTCCCCCACTTCCCGTTGTGGTGATGCCGAGAGGAAGCAGACCCTTCAAGATTTCCAGCTGTTCAGCGATCTGCTTCTTGCGCTCCTTCGTGCCTTTCTTCTCCGCAATCTTGCCCGCCTCATCGGCAGCCTCTTGCGCCACCAGTGCGACGGGAAGCGTGGTGCTTGTGGTCGTCGCAGTCGCGGTCGTTGTGATCGTTGTGCTCGTCGACGTTGTGGTAGTGGTGGTCGTGGTCGTGCTTGTGGTGGTGAACTTGTCACAGCACTCCAACGCAGTGCAAACTTCAGATGCGCATTTCTTCGTCGCGTCGGTCATGGGGTTCGCTGCCGGGCAACTGAAGTCACGGCATGTCAGAGGCTCGCAGCAGTCCACACCGTGCGGCCCCTCGACCGCAAAGTGCAACTCAGCGTCACCTTTACGGATTTGAAACATGGCTGGACAAGTCACCGCCGGCACTGTGGACACGGAGCCGTCACCTGCAGTGATGCGCCTTTGGCAGCCGACGATGGGCTGCGCCGCCTGGTAGTTCTCACTGGCGTCGCTGAGACTCGTGCCGCCGGGCGTCGTAGTATGTCGTCCGCCGGTCGGTCGCGACCCCTCAAAGTGGACTTGCGCACAAGTCTTCGCCGGCGCGTGCAACACGCAGAAGTCCATCTCGTCTTCTGGCGTCGGTGCTTTCTTCCCGCTTACTCCCGTGCACGTGTCACCGAGGAAGTTGCACAAATTGAAGCACTCTGACATTGTGATGTTCTTCACGCGGATCGCGCTGCCCGCATCCGGGGCCTTCCCGCCACCGGCACTGCAAAAAGCGGTTGCAGCAGCGCTTGTGCGCGCGATGTACTCCACACCCATCTTCGAGAGTCGTGGCGCGGTGCTGGCAACCTTCATGTGGCGGAAGCACAGCCACTGATAGTCGTGTTGCGAAGCGCCATGTTTGCGGACACCCGTCAACGGGCGGCTAAGTCCGTTTTGGAAACACCGGTGATTCGTGCAGGACATGAACGGGCCCGGGCGCAAGGATTCACAGCCCGTACCACCCATACTGTCTTCCAAGTCTACTTCAGCATCTACGATCAACCCATCTGGAACACCAACGTATTTCATGAATTTTCCGTCGCTGGCACTAACACCAACGCACTTGTCATTTGCTGCGTCGAACATGTCGCAGTAGCGGAATGGGTATATGAAGGTCTCTGCGGATTCGAGTGGAATTCCGAAATCACTTTCCGCTGCTGTATGGCTGCACATAGTGTCCGGCTGGGCAGCTTTGGGGTAAACGTTTCCGCACAACCCAGCGTCCACGAATTCGTACACGAAGTCTCTTCTTCCCAGCGAGAACGTTTTCCATTGGGCGTTTGGTTTATACTTGGGACCTTCAGTGGACCAGTTGTCGATCGCATTTGCATGCCAAGCTGCGTCACGCCACAGTTCCAAAAAGTGTGACGGTAGAGCGTTTGTTGCGACCGAGCCCTTGTCAAAGCACTCGTAGTCCGAAGAGGAGCAGTCGAAGTCCGCGTGCGTGCAAAGATCAGATCTGCGCGCAATGTCCGACTCCTTAGAGCTGTCATAGTACCCGTCATGTGCAGTTATCGCGATTCCGAAGGTCGCGGTCAATTCCGCCGTGTAATCTGTGCAGACACCCTGGTAGTAGCCGGTGCGGGGCCAGAACGACAGTGACTCCGCAATGGTGACGTTCTTCGACTCCCTCGGACGACCCAAAATCAGGTAGTTCGTCGTTGTGGTGGTGCTGGATGTGCTCGTTGTGGTAGTCGTTGTCGTGGTGTTCGGCGCAATCGTGCTGTTATCGAACTCGGTTACCGTCGTCGTAGTTGTCGTGGTCGTTGTGGTAGAGGTGGTGTTGTGGAACGCCTCCTCCGCTGCCACATCCAAGTGGTACTGATCGATGAACGTCTGTGCGTTGCCCAGCTGGGCTTCGAGGAACTCCAAAACCTTGAAGCGGAGCCGCCGGCTGAGGTCCGCCCCTGTAATGTCCACAGCCGGTAAAGACGCCCGCTCGGCTTCAAACTGGGCCTTCGTAGTCTTGCTTCCGCGCACCAACAGCCCAGCCGCGGCCGCACCCGGCGACACTGCTGCCTCGTCGTCGGTCGCATTGCCCGCTGTCGGATCTGCCAGACTGTTGAAGAGACGGCTGGCTGCGTCGGGTGGGAACTTCCCGTGTACTACCACCGACACCGTTCGTACCTCTTTCCGCAGGGGTGGTTCGTTTGCCGGGGAGACCGTGATCGCCACTTGACTGCGACTCAACGAGTACGACTCGAAAGGCTTCGCGCCGACCCTGCTTGCCACCGTGGCGTTCTTTCTCGCCGCGGAAGCGGACAAGGGTCCTGGCTTTGCCGATTCCAAAATGTCCTTCACACTGTAGAAGAAGGACTCCCGGATCAGCTGCGGTAGAGTGGCCTCAACCAGGTCGCGCTTTCTGCGGTTCTGCTTCATCTGCGCCGGTGAGACCGGCGACATGGGGTCTGTGGGCTCTACGATCAGAGTGTTCTCGAAATCGAAAGCGAAGCTTCCACGCACAAAGAGCACGTCACCGCCAAAACTGGGCTCCTTGTTAGCAGGCGCGTCCCTTGCACGCTCCGGCATCTCAGCCGCAGGCACAACTGGGTCCGCCTCAAAGACCATGCCGTACTCACTCTCCAGGTTGCCTTGCATCTCCTTGGCCAAGGTGGCGCCATCCGAGTCTGCTAGCAACTCCAGAACCTCATCAGGAACGCCAGCGTCGCCCTTGAACGGAATCTGTACCTGAATCTCCTGCTTCGCGCCGCGCGTTGGCGTGATCTCCTGATCCGGAGCGGCAGCCGCCGTCGCAGAGTCCTCAGCAGCGGGTGCTGTGGTTGTGGTAGTCGTGGAGGTCGTGCCCACTGTGCCAGCAGGCACCCCACCATCCACAATGATCGGCTTTGCGCCTCCCGTTAGTACACCCGGTTCCGACGTCTTCGCCGTTCGCACGGTGACGACAATGTCGTCTGGTTTAACGGCTAAGAGCTGCTTTTGCGCAGTCTCGTCCCTTGTCGTGTTAGTCAGATTTCTCAGCATCTTGAAGGCAGTTTGGCGCAGCCAGGTTTTCAGCTGCTCGTCACTCAAATCTGCGCCTGAAGAGGTTGCGGGATCCTGCGTGACCTCGAAGCCGAAGCTCAAATACTGCACAGACTCCTGATCCACAGTGCTGCGTGCGGTGGCCGCATGGAACGTTGAAGTCGAATTCCCGGCCGACCGCTGTTTGCGGCGAGTCGCAGTGAAGGTTTCTTCCTCTGCACGCGTCTGCGGAAGCCTGTAGTGCGCACTAACGGCTTCCAGGTACTGCATCAGCGCTGCGTTGCTCGCGACGTTAGCAGCCTGTTCAAAGAAGGATACCGCAGAATCGTCGGCGTCAACTGCGTCCGTTTCTGTGTAGGCCGCGCTGTCCTTGCCTTGAATGAGAACTTTGCTCGCCAGCTCTACGACAGCGTCATCTATAAAGGTGGCGAACGTCGCAGGCGGTGCCTCCTTCAAGTACCACGACAGCTTCTGGCTCATCATCGGCAGCGTGTAACTGAAGCTCGGCGCGCCAGTCTCAAAGCTTCCCGGCTCAATCGAGACCAAAATCTGCTCAGCATTCACTTCCACGCCAACAGAGTTGCGCACAGCGAGTACCAGCGCTTGCTGAATCATCTGAATCATCGTCTCGAGACCCTGTTCGTCTGTTGGCGGCAAAACAGCGATTTCGAAGCTGGCGCGACCGCTCATCTGCGGAGCAAGCTTGGCGCCTGATCCCGTGGAAATAGCGTTTTCCGCCTGCGCGTCCACCAGATCCTCTGTAGCGCCAGTGGCGGACCGGTACTTTGCATTGACAGCACCCACGAGCACCTGCGCGAAGCTCTTCCCGACGTTGCCCGTGCCCAACGCTGCAAGCACGGCCTCCGAAGAGTCCTTGTTTTCGGGACCCGTTTCAGAAACCTGCACAAGCACCGCCGCCACCCGTCCGAAACCGCTGGTCCCCACCGAGAACACAACGGACACGACAACGTCTTTTTCGTCCTTCGCGACCGCAAGGTTCGTGCTGGTTTTTGCGTCTATTTTCGCGGAGTTTTCGTAGAAAGCACCGATCTCACTGAAGCTGCTCTCCACCACCGCTCCTGGCTGTAGCGCGTCACCCACTGCGTCTGCACGTTTCTGCTCGCGCTTCTTTCGCAATTCTCGCGAGAGGCTTTCCTCGACGGCCTCGCGCACGATGCGTGTCAGGTTGCCTTCCGTCAGTGTCGGCAGCTCCTGAAAGGTCATGTCCAGTTGACCGCTTACGAACGTTTTAGCTCCACTGCCAGCTTTTGCTAGTGACTCGGACTTGAGTGCACGGGAGCCAAGCTGCATCTGCGTCGCATCGTTGGTTAAGTCCGGGGTTGGCGGCATGCGCTGTGTTTTTTGCTGCTCCGGAAAGTCGACTCCTCCGAATTCTAGACGAGCTGGCAACTCGGTAGAAAATACCGAAGTGTTTCTTTTCAGAACCTGCTCCACCGTTCGCAGCTGGCCCCGCGTCTCGTCATAGCCACGCGCAGCCGGTTCGCCGGTTGTGGCGTCAGCGCCAGCCAAAATGTCGCCGCCGACCGTCAAAGGCACGCTGAAGAAGGCCTCCACGTCGCGGAGGACCTCTGTACGGTTGGTTTCCGGGTCGATCGAAGCCGAAAACGAATCGCTATCCGGTGTTTCTTTCAATGCAACAGTGACGTTGCTTGGCGAGTCGAACAAGGCTTGCAGCTTTGGGTTTCCCTCAAAGAGGCCACTCTCCGCCAACGAGGCAGCCACCGCGTGGCGAATCGCAACAACAAGCGCTTTGCGAGTCATGCGCGACACGTCGACGCTAAGCTTGAACGCCGACGCCAAAGAACGCCGCTCAACGGCGTCGTTTGGCCCCAGAACAAAGACTGGTCCGTCGTGGCCCTCAGCTTTGACTGCCAACGCAATCAAATCGCTGAAATGCGCGTGCAGCTCGCGGCCACTGCTGAAGGCTGCGAAGAGATTCGGATCCACTACGGGCATCTTGATGCTGAAGGTGTCCGCTTCGGTCGCGGTAACTGCGAAGTCCACATCATCGCGGCTGCCGTCGGCAGCCAGTGCACCAGCAGGCAACACGCCAAGAGCAATCAGGACATCTCGAATCACCTGGACGGTAACCTCGCGGATGCGCAAGTCGTTTCCAGTAGCTGCCAGCTGCCTGCGACCTACGCTCATCAGACCTCCGTAGTCACTTGACTGCCTGCGGCTGCCGGCAACGCCTGCCTGTGTAAAGGATCGAGGAGTCGCTGGCAATTCCGCCTCCTCGGTGACGATGTCACCAACCTGATCCACGTATTTGCGCGGGACCTGCTCCCCCAAAGGCTCACCAATTCCGAGCAACTCCGGTGCAGGTAAAGATAGAACATCTTCGGCGAAGGTAACTCGATCGTCCACTTCTGCAACATCGCCGCCGGCAGAAACCAGAGCCGCGGACGAAGCCGTATTCTCTGGCTCTTCCAACGCGAGCTGAGGTGTCAGTCGACGCCGGGACGAGCTGCCCGCGGCACCGCGCGCTTCGTCCCGAAGACCTAGGTCCTCCAGCGTTGCAGCGCATGCGCTGCCGTCGGCATCGGCCAATTCCAGAACACACTTTGATTCTTGGAAGTAGTTTGCGATGCGGTGGCAACTCGTGAGACGGCTGCAGACCAAGAAGCACCACTGTGGCCAGACGCCGCCGTCGGTGCGCACCTCGAGCTGCAAGTATGTCACCGTGGACATGCTGGAGCACGTGGAAGAGCGCACAAACGAAACACCTGCTGCCGTGGCGGCACTATCCAGCTTTGCAAAGGGGAAGAAGCTGCGCGCCAACGAGCGCTCCTTTTCGTCGCTCGACGTCAGGTCACCCAGTACCTGTCGCCGCCAGCAATGCGAGTTGTCGCTTGCCGACTGGCCTCCTGCTATCGATACTCCACTGCCATACACCGTGTTCGCTGCTGGTGCGCAGCGATCCACGGCCCCAGCCAGAGGCGCAGATGTTGGACACTTCTCTGGGAATAGTAGCTTGCAGTTGACGGCGTTTCCTTTCGCGCAAAGATCGCAGCTCACAGTGCTGCCACCCTGCTTGCATGTAGAAGCGTCGCCCGGCGTGTAGCCACTGTCACAGGTGTAGCGCTGCATCGTGATGCCTTGGCATTCTGCGTACTGGTCGCAAGCGTCGAAGCAAGCCTGCGCGGTGCGTGCAGTGAGCTGCCAGTGGTAGAAGTCTTGCCCGCCAGAGGTAGCGCACGTCTTTCCGACCTGGAACAGTTCGTAGTACGTGCCCAAGCGTGCCGAAGTGTGCGTCAAAGTGTTCGACGGCGTGCCCGGAGACGCGGTAGCTGCGAAGAACTTCTTCGGACTTCCACTGTCGTCTGCGAACAACGATTTGCTTTGGTCCCTCTCCCAGCAGCTCACGAAGCTGTTCGCAGTCTCGTCGCAGACATCTTTGCTGGGGAACGCGCGCTGCGACTCAACAAACGGCTTGCCACTCGCAGCGCCGCCCCACGTGAGTACGCTATTCTTCAGCACGCGCGCAGTATCCAGCATGTTCGTTACCTGCTTGCACACATCCTCTCCCCGAGCGCAGGCTCCCTTCTGGTAAACCCGGTTCTCTGGGCGGGCGAAGTCGCCGGTACAGTCACCGAGGAAGGCCTGGGTTCGAGCGCTTTGCAGCAGCTGGGTGGCACCGGCAGTGCTGTTCTGTTCAGCCACCGGCAACTTCTGACTCGATCGCGCCATTGCGTCAGTGATGGCGTAGCACGAAGCAGCCCAGTTCTTATTTGGAAAGCCTTGGTCAAAGTACTGATACGCCTCGCAACTGAGGTCCACCTCACAGAGCCCACGGCAAACTTGTGGGCTCGCGGCGAGGCCCAACCAGGTGAAGCGGCCTTGCGGGTCGCTTACCTGTGCTTGCAACGGCGTGGACGAAGAAGCCAAAGTCACTTTGAGCTTCGAATCTCCTCCAGCACCCTGGCTCTGCTGCAGAAGTGTAAAGCCACTGCGACCCATGCGAGGGCTGCTGCGGCACTTCTTCCATGCGCGGTCCTGGCTCCATGCGTCCGAGCCATCCCAGAGCTGCGGTTTCGAATATCCGTAGTAATGGTCGTCCAGCAGTTTTTGCAGGTCCCCGCGATAGATCTTCTGCGCGTCGGCTTTCGACGCCTTCGCGTTCGCATCGAAGGCGGCCAAGGCCGTCTTCTGTTGCGAGTAGTACGCGCTGCGTTTTCCCGGTGGAACTCGTAGGAACGGGTTGCGCGTCTCCGTAAAGATCTTTGCACTGAGTATGCAACCCTCAAAGTCAGCACCAAAACCTCCCGCCGAACCGGCAGTGCCAAATAAGACACGGTTTTCCGGAGTGCCCACGGTGTAGGAGCTGCGAAGACTCACGACCGGAATGTCATCGCGCACGGTCGTTCCGATGTCAAGGCTTACGTACGGGTCAGAGGCTCTCTTGGCGTTCTGTCCCCGCAACTCGTAGCTCGCAGTCGCAGTGTTCGCATCCGCAGAATACCGCGACGCCAACCACTGATCGGACGCCAACTCGACGCTCGCACCCGAGATGAGGTTAGTATCCGTTACGAAGCCCACCTCGACGGCCTCGAGCGTCATGCGCCAGAACTCATTACCAAGCACCATCAGCACTTGCTTTTCGCTGCTCACATTGAGAGCCGCAACCGTCGGATAAGCAACCTGCAGAACCACAGTGCGATCCTCGTCAGCGTTGTAACCATTCAGACTAGAATAGTACTCACCACTGAGGCACTTCCGTCCGCCCAACATGTCCGCGTTTGTTGTCGCTTTCACCACGCTCTGCGAAGCCGCTTGGAGCTTTCGCTCCTCTTCTGCCGCCACGAGTACGCTACTGCTCAGCTCGTCGGACACACAGTCAGACGCACTGTAGCACTTGTTTGCCGAAGCGGGCAGCAGTGAGCGCAGGGTCGTGGACGAGTTGGTCGTGTTGAGGGGCGGTAGCTTTACAAAGAGGCCGAACGTTCCTGGAATTATGTAGTTCGTAGGATTGCTCGAGACCGGCAACTCCAGATCGTGCAGCACTGGGGTGATTGGGAATTGCTTCACTTCGAAGCTTGCAAACTTGTCTGCGGCTGGGAGTGCCACTACGCGTAAAGTGGTCTCCGTAGTCGCAACTTTCTGTGCCTGCGTTAGCTTTTTCATTTTGTAGCCCTGCTTGCTCGCTGTCGCGTTTAGGCCAGGAGTAAACTTGGATTCGTCCTCTGTACCTGCTTCGACGGACGCACCGAAAGCCCTGCCGAAACTGCTATCCGGATCAGACAGCTGCTCCAGAATGTAGCCCTGCTGCTCTGTCGAGATGTTTTCGCAATGCACGCTGACCTTGAATCGTTGCTCCCGGTACAACTTCCCGTCGGCACCGCGTTCTAAGGCGGAATTCAATGGCTTTGCGCGCGCTCCGATGATTTTAACGGAAGAGTCCTGGGCCGTACGAGTCACATTGAGGATTCCACCCAGGGTCTTTGGCTTCGAAGCTCCAGACTGAGAGGTGAATACTGTGAGCTTGGCGCGCAGCGTCTCACTCGCGTCTTGTGCAGCCTTCGACAGCAGCTTCTCCCAATAGCTTGCGCCTTCAGTCTCGCTGAGGACATCGCTACTGCCTTCGATTGCTGCTGCCGTCCGGATCGCACCTTCGGTCTCGAGGAACACTCCGCCAACCGGCTCGTCGCTAGGCACACTGAATGTAGCCGCCGGCACTCGCTCCGGCGCAACCTCAGGTGCATCTTCTGCCACCGAGCCGTCTCCAGCGCTCGACACCTGTGAGGCCTCCGGAATGCCGCCTGTCTTTGCGATTGCAGCGGATGTTTTCCCGCCATTGTTGAACAGCGGCGCCAGCGGCGTCTCTTGTTGGAGCGTCGGGACACCTAGGTCCTTCATCTTCGTCAGAAACGTGCTAGCGAACGGCGTGGTCTGCGTTTGTGACTCGGTCATGGCAGCCAGGACCTTGTCTTTCAGGCCAGTGAGGGTCGGGCGATCGCATTCGGCGAGCGGCACCGCACACGTCGGTAGCGCAACGGAAACTTCGAAGTCAAAGAAGCGTGCTGAGCTCGCGGAGATCGTGCCAGTCAGATTGAACTGCTGCGCGAAGGCCTCGACGTCCCGCACAACGGCTTCGCCCGTAAGGGAGTCGAAGAAGCGCACCACAATTCCGCTCCCGCCTGTTGGCAGGTTGTACATCGCCTCTGCGCGCTGCACTTTCTCTGTGTCAGCCTCCTGCGAGAACATGGTCGCACTCAGCGCAGTCGCAGTCGCAGACTTGATGGCCGCCGCCACGGCCGAGGAATCGAGAGCGGCAAGCGAGTGCAAACTGAAGCGCATCTTCGCAAAACCGGAAGCCACAGGTGGTGACACCTCGTTCGTCCCCACGTCGTCAAAGAGCTGCGTGTGTGGCTGTGACCCAGAGGCTACAGCCGCTGCTAGTGCCTTGCTTGCCGGCGGCAGTGCCTTGACTTCTTCCTTCAGACTCGAGTCAAGCACGCGCCGGAACGAAGCGGCATACACCCCGCTGGGGTCCAAAACGCGTTCAAGCGTCATAGGGTCGGCAAGCGGGATGGAGACCCGGAACTTTGTTGCGTTCGCGGCACCAACACCGAGTATGGAATCCATGGACACATCCACATGGTCGGCAGTCAGGTCAGCGTCCCCGAGTTTGAGTGCACTACGCACCGCTTTCGCCACCGCGACTCGCACCGCGCGCCGCAACGCAGCTTCAGCGGGCGTCTTGCTGAAGGCCGAAGTGGCGGAATCGCTGCCAAAGATGACCTCGTTAGTCGACGCGTCCACACTCAGTCCTGGAATCTTCGACAAATCCAGGCTGAGCTGAAGGGAAGACACCCCAACCAGCGTGGCTGAAGACCCGGCAGCAACGGTCAGGTCCTCACCGATGCGAAGATCGGAATCCAACGACTTCAGTTCCTGCTTCAGCCCCGACGCGATGCGATCTAACACCGCTTTGCGTTGCGTAGCTGTGGTGCTGGACGCCTCTGCGTCTTCGCCCGCCACCGGTGCGGAGAGCAATTCCTGCAGCGTCCGCACGACTTCCGGGGAGAAGAGGCCCTTGATCGTAATCGACGCTTCCCGCGCCTCTTCGTTCATGCGAAACTTGCACGGGGCGTTGAGCACGACAGCGGGGTCGTGGAATTCGAACGGCGTTAAGCCAAGCTCGTCGCTCGAGCGCAGCACGTCTTTCAGAGCGACTTCGCGCATGGCCGCAACCAAAGCAGCAGTGAGCGCCTTTTGTAGCGTCACGTCCTCCTGTTCCACCAAGGCTCGGCTTTGTGGCGCGACCTCACGGAACAGCGTGAAGGCCAGTTTCGCCGCAAGAAAAACTGAAGCTGGCTCATTGCGAATGTCGGCGCCCACGACCTCCTGGCCCCGCGCTGCATCTCCCACGCTTTTGGGCTTGGCGGTGTACGCACTAGCAACGTCTTCCGTGTAATCTGCCGTGGTTTGAGCCGCCGCAAACTTTGCGAAGTCGCGTTTGGGCAAAGCGACCAATGCTGGCACGCCGAAATCGCGCGTCAGAGTATCTTTGATGCTGACGAGAAATTGCTTGCCGTCCGAAACCGCATCCGTGAGCTGCTGAAGCACGGCCTTCGCGTCTTCCAGCGAGAGCACTTCTGGAGTGTCCACCTCCACAACGGCGGTTACAGAAACCGTGCTGTTTTTAAAGGCGCCGAAACCGTCCTCAAAACCTTCAATCGCCGCCACATCCGCTGGGCCTGCCAATTGAAGCGCAATGTTCTGTGTGCCCGCCTTGGGCTGCAAGCCGGACGCCGCAGAATCTTTCAGCGCAAAATGCAAAAGGACTTTCTTCATCTCCGCATCCACTGCTGACTGCAAGAAGGCCAGGAAAGCCTTCAGGCTAGGCTTCTGAACGGGGGAAACCGTCGCGTTCGTGTCGTTAACCGCAACATGACCAACTGGCGAACGATGGTCTACTGCCAGCGCAAACTCCAATGAAATCACGTGCTTCAGCGATCCCTTGCGTCCACGGTCGACCGCACCAACGACATTGCTCGGAGACACGTCCGCTGCAGTTGCAGAAGTTGAAGTAGTGTTATCCGCGGTTGCAGTTGCCTCATCTTCACGCACGTTCGGGACTTCTGGGAGCTCAGCTGTGGGGACCTCGAACTCCGGAGAGGCAGCCAAGTTGTCTGCTACCGTGGCGGGATCCTTCACCACGCGGGCTAAGCTGGCACCGCCTGCACCACCGCCACGACGCGTCTGCGCCAGACGGCTCGGGCCGAAAGCAACGGTCGAGAGTGTTCCATCTGCCGCAACCATGAGGTCCGTCACAGTCGGCTGTTCCGAAACGGAACTGCCAGCAAACTTCTCTCGTCCGCTTTCGCGGTACGTGTGCATGCCAACGCTGCCGACAGCATCCACGACTCCGCTCCACGTGTCACAGTCGAAGTCAGCGCGCGTGAAATAGCTCTTCACCTTGGTGCAGGCCTTCTGGGCCGCCGCGTCCGCCGACTCGTACGAGGGGCGGCGGAGGCCCGCGGTGCCGTTCAGGCGATCGGCCGAAGGCAGCGCCGCTTCAATCACAGCTGCGCTGGTATCCGTGTCGTTCAGAAGCAACCCTTGGCTGCCAGCAACTAGATTGGTGAGTGCAGGGTCGACGAACTCCGTTCCAAATTTCTCCAGCTGTCGCGTTAAAAACCACTGCACACTGGTATCCGTCGCTGGCAGTGCGACCGTGAATACCGGCTGCAACAACGGGCTCAAGCTGTTCGGGACCAGCATCAACGCAATTTGTTCCGGCTGCAGCACGATGCCAGTGGCCTCCAGCACGCTGAGAGCCAGCGCAGTTTGCGCAAGCTTGCTGACACGAAGCTCTAACTCCGACAAAGACATGCCAGTGTAGGCTAGGTACTCTTCGACAGTGGGGGCCACACCCTCGGCGCCCGGCAGGAAGGGAAGCGCCGTCGCAAACTGCAAACGCATGTCCGCAACAGTGGGCGCTGCCTTAGCCACGCCTACCGGCACCACGCTCTCCAAAGTACCACCAGACGACACTGGGAAGTAGTCGCCCTTTGAATCTTGCAGAGCCTTTGTTAGATCCGCAAAGAAGCTACTGTCCAGTGGTGCTGTGCTAGTCGCATCATCATTCGACAGGTCACTCGTCGCCGCAGAGACCAGCGTCGTGAAGAAGGCAGCCGCACCAGCAAATGCCGCCGACTGGCGAACCTTGAAAAGCAATTCCAGATCCAGAACCTCTGCACCCTCACTTCCTGGCGCGAGCGACACGGTGATGTCGTCCGCTGTCGGCGCCAGCTCAACAGCAATCTCACTAGCAATGAGCGATCCTTCTCCAGCGAATTCCCTGGCTTCAGCAAGCTGTCGCTGGAGCACCTTCGCAGACTGCGAGGTGCTTCGCTCCGTACCTGGCCCAGTGGCCTCTTCAGTTTCTTCTTTCGAGAACGCATCGAACAGAGACGTTGCGAAGAGATCCGCGAGGGCGTTTCTCACCCAGCTGCCGATCTTTGCTCCGCGGAAGCTCACAGTAAGCTGCATGCGACTGCGGATGTACTTCACATCGGATTTTTCGAGGCTAACTGCGTTAGCCGCCTCCTTCGCGAGGGTCATGTCTTCGCGCGTCAGCGCCAGATCACCTTCGTCCATGCCGTAAATTGAAGCGTAGTAGGCCTCAGCGACGTTTGTGGAGTCCTCGCTTGCGAAGAGGGCGTCTGCCAGTGGGGCACCAGAGTAAGACAGCTGCAGCGGGAGCGCGTCCCCGAAGAAGGCGCCCGCGTCTTCCTTTTTCGGGATCTTCTTCAGTCGCGGTGTGGTCGTCGTTGTCGTGGTTGTGGGCTTCCTAGTCGGCTTCTCTCGAACAGGCTTCAACTTAATCTTACCATTGCTTGCTTTGGCGGCTCCCTTTACTGGTCGAGCAATCGGCACTCCAACCGTCGTTGTTTTGGTGATTGTCAACGAGCCCGTTTGCTCGGCCTTCGTGACTTTGTCCCTTGCTTCAGGCGCACCTAGAACCGCAAGCACGTTCTCCCTCAGAGTCTCAACGACCGCTGCGACGTCCTGCATGGTCGAATTCGTGTTCTCCTTGCCCAGCTTCACGACCGGGTTCTCGGCCGCCAACGGTACCGTGATCTCGCACACCGCCAAGTCGACCGGGATTGTCGCGTTCACAGCACTTCTTTCATTGGCAGAGAGCCCCCCGGCGCCATCGCGCTCCAGAACCTCTGCCACTGCTTGCACGCCAACGGTGATGTTGCTCGCCGCGATTTCGGGGTATACTTCGGCGAGACCGGCGGCTGCCGCAGTCCGCAGTGCAGAGCGCACGTTCTCGCGCACACCCGCCTCAGTGAGCGCCCCCTCACGAAGTTCAATCACGAAGCGTGAGCGAATACCAACACGCTCGGAAAGAACGTCAAATGCCTTCACAGAAGGCTTCACCCACGGCGTGAGCCCGCTATCCTCACTCGCGTCTTCGTCCGCCAGTGCCTGCTCGACTAGATAGCGGAAAACGGAGTCTGAGCCATCTAGCATGGCACGCTGCGCCGCGCCGTCTGCGCCAGGGATCGCAACGAAAATCGAGGAGCTGTCTGCGGTCGCGGTGTCGGCGTCAGCCTGCGTTCGCGTGAAAGGCGCAACCGCTTTACCCTTGCCGGACTGAGCCAAAAACGCAGAATCCAAGAGCACTGCAGCCGCGTCTGGCGTTTGCCACACCTCGCCACGGCCCGTGCGCATCATAGCCAACGAGCCTGCGCAGCTACCAGCGCTGGTGCCAAGGACCGCCGTCATGTCTAGCAACAAAGCACAAGTCTGATCCGCCGGTCGGAACACCGCGGTAGTACAGAGTGTGTGCACATCGCAGTAGTAGACGCAGCGCTGCCTTCGCACGCCACTGCCAAGGACCAAGAGCCTGCGCGCACCGTCATCTCTGGCAACGGCCCCGCTACCGACAGTGGCAGGGAGCACAGCCTCGTGTGCCAGGCAACTGCTGGCGTCGCCGCTAAGAGCGTCGACCATGGTACGCTTCTGGAACCACGTGCCAACAGAGCCACGGGCGTGCATGCCCCCGCTTTCTGCGTTCTCGGTTGCCGTCGTCTGACGCTTCTTCATGCAGTAGCGCATGCCGGTATCCTGTGGGCGGTACACTTCTGGTCCGGTGTGTCCGCCAGCCAGGAGCCGACCCGCGTTGAATCCGGATGTTGCTTCAGTCCAATCACTTGGCGCGGAGGGCGCCGCTGACACAAAAGCTAGCGCGCAACTGTGAGACGCTCCACCGGTTTCCGCCTCGTTGAATGTCACTCCTGCGCAATCCGCCGTCTCATCACAGAGTGCATAGCAGCTTTCGAAGTCCTCGCGCATGCCTCCCCGGGTCACTTTGCTCGGGCTCCAAGAACGGGACCACTCCGCGACCAGAGCAGCCTCGAAGGCGCACTGGCCACGGCCCACCACCTCGTATGCAGTGTTGTTGCCACGAAGCGTCATCACGTCACCCGAGCTGGAGCGCAGATCCGAAGTAGCGTTCTTTCCAAGGAACGTCTTTTGAAAACACTCGGAAAAGACCGCTGCGGCGCCTGTCGTAGACTCTTCGGCAGGCTTCGTCAGTGCGCGTCCGTCCAGCTTCTGCACTTCGATTACCTTTGCACTAAGCTTCTGACCCCACACGGCAACGGACTCTGCTTTTGCGTTCCCGTCTGCGCACGCAACGGCGTTACCGGTTTTGTACGTGCGCAGCAGACACTTATTCGTATTCGCGTCGAGAGCGAAACCAAAGCAGCTTTCACCCAGTGCGGCGCACTCACTCTCACAGTCTGCCGACTGCGAGAAGTTCTTTGCGAGTTCAAACCATACCCCGTTTGTCGTTGCAGTCGAACTCTCAGTGCCCGCGGCGTCTGGGAACTGCTGCACAGCATTGCCTCTTTTGGCATAGCATCCACCGAAACTGTCTGCGGCCGCCGCAGTAGCATCCGCAAACTGGACGCCCTGGGGAAAATAAGCCTTAGTGCCGGTCGTTGGCTCCAATTCAAAACCCCTCGGCAGGTCATTCGCAAGAGCCGCTTTCAAGTAGAGTCGGCACTCGATCGCTGCAACTGTGGACGTGGAGGTTGCGTTTGCGCTCTGCACTTCAAAGCTCGCGTCCTCAAAGCCGACCGACACGCAAGAAGCTTCGCTGTCACAGGCATCGAAGCAGCCCTGCAGCCGTGGCTCCGTGCTTTTTGTGTTCTTTAGGACGACACGCTTGAGGTAGGTCTGCTTCGCCGATGCTGAAGCACCGCCTCGTTCGTGGCTCGCGCAGCGCCCTCGGCCTACCGCCTCGTAATACTGTTCGCCCGGCCGGGCCCGTGACGGGATGACCTGTCGGAACAATGGGGCCTTCTTCGTACTATTGCTCACTGGCAGCAGGCCCTGCATGCGCTTTGCAAACGGGCCTGAGGCTGCGTCCTCGTACAATTCTCGCACATGCACGCTGCTGTCGCCGACCGTCGAGGCATTAGCAACACTCAAATCGGCATCCACGCGAAAGCCGCACGTGAAGCCACTTGTGGCACACACATCGCTCGTTTTCTCTGCCGCACGCACGCCGCGCGTCGCGCCCTCCATGACGTCTTCTTCGCTCTTCATCTGCAATACGCAGCGGCCTACTTCCTTAACCGCAGATGCCTTCGCAGCGGATCCTTTCTGCCCAACGAAGGCTGTAAAGTCAAAACTTTGCGAAACCGTGGTAGTGGTGGTCGTGGTAGTCGTCGTTGGCGGTGCAGTGGTGCCGAAAATGTGAAAGCCTGCGTAGTTATGATGTTTATACTCATGGGCGCTTCCGCCGTTGATCGGAAGGCCGTCAACCGTCGTCCCAGGATGTGGAAACCCTGTAGCATATACTGTACTTGCACCTCTCACAGAGGATCCTACAGCGGCGTGAGTATCCGCTCCAGTTGGGTCTTTGTAGAGCACGTGGGCAAGATGCTTATTATCGCACGGCGCCGTGCACTCCACAGCAGTCGCCCAATAAAATTTCATTGGTGTGCCAGCATAGTCTTTCTCAGCCTCGATGAGGTCGGTCGGAACCGGCCGACGCTCATCCCAGTTCCACTTCGGAGGCCGAAAATATGCTCTGCTTCCGTATTTGGACATTCAGTTTAGAAAACGCAGTGAACAGAATGATACTGAACTATTCTAATAGTAACTCTGGATGTGGATCTCCCCAGTATCCTAGACCGCTATGCGCCAGTTTTCGATTGAAAAGTAAATGATAAAGAAACTGACTCTTTGAAGATTTCCACGTATCACTTAAACCTAAGGGAGCGAGCAAACACGAGACGGTATGTATTTCCGATTAGTAATTATCGTTATCCTCTGAGTTGTAAATGAGTAGTAACACAACGTAAGTAGTAGTCCGGAAATCCGTCATCTGGGTAGCTTGCACCCCTGGGGCAGGCGAACCCCTGGCCAACCATGCTCGCGTCATCAGGATTCGCGTAGCTTTTCCATGTGAACTTCGTGGCACTAGATATCGGAGTACCAGAAAGACATTGTAAGGTCATGCCTTTCCCTTCGTTGTGGCAACAGTTGGAGCCCATTTCCTGACAGGTGCACCAGCAATCGTCACAAGGATCTTGGCTATCCCCGTTCACTTGTTTTATCACATATTGGGTTCCAACAATCAAGTCGGATCGGCTCGATATTCCAGTCGACGGATCGCCCAAGGGAACGGCAGGACCAGCGGGTGTTGTAGGAGCGGTTTTTGTAGTCGGGGTAGCTACGTCCTCTTGCTGCGTCGCTGGTCCATTATAGTGGAGCACACCTGTGCAACCACGAGTCTTGTCGCATATGGCCAAACAATTCTCCAGAGGCGCCGGTGATTCGGTGCCAAATGTTTGCGAGACCACAAGCGGCTTGCGAGCACAGCGACTCGGGCGTCGTCGCTGCGGACGTGCATAGAAATTGCCAGCGGCGGTTTCGTGCCGGTCACTTGCGTCGGTCGACCCGATGCTCTTCTGCAGCTCATCCAGCGACGCGAAGCGATCGACGCATGTGAAAGAGCCTTGCTCGCACATGCTGGAATAATCGCACACAGAACTCTTGTCTGAAGCGAGCAACCTACTCGAGGCGAGCGGTGTAGAAACAGCGATCACACCCTGCGTTTGGCTCAACTCTTTTGCGAAAGCCGTTGACCGCGCAGCCTCAACAACGATGGGGCGGCCCGTGGGGCTACCGCCGCTTGCAGAGAGACCGCGGCTACTTTCAACCAGGCGCTCCGCCACGCGCGCGAAGAAACCAGCCACTCGGTCTCGCGTCGACACAGCGCCCTCACCCTTGGGTGCCGCTGCTGCGCGTGCCTGAACGTCACGGGCTTCTGCCGCACTGGTTGGAATGAAAAGGCTCTGCAGACTCGAAACCTGCTTTGGGCTCGCTTGCTCCAGGTACATCACGGCTGTGAAGCTATCCTCTAGCAATCCGCCCAGCGCCGCTACTTGGCTTGCGTGCGTCACCGAAATTTGTTGCACAGACGACGCGTACGCGGTCTCAGCCTTCTGCGCGAGCTGCTCGTTCACAGCCTGCAGCAGTGTCGCGCGTAGGGTTTGCGCTGAAACACCCGTGGTAGACACAACTGCCAACTTGACCTCGAGGAAGGTGATTCCGCCTGGCACCTCTTCAGTGTCGGATGCCGCAACCTCCGTGCGCGCGCTCCGACTCTCGGCCGCCTTGCTTAGTGCGGTCCCACGGGGCTCTGCCTTTGAAAAAGTGAAACCAAAGTTGTCCCCGAGGTGCGCCAAAAGATCGTTTACAACATCGCCAGACTGCAGTGCGTGCGTCGCGCGCGCAATCTGCGTGGTCGTTAGCTTGTTTTCCGAAAGCGGCACAACCAACGACATGTCGTACTTGGTCACAGCACCGGTCTGCGCAGCCACTAGCCGGCGCACCCCCGCGGCGTCTCGTCCCTGCGATGTCGAGTCATGTAGCACCGATGCGCACGCACGAGCGCGGTCTCCCCACGATCCGATTGGCTTTTCGGCCACGCGAAGCAGGTCATCGATCTTGCATTGACTTTCGTCATATGCCGTCAAGAGGGCTTCCTCTTCAAGCGCCCGAAGCGAAACACCCGACGACTTCGACTCGACGATGCGCTTGGGCCGCGTGACCATTGCGAAGTCGCCAGCCATGCTCCTGTCCGCACTTTCGCCCGGGAAGAGGTAGTGCTTCTGCAGAGCCAGCCGTGCAGCTGCTTCAACTGCACCAAGCATCGCCTCATCAGAGAACACTTTGCTCGTCACGTTCACAGCAAGCGCGCCAGATCCTGACACGAAGGTAAACGTTTCCGCCTCCACGCTCGGCGCAACACGGAGGCCGGCAGTGACGAAGGACGCTGCTCGCGCTCTTTCCACTAGGCGCACACCGAGTTTCGCGGCTTCGGTTTTGTCCGTGGTGCCAGAGAAGATTTTCGTGAGGACTAGCGCAAAGCGTCGAGCAAAGACTCCTGCTTTGGAGGCAGGGGTGCCGTCTGTGGCCTCCCACAAATTCTTCAAGAAATCTGTTTCCTTTGTCACCAACGGAACAGTAAAGCGAACGGAGAAGCGATCCTCTCCGTCGACAGAGAGCGGCTCCGCCCGCACGTGGGTCGGCGTAATATTCTCCACGCCCGTGAGCTCTCTGAAAGCTACTACGAAGGCCGAAGACAACACCTGCAGCACATTCGCGGGCCGCATGCTCAGTGTTGCCACACTGCTTGCGATTCCCGCTTTGATGCGAGCGGCGGTAAATGCGTTCTTGCGTACACTGGAGAACTGCAAGCCCCATTGTACTCGCACATCCTTTGAGCTGGCATCTACTGCAGAGAGTAGTTCCACGATCCGGCCCACGTCCACGTCCGCCGAGGTGCTTCCCGGCGCCAGCCCGTGGGCCTCATAGAAGGCCTTGAGAAATTCTGAGGTGCGCAGCGATACGCCCACACTCGTGGTCGACAAAAATTCCGCGTCCTCGGTCTGCGTCACAACGCTGCTGACGCTGTGACTTCCCAGTGTGCGCACCTTCGTGAGCAGCTTCTCTGCATCTGCTGCGGGAATGCCACGCTGCGGCGTATGCTCAAAAGGCGTATCGACGCAGCAGTCCGCCTCGGTGCAGAAGGGCGCTCCCGTTTCGGCCGCAAAGGAAGTCATGCAGTCGTGCTCTGGAACCACCACGCCCGACGGGCATTGGAAGTTTCCACCGTTCGCAGCGGTGCGACAGGTCGGCGCCTCGCAGCAATCATCAAAGGTGCAGGAGGCGACGTCTGCGCAGAACAACGCACTGGGAGCCTTGCCACCCTTGAAACCCGTGGGACACTGGAAGGCCGAGCATGTTACGCGCTCGCAGCAGTCCTGAACGAAGGGCGCTTCGATTGCCATGTGCATCTCCAAGCCGTTCTTCGCTGACTCGCGCACCCTGTAACCCGCGGGACATGTGACAACGGGCACCAAATCATTGGGTCCCGTGTTTTTGCTCGCCCCGCCCGCGTTTCGATACTTCCAGCAGCTCATGTGCGGCTGGGAGGTGCGATAGTTTTCCGCGGGATCAGTTTTCGAGCTTCCGGAACCGGCGACACCGGGGGTTCCGCTCACCAGAAGCCGTCCGCCTGTACGAGTCCCGCCAAAAGCCACTTCTTTGCATGTTTTGCTCGCCGAATACAGGGAGCAGGTGAGCGGAGCCTCAATTCCTACTGCGGCTCCGCTCACTCCGGAGCACGTCTCTCCCATGTAATTGCAGAGGTTGAAGCACTCTGCCATGGTCACGTTTTGAACACGAATGATGCTACCCGACTTTGGTGCTGCGTCCGTAGTTGACGACGCCGCGCAAAAGCTGAGAGCGCTCTTTTCGTCGTAGTAGAGGCCCACTTTCGTGAGAACTGGGCTCTTCTTCCAAGTCGAGCCAGATTTGTGCTCCACCCGGCGTGTGCAGAAATACTGCTCAACCCGTTGCCAACCGGGATACCTACGTACCCCTTCGATCTTCTTGTTCCAACCACCCCAACAACGGGCGGACCCATGAGCGTCCCGGCTGGTCCCCGTCGGTCCCGGCCAGCCGTAACTAACCCCATCTCGTGTACAACCGGCCATGACAGGCCGGCTCTTACATGCGCCCGTGGCATATGCTTCAACCTCTGCCGCCTTAGAATTGCTGCTGACACCTGCGCAATTCACACTCTGCGTTGTCACCTTGTTCTTGTCGTATAGATCGCACGTTCGGTGCGGCAAAAACCACGCGGATGGCGACCCAGGATTGCTTACATCAGCTAATCCCTGGCGTTCATAGGAGCTGCACAGAGTATCCGGCGTAACGGTAGCCCCACTAGTCGTCCCGAACTTTGCGCTTCCGCAAAGTCCGAGGTCCACCCACTCGTAGTAAAAATATGGTCGACCCAAGTTGAACCTCTTCCCATTAGCGTACTGGTAGGCGCCGCCAACTGTAGTATAACGTCCAGTCACATCATGGAAGTGAGCCTCGTCGCGCCACTGATCCAAAAATGCATCGGGAAGAATATTGGCAGCAACCACGGGGTTCTTGTCCCAACAATCGGTTCCCGCAGCGGCGCAGTTCACGTACGCCCCTGACGAAGCCGTAGAGTTGCACGCGGCGTGGTACTGCATAATCGAAGCGTCCTCAACGCTGTTGTTGGCGCCGTAGGACTGGCTGTGTGCCTCCGCGTCCACCTTCTCGTCGACCGAGTCGTCCACACAAAAGCCCTGGTAGTAGCCGTATCTTGGCCAAAAGTCCAAGCTTTCGAGCATAGTCACATCAAAGCTCTCACGCGGGCGTCGTCCTAGCCCCTCTTTCGATAACTCCTCTTGGTACACGATTTTCAATTTCTTTAGCAGTACCACCACCTCCGGCGGCGCGTGAAGTCGAATGTAGCGGTTGTTCACTTTCGTGCCAGGAACCCGTTGTGTAATGAACTTACTCTGTGCCGTGCCTGATGTGTAGCTCTGCTTCAGCCTGGTCGTGGGGTTTCCATCGAAGCCCGTCACGGTTATGGCCTCCCACGGACCGAATGCGTTGTCGCTGACGCTCAATTCCACACCGTTGCTTGCGTGGTTGCTGCACACGCCGTACGTAAGCTCAATGTAGTCGACGGCGTGACCGTCAGCCAGCCTCGCGTACTTCTCCAACGACAAATTTTGAGTTCCCCGCATCTTCGGTGGCCGAGGCTCGTTCTCCTTTGAGCCTGCGTTGATGAGACGCTGCATGTCCCAACCTTTCAGGTTTGATGAGAGGCCACTGTGGATGAGCTCCTGGCTTTGGTAAACCCCGTAAGCATCAGCGCTGCACGGGTTGTTCGCGTCAGCCTTGTTTCGCGTGAAGAGGCCGCTGCCATCAACAAGACTGCTTCCAGACTCCTTTCTGTTCAGCTCCAGGGCCTCTACGTTCCAGCCGTCCGCCGTGACATCATCGTGCATGCTGTAGCTCTTTTCGTAGACCAGGTCGCCTCGTGCAGACCCTGTGTCTCCGGCGGTAAAGGACGCCATCTTGGCGGATAAGAGTTTGAGGAAGCGCGTGCGCTTCGCCTGCACACGCGGAACTACCGCGTCATCGTTGGTATCTGTGGTCTGCGACAGAACCGCCGTCAGCTCTTGCAGTGTCTGTGGGGTGACCCCACCCGGAATCTGCACCGTGACGAAAAACTCGCGCGATTCGCTCTTCAGCTTGAAGGAAGGCCTCAGGAGCACCCCCACAACAAGGTCCGGAAGGCCACCGCTGAGCGACGACCAGGCCGCCACCTCCAGCGCCTCCAGAAAGGACGTGCGAAAGCGGGCAGCGAGTACTTGATCTAGAGCTCGCCGCGCTCCTGTTCTCCGAAAGAGCGCATCATCGATGATGCGCACTTGCAATTTGAACTGTAGTTGCAGAAAAACGGGCTCCTGCTTCAGCACTGGCTGCTGCGTGGCTGCGCCGGCGTTGTTTTTCATCGGTGCCAGCTCTCGCAGCTCAACCCGGCTTGTGCGTGCCGTTGCCGGCACTGTGGCGCCGCTCTTGCCAACGGGTAGGGACTGCCGCAGATCGGCAACAAAAGTCGCACCAGCGAAATCTTGCACCAGCGCGTCTTGCCGCGTCTCCAGTGCAAAGGAGGCGTCAGCTTGCGCCACAAGGGCAAAAGACTCCTCCGTTCCGTTGGTGCTGGAGGGCGTCGCCGTGCCCGGGTTGCGCTCCTGAAGAGCAAGTGGCACTGCGAAGAGGTAGTCCGTGGAGGTCTGCGTTGTGCCGGACGGCGCTCGCAGGCGAGTCACAAATACCTTCTCCGGTCGGTAGGGATCAAACTCTTCCGCCCCGACACTCGGATAGAACAGTGGAGGAACCACCGAGACAAGCTTGCGCCCCTGCCGTCGCAGGCTTTTACCTACTGCTGAGCGCAAAGCCTGTGACACAGCGAAATCACCGTAGTCCACAGCATCCACTGTCACTAGCCCCGTGGCGTAGCGCGTATCGGCGGGGCCGCCCGCAATACTACCGATTTTGACTTCAATCAGTGAGGCCGGCTCCAAATTCGCCTGCTCTAACGCATTACGCAGGCTGTGCTGCAACGCGAAAGAGAACGCAGTGGGTGGATGCGACTTCAGCAAGTGCTCTGCTCGCGCACCGCCCGCAGGCACTGTGAACTCGAAAAAGTGCGAGTCTCTGTTTCCCGAGGCCAGCTGCGGCAACAGACTTACAGAGACAAAGCTTTCCTCGAGGCGCGTGCCACCCGTCGAGCCAGTTATACTGTCAGCCACGGCGCTGCGCATCCATTGGATGTCCCCACGCGAAAGCGCTTCACTCACGGTCGCGGAGACGTTGCGAAGCTCACCGCGACCATGCACAGTGGGCAAAACGCCAGCAGCCGGCGTCGCAGCAGTTCCGCTTGCAAAGACGACCTTGAAAACCGTTTCGTTCGTAGTTCCCGCGACCGTGTCGTTCGTTCCTGGTGCGACCCTGAATTTGCTCTCCAGACTGTCCGAGAAACACTGCGACGGCGCAGTCGCAGCGGACAACATCTCCATAACGAGTGGAACAGACTCTTCCACTTCGACCACAGCGGTCAATCGCAGCGCTTTCGCCACCGCTGCCGGAAAAAAATGTTCGACGGACGATGACGCCTCCAGCTGTACGCTGACCAATGGCACGTGGCGAGTGGTGTTTTCTGCACCCACGCCCTCGCTCGCCAAGCAAGTCGCAATTGCGTCTCGCGCAGCCGCTTCCACTTCTGCCACAAGAGCGGACTCTTGCGTGCGGTCGGTGAGACCAAACTTCCGACGAGTCGCGTCTGGAATATCCGCGATGCCTGACCGCTGCCCGCCGAGCAGCAAGTCCAGCGACAGAGCCGCACTCTGCACAAAGACCGGCGCGGCGCTGTACGCTGTTCCGGAGCGCAGGGGCCTTGACACTGAGGGCAGCTTTCTCACGACCATCGTGTCGTTTGGCGGCGGGAAGGCATTCGCAAGGCTCACCCCCATGCCCTCGAGACGCGGCGTGACCGCTCGCGCCAGGGTATCAGTGTCCACGAGGGTGTCCATCACGAACTGGTCGGACAGGCCCGACGTTTTGCGACTGGGCGCTGCAAGGCTGAAGGCTGCCGCGCTCAGCTCCCGCACGACGATCTCGGACCTTGGAAAGGATACGCCATCTCGCAGAGACGAAAAAACGCTTCCGAAAACTTTCTGCAAAGACTGCACTGCGTCCGGCACCGGCGGCGCTGGTGTCGGATTCAGTGTGTAAGACACCGCAATGGAATCCTCCTGCACCAGAGGAGCGTCGCGGAAGACAACTGATCCCGCCGTCGGCCCGATGCCGTCACGCAGAAGCGCCTGCATTTCCGCACTCTTCAGGAAGCCGAGCCTTTTTCTTCCGTCCGCCGTGTTATCATCCAACCGACCCGCCAAATCCAGCGGCACGAAAACGTCGTACAACTTCTTGGCAAAAGAGGGGGAGACGGCCTGCATGCTCGGGCGCACCGAGACCAGCGCAGGGCTGAGAGACGGAGATCCCGCAATCCCGAGTGCGGCAGTGAGCTGCTCGCGCAGAGCATCCATAACATCCGTATCCGACATGCGAACACAACAAGCGCCGAACGAACAACCGGAGGCGGGGCAATCCCAGTCGCGCTTGTGCGCAACACCTGGGGGGCATTCGTAGGTCGCGCACGTTACCGGCACCTCCACACTTACGTTGAAGCTCTCGGAAGCCTTTACACCTACCACCGGAATCGCGTCGTTTACACTCACCTCGAGTACAACAGGCAGTCTAACAGTGCTGAGGGCCGAGATGGTGTCGGAAGCAGCCAGAAGCGTAGTGCGGTCCAAGAAGGTCACGTCGGCAAACACCTGGCTCGCGGGTGCGTCCGTCGCCCTGAGCGCCAGGAAGCTCTCAGCCGCGTCGTTGAGTTTCGCAGTAAAGGCGACCGCGTCTTGGAACACGTTGTGCACCTGCGCCATGACAAACGAGTCGGCCTCCGAAAGCTGCACTACAAGATTGATTTTCGGTCGGGTGATCCACAATCCCGCACCACCTCCCGACACCGTTCCTGCTGCGCGCATATGCGCAGGCTCGTCGTGTCGTTCCGCGGTGTCCGCAAAAAGCGGCTCGATACTGAAAACAGGCAGGGTCTTCTTCTGATCCTCCGCCAGGACCGGCCGGGCAGTAGACGAAACGGCCAGCTTGTCCACCACCACTGACGCGCTTTCTCGCCCCACTCTCTGCGCCTGCAGCTTCGTAAGAAAGTCTTGCAGCGACTTCTTCCTTACAGGGTCAACATCGAGTCTGGGTACACTCGCGACGAGCCGATCCATTACCAGCGTGAAAGCGGCCTCCCGAATCACGTGTCGCACTTCCTCGTCACCGTAATACCGTGTCACGGAATGGAACACGGTGACTTCAAACGGAAAGTCCAGGAAACTGCCGCGCGGCCGAGTGGCCAACGACATGTCCAGCGACGGCGCAGCCACCGACCACTGCGCCAGCTTCGCGGCCTCGTTGCCCGCCGCCTCGAGTGCGTGCATGTCCGTTTTGTCTACGGGAAAGGGTGTCCAAAGTGCACTCACCAAGCTTGAACGATTCACGTCTGTACTAGTGGTTTCGCTGTCCTCTGTGCCAGCGAGGATGTCGTTCACCGCCTCTTTCCAACGCGCTGTCATGTCCCTGCCAACGCTGCTAGGATCGGTGCCCGCATTGCTGGAGGGAAAGTGGCGGTTGATCCACGGTTCTGCCCCCGCAAAGAAATCTGGCGCGGCGTCGGTTTCGGACCACGTGAACGGAAAGATCAGAGACGCACTCACATTGTACTCGCCGAACCCGCTGTCGCCGGCGTCTTTTGTCATCGACAGTGAGCGCACCGTGTACAGCATCGAGTTCGCGTGGAACACCTGGTCTCGCGTAATCGCATAGGCCTCCGCCGTGCCGTTAACGGTGCGCGAAAGCGAGCCGGGCACATCCGTCACGTCGTTGCGCGAACTAAAGGCGATGCTGGCTGCTGCCGTAGCCACGCGCGAGAAGAGCGATCCGGCCGTGGTAAGTGAGGAAAAGGCAAGAGGCTTGTGGAGCGCAAAACTCAGGTTACCCTGTTGCACCTCGCTGGCCAAAACGTCAGCTGCGTAGTGCCCGACAAAAGCAGGGAAGTCAAACATCGTCGGGGCCTTGGTGGAGGTCGTAGTCGTGGTGGTCGGTGGTTCCGAAGCGGTATAGATGGCAAAGCCTGCGTAGTTATTATGTTTATACTCATGGGCGCTTCCGCCGTTGATCGGAAGGCCGTCAACCGTCGTCCCAGGATGTGGAAACCCTGTAGCATATACTGTACTTGCACCTCTCACAGAGGATCCTACAGCGGCGTGAGTATCCGATCCAGTTGGGTCTTTGTAGAGCACGTGGGCAAGATGCTTATTGTCGCACGGCGCCGTGCACTCCACAGCAGTCGCCCAATAAAATTTCATTGGTGTGCTAGGATAATCCTTCTCAACCTCGATAAGGTCGCCCGGAACCGGCCGACGCCCATCCCAATTCCACTTCGGGGGCCGAAAGTACGCTCTGCTTCCGTATTTGGACATCCAGCTTAGAAAGTGGCGTAATGAGCCAAATAACACAGACATGGCACAGAATCACTCTGATAAGTACTCTGGATGTGGTTTTCCCCAACAACCAAGAGTACTGTGTACTATCGTCCGATGAAAAAGAATCTATTTATAAGTTTCGAAACTATTCTGGCGACAATGAATGTAACTACACAGCATCCAAATGATCACGAAAACGCGAAGCCTTTGCTTTCGATTACGAATTTTCCTCGGAGTTGCAAATAATCAATGTAAAGAGAAGATATTATAGGCATAAATAGTAGTCCGGGAATCCGTCATCTGGGTAGTTGGAACCCCTTGGGCAGGCAAATCCTTCGCCTACCATGCTCGAATCCGCGGGATTCGCATAGCTTTTCCACGTGAACTTCGTAGCAGCGGACACGTCGGTCCCGGATACGCATTGCAGTGTCATTCCTTTCCCTTCGCTGTGGCAGCAGTTGGAGCCCATCTCCTGACAGGTGCACCAGCAGTCGTCACAAGGGTCTTTGTTATCCCCATTCATTTGGCGTATAATGTAGTCGGACCCGGTATGTAACTCGGACTTGCTCGATATCGCACTTGCAGGATCACCCAAGGGAACGGCAGGAGCTCCACCGCCCGTTGTCGTAGAAGTAACTGTAGAAGGCACAGCGCCATTGAGCTTCAGGGTAGCTTCCAGTCTGGTGTCCAGATAGTGGGTCTGCTTCACGTCGCCAAGCAAGGCGAGGCCAGAGGAGCCGGTGGCATAGCCCGACAAGTCGGCCAGCTGCTTGTCGAAAGCCGAGGCCACTGAGCCAGACTTTGAACCACCCGTCTTTGAGATCCACGACCGAAGACTGTCGCTTCCGAGCGGGATAGCGAATGCAAACCGCACAAGCAGCTCCGTGCCGCTCGGCACCGCAGCACCAGACACGATCTCTGCCTTGAAAATCGAAGTGGCGACCTGTTCCCCGCGCAGACCCAAGCCCAGCTGCAAGTTGAGCGCACCCACGACAGCCTTTGATATCCAGTTGCCGTTAGCGAACTTGGCGCGAACTTTGTGCAGCAGTGCTGCGTCAGATGCAGCGGCAGCGACCTCGGAAGCGGGCAAAGCCACTCGGAATTCCGCGCTGCTCTGCTCCGCATGCGACACCACGTAAGCCGCCGCTTCGCCGGAGATGTAACGCTCCATCAGTGGGGGCACGACCTCGCCCGGCCCGCGCTTCGCAACAAGCGTGCTCGCGATGGCTGTGCCAGCAGCTTGCTCCACCAGCGCAGCAGCCAGCTTTGCTGGGAAGTCGCCGGCATTCAGCACTGCTAGGACACCGGTGGCTACACTGCCAAGCCCCGCATCGCGCAGATGAACGCCGAGGATCACCGGCCTCTCGGGATACTCGCGGCCCTCCAGCGGCTCCCCAAGAATAACCGACACGCGGTGCGCAGAGAGAGTGTCCGTTTCCACCTTACGATACGCTGCCGTTTGCTGCCCGGATGCCCAACTCTTGAATGCCCCGCCCGCGACGAAGTAATCGAGAGAGAGTCGATTTGCCGCAACCGTCGTGCCACGATCACGTGCATTAGAGCCTCCCACATCGGTCATTTGACCCACATTTGACAAGAGCACTCGAAGCACTGCCCCACGCACTGCTTCTTCCAGCTGCGCCTCCAGCGCTGCAGCCAGCACCCCTGTGCCACCGGGGTTCATCTTGAACCGCGCCTCTAGGAAGGTGTGTCCGCCACGCGCCAAGTACTGCGTACCAATGGTGTGCGGGTTGCCCCTGGTCGATTCCATGTTCACTGGCGAGGAGCCTCCAAGGGGAAGGACTTCGTCGTTCCACACAGGTGCGGGAAAGTCCACGCGCGTCGCAACGCTCATACCCAGCGTTGCCGGATCCATTGCCCCCTTCGCTTGGAAGCAGTCCGAGGTGGTGCACGTGGGGTCTGCGAAGGTCTTTCCCCACGTCTCGGTGAACTTTGCAAGCGCCGCGGCTGGCAGCACCCTTGTCGCGGCGGTTGACAGGTCCGTCTCCAAGTTCACGTCAGAGTCCACTGGCGCGAACAGCTTGCCTGTGAAGCTGGCCGCACTCCCAACGAAGAGGTGGCACGTGTTCGTCGAGATGTCGAAGCCGTAAGCCTCGCAGCTCTTGCTCATTTGTAGGTACGCGCCAAGGCATAGCGCCTTACAGTCGTCTTCTGTGGCGCTGCCGACGCCGTCCTGTCCTGTTTGGAGCGTGTACCACTCGCCGCTGTCGCAGGTCTCGCCTTTTTGCAGCGACCCATCCATCTTCGCCTTTGCGGTCGATCCTGCTTCCTCTCGCCGCAAAAAGCACATCGCAGGTCCGCCCTCCGCCGGGGTTGGATTGTGGGCCGCCTTCGTGGCGGTTCCGCCATCCGTGAGAAGCCCAGCGAACTCTGGCTCCGCCGCGTCATCCCTGCTGCCTCCCCAGCTACTGTCGAAGAACGGCTTGTCGCGGTGAAGACCGGCGTTGAAATGCACGTAGCAGCGCACGTAATTATCCCAGCCAGTCGCTAACTTGTCAGGGTGGGCGCTGTCGTACGTCGCAATAGCAGGGTCGTGCTCATTGACGAAACCACTTTTGATCGTCACCCCCTTGCAGTAGAAGAACGTGTAGTGGTCGCAGGCTTCAAAGCACTTGTGGACTTCGGCCACGGGAAAGGACTTTTTGTAGAACATGGGCACGACAGTGGAGGACGACTCGCCCCTCGCACCTGGTTTCGGCATGGCGCACGCACCATGACGAACCTGCGTAGCAGGCGCGCCAGCAGGTAAAAGTTTGAATACAGAGAGAACCTTATTGTAAGAGCCACCGCAGACATAATAGCCGCCGAATTTCTCGAGAACACTTGAGTCAAATCTTCCTCCAGAGCCACTGATATCGTCGTTGAACTGCGCTGCAAAAACACTACCTCCGCAATTATCACTGCACTCATTATCGTACATCCGCGTTCTCTTCCAGGATTCATCCTTAGCGCAGTAGCAGCCTCTTCCCCTCCAGGAGCCTCCAATGGCGAAGTACTTGTTGGCCGCGTCAGCTTTCTGACACAGTTGTGCACACGCGAAGGGATCTGAGTCGGCGTTGATCGCTGCTCCCCAGAGACCCACCCACGGATCCGCATTGAAGTTCCCGGATTCATCAGTGTAACATCCGATATGCTCTCCCTTGGCTCCATCCGCTCCGTTGTACTTCTCGTAGTGGCTGCCCACCTGCCCATTCGCGTATGTGCTTTCGTAGTAGTTATCGTTGCGGGTGCTGCTCACGCGGACCGTGTCCAGCGCGATGCTTGCAGGACTACCGTCGGCTTTTTTAGCGAAGCGTGCGACCTCCGGCTTCAAGACGGGGCCGCCGTACGGCATCGAGTACCCCGCTTTCGGCCACATGTTCACGCCGGGCTCCTTGAACTGGTTTGTGTGGAGTCGATTCTTGAAGCCCGTATACGCTTCTGTTATCTGCTTCTTGAAACAGGTATACGAGTTGGATTCCGCGGTCAGAACCTGCCCAATGCCGAACGTGCCGTTCGCTGCTCGGAATTTCCCCGGTAACCAGTAGGGAAAAGTGTCGTATTCGAATTTTTTCACCCCTGGGAACTTGACACCTTGCTCCACTTCAAGCGGCTTTCCATCCGCACTCCGCGGGTCCGCGTCAAAGAACAACTGCCCGAGGAGAGAACCGTCGGCATTATCGTGCTTCACTTGAAATCCTACGCAGTAGCGGAACTGATCGCAGAGGCCGCTGAGATGCGCTCCGTCCCCGTTGCCACTGGGATCCCGCCACTCCGGCTGAATCTCCACGTGCCAGCTACCGGCAGGACGGCAGAATTGCGCAAAGCGCGGACAGCAGGCGCCACTCTTGCCACCCGTTGCTCTCGAGATGACAGCTCCGCTAGAGCCCGCGTACGTGGTGGTCGAGAAGCCCGTCTCCGCGTCGTCTGTGCCCATGAGCAGCAGGTAGCCAGACAGCGCGCTTGCGGACCACTTGTACACGCCAACGTCGGGCGAATTCTGGCCCTTTGCCGGGTACCTCGTCTGTGGCGCCGAACCGCCAGCGCTAAACAGGCTGAACTTCGGAATCCGCGAGTCCGGATAGAGAGGTGTGGCCACAAGTTTGTCGCAGCTCCACGAGCTACACTGGTTCGAGCAGGTGTTGCCCCGCTTCGTGACAGCTACTGGCTTCTCCTCGATCCGGTGCAACACGATGACGCCACTATCGCGATGCCGGCCAGCATCGTTGTACACCTGCACGCGTGCATTGGGATGAACTAGCAGTGTCACGGTCTTCGTTTCACCCGGTCTGGCAAAGCTCTTGATGATGCCATCTACAGACAGCACCACGGAGCCAACCAAGTCGAAGCCCTCAGTGGCGCTCGTGGTCAGCGCCTCATTCTTGGTGAACACCTCGTCGCAGTTTCCAAATTTCACAACAACTTGTGTGAAAGAGGAGAAAGTCTTACTGATGCCGCCGGCCGTCACCTCGGCGACCTGGTCATCGAGCGAATCCGGCCACTTGGCGAGAGCTAGACCCCCGGAAGTGGTCAGGCACGCCGTCTTATCCGCGGAGCGTTCCTTCTTCATAGACAATTTAACGCTACCGGGAAACCGCGGCACGGGGTCCACGCTCCACCCGGCGGCAGACACCTTAGCCAGAGTGGCCGAAGTAGAGTCCGTCAGAACCACGACCTTTGAGGTGCTGGAGGATGAATCTCCGGACGTGGGGGAAAGCTCCGTTGCTGCTGCGGCCACAGTGGTGAATGCCTTTTCCATCTGCGTGAAGCTTCGGCTACCAACGGCCGCGACGGTGCTTGCAAGTGAGTCCCGCAGGGTCGTCGAAAGCCACGTGCCGGAGGTCGCATAGTCGCCCTTGCCTAAAGCGAAGCTGAATGCTGCTTCGATGTACTGCCGCACGCGGAGATCGCTCCTAGGTGTGCTAACACTTGAAGATCGCCGCACGGCAAAAACATTTCGGTAGCGAACCTTCTGCGGACCGTTCTGATTCACTCGCGCCGCCGCGAGCTTAAAACCGTGGCGCAGCGTTGTGACCAGACGTCCCTGCCTCTGGGCATACCAGTAAAGCGCGTCATTCACAAAGGGCACCGCGTAATGGAACACTACAGTGGTCCACAGCCCATCTGGGTGCTCGGTTACACGATCAGAGCTAGGATCCTGGCCAAGCGTTCGGAGCGTGTAATCCTCCAAACTAATGCCAATCTGGCCCAAGTGCAAGCTGCGGCCACAGCAGTGCTGCATTGCCAGCTGTATGGCCGCTTGCAAGTGGCCCACCACGTCAAGCTCAAATCCGGTAACGGGACTCAGCTCGACGGTGAGCCTCCCCGCGACGTGCGAAACCAGAGTGGCGGCAGTCGGCTGCAGCGTCAACTCGACTCCCAGCGTCGCCCCGTAGTCGGCTTCGCCCAATGCAATGCCAGCGTGCCACCACACCGGTGCAGCTGCCACCTCGGTCCGGAAGCGGTTCGCAGTCGATGTCGGAGCGACGCTTGCGGCGGTCTTCGCTATGCGGATTCCTTCAAGCTTGCGCTGGATGACGCCCAGGCTGTTGCCCGACAATACGCCAAGCACATCCTCGGTGGTCGCACCGCTCTCCTCAAAGTCAGAATCGAAACAGGTCGCCAGAATCTCCACCGCGCTCACCCCGCTCGTCCAGTAAGCCACCACGGGCACGTCTTTGGGCACTTGGTGAGCTGGGCGTGATAGGCGCAGCCGATCCATGATAGCTTCCGAGGCTGCCCGACTCACGTCCTCCAAAAACTCATTGCCTGTGGTGTTTGCCGCGGAAAGGGGACCGAGGCCCGCCTCAATAGTGTAGAACGTGGAGTCAGCGTTATCAGTAAGCGAAAACCTTGCGCTATCCACAAAAGCGACAGAAAATCTACCTGATACAAAGCTGATTTGGTTGCGCGCTGAGGCGCCATCGGCGGCAGCGTTAACCAGAGAGTACGGAGTGTCGGACTGGTCGACCTTCCAAGGTATTTCCACTGCATTGCGGCTGATCGCGCGCCCGATGTTCCTCATGCGTGGCGCAGCCGCGCCAGCGAATGCCTTCGCCAGTTTGACCGCAAGGCCTTGTGCGTCGCCTGCATTTGTTTGTGCCACCGGTCCGCTCGGAATGGCCTTCAGACTGCTCAAAGGCAACACCAGGCTCATTCCCGAGCGCATTGCGCCAAAATTTGGCACCACTGGCGACAGCGAAATGTCGCCCTGATTCAGTCTGAAGGGAAGCACTGGCGGCGCCTCGCTCTGCAACACAGCAGCGACACTGCGTTCCACCACCTCATCGATCGTGTCGTAGTAGCCCCAGAACGTGGCATTGATGCCGGACGCAACGCCGGTGAAGTCCTCGAAATGCATGCCGGTCTGGTAGAATCGATGCTGCACCGCGCTTCCGGTGTTCCCGGTTGCCAATTGCAGCATGCTGGTGCGGCCGAGCACGTCTGCGTCGTCTTGGCGGAGTTGCTCAAGTTCTGCGTTCACAATGCTCTCGAACTTCCGCCGCCGTGGCGTCACCAACGGCGCGGCCCCATCAATGCCGGTGGGAATGGCTTCCACCGCCGCGGACAGCATGTCGGAAGCCACCGGCAGCGCGAAGCTCGCGCTCATCTGCAACCAGTCCAACTTCTCAGCAGCTTCGCCTTCCACCCAGTCCATTGAGAGCTCCAAGAGAGACGTGAGGTCCTCCGTCGCGAGCCCGACGTCAGCGAACGCGGCCTGCTCAAGTGCAGGCGCCGCCGGAACTTGCGCATCCGCTACAATCTCCACGCCCGCGGCCTCGAACGTACCCTTGGCAACCGCCGACAGAAGCTTAGTTTTTAGTATGTCTTTTCGTGCGCGAATGGTCGACTCCTTCTTGCGGTAGCCCTCATTGCAGCGAGGTGGATCCGAGTGCCACTCGTAGCCCAGCTCATGCACGACCATCACCGGCAAAAGGTTGTTTTGGCCGTTGCTGGCCGCGTTGCGAAGACGAAACTTGAGCAGCGTTTCCTCCCCAAGGGTGTCGTCGAAGTAGAAATAGTCAGTCTTCTTTCTCTGTGCGAAGTCCCGATCGAACAGTGGGGTGAACGCATATTTCGAAATATCTTTGTTGTTCTTTGTCTCGTCCCGCAGGAACTCGTAGCTCGGTGGCCGCGGAAACGGGTTCCCCTCCGTATCCGTGGTCGGAAACCATGGGGGTTCGACCGCATACATGCCGTCTTCAAACGCGCCGTTCTCGTAATATGCCATGCGCATGGCGTTCCAGCGTAGCTTGTGTGGAGTATCCCACGCGTTCCACCAGGTGGTGCCGTCGTCGTCTTTAGCTGTTGGTCGCACGAATGACTCAATCGCCGCGAACTTGGGCCGGTTTGCCGACCACATTGAGAAGCCGTACTCGTGGCTGTCGTCTGCGCCGTTGTCAATGCGGCTGCACTCAGGTGGCGCACAGTTGCCAAACCGTAGGTGGTAGGTTCCCCTACCCGCAAACGTTGCGTTCATTTCGAAGTCATCGCGGGAGTGCATGTTGCCATTCTCGTCCTTGAACGGGAAGGGACCTCCGCCGAGGAAGAAAAAGGGCTCTCGCGTGTGAGGAAACATCTTGCGGAAAAAGCTTGTATAGTAGTGTCCCTTGTACATAAACGGTTGGTCGCCCTTCTTCTCACGGAGACACGTCTCTGCGATGTAGTCGAGCGAACACTTGCGCACGCCGCCGGACTGAATATGTGCTTCGATCATCTCCTTATCGAAGCGCTCCTTGGTCATTGACGGATCGGCAAACTCCCACTCTTTCTTCTTCGGGTTCCACCACGCAGGAACGTTTTTTGCGTTCCACCCATCCCACTCACTCGCCTTCAGCCGCCCGTCGGAATCCTAAAAAAAATGATCGATACAAAAAGCGTTTAACGGATTCGCAAGCGACACTCCAGTGACGGAAACAGAAAGTGTACTATGTATTGAAACGGACTCCCTATTGTAGCAAATGCATTTTAGAAAGAACAGAAAAGTTTCATTGGCCTCAATGCAGTATTTGTGATTGCCTACAGAGATCATTACTATTGCGCGATCAAGTTTGAAATGGTCCGGACAAAGGATCCTTCGATGTATGAAACGCGACAAAAAGTCAGTCCGTTGCCGAGGGCAAACAGAACGTCTTTCATCACATTAGACATTGGTGTTACAACCTTGTTCATCATGCGAATCTGCAAGCCACATTCAAGAAAAAGTGGAGCGCAGGCAAAAAGCTATCATGAGAATGCATATTGTGAATAGTACCCAGAAACTTTTGCACGCGAACGCACTCTTCGGACCAACGGCGACGTTGGCGCTGAATTCAGTGTGCGACAACTGTCTAACCGTGTGCACCAACAGCGCCTCCTGTTTTGGAAAGATTAGTTCAGGATGATGCGATGCTGCGCCGGCCTGCTCGATAAGCTTGGACTTCAGAGTGCCACGGAAGGAAGCCTGCGAGAACAAGAGGCGGACCGCGGCCAGCTGCTTCAGACTCACTTCCTTGACGAACCACAGCGCGTCAAACTCAACCACCTGTTCTCGCTCATTCGAAGAGGACCCGCTTTTGAACTTTGTGGGCGTTTCTAGATAGGTGCGTGAAATGCGCGCAACGTTCGCAAATTTCAGGTTGGTCGCAACATCGACTGTTGACAAAATTTCCTCCAATTTTTCGCTACCTAGCGTCGCGGCGCTGGTCCAGTCCGCCATACTCGTAGCCGCGTCTGTCATAGCGCTGCGCACCAGCGTTTTCAACTTCGATGCAGCGAACGTGTCGCTGACCTGCTTCGAAAGCCCGCTCTCCGTCACACTGTCGGTGACAAAATAGCTGCTCACATCCGGCACGCGCACGCGGAAAGTGCCGTGCAATCGGAAGTAGGCCACGCGCAGCCGCGTCTCACCGTAGTCGAGGCGCGCCCCGCGCGGATGTCTCAGGTCGCCATACACTTTGCCTGCGCCCTTGCTTGGGTAGATCTGGCGGTAAGTCTGGCCGTGTACCTTCGCTACCGCATCGACATCGCCCACCATAGTAACGCCTAACTGACGCAACTGCGTCACAAGACGGGTGACGAAATCAGTTGAGCTTTCTGTTTGCACGGCAGTTCCATTGCCCAGCGGCGGAAGATAAACGCGAAAGTGCCACTTTTGCGAACCCTGCGAGACGACACTTGGGACTACCTGCAGCGCCGCCAGCGTTTGGCTCAAGTAGCCTGGCACATTCTGCAACTGCGCAACCTGCTGCGCCGCGTAATGACCCGCCAGCTGCAATGGAACACGCAATTGCGCTGGAGTCGCAGCCGCGACGCTCACCTCTGCTGCAAGCTCCGGGCCCTCAATGTGTCCCGCGTGCGTCCAGGACTGCAGCTTCGCAATGCTGAACTCCTCCGAAGCTGCGCTCGTACGGCTCAGCGCGGTCTCCAGGTCCCGCTGCATTGCGCTTGCGATCGTGGTGACATTCTCCAAACCCGCGGGCGCGAACTCAGTGTGCGCCACCGGCAACAGTACTTCGAAGACGATCTTCGCCCCGGTGCCACTGCCCGCAAAAGCGGCTGCCGCGGCTTCCGCGCGGTCCGTCTCCATTTGGGTGGTGAACACCGGAACGAACGCCGGCTCCCAAAGAGACGTAGCTTCAAACCTCGCCCCGTCGCGCGCATAGGCAAATGGATCCTGTGTGGTCGACAAGAAGCCGCTTCCCGTCGCAGACGAGCCGAAGGGGCTTAGCACGGTGCTGCGCTTCGCACCCTCGTCAAACTGTGCTGGCAAAAAGCCCATGGCCTTGCCCACCTGCGTCGCCAGAGCGTACTGGAAAGACTCCCGCAGCCAGTTGAGTTTGGCTGTGGCGTTTATCGAGCTCGAGTCCCTCTCGAAGAATTCATCCAACAACGACTTCGTTGGATGAGTTCCAGAGAAGGCAGAAGCGAGACTGAACTTCGCGTAGAAGTGGTTGACAATCTCTGCCGCCGCTTTCCACGGCCGCACGGCCACGATGTTGACACCGTATAGACTACGGCTCTTACTCAGGCTGTAGCGACGGCCGAGGCTCTGCGCCTTTGCTTGCAACGCAGCCGTGAGCCAAGAAGCAGAAGTAAGGCCGTCACTGTCTGAAAGGAGCCCCAACAATCGCGAGGCTTCCATCACAAAAGGCGCCTGGACCGGCACGAGGAAGGTCACGCGGAACGTGTTCTCTGGCCCCCCAGTGATGCCATTCACTGCCACTTTGCCGTTGGTCGCAGTCTTCGTGGACAGCACCGCGCTGGCGCCAATGTGGCGCGCGTTGAATGCGCCTCGCTGCATCAGGCTTCGCAAATGCGGCTGAACGGGGCCATCGAACTCTCGCCCGGCCACAAACGGCGCCGTCAGCGAGTCGAACAGCGCTTCGCGCGTCAACTCTTCGACGGCTTCTTCGAGATCACGCTGATTCGCAGTGCCCGCTCCAGCCACCTGCTTCCGCGTCGAGAAGTCAAACTCCTCAGCGTCCACTTCGAGCGCGCCTGACTGCACGACCACGTACGAACTAGCGCCCGTCTCCATACGCGTTTGCACAGCGCTGATGGCGGCTGTGCTCCTGCGATAGCTCGCGGCGAACGTTGCGTTGAAGCCGAAAAGGGTCATGCGCTCCTCAAATTTGTCGCTCATTGCTTTCGCATTCTCGGCAAGCATGAACTGGAGCGCACCCACTTGTGACAGCCTGTCATCCAGCGGAATCGTCAGTTGCCCGGTCAGTCGCACCGATTCCGGGACCGGATCCACGGATGGGTACGGGGCATCGAGCTGCAAACCAATCAGGCTGAAGGGATCTATCACAAAGGTGCTGAGCGAGCCGCTCTGTTGCTTCGCCAGAGTTTCCACGGCTGAGTTCAAAGCAGCCTGCAGCGTCAGCCGCGCCATCACCGGGTTCGGCGGCAGAATGTGCTTCCCCGCATTGCTGTAGAGGTCCAGTGAGAACTCAGCCTGCACGAAGCCGCGATTACGATGCTCGGACACCGCAGACGCCTTCACGCTCGTCACAACGCGGCGTTTGGATGCTTCCAAGCTCGAGTCCGCGAACGCCGGCACCAGACGCTCCGAAGCGAAGTACGCAAAGCCGCTTGGCGCCGAGTTGAAGAACCAGTCATAGGCGGGCCCCTCCAGGGGAACCGACAGAGTGAACTGCGGTTCACCCCGCTGGGCGGTGCCGTCCACCAGCACGACAGAAACCATCCCAGAAAGAGCGTCCGCCTGCGTCGCATCCCGAAGCGCCAGCGTCATCGCTTGTTGAATGATCGGCACAAGCTCCGCAGTATCCGCGTAAGGTGCACCGTCGTGCTTGAACTCCACCTGTATCGCCAACTGCGACTGGAGCTCCGAACGCGAAATGAACTCGACTCGTGCAGTATTTGCTCCATTCGCGTCGAGATGCGTCCGCGCTGCAGTTGCCGTCGAGGTACTCAGCGTGGTGTCCTTAGAGACGTGCACCGCGAGTAAAGAGGTCCGCTGCGCCGACACTTTGGTGTCCAGGGCCTGCATGATAACGTCGAACTTCGAGGCCAATGCATTCCCCGCAACTTCCCCGCGATACACGACCGACAGAGTGCGATCCGTCGGCGGCGTGATGCTCTCATCTGCGAGCGCAGCACTTACTGTCAAGGCGGATACGAGTGCCGCCGTCACGGCCGTCGCGTCGGTCACAGCAGAGTTGCCGCTCGTCACCTCGATCTCGAGCTCGCTCTTGACAAAGGAGAGCCGGCTCAGCCGAGACGGGTCGGTCTTGGCTCCGCCCGACTTTTTGGCTGGATTGGCCAGGGCCGGGCGTTGCAAATGGTAAATTGTGTCGCGCATGTAGGCCAGGCGATTTGCCACGATGTCCAAAAAGTAGTCGCCTTCGGTCGTCAAGCCACGTCCGACCATAAGCGCACGCACCGCGATCGCCATAGAGTTTTCCACGTCCGCTGAGTTGCTTTTTCCGTAAGTGCCAGTATTATCCGAATGGTAGCTACAAACTGGTATGGAGACTATGAAGGACGTAGACACATTCGCGGGCTTCCCACCGGCGAAGTCCGCATCCTTATTCCCTGTCAACGGGAAGGCCACCATCAGGTCCGCAGGATGGATGAAGCTCGAATAATACGACGCATAGGCAGGCGCAAGCGCCCCCACTGCACTGTGCACGGCCTTCTGAACCAACGGCGCCATGGTCGTCGGCATGATCGTTGCGAAGCCATCCGCCTCGTGCTGAGAAAAAAGTAAGTCGTCCGCTGAAAATTGAGCCCGCACGAAGGACCAGGACTTCTGCTGAACAATTTGCGTCAGAATGGGCGCCTCTGTGGGGAAGTTACCGATGGCATTGTACCGCGCCTTGGTGTTCGGGTGGATGTCGCCGTCCGAAAAGGCATTGACAAAACCTCTGAAGCCCGACTCGATGTAATTTATAAGGAAGCTGCTCTCTGTGGTGCTTCCAGCCCCCGTCGACAGGTCGGCGCGAGCGAAGGCCTTCTCTACCGCAGGAGAGGAGAAGGGAATAGCAAACTTTAGGAGGGCAAGAACGGCTTGCGTCGAGCTTCCCGTGTCTGCGGGAACATGGTACCACTTTTGTCTGTGCTTTTCTGGGAAGAGTATGCCATGGTAGTGAATAATGTCGTAGTACACCAGCGCAGGCCCGATGTTGATGTCCATGATCGACTTCAACCCGGCGACGAGGAGTTCCTCTGTTTTGGTTCCCTGCTTGTAGGGGTGCACTTTCATCTGGCAATTATCCTCCTTCCCCGTCAGGACGTAGTCATAGCAACCCGTGACTTGGTCGTGCACGAGCTGCACAGTAGCCTCCGTCATACTGGCAAGGGACGCCTGGCTCACCTCCGCCAGCAGAATCCCCGGGCCGGTCGAGTTCGCGCCTCCCGCCGAGGCTGTGGCCATCACTCCGTCGATCTCTGCCGCCAATTTCGAGCCTTGCAAGTCTGCAATCAAGTTACCGATCTCTAGCGAGGTGAATTTGCGCAACTGCACGATGAAGACAAAGTGCCGGGCGAAGGTGAAGCCGTTAACGTCGTCGAACTTCGGCTCAATCGTGTCAAAGAGCACCTGCGACTTGTCTTTCGACAGGCTGTGTCGCTGTAGAACAGTCGACTGCGTAAGCGCATCGTGTAGAAGAGTGACCAAGGCCTCGTCCGTGTAGGTCGTAAGGTCGCGCGTTCGCAGGGTTCCCGACGCCTGGACGAAGCGGATGTCGTAGCGCTTGCTGTCGCTATCCTGATTCGGCGGTGGCAGCGGTTGCGTAACGGTGTCATCCCCGATTGTCACGCCCGCGTAGGTCTTATTTGCCTCAGTGCCGTAACTGAGCCGGCCGTGCACCACGTCTGGACTCGTCCGGTTGAAGGAAGCGCTAGTGGACCGCGTGAGCACGCCATACTTCTGCGTAAGCGTCTCGTGAAAGACGGTGCTCGCGTTCTTGTCGAAATTTCCCAGCTCCTGCTCCAGGAACGCCTCCACCGCGCGCACGTCGTCGACGTTGCGTGAGGCGCCGCGCAAGCCGGTGACCCGCACCGCCGGCAGCGGGGCCACCAAGGACAGCGCGAATGTGTCCGAGGGCCGTCCGATTTTGGCGTCCTCACGCACAACCGACACCCCACGACGGTTTGTCACATACTCGCTGCTCACACCAAGCGCATTAGTCGCGTCTACCAAGCCATCTGCGCCGAAGAAGGTCTCGTCCGCGGTGCGCCGCGTTAGCTCCTCCACTGCGAATGGGTTGCCCAGGTCCGAAGCCGGGAACGCCGCGCAGGCTACATAGTTCAACTCGCTCACCACCATACCGTAGCGCCACAGGTGCTTCGTGCCGGGATCATTGGAAAAGTCGCCCATCCCCTGTTTCCCCACCCACCGCAGCGCGTCGCCACTTTTGAACTTGAAGGTTTTTCGCTTGAACTCGCCGCCCCATGCGGTGTCCTGAAGCTCGTCGTTGATATAAAAAGCCACAAAACTGCCGTGCGGCGCGTTGTTGAATGGGTTGTAAGAGTCTTGGCAGTTGCCCCACTCCGTGCTCATCGTGCCTGCACCCTTCAGGGTCACGTTGAACTCGCCGCCACGTCCCTTGTGCAGTGTCGCGAATTCTTCCGACTCCTCCTGGGGCCTCATAGTATGCACGCCGCCTGCCTTGTCCACGACGATGCAAGTGGTTCGCGGCTCCCCAAAGCCTTGCTCCGTATTGCAGGGCAGCGTATTTCCTGGCCCGCCAGCGCCACCATAAGGTGCAGCCATCACGAAGTCTCCTACGCACTTCTGGGGGTCTACTTTGTCGAAGTTCATAACGGACCTGTGGTATTCAAGATGTTCGAATCATAGTAGAGGACATCGTTACCGCAACTCACCAACATTGCAAGACGAAAGGTATCTAAAAAAATAAGGACGTGACGGAGTCTCTCATAACTAGACACAGTATTGGAGGAAAACCTCGAACAAAACAGAAAAGGGAAGCTCCTACCATCACGTAACAGTAAGGTACAGGGACTATCACGACTGAAAATATGTCTTCAGACTAATAATAACCTATTTCTTTTCTATTCATGAGGCCTACTCCACAATATTGATTTCAGCCACGAAAAGAACCTTCAGGGAACTACACATGAAATAAAGCCCGACTTTGCAAAAGCCACTTTCAATTGTTACTGCCAGTCTGCAGCTACAAGTCTACCAAGCAAGCGGTGACAACTGCGATACTGAGGCAGAATGCGCTAAGGCAAGGATGCAAATAAGTGGTTCGGAAGAAATACCTCACGTCCAGCTTGTCCTTCGGATCGTAGGTGTTGCCCATGCAGTCGTACAGAGGCCGATGCGGTGTGTAGACTTGCTTGTTCAAATCGCAACCACTAAGGCCCCTACCAGGGTTCTCTATAGAGTCGAGATGAGTGCCGGTGTAGAGATCAACCCGATTGAAGTTACTGAGCGACCATCCCTGCTGTTCCATCATCGCCATGCTGTGTCGCAGGCCTGAAGAAATATCAGGGCACACGCCGCCAGAGGGCTCAGGCGCACCCGAGAGCGAGCCTCCAGAAAACTCCACAGGAACCGTTGCGGTGCCAAACTCTAGCAGAGTCTCCGCGCTTTGGCGCACCGCCGCTACCGTAAAAAGGGCTTCCCCGGTGTGGCTGAACTTCGTGCGCGCCGGCGCCGTGTCAAGTCTCTTTTGCAAATGCTGCTGGGCGCGCTCTTGCACCAGTTCCACCAGCTTCCCCCGACGCACTGCGTTTTCGGAAATCTGCGCAGCGAGATCCGGCGAGGCTCGTGCACTCGATGCGAGCGCGCTCGCATCGGTGAGGAACATCCCAAGGACCGCGTTTTCGCTACTACCAGCCGACTTTGGGATCCCCAACGTGAACGGGATGGTGTCGCCACTGGCGCTGCTGCTGCCCGCGGTGACGCGGACTCCCGCAGTCGGTTGTCGCCCAGGCAGCCGCGCAAACAGTCGGATCGCAACGTGGCTCGAGAGCAGGTCCAATCCCAACAGCTCGGAAAGTGCCCCGGCGTAGGCGTACTGCAAGGTCTCGACCAGATCCACGCTGCTGAGCTCGATTGCGGAGTTGCCAGCAGTTTCTGCAGCTGTCGTCAGCTTCAAACTGATCTCCGCGTCAACCTCGACGTGGACGCTCACGCGCGCGCCACCCTGTCGGGTATCCTTGAGCACACTAGCGTCGTTTGCAGTGACCTTGAAGTTTTTGAACTTCGCGCCCTGGTAGAGGTCCTGCCGCGAGGTCAGCGGAGCGCCATTGTCCTCCAGCTCATCCTCATACAAACGGCGGCCAACCGCTCCACTGTGTCCGTCACCGCGCGCGAAGAGCGTCGAAATAGTAGCCCCAGACTCCGCGGCGGTCGAGCTTGTGCTACGCTTCAGCTCGTCGTTCAGCAATGTCTCGAAGCGCAGGCGGTTCGCCATATTGCCCGCATCCAGAGACTGCTGCAAAGCCGACAGCATAGTTGCGTTAACATGAGAGAACCAGAATGTCAAGCCGATTTCTCGCTGCTCAACGATGCTCTTGTTGCCTCCCTCAAGCCATAGCGTGGTGTACCATTCGTCCGGCCAGTCCGTAATTTCCCAGCGGCTCAGTGACACCTGCGCTGCCACCTGATTGATATCCAGCGCCGGATTCTCATGCGTCGGCGCTGGATACGGTGCTGCCAGCACTGGTACGTGTTGCAAAATCGCACGAAACGCTGCTACGCGAACGGCGTCTCCAATGTGTTGGTCAGTGATGTCCGCCTCCAGCCGTTCCACCTGCGCCGTGGCAGTCAGGTACGTGAAAACCTGTGGCTTCAGCCCGCCGGAAGACGCTGCGCCGGTGGAACTAACGCCACCAGTCGCAGGCGCACTTGTCATGCCCGGCTCCGAGCGCATCGCAGACTGCGCCGCGCCGCATGTGTATCCTGGCATCAGGTGCGCGCCACACTCGGGAATAACATCCGCACTATCCAGCTTCAGTAGGGCACCTCGGCTTGATGTCTCCGTCGCAACCTTGCTGTACGCCAACGAATAATCTGTTGTGTCACCCGGCACCGCGACCACCGGTGCGACCGCGAAAAGATCCACGTCCAGACTTGACGCGCCGTTCACGCCCGTGGTGCTTGTCTTGCGCAGCGCGAAGTCGAGGGCTTTCCTTGCCTTGGTTGCGAATGCTGCCGCTTCGGTCGTGAGCAACTCTGGCGGCTGCGATACAGGAAGAGGGGTGTGCATCGACGCGTAGCTCCTGCCACCAGCGCTCGCAAACGTAGCGGCAATGGCTCTTACCGAGTCGTATGCGACTGCCGTTGCTGGCTTGCTCGCGTCTGCGACGCCACGAAAAACTTTCGCCACCTCGTTGGCGTCGCCGAGGAGCGTTCCGTAAACTGCCGTATCAGTGCTTGCCAACGCGGTGCCCATCACGTAGTCTCCACCGAGTACGTGCTGCTGAGGCGCGAAGCCGCTCCCAAAACCGCTCTTGGCGAGGACTCCCGTGGCCATCTTCGGGTGCTTTGGGTTTTGCAGCTTCAGTTCCGCCAGGGTCGCTGTTTCACTCGCAGCGGTCAGTGCCGCACCCATCTCAGGCCCCATCCACTTCGAAGCGAACACATCGGGCACGTGCATCAGCCAATGCACCATCATGCCATTGGTGTTCGGTACTGCCAGGACGAAAACGAGAGAAGTGGCGCTGGCGTTCTCCATGTTGAGTACCGCAACGCCGATTTGGCGAGCATCGAAGCGAACCTCTGCCGCTTTGGCAAGTGCCGCAGACGCCGCCTGCTTGAGCATCCAACGGATGCTGTTCAGGTTGTTGCCGCTAACAGAGCTCAGTGCTCCGCTAAAGCGCACAAGCCCCAGCACCTGCGTGTAGCTCGTGGGCGTTGCGCCCAGGACCTGCAGTGAAGCCAAGTCCCAGGCGCTGTCGAGCGTCGCCGAGCCACCCAAGGCAGTCACTACCTTCGCATGTGTGATGCCGTTCGCATTGTGCCTGTTGAAAGTCTTCAGCAGGCTGCTTGCAGTGACACCTGAGCCGTCGCGTGCCTCAGTCGCAAAAGTGACCGCGAAAAGGACGCGACGCGTGTCCTTGTTCAGCGCGTTGTAGGTATCCTCTGTACGCACTACGGCAAAGACGTCGTGCTCCGAGATAGGTGCTACCTCATCCGCACTCGGCAGTGCCTGGACCGTCTGTAAGGCCACAGTTTTCAACGCGGTGGCGAGGCTGCTCAGTACACCCTCGCGCACTGTTGGCGTGCTCTTAGATGACTCCACACCTGTATACGTGACACCACTTGTCGTGGTTAGTTTCACGCCCACGCGCACCTCCACAAAAACAGGCTGCGACCGCGCTGAGTCCGTCACGCTGTTCTTCACCGTAGCTGCCGCAGGCGAACCGGCAGAGGAGCGGGCGTCGCGATTGAGAGTTGCTGTCAGCAAAGTGGCCGGATCTCCTTGGACCGCTTGCATCGCGGTCACGCGTGGTTTCAGGTATGACAAGAAGTTCGTGCTCTCAGTCGTCGACGCTCCACCGGAAAGCGCCTTCTTGAAACTCGTGAGCAGCCCACTCGATGCCTTTGCGGTGTCGAGGCCGGCGATCACGCGCGTCACGACGCGGCTGTTGGCGGTGTCCACCGAGGAAACTTGAGTGTAAACGTCGTTACGCCGCCAACCCGAGTAGTCTTTTCCCAAATACGAGTGGCTATTCGTGTCAGCGATCGCCGCAGCATCGTAGTCGCTCTCGTACAACGTTCGCGAGAGGGCGCTGGCAACCGCCTGGGCCACGCGACCCGCAAAAAGGTTTACCTTATTGCGGCCTGCATCGACGGATGAGAATGGCCACACATGCTGCGTGCTACCTACCTTAATCGTAAGCGCTTTGCCCTGGAAAACCGTTCCGGCCGACGCAAGATCTGCGGCTGACGCCATGGTGCTCACGTTCAAATATGGGTGAAAAGACGCCGGTACCCCTGAAAACGAGCTGAAGCCTGAGCCAGAAGTTGACAGTAATAACTCCGCGTCGGCAAAGACATCACTGCGGGCCCTCGAATAAACTGCCCCGCTCTGCGACTGCATCTCTGCGAAGGGAAACACAGTGGAACTCGGGGGTGCCACATAGTCAGCACCTGAGCCGAAGCTCCCATCGCTTTTGCGACCGAAGAATGATTCTTCCACCTCCTTCTTCGCCAGGTTGGCAAGCCCGAACGCAGGGACCACACCGTTATCAAAGAGAGCGGAGCGCACTCCTTCGCCTGGCACGGACAACGCCACTTGGCACTTGAACACCTTGGCCGGACCACCCGAAGTGGCGGTGGTAGCCTCCTCCACAGAGAGCAGGTGCGTGTAGACCATGCCCGACGAGATATCGTGTTCTTCCGGTGGAAGTATCTGGCGGATCGCCCTCGACACCGCCTTGCCCAATTTGTTCGAGAAAGTGGCATACCCAGCACTTAGGTCACTGGCGTCGTTGCGGTTCTCCGCCAGCAAGATCTCGGCGACGTGAGTGCTGTTCGCGTTGTCCGGATGAGTTTCCAGCACCAGCGCGAGTACGGCGGATGACGTTGACGCCACCGCTGGCGGGTGGCTGCTGTCTAGAGTGAAGGAGCTCAGCGTCATTTCCGAGATCACATCGGTGCTCGAGCCTCCTGCAATAGGCCCATTCGGGATTACGACGTAAGGCGCGAATCGCGCACCAAAATCATGCACGACCTGCGCCACCTGAAAGCTGTGGAGATTCCGCAACTGCACAATGAGAGTCACGTCAAAGCCCGTTTCGACCGCTCCACCCGACAACGGCTTGCCTCTCCGGTTGCGCAAAGCCACCGAGACGAATTCCCGGTGCGCGTGGTAGTCGTGGAATAAGCCTATCGTGCTGTGCGGTTCGTACGCCGTGCTCTCCGACGAGTTTCCAACAACAAAAAGCGTACTCGCTGGCCCCGTCAGGGCAACGCCACCGAAACCATCAACGCGCAGCCGTTCGTCCGGATCGCTGTACCGCGTCTGCGGAAAGAACAGCTTCTTTGTCGGATTTGCTACCGAGCTGGTGTCAAGGCGCACAGCGTACTTATCTGCGTCAGCCTCGGCGGAAACCAGGTAAGCATTTTCGCCTGGATGAAAAACGATTTCGCGTAGCGCGCCCACGTCTGGCGCCAAGAGAAAGTTTTCCAGTGCAGTTAGGAGCTTGTCCTCCAGAAACTTCCGCTCCGCTGGCAGCGAAGCCATGGATGTGTGACGCACCTTGGCCGTCCCGCGGATCTCCACAAAGGTCGCGGGCACCGTCCGAAACTCTGCTGAGTCAGCCAGCGCTCCGCGGCTCATCCCACCCTCAAAGTAATTCTCAGTGACCTTTCCACCTGCGGCCGCTACCGCGGGCACGGGTGCTACACCCCCCGCGCGTTGCTTGACACCGAAACTATAGCCAGAGCAAGAAAGGTACTTGAACTCCGTGAAGGTCATTGCGTAAGGTAGCGAGCGGTACGGGGATCCTGTCCGCTCCCAGAAACCCTGGGCGCCGCGCATTTTTATCTCAGTTCCGTCCGAAAACTCGATTTCGAGTTCGAAGTGCTCGCCGGGCCACGCAGTCTTGAGGAGGGCGTCGTCTTTATACAGGTCTACGCGGCCACCAGTTGGATCTTGGTTCATCCACCACGTTTTGGGACTGCAGTTTGCAAAACCAACCTTCAGCTTGCCGCCACCCTTCATGGTCACCTTCCAGACGCCGCCAGGGCCCTTGTTCATCTGGTCCCGCGAGTCCGGTCTATCGGGTGTCGACGTGGGTGCGTATCCCGAAACGCCATCGCCGGCTGCGACAGAAGTTGCCATTACGAACTTGTCACCACTCCCACTGGGACGGTGCGCGCAAATTTGTGGCATATCGTTCAAAAAGTTGCTCCCATCCTGGATGTGGTTCGGGTTGCTGTTCTTGGTGGGCTGGTACACGAGGTTGTCCTCCGTGCCGCTGCTGGTGCCTGCATTCCAGTCTGAAATTTCCCAACCGGCCGCGCGCATACTTGCGTAGTCTTTCGTGAGCGATGTTCGGTAGTCGAGGCACGTTCCTGCCTTCGGCTTGCTCGCATCCAGCACTCCCGGAAACGGAAACTGAAACCTGACGAACTCGTTCTTGAGATCGTCAGCCAGATTAGCGGTGCCTCCAGCGGGAACGAAAACAGTCTGTCCCTCCAGGTACTTCTTCAGGTTTGCCGACTGCGTTGCGTCCCCCATCGCGGTTATCTCCCCGGGACCGAACGCCGCCGTGAGCACCAGATTCGCGTTTTCCTCTACGAAAGTGTGGTTGAACTGATTCAGGCAACCAGTCGTCGCATCCGTGGTCACGCACTTCTCTTGCAGGTAGTGCCCGGTGAAAACCTTGGCAGACTTCCCAGCGACGTCAACACCAGACATCGCCCCGTCTGCGGCTGGGAATCGCTTGGCAATCACACGGCTGAGGCCGATCTTCGCGAACGGCAGCATGAAATTGTTCAAGGGCAGTGTCTGCAAAGGCCCGAAGCCGCTGAGTTGTACCTCGGTGGAGAGGTACTCGCGGTGTGCCCACTTCGAGTTGCCACTGGGTCGCGCCATCATATCCTCCAATGCAGCATTGCTATTCGGGTCCGCTGTGGCCACCACGTCTGTGGCAGACGCGAGCAGCGACAGCGCTGCAGCAGCCGACAATGACAGCAGGGCTGTGAGTTTGTCCACCATCGTCTCCTTCACGGCGTTCTGCAGGGCCCTCGCCCAGCTTGCAGGCCACCCGCTTCCCCACCCAAGAAGGCTGGGGTCGACGTCCATCGGAACAGCGATTTCCACACCTGCCGGAATCGTGTAGACATCCTTCGTGTGGGCCACGCCCCCCACCGTGGCAGCGCTGCGGGCACGGGTGATGGTGCCAGACGCGGGCAGTCGCACGGCGATGAACTCCGGCGCAAACCGCAGTCCTGAGTGGCGGTAAATCGCGAGCGCAACCGACTTTTGAACCACGAGTACAAGGTCCTCCTGCACACCCGAGGCCTGCGACACGGCGTCGAGCTGCGGAAGAGTCTGCCCACTCAGTGTTGCGTCCGCTACCGACACCGCAAAAGTGATCGCACTGCCTGTGCCTGCTGGCGAAGCTGCGGGGGATAGCTCGAAGTGCGTCAGCCGCCGCGGTGCCAAGTACATGGACTGCGACGTTGTCTGCCACTGGTCCAGGAAGGGCACCGGATCCATATCGAACCGAATGGTGGCCGCAAAAGAACTCCCGGAACTCAACTTGCCGGCAGAAGCATATGCTGTCGCCTTCTGCGTAACCCGTGAGTTCAGGGCAGCCACAAGAGCCTTGCCCTGCTCGCCAAGCGCGTACAGTACTTCCGTGAGCGCATTCATCGCCACGGCCTCCACGTTGCGCGCGTGGACGGCGACGCGAATCCTACGTTGCGGAGCGTCCCCAGGGGCCACGGAAACCGCGATTTGTGTCTGCGACGCCAAAAGGCTGTTCACACCGAAGACGTCTGTTTTCGGTGCAGATGCGTCTCCGGTTCGCAGCGCTGTGAAAAACACGTCACGCAAGAACTCCACAAAGCCGCGGTCACCTTTCACAAAGCCGCGCGGCGAAGACGAGACCTCGACGACAAAGCCTTGTTCCAAAAAGAGCACGCCTGCGACTCGCTGCGGATCTGCGCTCTCCGACATGTAAGTCACGTGTGGCGTGGAAAGGAGTCGGACCTTGTCAGTGAGAGGAAGACCTTGAGAAGTCAAAAACGCCTGCAGATCCTCTATTGCTTTCGCTTTCACGAACACCTTGAGAATCTCCGCGCCCTTGAGATTCGTCACAGGCACGAAGACCCGCGCGGCACCCTCCCACGCTGTGGCGGTGAGCGACGTTGTCGCATTCGCAGTGCTGAAATCGTAGGGCGGGTGTACATCCGCAAAAAGCTCGTACGACTCGCTCGGTAAATCCCCGGCCGAGAACGTGGCATCCTCTGCGCCGCTTGCGCGGAAAGCCACGAGCCATGCAGCGTACTTCAGAATGCCTTTCAACTCCGATTGTGAGCGCGGTGGCTGGTGCTCAATGTAGTCGTGAGCCGCGCAAAAGGTCCCTGCAAGTCCGTCACAGGTCACTCCGACCGCCACCTTCAAGTCCAAAACTACGTACTCGCGCAAGAAGTCCTGCGCGCTCCCCACCGTTTTTGTGCTCGGGCTCGGCCCGCAGTCTACACTGGGACTTGCGCAGTTCAGAAGCTTGAGGAACGCCGGGTTCACGAAGTCTCGCATGTTAGCCTTGGTGAGCATGTACGATGCGAGATTCAACTCGCCCGAGCCGCTAGCAAAGCCAGTCGCAAACACAAACTCAACAACTTTGTTCGCGTCGCGGAGGTTCTGCGCCTCTAGCCCTAGACTGTCAGCACGCGAAAAGCCCAGGAAGGCATCACGCAGCCCCACAGGAGTATTCACTGCGCCCAAGTCCACGTCGGCGCCATGCGTGGCGTTGAATTCCGCGAGGAACCGTCCCTGCGGCATGGGCTCGCCCGGACTCGCGACGCAGATCTTAAACGCTTCGCCTGCCGCGAAGGGTGATCCCGAGCGCAACGAACCTTGCGCTGCGGCAAGGGCGTCGCGCAGTAGCGTCAAAAATCCAAAAGCGCCATTCATCGCGTGTGTCACGTGCGTATTAGCCTCCGCACCAGAAACAAACACGCTGGTCTGCACCACCACCGTCGGATTGGTGCGAGTGCTGTCCTGTACCACACAAAAGTCCTCCTGTGCTGCAGGCGTCGCGGAGATGGCAGGCGCGTAGGTGGCACTTAGTAGCGTGTCAAGCGTTTCGGGACCCAGTACAACAGCCTGCGCAACGTAGAGACTCTCATCGGAAACGTCCGCAAAAAGCGTACCAACAGGAACGCGAGCCGCGGCGTTGAGGCCGTCGTTCTCCGAGAACGTCGCCACTCCGACATCCTGCAGCTCCTTGCCGAAGTCGGCGCCACCCCCAGCGGCCGTCAGAGTCGCAGTCGCAGCTGCTTCCAGAGTGCTCGCGGCCTTGCGCAGCGCCGGGACAATTCCGTGCGTTGTCAACTGCTCGGCGTCCTGCGCGCTCCCAAGCCGCGTGGCCGGTGAGGAGCTGCCGATAACGAGCTTCAACTTGAACTGCAGCAAGCTCACTGCCATCACATTATCGCGGTATCGGTGCAGACTGCGCACACTGCCGGGCACCCCAGGGGAAATTTCGGCGCCTGCCTGCGTTGCGAAGGCGCTGCTCACGTCCGCGGACGCCAGGGCAACCGCGTCCGGATTCCACTGCTCGATCCCGTTGCTATCGATCGTGCGCGCATTCATAGACTTGATCTCCGCGACTGACGCAAGGTAGGCCGAGCTCGAAGGGTGCAAAACGTCGTCGAAAATTTTCGTGTACGCCGCACGCACGGCGGCGTTGGAAGTACCGTCTCCACCTCCGGTTTCGTCGCCGAGCAGAAACTTGCAGTAGCCCCGTGTGTCTGTGAGTGCATCCGCCCCCACCTCTGACAGCGCGATACTAACTCCGGGAAGCTGCGCTGCGAGGCCACTTCGGTCGTTCGGCGCAAGCAGGTCAAACTCGTGCTTGCCGTCATGACACCGCGGTACTCGATGAAGACGCAGGAAGAGCGTGAAGCCGACACTACCCACTTTCACACCCGCGTCTTCGACCACCATCGTGGAGGATTCCCCTTCGTCCATGTAAACGCCAGCAGCGGAGCCCTTTATGCTCTTGGCCAGAAGGGACTTCGTACTCGCAACCTTCGCGGCATTGCCAACGAGAGTGGACGCGGGCACAACCTGCACGCGCACGAACACGGACAGCGCTGGTCGCGACGCCATAGCTGATCCCGCGGGGTCTTTGATCACAAGTGCGGCCTCCTTCACTTCGTAGCTCGGTGGACTCAAGGCTGCTGTTGCCTTCCCGCACATGGCGTACTTGAACTTTTGTCTTTCCGATCGAAAGTACCAGAGGTTCAGGGCGTCCGAGGGCGAAAACAGTCCCTCCGCAAAGTTCCCGCCACCTGATATATACTTGTACCCGTCTGGACATTTGTAATTGTCGTAACCTCTCTCAGACGGATTGTTAACGTTGCCATTGTCCCCGTAGTACCCGTTAAATATATAGCTATTTTCTCTCTCGCTGGCCCAGACGCCCTTCACATCAAATCCGGGCGTCGCAACGCATACCGACACTGCCTCCAGGGCCCCCCTGCAGCGCCACCCGTTCCACTCACAAACGCCGTTCAAGACCGAATAATCCCAAGAATCGTCCCCAGCAATGTGGTCCGGATGGTGCTGCCGCATCTCTCCGTACCAGTGCTTGTTCATGCCGTTATCTTGCAGTTCTGTTGTGAAAACCTCGAGTCTCTGCCAGTCTTTCCAGTGTTCAATGTCCTGTGGGTAGCCTACTTTCTCGTAGAGGGGGCAGGGTGGCGGGCCAGAGGCGCCTAGCGTCCTTGCTTGCTCCATGGTCCCACAACCTCCGCCAACCATCGTGGTTCCCGCGGGGCATTTCAACCACATGTGTCCATCGATGCTCCGGTCATAGGCCTTTCGAATAGGCTCCTTAGTCACCGGATGGATCCATGGTTGCGCGTTCTCGACGCAATTCTTCTTCTGACCGCTTTTGCACACCGACTCCACGTAGGTAACGTCCAGGCCCGCGGCACAGATTGCGTGCGCGAAGGGAGGCCAATCCGAGTTCCTCGAGTGCGGACCATAGGCGGCCTCGCACGCAAATGCATTGAGAGAGGGCACCGGAGTGACGCGGTTCGACCAGGTGGCTACTTGACGTTTGTATGCCCACTGCGTCGGCGTGCGCTTACGCGAATCCGGCGTCATCCCATCGGTGGCTGTCATCCGTATGGCCGGCATGCAGCCACCGCCGATTACTTTATAGCCATCAGGGCAGTAAGCGGTGGACGCACGATTCAGCGGGCTGCCACCCGACTTGGCGGCATTCACGGAAGCGTGGTCTGCGACAACTCGGATCCAGTCGTACTTAGCGGGCCCAGGCTCCCCAGCCACCTTTGCGGAAACCCTTAGCTTGAGAATGTTTTGAAATTGCAACGCTGCTGCCGTCGCGCCTTGCTCCACGACCTCGAGCGCGTCAAAACTTCTGCCAGCTGTCCCGTTCGACGGCGCGGAAGCGTCTGCTTTTGTGATTTTGAGGCCCTCCGTAATCTGACGAATCTGCCTGGCGGTCGCCGAATGCAAATCCGGTAGCAAAACGACGAGGCGAAAGATGCCCGCTTTGGTACCGTCGTCAAAGCTCTTGTAATCGAGAAAGACACTATTCTGTTCGAGCTTGGCGCCTGTCACCTGGGAGAGAGCCTCCGCCGCGCCCGCGTGCAGAGTCCCGCTGGCGATGCGCTCCATCACTGTGTCCTTCAACTTATCAAGCGCATCTGATACCGAAACTCCACCGAAGCGCAGGCGCACGGACACTTCCGCGTGCGGCGCAAAACCAATCGAGTCCGCCTCGATTTGCAGCGACCGCAGGCGGAAGATTTCGTGCTGCATGTCTACCCCGTCCGTCAGCTTCGCGAGCATGTCCGTTTGCAGGCCGTTGGTCGTCTTGACCATGCTCTCCAGCATCTCTGCCTCCTCAGCCGATGTGAAGTTACTCAGTCGCGCGAAAATTGCGAACTTCCGCTGTCGCGTCGGATCGTCGGTCCGCGCAACCCGGGTATCCGGCGCCAGCGACACGGCGATGTGACTTCGGAGCAAGTTGCTAGATGCTGCTGCAGTTCGTCCTAACAAGGCTCGGTAGGTCGCGTTCCGCAGCTGCGTGCGGAGAATGTCATCTTCCTCAAAGACCGGATTGGTGCGGTCAGCACCCTTTCCGTCGGTTCCAGCAAGCATGAAGAAGTAGCCTTCGGCATCCAGCGTCCCTGAAAACTGGAGGAACACCGTTGATCGCTCTCCAGTGGCAACCAGGGTGGCCGCACTAGACGTTGTCTGCAGTCGGCGCGCAACTGCCTGATCCCTAGCCCGTTCACGCAGCATCCGAAGAAGAGACCGCGACTGCGGAACAACAAATGTCACGTGACTTTCGTCCGACGTCCACATCTGCATCCGTCGGCGCTGCAAGTAAGCGTCTGTACGCATCGCAACCGGAATGCTTGACACGCTCTCGTCGTTCAACGGATCCTCGTTTCGCGCTGCTGCTTCACGTGGCCGCTCCTGATCCACGGCATCCGCCGCATCGTCAGGTCTCGACGATTCATCCAGACCCGCCTCGTCAAGCCTCCGCGTGGGCCCCGCGAGCATGGCGCTTCCTGTCGACGTGTACACTCCTCCAACGTCCGCCAGCGACACCGTGCTTAGGTCCGCGAAGTTACCTCCAGAAGCTTTTCCGGACAGGTATCGGAGCATTTCGCCTCGGAGTTTTCCGCCGAGGGCTGTTCGCTGCGTGCTGTTGGCAAAGGCACCTGACAAAACAGTTAGCATTTTATTTGCGAGCGCGTTGTTCTGCGGATAGTACACCAGCTGCGTGGGGAAGATCGCGCGCTTCGCAGCGACGTTTTGCGTCGTATGCGAAGAGATGCTCTGCGCCACATCGCTCACCAGGAGCACGGAATGCCCCTCCGGCAGAAGTGCCGCAGCATCGGAATCGGAGAAAGATAGCTGCGACTTCAAAGCTGCACGCGTCGCCGATTGCAGCACCTGCACGCTCAGCTTGTCGCGCGTCGTTGCTTGTGCTTGGCGCACAGCAACTTCGGCTGAGCCAACACCTGCAGTGACGTTCGAGGCGCTTCGCGTGGCTACTAAAACTGCGGGAGCCTGCACAAAGACGGTGTGTCGTGCAGCACCCGAAACGGCAACGTCCGAAACGCCCTCGCCGAATCCAACTGCGCTCCCGCTCGCGTAGTTCTCGTAAGCCAAACTCCCGAGTCCATTCTTGACAGTTTTCACGAAGAGATCCGCGCGGCTTGTCTCGACCCCTGCGCCCAAGTACGCTTGCAGAGCAAAGGACTTTCGAATCGAAGGCAACGAAAAGCCGCAGACTGACGTCGCCGAAGTAGATCCATCTGCAGACACCGCGTCGTCGCACTTCGCAGCCACGAAAGCAGGCTGTTCTCCGAAAGTCCGGAGTGCCGCATCGCGAAGCAGGGTTGACACTGCGGCCGCCACGACGCGCCTTTCGCGTAGTGTGTGGGTAACTGATAGCGCGCCCTGTACGGACGGCACCACGAACGCTTTGTCGCTGCTCGCGTCTGTGGTAGTTCCGTCAAGCGGCGCCACGAGAGCTACCTCTGCCTGGACCAAGTTGAGTGCCGCGCTCACCGCCGCCTCGCACGTGCCAACGAATGTTGTGGCAGCACTGCCGCCGATCGATGTTGAGAACGCATCCAGCACGGGCTGAAGCAACAGCGAAGGGATCGCCTCAAACGTGGCCTCGATGGCTATGTAGTCGCCCTTCGTGATGTGCCGCGCAACCACTTTCAAGAGCGGCGCGTCACGCTCCGGCACTTTCGTCGCAGCAGACTTGGTGCCAAGCGCTGACCACTGGTTCGTCAAGCAGTTCGTTTCGAACGCCGAAGCGACGGTGGCCATGTTAAGCGTGGCGTGCCTGGTCACAGAGGTATCGTTCAGCTTCATCGCAAAACCGAGGTGAACGAAGTGAAACTCGGCATTTGCAGGCGCGGTCTCCGAGGCGAAGCTCGGACCGTGCACAACTGTAGTCGCGACTGCAGGCGCGTCGAGCTTGGCTGAAACGGACGCGAACGTCCCGGCCAGGTCGGTTGCCACGGCCTGCAAATTCGTCAACACTTTCGTTGCGGCGCCAGACGCATCCCCTGCGTCCAGTAGCGTCAATAACTTCTCGGAATCCACGGTCCTGTGGCCACTCGTTTCGCCGGTCTCTACGCTCAAGAACGCATCCATGAAGCCGCGCCTCGTGTCGCCCTGCCTTCGGAGCAGGGGCACGAAAAAAGCACGACTGTTTACCGCGTTGGACACTGCCGCGTCGCACGTTTCCACGTCCAGGGTGCGCATCATCCAGTCTGCACCGGCAACGCCGGCGGCCGAAAGCCGTGGCGTCAGTGAGCCCGCAGCGCCCTGCAACTGTAGCGCCGTCATCTCCACTGCGGTGGCCGCCGCGAGACGCGACACATACCGCGCGTCCGTGGCCAGCGAACCTGTTTGCCGTGCCATGAATCGTACGAAAGAACTCTCCTCGACACTTCCGGAAAGCACCGAAACCGCGAGATTTGGAGCCAAGCTCCCGTGCGTACGCCTGAGATTCTCCTCGACCAGGACTGCAAAGGGTGAGCGATCCAAATCCGCGGTTGCGGCACCATTCTCCGACCCTGTATTCTGGTGGAATAGGTGCCAGGCGTAAGCGTACCCACTCTCCGAATTCTCATACCCGCTTCCTGGTGTCAGGCGCCCTGGTACGTAGAAGTCGAACACCGCGACAGTCCCGCTTGCCGCGTTTGCCACGGCGGCAGTGTCGGCGATCAGCAAAACCTGGCTCGGCTTCATCCCAAAAGCGTTGCCGCTGCCACTTGTCAGCGCGCGGGCCACAGCCTTGGCGACCGTCGCACTGTCAGGCGTGTTACTGTCCGCCGCAACCACCATGCGCCCTGATATAGTGGAAGCCAAGCGCGCGGGCTGTGTGGCCGTGAGTCCGGTAAGAACTAGGCCCTGGATTTGTACTATGTTTGCGATGGCAGTGTTCAGGGCGGGGAGAAGTGTACTCGCTACACTCGTCGCACTCGTGGAGCATTGCGAAAAAAGGCCGAGCGCTACCGCTGTCACGCTCGCATCAGCCACGTCCAAGTCAGGCACGGAAATGGGAATGCGGACCTCGACTTCCGTTTCGCTGGTGAAGACACCGGAAAAAGCATGCTGAAGCTTGGAAGCGTGCGCCCCAAAGGCCGCCGCGAGGGCAGTTTTCAGGGCCTGCAGAAAGAGGTAGAACTTGTTCTCGCTGCTATTGGATGTCCATTCTTGGAAGCCGGTACGCACACTGGCCGCGCGCAGTGCACTAACTTTTGCGACATGCGCTGCGTTGGCCGTGTCGTATGACAGCTGCAGCCGCGTCTGCACGAAGAGCACCTTGGAGTGGCCCGTGCGCAGCGCAAATAACTTCTCAACAGGGCTGAGCAGGCTGCTTGTCACGAAATTGCCACCCGTGAACTCGGAACCGCCATCCGACCCTCGCACCGCACCCAGCAGCGTCGCGACGTTAGAGAATGCTACGCCGGCAAAAACTGGCACTGGTGTCGAATAGGAAGCGCGCACCGGAGCCGTGAGGAAGAGCTGCATCGCGTCTTGCGCGGCGCTCGCAAACGCACTGTGCCCGAAAGCCGCATCCGCGGCCGAGAGTTCCGCATTGCTGTTCCCATACAGATTCCAAGGCGACAATGCAGTCGCGCTGGAAGTACTGCTGTATCCCACGCCGGAGACTGGTGCTAGTCCGTCCACAGCCGTGGTTGCGACCGCGGATGCGGAAGCCAAGGAAATGGTCGCAAATTGGGTATGCTCGTCCCTAGTGCTCGCTGCATAAGTTCCCTTCTCGTAGAACGAAATCCCGAAGGGATCGATGTTGCTTTGCACGGTTAGCTTTTTCAGCGTAAACTCGCAGTCCTCATCCTTGAGTGTTGGTAAGTCGGGCTCCCCGACTTGGCTCTGAGTATCGAGTACCAAGGCGCAAAAATCTTCACCAGACGCTTGGTGTAGGACTGTGAAAAACGACACGCAGAAGGTAAAAGACTCGCAGAATACAACGCAGCGATGTGGCGAATTTTCTTCAGTTTTTCCGAGCACGACCAAGCGACGACTCCCCTGGTCAACAGGATTCGTTGTGGCGGCGTCGGGCGCCAAACCTTTCCGGAATACCGCGGTGAATGGCTCCATCCTATCAGCTAGCTTTTTGAACCACACGCCCGCGGCACCGTGCGCCAACATCCCACCATTGGCGAAGTCTGGGACTTCGCTCTTAATCACGCGTTGCCAGCAAGTGTGTGTGCCGCCGGTTGCGGAGCGATCTAGCGCCAGCGTGAAGGGCTCAATCGTTGCTGTGCCGCAGTTGTCGGTCCAACCAGCTTTCGGCCCACTTGCCGGGCAGGACGACATCTGTAGCCGACAAATGGTATGCTTGTCCGAGCTCCTGAGCTTCACCGTAATGGCAATGCACTCGGGGAAATCTTCACACGCATCGAAGCACTCTTGAACTATGTCATAGTCGTCGCCACCGTGGCCCATATCTTTTTTGTGACCGCGTTCTAGGGTGACGTCATCTGCACTGCTATCGGCTTTCTTGCATTGTCCATCGGTTCGGCCCGAGGCATCGGCGAGCGGAGCAAAATGCTCTGTGTTCGTGGCGCTCATGGAAACGTGGTAGACGACCGCCGGGACCGGGTGCAGTCCGTGTTCAAGAGGGTGATACCGCATCCTGGTGTCCGCCTCCTCACTGTTCCTACTCGCAACGCCGTAGGATTTGCCCGGTACGACGTAATAAGGTGTTAGTTCTCGGCTCGTCTTGCCGAACGCCTCCACGTCGTCAATATGCTGGGTTGATCCCACTTGAATTGTCCATCTTCTCTCAAATTCCTTCTTCAACTCTTCTGCTATCTCTTCTACCTCATCGGAATCGCTGCCCAGCATATCCATAATGCACTGTCCCTCGCTTGGACTAAGAAGCTGAAGTACGCAAACCGCCTTCTCGTTCGCCGCCGCGCCCTTGGGCGAGCGCATGTATCCCTCGCATGCATCCCCCAGATGCCTACAGACGATATCGCACTCAGCAAGTGTGAGTGGCTCTTGGGTATTCAGCTGGACGTAGCTGCGTGACCGCCCTCCCAAGTAGGACATGCCGAAAGTGGAGCCGCTGGAAACCTTGGAGTATCGTACCTTCCTACGCCTCCCCCAGCAAACCGCTTTATTCAGGTCCTCGTAATCTCCAATATTACTCTTCAGTCTTACCGTGTCCACCGTTGCGCTTTGAGAGGTGAAATTTGCCAATGTCGCGCCAGAGATTGGAGACACCGTGACGGCCGTGTAAGGGGGAAAAACAGTCGATGGAGCCGTGCCAAATTTCGCCGGCGCGTCCGAGATTTGGTGTTTCAAGACCAAGTGGCACGTCAGTATTCCAGGGCTGGCTGCGCCACCATTCGTGTTGTCGTATATCTGCACGCCCTTGCACGTAGGATTGTAAATATCGCACATTGCAAAACAACTCCGCCACATTTCGATCTCAAGGTCTTTCCTATCTGCGGTGAGCCCGGATGTGCCAGTGAGGGGGTTCTTAAACTGGATTTCTAGGTAAGCCATTTCTGCCGTGACCATTGTTGTGCTTCTGCACATGCCCACACCGAGAGCCACGTAGTACCCATCACCTAGCGGAGCCGGCACCACGCGATAGCTTGTGGGTTTTATGACCGTCTCATCCACCGGATATGGCGTCACACCGTCAATAAGCGGAAATGGCCATATCGTTCGGGGATACATCCTCGAAATCACGTTCACGTGTGTTCCCATCAAAGTCATCGTACTCTGCGAGCCCGGCTTCCTTTCGTAACAGTCAACGGCCGAGCTGCAGTCCGGCGCCGAATTGATCAATGCCGAGGAAAAGGATTCCGCAACATCCTCAGCGGTCGGCTGCTGGACCAGGCAGCGCTCCGCGGTCCCGGCGGCCCCCCCGTCAAGCTGCTCACTATGCAGGACCACACCCTGGCACATCTGGCCATAGGCATCGCACGCCCGCATGCAGTCATACACTGTAAAAGGTGCCCCAGAAGTGCTCTGGACGACCAGGACTGGAATTAGCGCTCGGTCGCCCGTCCTCCCCGTGGGATTCAACATGCGCCCATAGGCGCCACCAGCCTCGGACAAGAGGACGGTCCTCCGCCAAGCCCGGCGTTCGTACTCGGTGCGCAAGCGTTCGTAGCACTGATGATTAGCACAGTTCCAGTTTTTAAGCGCCGACGAAGTCACCCACGCAACCTGACCATCACGGGGTCCAAGGGCGAAACTCGCCGCTCCGCCACTGCTCGACGAACCCACGCCCGCGGAAGAGTAAACGCTAGTCGGCCCCGTGGTTGCAGCAAAGGAGAGGCCTGCCGACTGCTCCCAAGACGGCAACACGACGAACAACTTCCTTGCGCTCGTGCTCGGACTCACTTGGACGTAGGAATCCACCGCAGAGGCGCCGTCGGAAGCAGGCAGCGCCAGACCAAGTGCCTCGCCACTCCGGCCGAAGAGATGGAACTCAGAATCCTTACTCCCGCTCTTTGCTGCAGCAAGCAGACCGGCGGCCACCGCGGCGCGGACCTCGGTTGCGTCCGTCTTGTCGTTCGTCGCATCCGTCAGTGTGACCTGCGACAGCGCAGTGGCAAAGCGCCGCTTCTTCGGGTAGCCCGAAACCAGTCCGGCCGACTGCGCTGCGCTGCCAAAATTCAGAGACGATAAAGTAGGGACCATATTGGCCGCAGAAGCACTGTAGTAGTCGCCATAAGAGACCAGTACATGGAACGCAACGCGGCGGGCGGCCGCGTTCAGCCGCGACAAAAGCACGCTGCTCGTCACGGATGGAAACTGGCCGGGCACTGCGATGGTCAGGTAGTGTGTGGTTTCAGAGGTCCCTCGCTCGAGGACAGCGTCTACTTTCACGACGGTTTCTACCGAAGCTATCAATGTCTGATCCGCGGCGCTGTTCCGCAGATACGGTCCCAGCAAAGCGCGGAGCTCCGTGGACCACAGCGACCTGAGCTCTGCAATTTTGACTGCATCCGTCGTGGCGGTAGCATCCGCGGCGTACTTTGCCGAAGCCGTGTGCGAGAAGGAGTAGATTAAGGGCACCTCCTCGAGCGGGAGGACCTCCGCACGACGCGAAAGAGAAAACGCGTTACTGCCCGTGCCCAGGCTGGCCGTGACATCTGTCGACATCGCTGTCTCCACCGCTGACGTCGTTCCGCTAGCATGGGCAGAGAGATCGACCAAGAAACGGGCAAGAGCCGAAGGCGCAACGCTTTCCAACGCAAACAGCACTTCAAAGCTGTCCGAGCTCGTCTGCTGGTCCGTTTGCACGACACTTACACCTGCAACCTTCGGCGGGTAGTCATAGCCCTGTGTGCGGGTGCTTGCAGCGTACTTTGCAGCCAAACTTGTTTCTGCACTCGCAGCGAACGCTTTACCCAGCTTGCCGACTGTCCTCTTGAATGCAGCTTCCATTTCGGTCTGAATCGCGTCGCGGCCACGCTTGCGCATCGCAAGTGCGCCTCCCGCAACTGTGCACGCAGTTTGAACGAAGGCAGTTGGGTAAACGATTTCGCCCATTGGCATCCGCCGCGCCTGCGCTGCTAATTCCTGAAACACGAAGGTGACCGCGGCATTCGAATCGATCCCCAGTCCGTTAGTAATCGCGGTTAACTCGGATTTCACTGGTGCGCTGGGCGTCGTAACTGTGTCCAGTTTCGCGGTGACCGCTGCAACAAGTGCGTTGCGCTGAGTCTCGCCTCCCAGATAGGGCAGTTCGATGATACGTTCAGTAACCGCGACTGCGTCTGCGGTTTTCAATAGAGTGCCGCCACTGCGTGGCGCAGACGTGGCTGCAGCGCCGTGTAGCGCGCGCCACGCCGCAGCCTCCACTGCGGTTGGCAAAAATGCGTTTTTCGTGGTAGTGCTGTCCACCTCAAATGCCACCTGCACAAACCCGACCTCGTCCACCACCGCGGCGTTGCGATCGAACGTGAGGCTGGAGTCCTTCAGACTACTTTTGAAATAGCTCTCCAAAGGGATGGAGGACATAAATCCCGTCACAGCCGCCTGCACCACTGCCGACGGGTAAGGCAGCGCGAAGGTGACACCAGAGGGCGCCACCTTCATGGCAACCAGCTCTGGCTTGAAAGCGGAAATGCCGTCCACATTGTCGTTTACGAGGCCTGCAATCACCTTCTGCAATTCGCCACGGGTCGTCGCGTCCAAGCGCGCAAGGCGCATATCAGAGCTGGAGGCGATTGGAATTTTCACCTGCAGATGCGGAAGCCGCCGTCCACACGAAAGTCCTGCATAGGGCGCCGCATGTGCGGAAAAGATGCTGTTCTGTGGTTCAGTACTGGATACACCCATCCGGGTTTCCACCGTCTTCAGGACGCGCCCGTAAAAAGCGCGCGCTGCAGCGAAGCGGTCATCGGTGCCCAGCAGTGCAGCGGTGCCCGCGTCGACGGCAGCCGTCGAGGCGCTGGTCGAAGTGCTGGCTCCGTAGAACGATCGCGCGTACGCCGTTCCCGTCACCGGCGAGCTCGTTGCCGCCGCGCCCCACTGTGCATCCCCGGCGACCAGACTCACCGCTGTACTGTTCGCTGTGGCCTCTGCAAAGACGGGAAGGCAAGTCTTCGCCCGGAGCCGCTCCAGCCGCGCAAGCGACAATCGGTCGTCTGCGTGCATGGTCACTTTCACCTCCCTGGCGGACCCTTTGCGCACACCCAGGGAAGAGGGCCGAAACGCCGTCACTTCGATCTCACCCAGCTCGAACTCTTCGTCCAGCGCCTCGAAGATGCCCCGACGGATGTGCTCCTCGAGCTCCGCATTCGTGGCCGGCAAGCCTCCGCTCTCCTCGTACAGGGTCCCGCTGAATCCCGTCAGGTACTGCGCGAAGGAGGTGTGTGCATCCAGGCGAAACGAGAATTCCAGGAAGGCGAATCCGCCCCAATCCGTGCCCGGACCTGCGCCATAGTAGGAGAAGTCCCGCGCCGGATCGGAACCCAGCGCAGCAGGGACGTACGCCGCACTGGTCGTTTCCTCCAGCGAGAAGACAGATCCAGCCAGCGCCGCGCTGCGACCGCCTTCACCAAAGCCAGGCGACCGCCCATACAGCACTTCCTCCTTGAAGGACTGCGCATCCTTCACGTTGGACAGATACACGGTGCCCGCACGCGATCCAACCGCAGTTTCGCTCGCGGCACCCGAGTAGTTACCCACGCCATAGCTGGCGCTGCCAGGAATCGCGTGCGTTTCTGCAAAGGCGTCATCGACGACGAGCTGAAAAGGCTTCGAGAGAGTGGCGGATGTGATTACAACTGCGGTGTCCTCATTCCCGGACTTGAACACTTCCACCACCTCGCGCTCGAGCAGGGCTTTCACGCCTGAGTCTGCGGACAGGTACTTGTGCAGCTTCACAGCCTCCTTGTGCTGCTCCGTGGGTCCCGCCCAGTGGCTGGGGTCCGGGTTATTCACGTCCACGTCAGGCAGGTCTGGATTCACGTCGAGCGGAATCACAACCGTCAGCTTGCGTTCGCCGGCAGTGAGCAGCTCCGCCTCAGGGTTGTGGGGAATCACGTAAACATCGTCAGGCAGAACCTCGAAAACGAGCCAGGCTTGGTCGCGCATGCGCAGAGCTGTGGCCACGGCATACTGAAGTCCCGGAATGAGGGATCGAGGGGCTCCGGCGTTCCACGCGGGTCCGGCAGACACGCTGCCACTGTTGCCATACTCTCCTCTCTGAAAAGCTTTCGCCTGATCCCACGCGGTTACATCGAACGTAAACGCGCTGTAGAACGTGGAAAGACTCTCTTGAATCCCGGTCTCGAACGTCGTGGCGCTGTTATCGCACTGCACCGTGAGCTCAAACTCCAAGTACAAACGCTTGCGCGCGTCCGGTGCCTGGGGAACGTTCACTCCCAGGCCGGTTGACATTGGTCCAGCAGCGAGGTATTCTTCCATCGCAACTCCAGCAGAGGACTGCGTTCCAGCACCGTCGCCGCCGCTGGCGTAGTAGCCGTGCAGGACTGTGCGAAGGGTTTCCCGGTCCGCAGCTTTCTTGTAAAGGAATTGTTCGCCGACCGCGTCTGCAATGCCCACAGGCGCAGCTACCACCAGACTTGCGCCCTCTGCATCGCCGCTCACGTGTGTTACCGTCGGGTGGTACACCGCGCTTAGATGCGCGTATTTGTCGGCACGAAGCGAGGTCAGTTTGTCCAGTGCACTCTTCAGCGGGTCCACGCCAGCCTTATCTGCGAAGTCCTGAGCGACCATTTCGTCGGCGTTCCCTGGCAACGTGACGCCCGACACGACACCAGCGGAACTCGTGACCGAGCTACCGGTTGCCAAGGCAAAGGTCGTTTTCAACGGGAAGGCAGCTCGAAACGAGCGCTGCGGGCGCAGGTGCCGTGTTACGACTTTGATCGAGGTAATGAATAGCGAAGACTTTCCTCCCGAAGGACCCGCAATCGAGTCCACAAAGGGAAAATCAATACCGAATCTTTCGTCCAGGAAGTAACGCAACGCGGGAATCAACTCGCCGGTGCTAGCTGGGTGGGAGGCGGAAAAAAGCTGCATGAGCGTGGCGGCGTTGATACCGATCGCCGCGTCGCCGACAAAGCTGGCATTATTCACAACACTCTTTTCTGCGCGGTAGGTCTGCGTGTACGCATAGGAAGACGCGCGGGGCTCGTACTTGTTGTCGATCATCGCCGCTTCCGCGCGACCGACCTGTCGTATCCCCATCGCGACAGTGATCGTCGTGTTTGCACTCGTGGCGGTGGGAAATTGCGCTTGACTCTGCTTACTCTCGCGGACCTTCACTACCATGTGTCGGCTGCGCGACACGGAGTTACGACTTACCATGCGGGGATGCTTCTCCAGCACCGAGCTGAGGGCGCGGCGAAGCGTCATTGCTAGCTCACGCAGCGAGGCCGTGGTCTTCGTCGTGTCCTGGCTCGATGCGCTGCCACCATATTCCCCAGATTCGCTGCTGTAGCCAACCCCGCGGTTAGCGTACGTGCCGTCGGTGGAACCTCCGGATGACGTGCGGTCGCCGACGGACAGAAAAGTGTCCACCCCGAGTTGGGACAGCGTCAACTCCAGCTCCGCCTCAAAGAACAGGGGCACGTTGCGCTGCACGGGGTTCGACCGCTCGGTGTTGCTCAGATACACACGCTGCCATTGCTGCTGCACTGGCTTCACGCAGGTTGCCGATGCCTGTCAGAAAGAAAAAGTGAACGTGAAGAACAGAAAAAAAATTCCGAAAAAACATCTAAATCAGCCATGCTGAAACATTCGCAAAAAAATTCTCCCAACAGGAACTAACGATCATTCTCCCTGCAGAGACAAATGGCACAGTAGAAGATGAACAGATGTAAATTAATCATCTACAACCTCAATACAAGAACAGGTGTCGCTCAGCTAGCATCAGAAATACTTTGCATAAACAAGGAATGTGATCGTATCATTTGCGGCCATTTGTAGTCATATCTAAAATCCAAAGCTTCATGCTGACGTCGACGTGCATAGTTTAGGTATCTTCGATTCAATTTTTGAGTTTAGGTATTTCATTAAAAGATGACCATATAATTGTGACGCCTTACTTTTATTTTAATAGAAAGGCACAGAAGATTACCCTTGCGTAAGAAAAGCTTTGTCGTTATATTACGAGCGCGAGACACGTGATCGGAGCACTAGCCACTAGAAGATTCATTTTAGTATACAAAATCATATAGTAGTATTCCGAGGAGCATCCATTGGACGTCCGCATTGAAGTACTTCTTACCAGTATCACACATTTATAAAAGCTGTAGTACTCCCATGTATTGGATGTCCTGATTGGACAAGGGACAAATCCATGCCCGGTGCTGCGGAACGGCAACACCCAAGGGGGTGGCGACCCCTGAACTGAGACACGAACCAGTCACCACTTCGTAGCCTTCTGGGCACTGTTGAAAGGCGTAGCGGATTCCCGCTTTATTAGAGTTACGAAGATGAGCCCATCTTCCTCATAGCTTAGTCTTAGCTGAGTCTTCTCCAAGAGAGGGAACTACAGGTTATCTTTATAGTATCTATTTGCGGGCTTGTAAACGAGTACAAAGGAGGAAGGAAAATTAACAAACGATGTTCCTCCAAATGGTGGGTTGACGTTATAGAAGTTGCCCGTAAATATAGTGTTGTGCTTGGTCAATTCGTTCACGTCGGCGGACAGGAGGGTCGTATCAACCCAAGAACCGCCCCTGTTCTCTTGACAGTAGGTTGATTCGCACTTCAAGTAGCGCGAACCCATCAGAATTTTCCGCTCGACCGTTGGGTCGGCCGTGCACGCGAGATGAACACTGCCAAAGTCCGTCCCAATCATGCCCTCCACGCACAGGTCCTCATTGGTGATCCCACCTTTTTTCTTCGAGTTTAGGTTGAACCAGTTCCAAATGTTGCCTCCGGGAGTAACCTGCGCCGGACCATAGTAGTGCTTGATCTCGCGCTCGTTCAAGCCGGAGGTGCAAAAACCAGGGGTGAGAAACTGTCCTTGGTTGCCTTGCTTGGACGCTCCGAATCCGAACCCCAAGAATCGCGTACCTGGTAAAAATCACAGTATAAAGTTAGACATTACCCAATAGGGTAAGTAGGTTAGGTTGGTTTCCGCCTACAGTGCAGACAAAGCTGTGCGGCTCCTGACGCCAGTATTAGTAGTGGTTGCTCCACTTTTTAAAAGACATTCTTTTCAGAATTTAATAAAAACGTGACTCTTCTTCGTCCTGATCGGCTTGAAAACTGAAGATCAGCGTCGTTCATCATCAGTCATGATTCGTCGTTACATCTTATTTATGTTGAAACCATGATTATTTCATTGTAAAAGTTGAGAACCGCAGTCGACGTCTCAAATTGACACAACTGCTACAGCGACACAATTGGAATTGCGGAGTTTGGTCAACGTATTTGATCCAGTCGTTTTTTTTTGGGAGTTTTTTTTTTGGATGAAAGAATGATGAGGGTCAGCCAAATCGTAAGAATAAGAAGATGATCTATGATGGTCAAGGAGTGTCTCGTTTAGCAAATATTTATCCGCGAAACTACTGTAGTCATTTATATTACTCACTTTCTCATAAGACTCTCCTTATTTTGTAGTATACCAGTTGGACAGGCAGCGGCGTATCTTTCTGGAGGGAAGTAATCGTACTCAAGTAACCTGTGCGTTGTCGGAGTGCAGATCTTAAAGCTCGGGACTCATTGGTCACTAATTCTGATCGGAACAAAAGACACCCCCAAAGCTCCCACCTTTTCCCGAAGTCTATTTAGTATTTTCTCTCACACAAATGCCTCCCTAGTTTCCCACCATCCCTTCACAACAGTGCCTCCTCGTGTCTTTGATGTCAAAGACCACTCTCAATGACCAATGAATTCTCAGCCTTAAAGATGCTGGCCTTGGCCGCGGACGAGCCTCCGGGGGTGGTCGTAAACTGGCTATCCCCTTCGGTCCACCCGTTGTCGGCAGTACCGGGTTCCATACAGTTGCTGTGGTGGTATTGGATCTGCAATGATTGATCAGCGCAAACCGCGTGTGCCCTTGTCCCGCCCGTACTCCGAGTGGTATGCTGTATTCTAAACGAAAGATGGCCATCATTAGAGGAAGCGTTTGGAGTGCAAGGAGTTTTAGTATCGAACTTCATCAACGGTTGAAAATACTCGAGGTCGAAATAGTCGCCCTATTGGATATGTGGGTGCGCGGTCGTTTGTAATCTCTATTTCAACTTCCTAAACATATTAATACATTGCGTTTGAAGAGGACTATGCTATTCATGCAGTCACTCACTCAGTCACTGACGACTGGGAAGCACGCGACAACGTAAGAAGACCGCCTGGCGCAATAACAGATAGACTAGAAATGTACTAGAGCGGACACAAAAGTAGATGCATCCTTCCAGGACCTAGTCCAGTGAGGTTGCATTGGAGTACGTTTTAAAAGTCGTGTTGTTCTCAGAAAACTACGAAGCACATCGTTAAGTTGCGAATAACCTAACAAATATAATTGCCCTACAACTTACTTACGAAATAGACATTAACGTGTACGTAGACATTTCAAGACTCTCCATAAAGTTGAAACTGTTTGTTGACGGAACCATGTCGCCACGAAAAAGTTGCTGATGCGTACCCTCTCGAGACCATCCTAGAGGTTCCCAGCAAAATCCTCCAACAACTTTGGTACCTGGAAAATATTATGGGAAGAGAAATTGGGTGGATACGCAAACTACGAGCCGTTAAAAAGATGACACAGTTGAATAGGTAAGACAATTGCCAATATTTTGGCGCAGCCCTATCCAATCGAAACACTTGCCCTCCGGTTGGTGTGAGGTAAGAAGCTGGCCCGCGCGAAGGTTTCTGGCGAAAAAAAAAGCGTATGCTTATGCAAACTCCGGCCCACTACCATTGCTCTACTCATTCAGTATTCTCATCTTGATGATCTTTTGGCAATGTAACAGCACGAACATGTCAATATCTTGTATAAGAGTACAACGGAACAAGAATCTTATGCAAATAGAAGTGGATACGCTTATACAACATGGCTGTCCAGCTCCAGATGGCTTCGATGTCATTTTTGTGGGAATCATATTTTGGAAAGTTGCAGCTTATATAGAGTGCTCTAAAAAGTTAAAGTTGTTGTAGCAGGAGCACCTGCCGGACAAGTGGCGACGGACTCGGGTAATCGAGGACTATCCATAACTCGGAGACGATTCTGGTAGGCCCAAGCCAGAGTCTGATCGCCTTGGTTGTAATTGGCAGCATTTGCAGTGTCCGCCTTGACTATCGTGACACCCCTAGGTCCGGGTGGCTGTGGTGCTGCCTTGACTTCTATCGGCACGACCCAGCAAAAAAGAGCAAAAAAGTACAGCACTAGACACAAGCCGGCGTACGTCGTCTTGCATTTTTGAAGCAAGAACCGTGGAGAAGATGACGATCTTCCCGTCTGGGACAACACCGTGGTTACAGCGTGCTGTCCATTCATCATCCTGTTCAATTGGTATAGGAGCGCTTGCCCCCTGGTGTCATTGCGGAGACAGAATATGTTCTTGTGCCCTCCATTGGTCGTACCCATTGGTGTAGCCACAATGGTGGCGGCAGAAGCGTTTGGGTGCCAGCCACAATTGGTACTGGTAGGTACTGCTCGTGGTAGTTCTTTTTTCATGATTGTGATCGTGGAACTCGAAGTTGTACTAGAAGTTGAGAGCACGAAGGAGCCATTCTTCTCAGTCTTGGAGGACCGCCGCCTACAAACGCCTGTCTGCTTGGAAGCTACGGCCTTCGTCCTTCCTCTCCTCACCTCTGCCTCCATCGTCGCTCCTCCGGAGGCTTTTACGAAAAAACGAATTCAGGTACCATGACGTCCGTTTTTACGTCAATTCTAATCATTTATACAGAAATAAATCATCGACTTAGGTCGCTACTTCTTCTTACAAATAGGTGGTGACTCCTTCTTCTTACAAACAAGTCTAGCAAATAAGTCTTCTCCCGCCCCCTATTGGGGCATGTTACTGCAAAAATAACTACAATTTTAAGGCTTAAATACTAGTCCCTTTGTAACTGGAAAATTCTGTTGAAAACGCAGCTTCAATCAGGTGGAACCGAGAGCGCGTTCAAACAGGTGGTGGATGTAAATATGAAAAAATTATAAGTATGTGTGGTGCGGATGGTTCACAGGGGTAAAAAACGTCCTGTTTTTACCGCTTATCAAACTCAACTCCAGTTGTTTCCGGGTTTCATGAATGGTCAGGATAATAGTAATATGCAACTGTGCAGTAAGTTGATTAAAACATGGGACATTCAGAAGCCTGAATCGGACCAGAATAGGAATTTGTATGTTTTAAACTCTAGTAGTAGGGGGCTTTTGGGGGTCGTGCAAGATTTAGCGAGACTCGTCTTTCGGGGTTTCTCCAAACGGGTCCAATAATCGAGCGTCGAAGAGGGGGTAAGGGTGCTCCCGAGTGCATTACGATAGATTTGAAGAAAATAAAAGGAACATATAGTCCATTTAGGATTTGATTTCAAATTGCTATATAATCAGACACGAACAACATCACCATAAGATTTCGCTTTAGGAAAAATAATGATGGGTGGTTCATGAATTCGGTTCTATCAGTATTATTGCTAACTAGCACTACAGCGAATTTTTAAGGTCAATAAAAGACTTAATTACGGTCCTAGTTCTCTATCTTAAAAGCGAGGTCTCAACACAACGCGTGCGAGATTCTCTTCTACATTTGGTGAGCGAAGAGTACAAGAAGAGTACAACTATAATGGCCTTCGCTGATAGATTTGGTTCAGAAGTACCCAAGAATAAATCTCCGTGATTTGCTCAATCCTTAAAAAAATCGACCAAATCTACTTCTTCGTTGAAGAGAGAGAGAGACAAGCAGCTAGTAGCCGCAAATTATTGAGCACAAGCTCCTTCTAACAACAATAACAATAAGGGGGGCGAGGAGAACCGCTCCTTCTAACAAGAGTTCTTGTCAAACAAGATGTAATTAAGTACTCAGAACTACACACTTCTGTGACCACAAAAGCACACCTTTTTTCCTCCCCAAGAAGCAGAACTCGACACGACCCTCTATAATTGGAAGGAGCTTTCAATCAGTTCCTGTGGAGTACTTAGTTATTCAGGCCTTTTTCTCTATTTCTCTTTAGTTCAGGTTGTCGAAGTCAGTCTATCTTGAGATTGTAAGCATAATTTTTATGATGAAGTCAGTCTATCTTGAGATTGTAAGTATCTAATTAGTGGTGCAAAAGGAGATGAAGAAGTCTGTTAAGTAGATGTCTATTTTTGAGTAGATGAAAACATTAAATATCACGTTCGTTGAAAAAAGGAGGGGAAAAAGTACGATAATGAGTACGTGGTACATCTAAAAACAATGCTTAGTCAAGAAGGTCTTGGGTAATGATCGATGGAAAATAGCACGTCTTAGTAAATACAGTCGATGAATCAGAAAGTTAGTACTAGTGGATAGTAATTACAAATGGTCTAGATGATGAAATTGTGAGTAGTTGGAGCTTCTGATTTTGAATCTCCTTTCAAATTAGAAGCTGCATTTGGTGGCGGTGGGATACAAATTCAAAAAAGCTCACCTACACCAAAAGTATTTGGTTCCACAACAAGATGGAAAAGAGTCAATGCTAAAAAGGTGAAAGAGCCAAAAGGACGAAAACCCATAAACTCGTTTCCTCAACAGACCTCGTTTGCACTCCAACACAGTCGTCTGACAAATTTTTCTCTCAGCTGGACCAGATGCTACCAACTCTCAAGAAGCCCGATTCTTTGTTCAAATGAAGACCTGCTGTGTCATGGTTCTTATCGTTATGGCCAACTCATAATTTAGAGTCGTTTTATTGCACGAACCCCATTTTTTTACGTGGTCACGGAGCCGACGGACACTCGTTTCTAACTATTTTATCCTTTTTTGATGGATAGTGAAGCTTACCGATGATGCTTGCTTTTCTCTCGCAACTTTTTCTCACAGGAATCAACTCGTCTCTCAATATTTTTGACGCAACTCTCTCAATATTTTACATTTTTTCTGGAACAACAAGGAACCACTTATCAATAGGGAGTATCCCTTGACCGTCAATAGAAAAACTCTTTGACGAGATAAAGTCATTCCTTTTTGAGAAAGCCCGCCATGCAATTGCTCATGCATCTTCGATGAGTACAACAAAATAAATAATCTTAATATAGGCATCTTCTTGACCTTGTTGTCGCTTTGTTGTTGCATGTAGCATTCACAAAGAGCCTTCCGTGACGTCCAGAAATCCTCGGGAAATCAATCGCAGAACAGAGATCTATTCCAAAAAAGAGGGCCTCCCAGTCAACAGGTTCTTGGATCTGGTGCTTCTCAGAAGAAGAAGTACCATCTCTTCACGACCAGAAGCCTTCGAAGGTGTTCACTCTAACCAGAGATTGATCTGAAGCACCACGTCCGGCTTGAAAAGATCTGCAAGTAAGTTTTATCGAGCTGTATTGCTATGATGATGTACCCAACAAGGGGCTTAGTTTTAGTCTGGACATTTCTGTACAGCTCGCTTCATTGCCTCAATCTTGTGGATGCGTCCTTCTCGACATCTTTTTTACGGAGATGAAAGATACTTCTACAACAAATAACCCTAAGCCAACTCACAGATCTAGTGCAGGTCCCGCTCACAAATCTTGTGGGACTTTTCACCTACACTAGCGGAAAGTTCAAGGTAGAAAGTTTTCCATAAATAACAACATCGTGAAGACGTTGCTACCATGTTCTCCCCAATCCATGTAGAAGTTCTTAGCATCTGGTGTAAAGTGCAATTTAGTCTATGAATAAACAACAAGTCTGAACCTCATTAGCAGAATCAACTCCTCCTTTGCTCCCTTCAGTGCAGATGCCGCACGTTTTTTCCTCTAATATCTTCTCGTCCGATCCTCTGAGGCCTTTACGCTCTGCACCTTCAACGTTGGAGTATCCCCTTCCGCTTCCTTTCAAACCAGGAGGCTCTGCGAAGATGTTCTCTTATTTCAATTGATCTGCGATGACGTTCGTTGATAAATCGTTGTCCCATTTTCTAATGTTCGAGCTGCGTCGTGTGATCATTCTAGTAAGTCTTTTTCAATGTACTTCATGTTGCATTTGGCTTCTTATTCTCCCCACGAAGGCCGCTTTTGGTCGAGTTCTAAAAAGTATTGCATTATTTTTCTCCACGTTCGTTTTCATTGATATTCTTCGTGTTGTCATTAGTTTTGCTGATGTCATTTGGTGATGTCATTAGTCTGTCGTTCTTCGCCGATGTGCTCCTCCTCATGGCGTGCGTCCTCCTCAATGGTTCTTGCTTCTTCGAAGTAACGACTTGATCTTCTACACTACTCGTCCGTCTCTCCACTCAGAATCCGCAGTCCTTAGATCAGGATTTGCTCAACCTGATCCTTTAGATCCTGGATTTGCGCGTTCAGCTGCGAACCTTCCTTAGCCGTGATACTGCAAGCAATCACCGCGCGGCTTACACCGCAGGCACGACCTGTAAAATTTGATTTTCATGAGTGATAGTGGAGGTCCGAAAGCGATGAAGATTAGATTGTCTTATTGCGATCTTAGCTGAAGAAGAAATGTTAGCACACCTGCATAAAAATAACATGCGCGCCAGTCACAAAGGTTTATTACTAGAGCTCCTAGAATTACACGCGACTGGGTCACCATCAAAAAAGAATAGAAGAACGAGAGAAAAAAGTTGAAAATAAAAATTGGCACCCAAAGCAGTGCGGCTCTTGACGAAAACGTATGGGACATTCTTGTCCTCGCACACCAATGGCAAGTGCAACAGAATTTCCAGGGGTTCGGTGTCTGCCGCCAAAACAATAACCTCAGCAGTGCCGCGGTTCAAAGTCTTTGTCGCTTCGTTTGCACCTGCAAAAGAATATTAAAACAACTTCTAGTCGAAAACAATAGTGCTGCGGTCTTAGAAACGTAAGATAGCTACATGATGGGCAGATGTCGTGCACGAAAGTCAAAATGTAAGATAGCTACATGATGGGCACAGGTCGTGCACAAACATTCAATGTCGGACTTCCACATACGAAGGACGAACTCTAGGCTTTTCCATTTCATATTTCCTGCAACATATAAGACTCTTTATCGCTTTTTCTGCTTACTCAAACCTAAACCACGCGTGAAGCTTCGATGCAATGATTAGTACGATATCCGCGATCGCACCATACTATAGCGATTGTCTAGGCTAAACATCAAAAAAAAGTGTCAAAACTGATGGATAGTTGTACCCTTCTTGAGCTGCTTGTAGTTGGCTGCTTGCTGCACCAAATCCAGGATAGTGGTCGACAGGGCATGCGACGCCAACGGGTAAGCCTTGGAGGCCTTCTCAGCACCAGCGTTATCAGCCGACATCTTGTTCGTTTTTTTAGGTCGAGAAAGAAAAAGTGATTCGTTAATGTGATGATAAAACTTAAGTGGTTTCTGGAAAATGCGTTGTTGCGACTTGTTGTATTTCTTCAGCACTTTATTAGTCAACGATGTTGTTTAAAATTGCTCTTGAAAATGCGAAAATTTTCTAGTTCAATCTCAACCTGCGCGTCGATGTAGTGGTAAAAAATCCCAATCGAGCACTAATTTCAAATAAAAGGATAATTCCCACTGTATTCGAGCATCTAAAAGCGCTCTACGAAGCAATAGAATGCAAAGATTGCATAACGATTTCCTATGTCGAGAGATCCTACTTTTCTTTAAAACAAAGAAGACGCTTGCATGCCAAAATACCAATTTTCTCTTTTACCTATTCTCGGAGATCAACTCGGGATCTGAGTGCGCTACCGCGAACCGAAGGATCTTCCTATCAATGTCTTTCTACAGAGAAGATCATTGTTTTCCCAGAATTTGTACTTCTGGATCTTCCTCCTATACTTCAATTCCCAATGCGGATCCAGATCTTTTTTCACAAACAGAGGATCTCCAGATCATGATCTTCCGTCCACTAAGTCGGTCAAAGTGACTTGTGGGACCTCTTTTTGTCTTCAGATTCAAGTCTAAAAGTGTCCCCATGGTCCTACAGTGTCCGTGGTCCTACAATTGTTCTATACGATCGTATTGTGGAGATCAATTATGGCAAGACCAACTCGTATAATTCTACCACAGTACTATTTGATTCTGCACAGCCTCATTTATTGTAGACAAAAGTTTAAAAGTTTCTGCTAACCTCCATGAGGAAGCCTCGGGACAAGCAATTCTACTGGGCCACAATCATTTTTGGTTCTGATACATAGAATCCAGCAATGGCATATTTTGATTCCGGAAAAAAAAACAAAATGAAAATCATATGTTGTTTTGAAGTCTGAGCTTGTTGGCAAAGCAGCACAATACCTTCCTCCTTCCAGCAAACAATAGAGTTGTCTTTTTGTCTTCACTTTTCACAGCCAACTCCTTTTCAACTTCTATTTTCGTCTCTGCCTGTCCACCGCCAACATCTCGTACCTTAGCGCTCCCGTCACCACTTCCACCAAGAGCCATGTTATCACCCTCCCCTCCCCCCCTCCCACCACGAACACTAACAACATGGAATCCTGTTTCTCCTGACAACGACCTGCCAGGAAGAGCAATACTGTATTCTTTCTCCCATCACGCCTGCTGGCAAGAGCAATTCCGTACTATCTTTTCTTCGTACTCCGGCAAATCGCACGCTGCTACTTCTTCTTACTCGTTGTACTGTTGTTTCTTCTTCTTACTCGTTGTACTGTTGTTTCTTCTTACTCATTACTCCGGCATTTCAGGGTAGCCGCTGCAGTCGAAGGACGGCTCGACGGTCTCTCCAAATTTGCTGCGGAACCATGCTGGGGCATCGGACTCGAAGAATTTGCATCCCAGGGTCTCATTGCACTGTGTCTCGTCCAGGGTCGCGCACTCCTCCATCTTTTTTAGAGCTACCATGGTCGCATCCTCCTCAAGAGTTATGTCCTTGGATCATGCTCCACTTTCAGGTCGAAAATAAAGAGCTAGGGATCATAGCTGCTGTAGGATTTTAGGGCTTAGGGGTAGCCTTAACTTCTGTTTCCGACTTTCCCGTGTAGCCAATGCTCGTGGCTGCTTTTTCGCAGGTTGTGCACTTCCAGTTGCACTCGCATTGCTGCCTTTGCTTCCCGCATTCGTTGTTGTTGATTGTGCAGTAGAAGAAGAAAACGGAGGAGAAGGAGCAGCTGATGATTTAGAAAAAGTACGGTGCGCTTTCATGTTCACATTGTTTGCAGCGAAATAGCAGGGATCAAGACGACAAGAAGCCTTCTCGCGGTTAGGCGGCTTCTCGCAGAAACCGCGCACACAATCAAAACCGACCGCGCACTTGACGTTCTCGCAGACAACATCTACAATCTCGGGCACTGGCGTCTGCGTCTGCGACAGCGTGCTCGGAGAGATAACGAGTGCCTCCTTCTCGTCTTCTTGCGCTGGTGTTTAGAGGTGGTGGCTCCTCCCCATTTTTTGTTTGTCCTATCTTAATCTTCTACCTCGTCGCGTTGTGGTTTTAGTGACTTTTCTTCTTGTAAAAATAGCTGTAAAAGTATTCATCATCTATGAGTTTTCTCGTTCTGAACGATCCTGAACAACGAGTGTGAGTATGAGTATGAATATGAATATGTCACTTTCCAGTTTGTTCTTGATGATGCTGTTAGTCATTCGACTTCTCTGAATCTCCTCTGCTCTCTTCTCTGAATTTCTCTGATGCTGAGGTTCTTCTTAGTAATTACAAGCTGTTCCCCAGTAGCAGTATGCTCAGATTCTAGTCTTAATTTGAGCCAGCAATTACCGAGCCCTCGAAAACTGGCGTGTTGATATCCACGATTTCAGGTGGTGGCTTACGTACAATTCCAACCACAAAGCCTGGATCTTCTTCTGGCCGCACTAGCTGTTCGGCAGACGCACGTGCTGCCGGCTTTGGCGCTGGCACCATCGCTGATCCCCCTGTGAGTGTCGCCGCCTCCACTTCGGTTACAGCTTCGGCAGACGACGAAAGACTCCTACTGCTGCCAGAGCCCGGCTGCTCACTGCTACCAGGAGCTTCCCCGGCTGTCCTCGAAGATGATCCCGGAGGAACCTCGCTCCCAGCACTGGGCCCACCGGCAGAAGAAGCAGCCTTGCCGACGCTTTTCAGCGCGTCCTTCTGCACATCCAGAGTTAAAGGGCGGAAGCCATGGGTTACCAATTCTGAAAAGACCAGACCCCTGCGCAGCTCGAGGAACCCTTTCCCTGTTCTCTAAGGCGGAGTCTCCTCTTCGATGTCATCAATGACATCTCTCTGCAGTGATAACCAATGAAGTCTGAGCCTTAACACGGGGACCTCAGGCGCTGCGCGGGTCGGGTCAAGAGTGCCTGCTTCGTAAACTTGCTTGATCTGCTCCTCCACAGTGGGAATCTTCGAGTCTTCGCTCAAACCTCCTAGTTTCTCGCTATTCCGCAAGTCGTTAGGGCCTTGCGAATGCATAGGATTCGAAACGTACGGCGCTGAAAAAACGAGAAAATCAATTGCTTGTCATGTCATGATATACGTCTTTTCTCGTCAGATCTAACGGAATTGAGTTACTCCGCTAGAAACAAGGAGAGTAGTGTGTGACCTAGGAACACGGAAGTCTCCTAACTTCCTTGTTCTCCTAAAAACTTGGCTTTTTGTCACAGCACAACAAAAAAACTCACATGTAAAAAGTAATGAAAATAACTCCAAGATGATGATGATGATGTAACTCCACAGTGATGATGTCAATGAACAGCTTTTCTTGTGTCCCACGAAGATGAAAGTCGGTATCTAGTTGAAACAAATTTAGTGTCCCAGGAAGAAACTCCTTATCTAGAAGCACCTTCTCCTGCACTTGCCGCCTGATCGCGAAATACGTGCTCGACTTTTGTCTCCTTTTCTGCAGGATCGCTGGTCGGCTCTACCCAATTTGTTGGGGTTCTTCCGATCGTGGTGTTTTTCGCTAGTGTGCGCTTAATCAGTGGTTTTCCCCCCATAGCATCGAAGACGGGCACCCAAGCCGCACAAGGCGACCTAATCTTCAGATACCGCTGGACATCCTCACCGTTTTGCTTCAATACCTCATCTTCAGCCTAAAGATTAGAGCATGGGCAATTATTTCCAGTACACTTGCTGCTTAGAACAATGATGAGGTATACCGGGGACTCCCTAAATTCTAAATCTCTAAATAGGGTGGAACTAATTTACAAAAGGAAAAGTAACATCTAGTTTCCCTTGTAGAATCTGGCAGACTCTATTCTACTTGCTAGCTTTCCACCATATCATCCTACGCCTTGTCAATTCTCAGAGAGAAGAGGATGAAAGGAGAAGCATTACCACAACAACAACATTTTCAAAAACTTATTTATTCACGTGGATTGTCTGATCACCTCAGAGCCACGAGTCGCATAACAAACGTGTCCCCCATGCGCAAGAGGTATTTCCCGCCGAGAGATTGTTTTTCATACGGCGGCTGCTCAGACTGATCTGGCGTCCAAGACGGTGACAACAGAGGAATCCCATCTGCGGCCACCACTTCGTAGTACCCAGGACCCCATTGCAATGGCGTTGTGTGCACCGGAAAAATCTACAAATTTAATTTGGAAGTTAGGTAGTTAGTTCCCTCAGTGCACGTGCCCCTGCAAGGTCTGATTTTCTTCGAAGAGTTATTGAAATACTTACTCAAAGCAGGAAAAAAAGCATCTTTCCATCATCCTCCAGTTTGCAAGAGAGAGCTGTTGTGATATGTTTATGTGTATCTATAAAAATACTATAAAAAATGCCAAATAATGGTGGAAACCTCACACGTCTGCCGGCACTTCAAATCCGTTTCGCAACTATCTTTGTCTTCACCACCTCTCTCTGCGCACATTTCCGCGTCGTTCTCATCTACACCTGCGGGAAGACATTTGCACGGAATGTCCTCGCCATCTCGTGGATCGACGGGTACAATTGCGGGAGGTTTCTCCGCATGCTCCAGAATCGGTGGTGCAGCAGGAACTTGGTCGCTGCTCCGGGGAATGATCACAACGGGCGTGTCTACTTCTGATGCAGTTTTAGACCCGACGTTCTTGGCTGTCGTACTAGGCTCTTGTCGTACGAACGCATATTTGACCAGCCGCAGCGCCACGGCATGGTCTAGCCACAAACACCAGGTGGCTCTGCAGATCCACCTCAGCACACGTCCCTTGCTACTTGTGCTGGGCATCTTTGCTGCATCTTTCTTCTTCGGCGCAGGTGCGCGCCGCCGATGACACCGCTCAACACGACATCTTGCTTCGAGAGGTGATGAGAAAAAAGTTAGAGATTTAAAATCTTGAGCTCCCCTTTTTCGTTGCTTCTCCGCAGCTTTCATTCTTTGGTTAGTAGCTTCGTGTTGTAAACTAAAATTGTATCTTCACAAGACAAGTATATCTATTGGTCAACCAAGGAACAATTTTCTACTTTTTCAAGTTCTGGTGGATCTCAAATCTATATGATCGGCCCTCTTCTGCATCCTCCGGGAATCGTTTTTCCCAAGCCTCTTGTCAGAACTCATCTAACGATTGCCGCCCGACGAAACGTTGCAGCCAAAGAAATTATACTTGTTTTCTCCACCGCATCTTCATGCACATCGATTCGTGATTCACCAGCATCACCTTGTTCTCCGTTGTGTGCATTCAAAACTATATGGATCAGCGTACCACTATGCACTGGGCGCAACATGCGTGCATCTGGAAATCCTGTGCAAGGCATTACTAATCTCATTTTTTCAAAATGGGGACCCCCTCCACCTTTTACTCTACTCTGTATGATCGTGTAGCATCGCAGCTCTATTGAGTACTATTTAGCAACAAATTATACAGGTCAGCTTTTTTAGAGTAGTCTAACGCATAATGACAAATGAAGCAACAAAAGGATTCATAATTCGTGGTTAAACAATATGGCAACAAATGACAAGTGAATTGTGGAAAACGCATAAAGACAAGTGAGGCAACGAGTACAGCATAAAAATGCTTCTCTAGCGGTGTCTTTCTTTGTTTAAAAATAGTACAACACGCTATAAAATAGTTAACATCACGCTTGATTCTCTCTTGCACGACTAGGAAGTATAACATTCTAGGTGGAAACAGGGGAGGAGACACGCACACCACAAGTAGCTACTGAATTTATACCACTTGTGTGGAAGAGTCCAACAAGAACAAGCACGTGTTGACAAAAACTGAGTCAGACCTATACCTATTACAAGTCTTTATGACATTGGTTTAGATTTAATTTCAATGACAAATACCAACTACATCATATCCGAACCAGTGTAAGCGAGCCCCGTTCAGATCTGTCAAGCACGGGCTTCCGGTAGTATTCTATGAATGCCGCCACTCATTGAGAACGTCGGGAGGAGAATGTCGCTCCCCCTTTGTCTTCTTACGTAGGAGCGACATTCCCATGTCTTCGCTCTCAATGAGTGGCATCATACATTCTAATTTCTCCACTCTTGGCGGACATTTCGTCCGACTCTTTTTCTGAATCCAGCATTTTTTCGCCATCCTCTGTGCCGGGTTTGCTTCCCGCACCATCATCCGGCTTCTTCGTGAGACTGTCGTGCACTGCGTTGCCAGCTTGCTTCAGCACGCGCGCGATGGGTGCGGGGAAGATGTAATCGGTCCAACGAGAGTAGGACCACTGATAGGTTTCGCCCTCGGGTTGCAGCACGTGTGGATAGCTGTAGCCACCCAGAATGGTAAAGTGGAAGCAGTAGAAATGCAACAGCGCAGCTAGCGCGCAGAACGACACCACTTGCACCACGAAAATGAACAGGAACAGCAGCACCACTGACGTCACACTCCGGGCGTTCTGGTGGAATTAGAAGAACCGTCTTCTTTTTGTTATCCCAAAATTCTCATGCACTTTTAAATTTTTCAAAGAAACTTCAAGGTGAAAGAGCATTAGCAGAGTAGATGAACTAGATTAAACCGTTCTAACATACCGGGACAATCATCAAGATTCGTCAACCAATGGAGCCCCGTCCGTGTGGTCAATAATTGCAGATACAGAACGAGAGCTACAACCCAAAACAAGAAGCTCAATGGAAGTCCTAGTCTCATAATGAAAGAGGAACTCCGCTTCGCCGGGAAGCCTGCCCTTCCAGAAGCGCAGGAGGAACGACACTGTGCGCCAATAGCTACTAAAAACGCGGTAGTGGCTTCCAAAGTTCGAGTGAAAGGACAAGGCGAGCATCAGAACCAGCGGCAGAAAGAGGAGCAGCATCCACGGTGTGAGAAACGTCACCGCACTCTTGACTCCGCGCGCTGCTATCTCCCCATGTCTCGTGATCGTCACGTATGTCCCTAATCTCAAAACCAAGACCGCGCAGAAAGCGCCTTCTAGACCCGACAAAGTCTCGTAGCCCTGAAAATGGACCAGTTCGCCTCGCAAGATTTGATCTAGGATTGCGTCTTGCGAGTTTTCTTCCGTGGCTGCACTACCCGCACTTGAAAGAGCTGCTGTGGTCGTACTCGTAACGCTCGTCGTCGCACTAGCGGTCGTGGTCGTGGTCCGTGAGCTGGTGCTTGCACTGCTACTCGAAACGGAAGAGGAAGTGCTTGCGCTGCCACTCGCCGTCGCAGACGTGTCTGTGAGCGTTGACGCCAGGCCAAAGGAAACGTACGTCAATAGGAAATGCACCAGAAGTAGAATCAACGCTGCTAAATCCAACAGTCCCGAAACTGTCAGGAAATAGCCCTGCAGCTTCCCTACCATGCTCAGCAAGTGTTAGAAGAGGCATAGTCATAAGTACACTGCTCATGCTCATTCGAGCTTTCGTCTCGAGGCGCAATCAAAATCATGATCTTAATTATCACGACTTGTTCTGTATACAGCGATTCATAATCATCGCCTTCTGCGTCAAGGGCCGGAGCGAATAGATACTTCGGCCAAACGACAGCGCAAAGAAAGAGAAACAGAACTAGAAGCCGGGTCAGGTCGAGTGGCCACAGAAGTGTTTTCTCTTTTTCAGTCTCCATCACATTCGGCCGAAACGGTATCACCGAATGCGTTATTTGCGCTGCATGGGTGGCAGGAAATTCCGCAGTTAGTTGTACGGCAACAAAACTTTAGAAGCTGCTTATAAATCTGTCAACATGTTGTTTGGGTCGTGGATTTTCTCCTCCTAGTTGAGTAACATCTTCGAAGTACTCATACCGAGAACATATCTTCCTTTCCGGGTCATTTGTACAGCACACGTAAAAGTCCAGAAAGAAAACTCCGTCTACTCTCTCCCTCTTTTTATTTACAAAGCACAAGCCATAAAAGAAATCCAAATTCGCATTGTAAGCTATGAAATTCAAGACGACGACGCGAGTAAACTGGTCAATCCAACTGGCGCGTCGCAAATGCGCGATGTCTGCTCGCATAGTCTCATGTAGAAAATCGGTGTGCCAGTCGACACGGTAGCCGCCCGCGTCGTAGCTCTGCACGATCCCACTGAAAGACTCGTGGTCGGCACCTGGAATTCAACATGACGAGAAACATGAGCATCTGTGATATCATGATAATACGAAGCGCTTTGTTGTACGATATTCGTCTCAGAATGGAAACTTTTCATTTTGAGACGAATATTGCTCAACTGATCCCTGAATTTGATGTACGTTTTTTCGCTAAAAAACCACTTTTCTGGCATAGTGTTGCTCCATAAAGCGAACAGCAAATGACAATTGATTATTAGGTGAACAAATGACAATTAAGGAGCGAATTCGTTTCTAGAACAAAGACAGACAAATAACAATACGGCTCGTAAGTTCAAGAAACTCTCTAGAAAACTACTTGCAGATCATCATACCTTTCGCACTAGCTAACGCCTGGTCCGCTGAAGTGAAGATCCACGGATTCCCTTTCCGTTTTGGTAGACCCCAGCTGGCGTAGACCGGTGCGGTAAAAGTCGTTGTTGTCATCAGTTGTCTGCGTTCAGCCTCTACGCTTCCCGTGAACGCGAGCATATCGCGGAGCCTTGATGCAGCGACTTCCTCGTCTTCAGAAAGCCAACTGCCCTCCTCGTCAGACTCCTCTGCTGTCCTCATGACTGGCGGACCACCAGCTGTTCCAGTTTCCCCCATCCCTGTCCGCCGCTTCTGCTGCTCCGCTAATCCATGGGCTTGTTGAACTCGAGGTGCTTCTTGCCTATCACTATCTTCTCGTCTTCTTCCCCTTTTATCTTCATCTGCGTATTCTTCTTGCCTATTGTTGCGTGCATCTACTTCTGATAACCTCCTCTGCGTTGTCTCCTGGAAACCTTTCTCTTCTTCAACTTTTCCTCTAACATTTTCACCACGTGCTCTCCTAGCAGCTGCTCCAGTTTCGTCTGCAGCTGCACTTGTTGCATCTGAGCCTTGCTCGTGCCCAACACCAACATTATCATCGTGGAGACGGCGCCGTCGTCCTCGCGCTATCCAGTCCGCTTGTAGAGTCTATGACAGGAAAAAGTGTACTTATCCTCAGGAAAAGAGGCAGTTCCATAGTTAGAAGCTAGAATACGTTTCTAACTACTTACTTTCTGAGTACGAAGCTGCCTCATGATTTTTTGAGGATGACCAACTTATCTGTTTCATAAAGTCGGGCTGAGATTTATTTGGTTCTGTACTTGCTGCGTTTCCAACGGCTGCAATAAGAGATCACGAAAGTATTCTCCTGCCTCACTCCGCTGAAATCTCGTATAGTCGCCCGTCGATATCTGAGATAGTCAAATTACTGCTTGAGATGATCATTCCTCACGTCGCTGCTTCGCAGAGATGTGGTCTGTTATCCACATCAGGTTTGTTATCCATATAAGACAAAACGAAAACCAAGTTGGAGGATGTGGCAAGAAGGATAATGTTCTTTATTTCCGATACACGACATTCTCCATAAAATATAGAAATCTAGATTAGGCTATCTGCATGTAAAGTGCTCTCATTGAGTGATGTGCCTATTCGCAAGGCCATGGGTTTCAATCCCTTAAGAAATAATTAAAGATTATTAGACAGAGCAGTTGTAAACTAGTTGTAACATTAAAAATCATTCGAGAATATCATCGATACACAGATAAAGTTAAAAGCACGGTTTCATCTCGCAACGTGCTTAGCGTGGCAGTCCCATTGTAGAGTAAAGCGCCAGATCGCGCATCTGCGCGCGATAACCAGGTGGCCTCAGTGTCAAGCCACTCTTGATGGATCAGTCCTAGAGCGTCTTGACTGCTTTCTGTCACGTACCGCGCTGGACACGTCCCCAATCTAGTGGCAAACCCATATCATGAAAGCGTGCAACTTCTAAGTAGCCTCATCGACGAGTTCATCTCACCCTGACTTTAGACTTACACTCAGTCACACATCAAATAGTTGCATAGTGTCTCATCGAAGTTATGTCGAGAAGCGAGTGCACAGAAGTCAGAATCGTGCACAAAAGTGAGTTGTAACATTCAATCACACGTCATAATCTCTTCAACAGGCATTGAGTCTGCTGCGTCGCAGCCTCGGCTTCCCCTCCCCGCACGGCGTCGAGCACGCGCTGCTGCCTCAGGCGTAAGTAGCCTATTGGTACCGTAAAGTGATTCCACACGTCGCCATAAGTCAGTTCTTCCTCCAGCCTTTCCAAAAAAGCGTAGTAATCATCAGCAGAAATCACGCTGGTTGTGACTATGAAAATATGGGCATAAGAATACAACGCATAGGGGTAGAAGTTACGGTTAGGCTCAATCATGAGGTACCAGAGTGCAACAGGGGTACTTACGCCTATGGTTTTCATTAGGACGGTCGCATATGAAACTACAGAGTACGATATATAATCTACTAAATCTCAGGTGTACAATTTGGCCGTCGGGAACAATTCGAGGCAGGAATCATAGCCGACTATGGTAAACAAAAACATCAGGTATTGGATGAAGGGAGTAAGACGAAATAAAGTCAGCCGCCGGCTACTTTCTTTAGGTGAGTCTCTCCCTGTAGACGAAGCGAACGTCCATAAAGAAGTGGAGTCGCTCTATCAGCTGGCCTCGCATGGTGTCCGTGAGGTAGAACTCGATACCCCACTCGTAACGACAGAGAACCAGTGCTAACGTAAGAAAGAAGCAGATCAGCCAGCCACAGCAATCTCGAAACTTTTCGGGTTCGTTGCGCACTGACAGGATTATTAAAGCCATGGACGTTGATGATAAAAGTCGCCAGCATCATGATCATCATGATCATCACCTTCATCGTGCCTCTAGTAACACCCCGATTAATTCAATGGAAGAAAAAAGCGAATTTAGAGCAAGCCGTCATCAATGATGTTGACAGAGACCAAGTTATGTACTCTCCGTCCTCTTGGAGGAGTTGTCTCTATAAGTTTTCATTGCAGTCTGTGTCCATACATCTTTCTGTAGTAGGGTCTCCCTAAGTCCCGGGAATTGATTGATCTGCTCCAAGAATGGTACTTCTTTTTTGTATCCTCCAGCGTCGTCGTTTTTCTTTTCTTTCGCATCCTCTTTTGCGCCTCCAGCCGCAGACGCGCCGCGCCCTTTTTTTGGCATGCATGCTCGTCGCTCTGGGTCGGTCACAAAAATATTCTTCGGGTCGTTAATTAGAAGGCGGGGAAAACTACAAGTAAACGGATTTTTGTTTACTATCCTTGCTGCGAAGCGAAGACATAAGAAAGTTCAACAACCAGTGAGGAAACAAAGAAACAAATAGAATTCAGTCATTGCAAGGATTATATCGCGTGGAAACAACTATCATGTTCGCACTGCATGTCCGTTTGACATCAGCGTTTTTCTCCTAGCCTTTCACTACTCACTTTCATCATTCCAAAGTTTATATCAGGCACAACCAGCCTTTCTTGACTACTTTTTTTTTTAGTTCATCTTTCCAAAACTAGGCATGACCTCTGTGTCACCGTCATAACTTCTGTATCAGATTAAGTTGCGAGAGCTCGCCGGGGCGGAAGCATTGCGACACCCGCATACCTTCCTGCATTTTTGCGTTGTGGCTACAGGCACGCAAGACGAAATCACTAGTACTGACTCCCCAATAGTCGCACGCGTCACTGCGCAGTTGCGCAACCGTTGTACTCTCTGTCACTCTGTATGTTTGTGTAAAAACTCGTCCATCGCTCCCTTCGGCTCCCTCAGCATGGAAGAGAAGAATGTTAGAAATGGTGAAAGACAAATATTGTGATATTTTAAGTATCTCACATGCTATTAAAAGCACGGCACATTATTGAAGGAGAGCTGGCGCGTAAACTTTTATGACACACGGAACACATCAAAGAAAAGAATGTGTAACATGAAACCACTGAGCTACTTCATCTGCTACACGCATTCGCGTCGTCAGTGCATCTCAAATAGTTACCTGTCATGTTGTCATGGAACCTCTTGTAGCTCTTCGGTCTTATCTGTGACTGTGACTCAACTAATATTGACATAATTATAATTCGCCGTAGTAGAATTGGTGTAGCCATAGTCAAAACTGTATCCACAACCAGCGGTTTGTCTTGTTTTTCGACCATGAGTTCGCTTTCGTCAGGTTCAAGCTTGGTCACGTCCCTCTTCGGATCGAATTTCTCACCCGCAAGCGCCTTCACCTCCCGAAAAAGAATTGCTCGCACCTCCTCTCCATCACCGCAAAAAATGAAGGCAGAAAAATAGAAACGATCGGTTCCAAGTTGTCCTTAGAGGCTAAGTAATTGGAGTACTAGATGAAGCTGAAAATTAATGATCTTTCATTCTATGCTTAAATAAATGCAGCGAGACGCACTGTGCAAAGTTAGTCATTTCTTAGTTTAAAGTTCTACAACGTGAGAAGAGAAGAAAGCGGATGTACGGATTTAACTCCGTGGCATTGATCAAACGGACAACTGACTTGACTACATTGTTAACGATCTTTTTGCAGACATGATTCAGGGGACATAATTTCCACTCGCAGTTCGAGATCCTGCAATCGACGTGCGTTTCGGCTACGCACATCGTCCAGCTCAGCGGCAAGTTCGTCCGCTTCGACTTGACGGGCCGCTTCTTCTGAGTTAAGCGCGCGAAGCTTCTTTTAGAATAGTAAAAGTGGATTTCGCATATCCTTGACGTAGAAAAATTTTCCTCGTTACAAATATATCTATAATCATAACTCTAACCGATCTGCATAGAAACAAAAATCTTTCCATCCCCTGATGGAGGTCTCGGAGATACTGCTCTTGACGTCAGTCATAGAAAATCAAAGAAACTATAGCCCACGTGGTGTGTTCACGTCTGTACTACTGGTATACGAAATTCGGAGCAGCTGACTAGTATTTTGGACTTGTAAACCATTTTTGCACAGGTGGTATGAAATCCTTTACATGTTCGCATTTTCTTCGCAACAAGTAAAGTTGACGCCTCGAAGCTATTCGGCAGCTCGCCTAACTAAGATCTCCTGGAGGATATCTACCCGCCAATCAACAAGTACAATTATCTCCCTTAATTCTCTTGTAACCTTTCTTGGGCCTCGAACCGTTTGTTTCGGTCGCCAACTAGTTGCTGGATTTTCTTTCGCAAGGTGTTCACATCCAGCTGTTCGATCTCTTCGAGATCTACCGACGCCAACGCGTCTGAATCCATCTTGTCTCGATCTTGTTGGTAGACGTCGACAGCGACAGAACCCTATGTAAATAGGACAAATTCTTGGTTTCTTCAATGTGAATGTTGTTGGACGAGGACAAATCCTTTTTGTCAAACACAAATCAATGGGTTTGCTGATTGGGGAGGACAAGTGCTGTTCGAAGCGGAAGTTTGCTGGAGTGCGGGAAGACTGCCGCAGAAGTGTTGGAGAGCCGGCGGAAACCGCAGAACGCATGCCAACGTGGTAGCACAAGTATATCAGACCCTCCACCACTGGCACTGGCAAACTACACGCTCTGGTAGTGCATCTTCAACCGTGAGGCAAGAAAGGCGGTGCTCCTGACGACTCCGAGGACACCAAAAGTTATTATGAATGGGAATGGCCAACAAACAAGTAGAACGCGGCCCGGTTTGCGTCGTGTGCGAATTCTTTCGAGGCGGGAAGCGTCGGCACCATTTTTGTAAACCTGCTCTACCTCTTCAGCCAATTTGATTCTGATCGAGGTTTTTTCAATGAGCCACTTAGCTTCGCAGCCTGCTCGGGGTGGTCGCGGTCTCCAACTTCTACTGTTGCAAGCTTCCACTGAATGTTCGGCGCTGCGTTTTCAGGCCATGCGTAATTGTTTCCTCCTCCCAGAACACCAATTAGAAGTAAAGCGCTTGCGGCTCCCAAGATGTTGAGAGAAGTCGTCGCGCGTACTCCTCGACGACACCTTCATTTCATTTCAGTGAGCACCGTCTCATGCCATTTTTTTGCGCACACTGCATGATCTGGGACCGACAATTTTAAGATCTTCATTAACACTTGCGGCAAAGCAGCGCGAGGCGGATGCATGTCCCGTGTGCAACGCAGACAGTTCTCCTTCGCCACATTCTTATGATCTTTATCTATGTTGTGCAGCACTCGCTCAAGCCGGAATAAGTGACTTATTCTGTCCTCGACTAAGCCACTCAGACACGTCCACTACCTTCGGCCGGCCCAGAGGATCGACGATACGGCCCGAGCAATTACGATCCAGTGTATACAAGGTGGCATTGTTGGTATTATTTCTTTTCGAAGCAAGATGGAATCTAAAAAGATTAATTAGCCGGGTGATGAACAGTACCAACTCATTCGACCCGGTCAAACAAGCCTCTGCGGTGCCACCGGTGGGAGGCGCATCCTGAACAAGGACTTCGTGCTTGAAGCGGCAGCGCCCCCGAAAAATCCTGAACACTCAGAAGCAGACTGCGTGCAGACTCCCTCGACGCAAATCGCTTCCGCCGAAAAAATCGGGCCTGCCTCGTGGGTCGGCTTCGTGATCCCCCGTCCCAAGTCCTCTGGCGGCTTTGCGGCCTGTGGTGTAAATCGTAACCAGAGGACACGCCACACCGGGAGGGGGGACGCATGCGCACGGGGTGCGCGGAAACGGGTCGCGGCCTTGGGCATAAGGCCAAAAGTTGGGCCATCGGGCGCGGGCTTGTGGGCCTAAGCTCTATCCCGGAAGGCGATGCGCCGATGCTCGTCTTAGTTTCCTTATCGAGACACCCCACAGCGGACAAAGCCGGTGTGTGCGGCCTTGGAGCTTGGGATTTTTCAGAAGGATTGCGGCACGTACGGCCCAAGGGCTTGGGCTTTTTTCGAGGGGTTTTGGTGCGCACCGTCTTAGAGCTTGAGGTGTCTGGGTGCTTGGGGGTTGCGTGGGGCCGGGGAGTTCAGGGATTAGCCCCACCCTACCTACGCGCCGTCTGAATATGCTCTCCCGCCACTTGCGGCAGGGTGCGGATTTTGATGGCGTTGGCGCGTGTTTTTCAGAGGAGCCGCGCGGCGTGGGTGAGCCACGGAAAACACCACAGGAGTCGCGACAAGACCCGTCTGCGCCGTGGCGTTTTTGGGAAAATTTTCGATCCTTTTGGAAGTTTTGGAAAAATTCGCAGCCCTTTCTGCACGGTTTTGGGATCTATCCAATTTTGGGACCATTTCAAGGAGGAGGCGGCAGGGGGCTCAAGGGGGTTTATTTTCTTAGCGAGACCCCTCCTACTCTTAGAAAGGTCGCCTCTCCTAGTCTTAGCGATAAGACGGGGGAAGCGGGCTCTTTATTGAATTGGCACTGGCAACAGTGCCAACCTAATAGGGAGCCCGCCTTCCTAGTCTTAGGGAAACGTCGTCTTTACTAGTCTTAAACGAAGTGGCCCAATTTGGGTCCCCGCGCCCCTCCAGAATCAAGCACCGCGCACAGGAGCGGCAAACGCGTCTGGAGATTCAGCGACGCCCATGGACAGGGCACCAGCTAGCGCGGAAGCGCGGGCGCCCTCATCCTCTTCCACAGGGAACGCGCTGAAACGCGGGCGGGCGCGTTGCGGTGGTAGCAGGCGGCGCCCTTCGGTCGGCGTTGGAGCAGTAGGGAGCGCACGCGCGCGGGCTCGTCAAGTTCCTCTTGGCATCTCTCAGCAGATTGAGTAGACCCCTCCACTCTGTACCGCTTCCCCCGGCGCAGGGGCGTTTCTGATGAAAAAACTGAAAAGGCCTTTTCAGGTTTTTCATCAGAAACGCCCGTGGGCCGGGGAAAGCGGTACACAGTGGGGGGACCTGTCCAATTTCGGGAGCCATTTCAAGAAGGAGACGGCAGGAGGCTCGAGGGGGTTTCTTTTCTTCGCGAGAAACTTCTTCCAGGGGCTGCTTCCCTTATTTTTCGAAAAGTCGCCTGTGCTAGTCTTCGCGATAGGACTAGGGAAGCGGGCCTACTGGGCCGTCATGCATTTGCTTCACGTTACCACCCGAAACCGGTGCCCGCATGAAGTTCGAAGCTGTTAAGGGACAGAATTCAAACAAAGCGAAACCGCCAAGGGACCCGCAAAGCGGCGGGGGACTTCTTGGATTTCTCTCAGGCTTTTGGCCCGTTGTGTGCGCCCGCTTGCGGTGCGTTTGGGGGGAGGCTTGGGCCCTGGCCCGCTGCCGGGTTTTTGTCTCCAATTATTGCGAAGACGCGGGAGGCGAAACCGATAAGGAGAGAAGGACACCAGAAGAACCCCGCGGGGACCCGATCCCGAAGGACAACCAGAAGGAACGACACGAAGAAGAAGAACGGGGAAGCGGGGCAGACACCCTTCGGGGCGCGTGGTGTGTCGCTGCCCGTGGGCAGCGACACACCACGCGGCGGGCAACGACACACCACGCGGGGGGGGGCGTGCGCGGTTTCCTGCAAAGTCTTGGGGTTTGGATCTGCGTTTTGCTGGGTGGAATCTAAAGAGCAGGGGGCTGCCGAATTTTCGCAGACACTTTCGGCCCGAAAGCTTGGGGGCTTCCGGTTGGGGTTCGGGTGTCCAATCTCAAAGATAGGGGGTCGCAAATTCGCCTCGACCATGCGCGGCCCCAAGGCTTGAAGGCTTTGGCGGGGTTTTCAGGCGGTCAGGCCGCAGAGATAGGAGCAGGGGGCTGCAGATGCGTACCGAAAACGCGCGGCCCTCGAAAAAGGGGGACTTGGCTAGCCTTGGCGTTTCCAGCTTCAACTTCTTACTTGTCAGAATTGCGGTCGGCTTGGCCTTAGGGTTTGCGGCTTTTTCGAGGGGATGCGGCGCTTGCGGTTCGCCAAGCGGCGCGCGTCGCGCTTCTGGTGTTAGAGCAGGTGACCGCGGAGTCCTCTCAATGTCAAGAAGCTTGCTAGTTTGCTTCGTTTTGGGCTCGGCCTGCTTCTGGTCTGATATTTGTAGCCCGCAAGGCTTACCCGCTTCCAATTTTTAAACGCCGGGGGGAAGGTGAAAAAAAATAAGCCCAAAACTTTCACTTCAAAAAAAACAAAGCACGGAGAAGAAAAATGACCAAAATAAGGCGGCGGCCTAACATTGCTGCCCGGAATAAAAAAAACAAAAGAGGCCCCCCAATTTTTTAAGTATAAAGATGGCGGCCGAGAAAGAAAAACCAGCCTACCTGTGACCCACATCGTCCTGCTTCTGTTTTTTGTGGAGCAGGTGGAAAGAAGAGAGCAGGCCTGTCAACGTCTTCGAGGTTTTTCCCCAGTTTCCACTGAAACAAATTCCAGGGCCTACCGGTTTCAAGCTGGGAACTGGTCTGGAAGCTGCTAAATCGTAAAAGGACTCGCCCCCAAACCATTCGGAAAAAAAATCAAAACCGTGAGAGTTTAGCAGTGAAAGATGTGCAAAAGCCCGGCGCTTTTGGGTAGCCTTAAGCGACCCACCTAAGCAAAACCCGAGCCAACTACGACCAAACCGTGACCAAGCTGAAACCAAACGGGGACAAAACTGAAGGCCAGCGGAAGCGAAGCTGAAACCAAACACCGGCCAAGGCCCAGCCTTACGGCCAAGCGCGCCCTCTATACCATCCCGCGGGAAACTAATGCAGAGAAGGCGCCGGCCCGTTGGATCTCGCTCGCGATTCGCGCGGGCTCTCCGGTAGTTTCTGCCGGTTCTGGTTCCTACTGAGAACCTTCCTAGCCGGGGCCAGCGGAGCGTGGGCCACGCAATAGACTGCGCAGCGCGTTCTTCTTTCGTGCAAAGCTGGCGCGTAAGGCCTCGCCTCCGCCATTAGATCGCAAGCAGGCTTGGCAACTACCTGAAGAGGGCGGCTCTCTTTGAGTGGGGAAGGCCATGCCCTTAAAGAGCCGCTTTTTTTCACGCCCTTGGCTGACCGCGGTCGCGCGGTCGTCTGTTTCCGGGTTGGGAAATTGGTGCGCAAAACCCCGGCTCCGCCGCTAGATGATCGCAAGCAGGCTCGGCAACTACCTGAAAGGCGCGACTTTCTTCGAGTGGGGAAGGTGGCCCCCTTATTAGGTTGCCTGCTTTCGGGGCCGGGGCTGCCCGCGATGAGTCGAGGAAAGACGCGCGCCGCAGAGTTGCCCGGCAGCCGGCCCGCGATAAGTCGACAAGAGACGCGCGTCGCAAAGTTGCCCAACAGCCGGCCCGCCATAAGGTAAAAAAGGCGAAAAGAGACGGAAGGCGCAAAGCTGCCGAGCAGCCTGTCCGCGACAAGTTGACAAGTCGGCAACAGACGCGCGGCGGCAAGTTGCCGAGCAACCTGTCCGCGGTAAGTCGATAAGCCGAAAACTGCTGGCCCTTGGTAAGTCTGAGACTTTCTCTCAGGGCTTATAAGCGTCGCGAATTCTTAGGCGCTCCCCCCGAAACCGATACCCGCATGAAAGTCGAAACCATTAAGGGAGGGCACTCCGCGAATTCGAAACGGCTAAGGGACTCGCAAAACGGTCAACAACCTGGCAGATTTTTGCGAAAGCTTTCGCGGCTTTTTCGTTGTTATATGCTTTGGCTTTTTTCTTATTTGCGACGTCGCGGCGTGCCGCAAGATGCGGCGCGAGGTTTTATCGAAACGCCGCCACGTGGAGACCGATGGGGCCTCTTGTTTGTGGCCAATCTTTTGGAGGAATATCAATGACGAAGCGAAACCGATAAGGAGACCCGGGAAACCCTTGCGGAGATTTTTGGCGGAGACTTTGAAGCCCTAAAGTTTTCTTCTTTAATGGGAAGCGTATCGGCGTGCGCTCGCTCAGATAGCCCCACGAGGGCAACTCATCGCAGAACTCGACGAGCCCTCGCCCGGCGTTTAGGCTTCTAGCGCGACTGTTTTCCGGTGCCCGACTGTGGGTCTCTGTTTTTTGCCCGTTTTTTAATTTTCTCGATTTGCTAGCATTTTTATAAGATTCCTGGGAGAGTCAAAGAAAATTTGAGAGGTTTTGGGGGGGATTCTTTTCCATAAAAATACGAAACGACAATAATCACGAATGCCCTCGGGCACAGTCTC